CTTTTTTAAAATTTCAAGCAAAAAATTGAAAAATTTACTTTTTTTTTGTCATTACAAGAAATATTTTTGATTTACTTTAGAGTAGTGGTTTTATTTTAAGTGCTAGTTTTTATTATTTTTCAAAAAATTTTTTTTGAGTACGCAAATGGCATACTTGTAAGTCGGCATACCTGTCAATATTTTTTATTTTTGAAAATGTTTTTGTGGACCCATCACTTTGATCACGAAGGCCTTAGGCATACGAGTCTTTCCATAATTTTTTTTCATCGCTCTAGCTACCTTTTCTGTAAAGTTATCACTATAGCGTAAGCAATTGTACTTTTCTTTCATCGGTGGAAAAGATCTTCCATTAAATGCCTTTCTCTTCCACATTTGAGTGAGAATTTGGCCAAGGTTTTCCATCATCCATTTCTGATAGAAGATTTCTTCCATCGCTTACGCTGTAGTGTCTTTAATTTTAAGAGAATTAGATTAAAACAAAAAAAAAATAAAAATAAAAAAAATGAAAAAATGAAAAAATGAAAAAATGAAAAAATGAAAAAATAAAAAATAAAAATGAAAAAAAAAAAATAAAAATAAAAATAAAAAATAAAAATAAAAAATAAAAATAAAAATAAAATAATTATTTTTTAGAAAATATTTTTTTTAGTATACAAATGGCATACTTGTAAGTCGGCATACCTGTCAATATTTTTCTTATTTTTGAAAATGTTTTTGTGGACCATCACTTTGATCACGAAGGCCTTAGGCATACGAGTCTTTCTATAATTTCTTCCATTGCTTACGCTCTAGTGATAATTCTACAAAAAAAAAGAGCATTTTCAAAAATAAGAAGAATATTGACAGGTATGCCGACTTACAAGTATGCCATTTGTATACTAAAAAAATATTTTCTAAAAAATAAAATTAAATTAAATTAAAAAAAAAAATAGAAAATGACAAATTTCGAAGGCCTAAAATACACATTTTTTTTCTATTGTTCCACTCATCCATGTTTATCTATGTTCATCCATGTTCTTTTCTATTAAATGACATTTAATGATGAGTAACAGGCCTTGAGTGGTTTCCAGTTTCAAAGCTTTATATTTGAGATAGATTTGTGTTGATTTTGGACATTTGATAGCTTCAAATATTATTGCATGTTAGACTTGTATCTCTGTAGTCTATCTGATGCTGTGGCTGTCAACCTTGTAGATTTACATATATATCTCAATAAATTTAATAATCAATAAAATAATCTAAAAGACATGTAGTAACAAGCGAAAATACTCTTAGTTAGGTATATGCATGTGTGTTGATTATTGGTGTTTTTCTCAAGACAATATACAATTGATTTTATTAAATCATGCAAATGGTAATGTACCTTTTGAGCTGAATGTGTTTTTTACTATAAAAAAGCGAGTGATAAAATTAGAATTGTGAATACATGGTAGTCTGTAGCATATCTAATACATGTACTGAAGGGTATTTTTTATATATTGCAAACCATAAAGTTTGTTATTGTAACAGTAAAAAAAAAAGTCGAAAAATAGTCATAGTTCTAACTAATGATTGCTAGCTAAAATTCATTGTTTTTTGTCTGGATTTTTCGTAGTATAAAGAGGAGATGTACAAGTTTCTCCCTGTAAAGTATCGAGCTGGTGCTATGATTCACTATATATTTATTCATTTTTTCAAATGTATCGAAATCGTAACATCGGAGTATGATTCCGCCTATTAAAGTATGTTTCCCAACATGTTGACATTTTTGATAAGCAAACACTTCCTTTCTTTGATTTGGGAGGATCAAGTGTAAGTTAGTAAACTATCTTACACTTGATCCATAGAGTTTTTCAGGGGCTGTATTTTGCTTCAAAAAAAAATAAAAAATCATCTAAAATTATATTACAACATACTGACTTGAAGCCTAAGATAAGGTAGTCAATTTACGTGCGTAGAGCTCAAAACTTTATGAAATCACATTGTTTATGAATTATGTTTGCAATTTAACGTATAAAATAGCCTATCTCGTTTTATATGCGTTACGTACATTTTTCTAAGGCCCTCATAAGTTCAATATTTAAAGTATGCTTGTTGATGTTAGAAAAGCATTTTTAGTCTATAACACCATTGTCAAAAGTTGCTTGTGTGATGAACTACTAGTGGTTTTTTGATTTTGATACAAAACTGTAAGACATGATGGGCCTCATATTTTTTTTTTTTTTTTTTGATAATGACTGATGTTAAAAAAAAACATATTCTGCTGAACAATACTAGCCTGATTTGTTCAAAAATAAACATAAACAACCTGCTTTCAATCAATTATTAAAGAAAACATACTATCCTATTTAAATAATAGAAAATCTGCTATAATCTTGTTGGAATTAGATAAAAAGTTAGACAGCATGACAAAATGAAAGGGATTCCATATGAAAATAGCATTAATTGAAGCTTCTGACCCAAATTGGAAAGTGAATACAAATCAAGACAGAACTTGGAGTACATATATAGAATTCTGGCAAATTTGAAAAGTGAGGGAATAAGCTTGGTGTCAAGAAAAAGACCTTAAACTGTATAGACTTCATTTTTATTATAAAAGATACATATGGCTGTTACTGATCAACTATCATTTCAGTAAAAATATTATACATTTGCTTTCTGTCTTTATCTTCTGCTGGTCCTTTATGTCTTTCAAGTTGAATATTCAAACTGAAAAGTAGATCATGACATTGTCTTTCTGAATTTATTTCGGAGCTTTGGATTCTGAGCAAAAATTAAATTCTAAAAATTAAGCAGAGCATGAAACACATAAGTGATATTTACATTAGACTATAAGAACAGAGAATAGAAGGGAAATAACAGACATTGATCTGTACATGCTTAATCGACAAAATGGCTGACCAATACTAAACTGTGATTGATTCCAAAGGTTATCATATTCATTATTGATTTTTCTCCATCAAACAAGCATCACAAATGTTACTTTCTTAAGGTCTCAAGAAGTCAAATGTTGATCGAGTAATGTACTTTATAAAAATAGAGTTATTTTTCATGAATGTATAACTTTCTTTTAAACTGATGATGAACCCCCCCCTTCGTTCCTGTGACTCTGAGGATAACTTTATTTCACTCAGAGAAGATAGCTGTCATTCCTCTTTTGAAAGAGATAACCATATAAAATATGACCGCTGATTCTTTAGCGCTCCTTTAATCTTATTTTTCAATGTTAGACACCATGATCGTATGACCTACAAAGTGGAATTTGAATGCATTTGATCATTTGAATCCTATTGAATTCCAACGGTGACAACCATGGTGACAAAATACTATTCATATCAGCATAAATTACTGTATTCTATTCAGCACAAAGCGTGTAGAAAATGCGATGATCCTATAAACTACACTAGATAAAAGTTTTCTTTTTTTTTTCTTCTTATCGTCTCTCTATACACGTTTCATATCAAACGAGAGAGCCAGTGGTATAGGATTTGATTCAACAAAGAATACTATAACCCATTTCTGGAAATGGTTTACTGTATTGGGAAGTGGCTGTAACAATAAAAAAAAGAAAAAGACGCGTCTAGTCCAATACCATGTTCAGCCACTTTCTTATTTTATTCTCATTGTTTTTATGCATAAGGATTATATTTACATTTTATTCTATGTACACAATACTATATATATAAACATTTCACTCTGAAATCATTAAATCATGATAACTGGATTGTGATCTTCGTTTGAAACGATCATATTGCCTTTTGAGTGAATTTCTTCTCTGTTCCAAAAAACTACTAAAATGACCGCCTGCTTGTTCCGCCATCTGATGATGTGTATAATCATAATTCAAAAACTCGTCTTCCAACTGCATTCGATACCTTGCTTCCATTGTCACTGGACTACTGTCTGCATCAAAACTGGTTCTGATGACTGAAGTACGTTTATGTGATTTAAGTCCATCTTCTTGAAACTCTTTATAATTCATCATACGTAATTTATGATTCTTTTTCTATCACACATTTAGAGTTTTTTTTTTTTTTTTTGTTTTACGTACGTCAGGTCGAATAGGTGGAGTCAGCTGTTTATGTTCCAATAAACCCCAATCAAAGCCCCTAAACCAAGGATGATATTTGACATCTTCAAAATCTAGTCTATGAAAAGGTGATTTGTCCAGCAACTAAACAACCTATCAGTCACTTTGTGAATGCATCCCATGGCTAACTTACACCAGTCAAGATATCTCTGCATTCTCTTGAAATGATTTCATTTGGAAATACAAGTGGATCATGTAAAATGGCATGAATCAAAGCTTCTTTTGTCGAGGCAACAAAGGGACGCTATCAAACAAGATAAGTAAACAATGTGATTTCTGTATCTTACCTTTTGAAACAAAAGTTCAAACATCACCACACCTAAACTCCACCAGTCCACTTGCGTTGAATAACCTTTTCTGGCCAACATTTCGGGTGCCATATAAGCCATTGTACCCGCCATGGACCAAATTAACGGTTGACTGGGATCAAATTGGATAGCAATGTTAAAATCACTCAGGTGAGCATATCCTTTTTGGTCCAATAAGATATTTTCGGGTTTTATATCTCGGTGAATGATGTTTGTCTTGTGAAGGTAATTCAATGAAAGCGCAATACAGGCCACTTGATGCCTTACTTGGCCTTCATGTGGCCTGAGTTGCTGGTGGAGATGAAACCGTAAGTCACCTCCAAGCATCAGATCGAGTGCCATAAAGAGTGTTTCATCGTCCTGAAAAGCATAGCGTAAATTAGCAATGAAAGGATGGTCGATACGTTCGAGTAAATGACGCTCTAGAATGACATTGGCTATGGCTTTTTGTTTGATACAGATGGATTTGTCAATGTATTTAAGGGCGTATTGTTTCTTTGTCTTTTTGTGTTGGACTATTCGGACTTTGCCATACACACCTTGTCCAATGATTTTGAGTAGTTGAAAATGACCCAGTTCAGGTCCTAATCAAAAAGGAATGAATATCGCATCTTTGTATATGTTGTTTACCTTGACTAAAATCTAATTCTTCTTGTTCTTTGCAACATGTAGCACCCATGATACAAAAGAAAGAAATAATAAGAGAAAATAAGAGAAAAGAAAGAAAAGAAAGAAGAAATATATAAAAAAAAAAAAAAAAAAAGCGAAATAAATACAAGTGTAACGCACTGATACAAACTAAAAAATTGCAAGTTATTGTTTGTAAGCTCAGCAAAATGAATGACACATCATCAAGTTTTTCACATGTAAAGATTTTCTGAGTTTGCCTGTATAAGAATCTTATATTTTCTCTCTTTTTCCTTTCTTTCTCTCTTATTGAATAACATAGAATGAAAGAAGAGACAGGTATAGCCTCGATATCATGTATTGACAACTTATGTTGCCCCTGTAGAATCGCATTTCATTTTGCCCATTATTATCATGTCGAGTGTATGTCTTCTTGTTCTATTTAAATATGGTGGATTTTATTATCGTTCATGTATCAACATGCTCTGTTTCTTGTCTATGGCGATCTATGGTACGATCAGTTCATTAGTGTTTCCCTTGATTGGCAAACGACATCTCATCCAGTGGTCAGTGGCTCGTGGCTATTATTATCTTGGTAAATTCTTTTGTGGCATTGAAGTCAAGGTGGAAGGACAAGAAAACCTTCAAGAGATACAAGGTCCTGCTATTTATGTCATGAACCACCAATCCAGTCTGGATGTCATGTTGATGGGTAAAGTGTATCCTAAAAATACTACCGTCGTCGCTAAAAAACAATTGAAATATTACCCCTTTTTGGGTTGGTTTAGTAAGTTTCTTCTTCATGTGTATGATCAGGTTACTGACGACAGTCTAGTGATATTGAGTAATGCTATCTTTTTGGATCGCAAGAATAGAGACAGTGCTGTCAAAGAAGCCCGTAAGGCGGCAGAAGACATTCACCAGAAAAATGTAAGTCCATCTCGATCAAGAGGAATAGAGACTCATAAAAGTAGATCAATGTATGGATCTTCCCTGAAGGTACCCGTGGTCATGCTGGTAAAATTGACCTACTTCCTTTTAAAAAGGGTCCCTTTTATATGGCTGTACAAGCTCGTGTTCCTATTGTACCTGTCGTTTTCTCTAATTACTATGATATCTACAGTGCTAAAGAGAAACGATTTACGAATGGCGTTGTCCGTTGCAAAGGTATAACACATGGCTTACAATGATAGTTATATTCATGATATACAATAGTCTTGCCTCCTATCCCCACAGACGGTGTTCAAGAAGCATCTGCTGACATTGAAAAACTTGCCACTGGTTGTCGCGATCAAATGTTAGCTGCTCTCAAGGACATCACTGTTCGTAAAGATAAATCCCAATAATATTTCTTTAAAATGATATATTTGTGTCATTTATATATATATATATATATATAATCATTTATTAAAATATGGTATTAAAGTTGAATTTGATTACGAGAATTGAATTTATGAACCAATAACTAGAACAAGAAAATGAATAAAGATATAAACTTCTGTTGATAGCTTACCTGACAGCCACAAAGACCCACAAAACAAGCATAGACAATAGCAGCAGAGAAACACGCTTGAGCAGTTGCTTTAGGGTCGTCTGGGTCACTCACAAACTCTGTCAAGACTTCGACTTTGGCATCAAATGCAAAACCAAGTGCAACCTACATGTGTTATACACGATGACAACTAGGAAACACTTACAAGAAAGATAATACCACACACAGATAATAAAGTACAAGCAGTTGCACAAGTAGGTCCAACAAGTGTTTTCATTGTATATTGAAAAAGAAAAAGAGAAGAAAAAAATCACGAAAAAAAAGAGAGAGCTATGAAACGCAAAGGAGGTCATTCACGTGACTCAATTGCATTAATTCAAACTAGAATCATCAGCTACAGAAAAAGTATAGAGGGTCCCCTTCTTAAAGACTTACGTTCCTTTACAGAATTTACTTGTACAACGACAAGGTATCTTTTCTGTTTGACTTGGTAGCTTATAATCATAGGTGATTTCTTCTCCTGCTTCAATATCGCGATTAGCATAGATCATGACTTTTTTCTGTTGATGGACCATCATGATTTTAACACTACAGTTTGGCTAACACATTGAGATACTTTTATCCTGTCATCACTTACTGTGCAGCAATGGTTAATAAACCGAGCCATGTTGCCCTTGTGTGTCGCATCCAACATGGTATCTTCATCCACACGAAACAGGTAACGACTGCCTATCCCTCTCTGTCTTTCACGTGCCTCTGCTACCTGTTGACGAACGATTTCCCCTACAAATTCAATGACCATCGTATGAGCAGCAATCGGTTGGTCTGCATAGACTCCCCATGCATGAATAGGGGATTTCTGGCACTTGAGTCTGACCTGAGGGCGTTTGACTGTGTCGATGGATTTGGTAACCACATAACGATGATGGTGCATCGTTTTTACAAGACGGGTGGGTAATGTGTGTTTGGGATCATACGGCTGTGTACGTGCTGCTGAGGTGACATGCGCATCGGGTGGTGTGCTTCCAAGCAAGGCCTGATGCATATAAACTAACTCTTCCATGTCTTTTACATGATGAAAAGGATCCCATGCCGGAGAGAGATCCAATGGAGGTGATTCAGGACGAAGCCATAATGCTTCTTCTGCATCCATGTGTTCCAAGTAAGCGAGTGTATGCCTGGCTTGATCGATACCATCCTGCCATGTTTCATCAAACGACACTCTCATGTTGGCTGAATCAGACGCATGACGCGTAGTTCTTTGTTGTAATACAAACTCATCGATAGCAGGGCATAGGATACAATCCTTAAGATCCTCAATAAACAACGATGCCAGTTCATCCAACACACATGATTTGGCTAATGAGCCCCACGATGTGGTGGCAAGATGATTCTAGAATCATGAGTGGATGGCTATCACACACATAAACACATCTTACATGGTGATCCCAATGTGTTTTAGAGTCTATGTTAGAAGGCGTGTTTGCAGGAGACATAACAAAAAAAAAAACAAAATTAGAAACCCTCCATCCTTTATTTACATCACGTGATTAAAATGCATGAAATTCAATCATCAAATTCACTGTGGTACAGGTCACATAAACCACAATCATCCACCACCCAAGTCCTTTTGTGATATGATAGCCATTGATATTGACGACAATCAAGGTACTTAAGAGAACAGTGATCAGGCCAAACGAAGAAATCAAAATGGTAGGTGCAATTGCAAGTTCATAAGGTTTGCCGGTAAGCCATGTTTGATAAGTCGAGGAAATACCAACACCAAGAACCATGTCTAACAGATCTCTTTCAGAAGCATGCTTTTAAGAATACTTACTTACTCAGTAAAGGACCAGCATAACAAGCTGAAATAGCCATGGTAGGAAATCCCATCTAACAAACATGAGATCATTTATGAAGCAACCCTCTGTCTTACCTTGGCAATGGCGGTATTTGCCACTAAATCACCAATACTATTACCCTAATAGGTGCTTGTCAGAAAGAACCTTCATATAAAATACACATCATGACTTACCAAAGCAAAGATCGTGAGACCCATGATAGCTTCACTAATGTCAAAGATAGCACCTAAGGCCTGTAACAAACCCACCATTTCATTCGCTAATAAAAAGATCCAATTCAACGCAATCACAAACCCAACAAACGACAACATCCAATGCCATGTGGGTGCCTCATGGGCTTCTGTCTTGACCAGCACAACAGCAGAACCAACGCAGCCCATGAAGAACCCGACCAGAATACCATACGAAGGAATAAACCCATTCACTATATATATATATATACACATCAAGTCAATCTAAGAAAACATACACAATACACTTTACAGGCCATCACACCGGTCACGAAGGTGGTAGCAAAGACTGCTTGTGTGGCAACGAGCCAACGACACCAACCACGTTGGCTTTCTTCATCCTCTTCTAACAACAGGGATGTATCGCCATTTAAGTCAGACAAACTGCGTTCAGATGAAGGCACGGTCAAATAACTACTCTTGTTGGCCAAGGGAGGTGGCATGAGTCCTTCTGAAGCAACGACAACCACTTGAGGTGTAGATTCAGTCACTTCAATATCGTCCACCTTGACTTCATCACTTTCAGCCACAGGTAAAGTGAGTGTGAAGACCAACACTAAGGGAACAGCCACCAACGCACTTAGTCTAGCAAAAGTCGATTTACTATGCCAGTCTTGTAAGGTAGGGAACAAGGTACTGCAGATCTCGTCCATCCAAAAGAGCGAGACGGATTCTTCTAACAAAAGGTCCTGAGTGGGCTGTTTCGGCGTAGGCAGTTCGTCAGGTTGGTCTAATCGGATTTCGGGTATACTGGGTTCAGCTGGATGTGTGGCAGCTGAGATATAAGTAAAATAGTCATCATGGGTCATGGAGGATGTGCCTTGTTGATCGACACTCTCCTGTCGTGCAGATATACAGGGTACAGATGCTTGCGTGTGTCGCTTCAGAACAGAACCATCCCTTCTGTGTCTCAATATTTGGGTACTATTGGCTCGTTTGATGCTTGCGACTTGTTCTTGGAACTTTTTTTTTTATAGATCAGTGGTTGGTCTAGATCTGTTAAACTTACCTCAATTGCACTAAAAAGAGAAGTACGCATACCAACACGGGGCGACATGGCATGTCGATACAGACGAGACGAAATAGACCCATTTGTGCTGGTCGTACGAGGAAAGTCTAAATGCATGGATGATTTTCTTGATAGATGCGAAGAGTTGGGCGATACAGGTCGAATGACATGCCCTACATGATCTTGAAATCCATGCGCAGGAATGTCGAGACGAAGTGGTCTGTTTTGTAAGAGTCTGGATGTCTCTGTTAGTAATTCTTCATGCGTCGATTTGGGTTCTATTAGAGGTTCTTCTTGAGGAAACCGATAGGCACCCATGACCACAACAGCGACATAGGTCACATAATAGCCAATCAAGATTAATCCATGGTACCAACAGATGCGTTGGTGATAGACAATCCATGTCATGATCATGATGGCACCTGTAAGAAAAGACGCGTCCCGCATGAATGTAATCCGTTTGGACTGAAAGGGGCGAATGATACCCATACAGCCAGAGACAACACTAACAATAAAGAAAGCTGCACCAATCAGTTCACCAATCGCTAATGAACCAGATCCGCTATTCATGGCACTAAAAAAAAACAAATCATATAAACAAATATGCTCTCCTTTTACATACGTACATACGTGAATGTACTAAACAGATCCGGACTTCCATTCCCAAACGCAAGCACCGTGACACCCGCCTTTGTTTTATGAGTCCATCTATCCCAGTCATGATACACTTACCATGCTTTCTGATAATTGAAGTCGTGAAGAAATCGTTTGAAGATTAGGACCTAATGTTTGTTTAGTTTCATATGCATAACGATAAACGTACAAAAGAAATCAGCAGCTACGACACTCACTGCACCAAACAAAAGAAATAGACCAGATATCTATGTATACATATGAAATTTAGAATTCACCTTTTTTTTTTTTTTTTTTAACTTTCTTACCATGATCATTAAAATACAAGGTTTCCATAGTGTTGAACAGTAATAAAACCTTAGAAATACACCACTAAATCCATGACAAGCACTCATGACAAATGCACATTGATCAGTATGTGATTCTATATCAGAACACTATCGTATGTAAGCATATCCTTCTTTAGGATAGTTTGATTACCGTCTTTTTATGATGAGATAATGTCAATAAAGAAGCTGATGCCATCATAGGCCATAATAACATTAAGCATAAGAGATGCTTTGGTTGAACAGTCATCCTTTAAAGAAAACAAAAAAAAAAGAAAAAAAGACAAAAAGAAACAAAAGAAAGATGCGTTGATTTCTATTTTATATCGATTGGCTACCCCTTTTTTTTGGGTCATCCAAGATTGGCAAAATGCATGAATCATGACATCACTCTATAAAGGATTTCATAAAATGGATTTATAGAATTGAATGACCGACTATAAAACCAGAGAGATCATTTCTTTTTATTTTGTTTTTTTTTTCTTTTTTTATTATCATTATTATTGTTTTTCAAAGATATGAGTAAGCAACACTATAATACATCCGATGTAGATCAAGAGGCTCCTCCTCCAGCTTATCAAGAGACACCACCCTTTAATCCCAACTATACAAGTAGTAGTAGTCAGTCTCCACCCTTTAATCCTCATTATCAAACACCACATACACCTGAGACGCACCAAGCCATACAGCCTCTTTATCCTCAAATGCCTATGCCTCAATCTATGCCTATGCCTCAACCCATGCCCGTACCTCAAGTACGATATCAAACCATCGATATTCCTTATTCAGAATCCACCGTCAGTGTTCGTCATCAACGTCAGCTTGCAGAGCGCAGGAAATTTCCTCTTGCGGCTATTTTCTTTTTATTTGGATGGTGAGATGATCAGCACACGAATGAAGACTAATGGGTATCTAATAGGTTTTGTCCACCGTTATGGGTGATTGGTGCTTGTTGCTGTGCAGCAAGTCGAAATGAATATGAATCCTTTTGGGGTAAAGTGAATTTTATTATGGTCATGGCTATGATTGCTTCTTCTATTATCTATTCCATGATTGCCATGTCAAGATACATGTAGATTTATTTATCTTTTTGTGTAAATGCACCAGAAACAAGACATAAGTTGCGACTTGTGAATTGGATATCATAAATAGGTGTTTGTTTTGTAGGAAACACCCCTAATTGCTCATGACTAAAACGATGAATAAATAAAAACACACACACACACATATATATATATATATATATACACTTTACCTCTCAAGAATGGCTTTTTTCTTTCGATCTTCATCTTCTGTCTTGAATCGCTTTTTGGCTATAGCAGATGTTGTGTCCGTATTGACATCCCATACACGCACTGTACTATCAGCACCCCCTGATACCAACACACCATTGTCTGCACTAAAGGCCAATGAATAGATAAATTCAGTATGACCAGTGAGTTTCTTGATACGTTTGCCACTGCCTAAATCCCATAACATAATCGACTTATCTTCACCTGCAGAAGCCATCAGTCGACCATTAGGTGAGACAGCGACTGTCTTGATAGGACCTGTATGACCTGTAAATACACGAACACAAGTCCCCTTTTGGACATCCCATAATCTTGATGTACGGTCACTTGAACCCGTCACTAGATATTTCGAGTTGGGATGGAATTTGACTGTCTAACAAGTAGGATTCCATCAGTCACATCCTTGACATGTAGATACTTACATCCACATCTGATAGATGGCCAGTAAAGATTCTTAAGGGATTGATCTGATCACAACTCCAAAGACGTGCTGTTCTATCATGAGAAGCAGTGGCAAAATAGAATCCAAATGGACCAAAATCAACATCCCAAACAGGACTGTTGTGTCCCTTATAGATTACTAAATTCGAAAATGTCTGTGTGCTCCATAATCTGGCTGTCTTGTCTTCTGAACAAGACACCAAGTATTTGTTGTCTGGACTAAAACTAAGGCCATATACAGGTCCACCATGACCCACTAGTTTTTTGTATTCTGATCCATGGCGTTCCTTTTGACGGTTTAGGTCATGGTCTAACCAGATGGGGTCAGTCTACAGTTATCAAGTCCTCTCTTTACTTACAGTCATTCACATGAGCAGGGTTAATTGTGTTTCGAAGTGATCTTAGTTTTTCTCCTTTTAGACTCCATATCTTGATAAACGATTCAGAGAATCCACCAGCAATCAAAGTAGCATCTTGTGTAGTAGTGACACAGTTCAGACTATAGGCTATTAGTCTATGTGTGTGTATATGTAAATATATATATATATATATATATATATATACCTGTCATGTGTATTATGAAAAGTATAACAGCATATACTAGGTAAGGAAGTCTCATTTAATGGCATACGATAATTCATGTCTTTCAATGAATCCAGTTCTGCCTGAATATCTGTTCCCCTACTTAAACCAAGCGTCAATTTCGAAAATACACCCGTAGTTTACTTACTAAGGAGGTAATGGGATATCACCAAAGGCTGGACCATCCACTGTATTCTCTTGGATTCTCTTTCTAAAGGCTTCTAATGTTGGATTCTCTTGTACTGCTGCTTCTTCTTCTTCTTTTTGGACTGGTTGACTTTCTTGAATGGCTTGTTCTATCTCATCTCGAAACGATTGATCCAGTTGATTCATACCGAGTTGAACAGGTTGTTGATTGAATGCTTCTAATTGTTGACTTTGGTGTCCAATAATACCAATCACATCATCCATCTCTAACCCGCCTGCGGATTTCAATAATTTACCATGGACCACTAACATACAATGAGCACATACACACACTATCTCTTCTACTCACCTTGAATATTCAAGTATTGATTCACGATACGCAACAGCAACATGAATTTGTTGTCTTGCAAGTAATTCAGAAACAGTTCAAAAGGTACACCCGACATGCGTAGATTGTATTTGTTGTCTCTGTACATGCGTGCTAGTTCATTCTCGCGGATATGATGGGGTTCAGTGACTGTCTCAAGCGTATTTAAGTCAATTGTGTGTAATTCAACATGGTCTCGTTTATAAGTATTGAAAAAGGGTTTTGCTATAGGATGTCAGTCTTGTATTACCACTATTTTGTTACCTTTGTCAGTGAGATGTTTGCCAACAAGATCAAGGTAAGAATGAACAAAGATAGGATACAATACAGATCGTAATTCAGGCTATCATGTTAAAAAAAAAAAAGAAGAAATGAAAAAGTAGATGTATACCTTGTACCAATCCAATGAATTCTCTATCCATTCTCTTAGACTTTTATAACTTAAATCATACGCGTCGATATCACTCTTGACAGGTGCTTGGTGGTCTGTCATCTCATTATTATCTACACTGACTTTTTCTCCTTTGGCTTCACGTAAAAAGATAGCCTCTGTTGTTTTATAGCCTTTCTTTTGAAGGTAAGACGCGACCATGTTATCAATATCAGTAGCAGAATGAGATACTGCTGCTGCTACTTGTTGTGACTCTGATACGGGTGGTGTGTTGGACATAAAGAAGAAAAGGAAAGAAAGAAAAAAAAAGTCGTGTGACGTGTCTTGAAATGGATCATTGGAAAAGATAAAAAAAAAAAAAAAAGGGGAGAGAGGCTTTTATTGATGGTATCAAACGAGTTATTTCTATTGACCTATATATAACCTATGATGATGAGTATATCTTGATCCTATGTAATCTCTCTTGACAAGTCATCCAGCTGTAATGCATACATAGATGAACCGGACTGGACCCGAAAGTAATGATGAGCGGAGTTTGACTGAAAAAAAAAAAAAAGGAATGAGCTATGTGTAAAGACAATGTTAGAGGCGGGTGCATGAAAGAAGTGTGTAGTCATGAAAGTAATCCCATACAAGTGAATCTTTCTCTCTCTCTCGTTTTTTCACGAAAATGGTATGTGGATGGATGGATGGATAGATGGATGGATGAAACTGATTGTTTGATAGCCTACCAGACTTCACCACAACAGAAAGAAGCGTGGACATGTCTCTGCCGGTCACGGTCGTATCGGTAAGCACAGAAAGCATCCTGGTGGTCGTGGTCTTGCTGGTGGTCAACACCACCACCGTATCAACATGGATAAGTACCATCCTGGTTACTTTGGTAAGGTCGGTATGCGTCACTTCCACTTGAAGAAGAACCCTAACTGGCGTCCTGTTGTCAACCTTGACAAGATCTGGACTCTTGCTGGTGAAGGTGTCCGTGAAAAGTACAAGAACACTGAAAAGGTGCCTGTCATTGATGCTCTTCAAAACGTAAGTTACATTCGCTTGATCAAATGGATTTCTGACAGTGTTTTATAATAGGGTTATGCTAAGGTTCTTGCCAAGGGTACCATCTCTCAACCTGTCATTGTCCGTACTCGTTTCGTCTCCAGTCTTGCTGAAAAGAAGATCAAAGCTGCTGGTGGTGTTGTTGAACTCATTGCTTAATAAACGAATGCTTATTTACAGACAATGTTTATTATGATTATTATTTTAAGAATTTACAAATAGGCAGTTTATAGTTATCCAAGACCCAATACTTTTGACGAACACCATCCCAAACACCTTGTTCAGCCCATGTATCAATTGGCATGGTCACATAGTCTGTACTCAAGCCTAATTCACGTAAATCAATCTCGGATACTTGACAATAGATGTCTTGAAAGAATTGATTGGTAGCACCAAGACCATTAAACCAGGTATAAATACCATCTTCATGCATCATATTGGGTACACATTCATGAAATGTGTGTAAATCATCATAGAATTCTAAATAAATAAATATATGTATATATATGGGTTATTATTAATGATGCTGTATAGATACTCAACCTTACCTCCATAGGTATCAAAAAAGATACCGTCAAATAAGATGTCTAATTGAGGTACCATGTCTTGCCAACGACCAAACAGGATCTTCACACCAGGCTTCTTATCCCAGCCCAAACTTAACATATGAGCATATACATCAGGATGTGCTTCAATAATATAATGGTTCTTGGGCTTGTATTTCTGAAGTTCAGTATCAATCAGACCAAGTCCAAATCCAACATTGATCACATTCAGTCCTTCTTTAGGACACATCACTTTTGCATGCTCTACCATCAATGGACCTTCCCAGCCCATCATGACAGCATCGTTATTTTCATCCATGAGCTTATTATCATCATAATGAAGTTTTTGTTGAAGGTAGACTTCATTCGCAATGACATGTTCATCATCGTCATCACCAAATGCTTTTTTCATGGCACGAATCAAGAGTTCAGTGCGCACACCTTCATCCACTAATCGATCATAGACTTCTGTATGCTTGTTCTTGAGTGCTAATTCACCTGCTGTGACTTCTTGTTTATCTGTTAGGTTGTAAGGATGCTTTTCAGACAAGAGCCAGTTGACAATATCCAAATGACCATGTTCTGCTGCATAATGAAGTGGTGTACGACCCATATCGTCTGTGAAACAAATGTCGGCTTCTTGATCATTCACTAAGGATTTGACTTTTTCCTAATAGATAAATAAGTATGGATAGACACATATCCAAGTTTACCATATCATGATCAATCACAGCTTGAAGAAGAGCACGACCAAGTGCTAAATCCTGTTCGGAATATCCCTCTTCTTCTTCTATAACGGGTTCTTCTTCTTGTTGCTCAACAGGATTGTCAAGCTTTTGTTTCTTGGCTTCTTGTTGGTCCATAATATAGAAGAAAAAAAAGGGAAAAGGTAAAAAAAAAAAAAAATTTATAGGTGACTTTGTTTATGTGTGTTGCACAGAAAGTCTATTATGCTTCTTCTGTGCAATAAAGGATATACTGTTCAAGAAAAAGTTGGTGCTGCTTCACACTACATTATTGTGGCAGTACATACTTGTTGTCTGCTGATTCATTCAAGGGAATGGACCCAAGTGTAGAGCGAACGAGGCAAGGTCATGCATACATGAGTTGGATACCCACATTTTGACAGTAGATTTTGAAAAAAAATAATTATTAAATAAAACACTTGTTTCAACTTGCTCAAAACACCCTTTTTTTCTGAATCTTGATGTGCTAACAAAAGCTGTAGATATTCTTCAAATGATGTAAAAATAGAATATACTTTATGAATAAGACTTTGAGATAAAAGAAGATCAAGTTAGATGACCATAAAGTGCCATGGTTGTCGCAAAATCATACAAGAAGAAATTTAAGTTTATTAAACACAACCTTGTACACTTTATTTACACCTCTAAATATACCAATGTCTTTATTTTTCGAGGAGTAAGGCTCGAAAAAAAAAAAAAAAGTTATTTGCGGACTCTGAACTGCGTTTTCCTGAATGAAACCCCTTTCAATATTTGGCTAATTTTCTCCATGCCTTAAAAAACGGCTTTCAAGGTGCTATATCCGTTAGCATAATACAGGTTACATATGCTACGGGTTCCTAGTAACAATAGAAGTCATTAAGCCCTACTATCTTTATTACAAGGAGTATGCTCATTAATATCTTTATTGCCTCCAAGCTCAACTAAATAACCTCAAACTTTGGGCTCTCAAATACTAACCTCGATGTAACCTATGCCAATGCACCTTGTTGTTGCGTTCAACAGAAAACGCAAGACAAGACTTGAGTATAGGGATCATATTAGTATCTCATCATCATGCATATTTCTTTCTTTGTATTACGTTTAACCAAGAAATCCATATTCTTTATCATACTAGACTCGCTCTTGTGCTACAGCAAAATGGAAGGAAGGATAGACATGTTGTTCAGGAAAGGAAAAAACATACTCCTTATGGTACGAAAATGAATTATCTTGGTTCATTTAATATACATATCCAAGAAAAAATAGGGTCTCTTTTTATTTACTTATTTACTTATATATTATGGTTTCCTTAATAACAGCAACATGTTCCAGAAACTTGCATAAGACTCCCTTTTATTATTAGTATTATTATTATTAGTATTATTATTATTTTTATTGTTTTTTAATGAGTTCATGCAAAAGTGGGTGAATCACAGGTAATTTGACTGTACTGCCTGATTGTCGCTTGGATTCTACAGCTTCCATTCGTTGTTTAAACTGGTAATAAAGGATTTCGGCTCTTTGTAATGTTTCTTGTAAATCAATCGTCATGGATAGATCATTTGTATATTTAAGTATTTCATCAAAGTTTTTCAAGTACTCCATCATCACGTCTCGATGCTACTTGTATGAATACGTTTCCTTATCTATATTTCTTTCTTTTACCTGGTCCAAAATAGACAATGCAACAAAAAGATGAAATTTATCTGTCAAGTAATCTGTCCATAACACCTCCCATAAAACCAACATGTCTTTCCAAGTAAATTCACGCTTGAACCAAACCAATAGCCATCGAAAACAGAAAAAGAAGTTACCACTGTCTGTACGTTCAAAATGCTTATATAAAGAAGGATCCATGAATTGTAACAAGAGGTCCATGGTCAATAACTGTTGATGCATGCCTGATTGATCTGTATAGAAATTGGACTTCTATCCATGTCATGAATTATTCTATCCTATTGAATTTACATACCATACGCTCCATAAAGCCAACAAAGGCCCAAAAGGCAAGTGCTTCGTCTTCAATCACAGCATATAAAGGCGACAATAAATCAGACATACCTTGAACATATCCTAATTCTGTATTGAATACATTATAAGTGCATAAAATATGCTTGAGTGTTTCCAGGTGATGGTTGGAGCCAGACTGCATATTGGGAGTATCCAAGTCTTGATTCATATAAATATCGACAGTACGATCTGTACGATGCACATCTTTATCTATTCTATGCTTTTGGTCTTGCCATTCTGATGTCTCTCTGAGGGAAGCATTGTTGAACCACTGATGCTTTAGATCCAGATAGTGTTTACTATCGACATGGTCAGAACGAATTCCATATCTCTTTTCTCCTCACCTTTTTTCTTGATCAATACGTTGACGCTCTTGTGTATCAGAGTCCCACGCATAGACACCTGTCAAAAACAACCAAGCCTGTTTTCGAATACGCATATCCAAACCTCCAGAAAAGATATGCTTCTTGACTATCTCAAGATCTACCAAGAGTCGACCCTTTTGATCAAAATAAGAATGCCATTCTGCACTTGTTACTGGTGTTGTCCTTGTATGGGTAGGGATAGAGACATCATTTTCAGACTGAGTAAGGGCATGAATACCATACAAATTACCTGTAGACTTACATTGAGTATTTCAAAAACACCTAATGCAGTATCTTCTTCCCATCCATCATGTCCCCATACACCAACATGACGATACTTTTGATCTTTGGGTACTGTATGACTTGATTGAGCAGCTAAACCAGCCGCCCATTTGGCTAAAAAGATACGTGCTGAATCATAATCGTCCACTGTTTGTTTGACTGTTTCGTTCTGGTGACACATCTCTTGAACATGGGTAGGGAACAAAGGAACTAAAGGACGTGTAGCTGGTTTACTTAACAAGTTGACTGCAGTGTCTCTTGAAAACTTGGTGACTCGTGACAACTTTTCTAAAATGTTCCAACGTGCTTCTTTTAATGTCTAAGGAGAGGATACTATGAGCGATAAAGTGTAAAGAGAAAGGATTACTTGCAGCAACAAAAGGATCCATTTGAGTTGCTGCGAATAAAGCAGGTGATGTATTGCCATGACCCACAAGATATAAATAGTCTGTCTCGGAGCTAGAGCAACTTAATTATCAAAAGAGAGAACAGTGTTGACTTACGCGTGTACAGGCACAAGTTGACCTAATCGATCGATAAACTCATCCCCTCCCCAACGTACTTGCTGTGTATTGCCTACAAATTTACCACCCTGCGTGTTCTTTTGAAGCATAGTACTCTTGCTTTCATCATCATGAAACCAAAAGGGACCAGCACTCGGTCCCTCTTTAAAGTTGATTACAATATGGCCATACCATCGAGAAAAAGAAGGTGCTTGAACAAGTAGAGAATGAATCGTGTCTACAGGAGCAGATAGAGCATACAATGTATGTTCTTCTGGTAAAACAATAGAAGCTAGAGATATAGCATTAAGCATGAAAATCAACTCAGTCAGGACTCACATTGAATTTCATTCTTATCGTCTGGATGAATATCCACTTGAACAAAGGCCTCTTTGTCTTTGGAGGGAATGACTGTCTCAGGTGTCCAAGCAACTAGGTATTGATGCTCTGACTAAAAGAAAAGAAAAAAAAAAAAGAGAGAGATATCAGCCCTATTACCTTATATCTTTACTTACGTTCTCAACAATAGATAAATAACCTGCAATAAAACCAGCAGGGTTTTGAGAAGGGTGAATATATACTTTGGATTTTGAATATAATAGTTTAACAGCTTCTTTCTTGTTTCCTGTTTTATAAGCAATACGAGGATCTTGAATGATCTATTGTCTTTGGTCAATCTAGAGCCAGACAAGTCAACTTACATCAAACGTGTCTTCCATGACTTGTGTGAAAAAAAAAAAAAAAAAAAAAAAGTGAAAAAGGGCTTCCCTTATTTAGAATCTCAACACAAATTTTGTCAGTGCACAGTGTAACTCTTAAAGAAGGAAATAATTCAGCATGAATGAATAAGGGAAAGAGAAATCTCAGTGCGCATGAATTCGAATTGCATAAATCTATTTTTATTAGAATGGTAATTGTCATTTATAAATCTCCTTTTCTAATTATAGGATTATCATTGTTATACATAGGAGCAAACAGAAGTTTCCCCTCTTACAAATTTGATTGTTATTAAGAACAGAGAAAGAGAAAGAGAGGAGGATTGTATAAGGGGGAATTCTTATTTCGATCGATTATAGAGAATGCTGATCTACACAATAGATGTTGTCATCTTGTTAGATTCTTTACTACAATGTTTGTGTTAGGAGCAACATTCCTATATAATCAATGCTGTCTCCTATCTTCAGGAAACAGTGTTTAATATTAATACAATTTCAACCCCCTTTCTTTTATTTTGCATATAAATAGTCGGGTTATTTTGTTTTTCTTTCTACTTCTTTTTTCTGTGTTTCTTTTTATTCTATTTTAATATGGCATACCAACATCAAATCAGTTACATTAATAACCCTGTCAAAGAGCCACCAACAACGACTGCATCTGCTTATTTATCACAATACCAATTCCATCCTGCTTTCCTTGCAAACTATATCATTGGCGAAGAATTAGGATCAGGAGGATACGGCTTTGTTGTGTCTGCTACTGAAAAGAGAACTGGGATTGAGAGAGCAGTCAAGTTCATCTTTCGCAACAAGATCCCTCGCCATAGTTGGGTCAAAGACAGAGAACTCGGCCCTGTGCCTATGGAGATCTATGTACTTAAAAATGTACATCATCCTAATGTGATTGGTTATGTGGACTCATACCAAGACAATCAATTCTGCTATCTGGTGATGGAATTACATGGTACTCAATGGTCACAAACATCCAGCTTCTTCAACAACGACATCCCACAATCACCTGCTTTATCTGAGGACTCATTTGATAGCAGTTCAACCAGTTCTTATTGTTCTATTGACTCACCTGTGGACGAATACCCTTCTTTCTTTGATAAACCACAAACAATCAAAAGAAGAACTTCTTGTGACCTATTTGAATGCATTGAGCGCCATAATTACTTTGAAGAACCCATTGCTAAAATGATTTTCCGTCAGATTGTATCCTGTGTAGCTCATTTGGATTTGATGGGCATCTGTCACCGTGATATCAAGGATGAGAACATTGTGATTGATGATCAATTTCAGGTAAAATATTTTTAGCCAGTTGTTGAATGGTATACTCATTAATAGAATAGGTTAAAATGATTGATTTTGGTTCTGCTGTCTTATTACCTCGTCATTTTGGTGATAACAAGACTTATCTTTTCAACCAATTCTACGGCACAGTCAGCTTTGCATCACCTGAGATTTTGATGGGTAGATCTTATCGAGCTGAACCTGCAGAAATCTGGTCTTTGGGTGTTTTGTTGTATACCATCTTGTTTGGTGAAGTTCCTTTCCATGATTCGAATATGGCAATTGCTGGTCAATTTGTGCATCCCAAAATCAAGGTATCTCACAGCTGCTATCACCTTATCTCAAGCATGTTGAATCGTTCTCCCGAAAAAAGACCCACCATTCATCAGGTATTAGCACACCCTTGGTTTTCCGAGTTTTAATTATTGAATTCTTTATTGTTTGGGCTCCCTTTTTTTTTTTTATTATTTATACATTTTTCCCTAACTAATTTATATACCTCTTTTTATATCTTCTACATTTTTACTGAACCAATCTATATACAACCACATCAATTTTTTATTTACACAAAATTACTTGCATGATTCACTTTTTCTTATACACTCTATAATTCTAAGCACACAAAAAAAACACACACACACACACAAAATTACTTTCTATTTTCATTTTTATAACTGAAAATAATTATGCCCTTTCTCCTCTTTTTTCTCTTTTTATGAACCACATCCATACACTTTATTTTTTAATTTCAATTTTTGTACATAAATCATTCATATTTTTGTTTGCTAATATCCAAATAAAAACAAAAAAAAATTCATTTTACATATATATAAAAACAGAGAATGCAGAATCAGGGATTTCATAGAACAATCAACTTTTTCTTTCTCCTGTTTTTCTTTTATGCAAACCTAAACTATCGAGTTGCATATTTTAAATAGTTTGCACAGACTTAATAAAGTCACAGATCAAATGCAAAGATGTGATATAGGAAGGTAAATCAGGATAGTCATCGACTAAATAACCATGAATGACACCCATCATACGTATGCCTACTGTATCTACACCTGCAGTCAAGAGTTGAGCAGCATACGCTTCACCTTCATCACGAAGAATATCTGCCTCACATGTCAATATCAGTGCAGTAGGTAAGCCTTTTAATTGATCTGCAGTGGCCAATAAAGGTGCAGCATAGGGTGTGGTCACAGGCTGTGGAAAATAAAACTTGTGTAGCAAATCAAGGTGATGCTTGCCTAAGCCATAAGCACCATCACTAAATAATGCATGGGATGGATACATGCCCACTTGAGGACTTAGGACAGGGTACAATAAGACTTGTGCCTGAATGGCATGTGGTAAACCTCGATCCTTTGCCATGACTAAATAATAAGTCATTGACTTTGTATTGTTTATGCTTACTTGGTAAGGCAGCAGCCATATTACCACCTGCAGAATCACCTGTAACCACCAATCGATCAGAGTTTAAATGAATCGAACGCCCATATTGAAGAATCCAACTAACAACTGAGAAACATTCTTCAAGGGCTATAGGAAACTTGACTTCTGGACTCAATGAATATTCCACAAACACAACAGCTGAGTGAGATGTGATACACAACTAAACCAAACATTCAATGGTGCACTTTCATGTCAAGTCTACTTACATCAATCGCCAGTTTAGAATACGAGTTTGTATTACCCATTAACCATCCACCGCCTACCCTAATTGTTAAAACACATGACATAGTTTGCTTTGTATACCATGGATTAAAAGAGTCACAGGTAACACTTGTTCTTCTGTGCCTAGGGGTCTAAAAATAGTGGTATTCATCTTATCCATCTGTTGTTTAGAGCGCAAAACATCTTTTAATTTAGTCTTGACAAAGGGCTTATCATTTTGAGCACGTAAACCAATAATAAACTTGCGTTGTTCCTCAAGGGATTTAGTGACATTCTTTTCAAATAATGGATAGATATACTCTTTGCTATATGAGCAAGCTTCTTGATAAACAGGATGAATACGAGGTCTTTCTGATAAAGGAGGCATGATGAGAAAAAAGACAAAAAAAAAGGGCTTTGTTTATCAACTTTATGAAACAAAAAGCTTCTTGTACAACTACACTTGTTTATACAATAGTTTATTAGTCGTTTGATCTGGGCATAACGAAACCACCTATTTTAGAATGCAATCGATGGAATGGACTATCTCCATGTTCATTGTTTCCTAAATGGAAATGATCATGACTTCCATTATTACCAAAGAAATGCTGTTGTTGTGGTTGTTGTTGAGATAAATCATTCAGAATTTGCCGCTTTTTTTGATGAGATAAATGATATCCTGCTTGACCAAACAATAACTTGGGCACGTCCACTAGATAACCCATAGTTCCCTTCACGCCCACTTCCTTTTCTGCCTGAATCCAGAAATTGATTTTGCCTGTCTGTTCATCATAATAACCAGCACAATAATTTCGCATACCCATCAGCTTTTTGTTCTGTCGATTGTTTCCGTTAGGTGACTTCTTAAACAAGTTGTACATGCGTTCTTCTGTATTGCCATTGAAGGTGACATAGCTCGAATTTTGGTTCAGAACAGTCAAGAGCGCTTGAGGAGGAGGTACATTGACAATAGCACTCGAGATGATCTGGACCATAAAGAACGGATCGCCTTCTTCTTTTTCCTTCATGTCTTTGGAATACATTTTACCTGCACCACAGCAGTGTACATCGCCACCTAGGAATGAAACACGTACTGAGTGTTCACGTGCGTATTGCTGCAGACGCTCAATAAAATTCTTGCGCTCTACTTCATGGTTTCCTGCTGTCCAGTGGTCGTTCATGTCATCCAGCAGTTCAGGATCACCGTTCCAGACGTTGAGTTGACCACTGATTATGTCGCCAAGAGCACCTGTCTTGCCTGCAATGGTGGCTAAGTTAAAACCAGCGGCACCATCCATCAAATTTTCAAACAATGTCAAACGAGGATAGATCAATGGGACACCTGTTAGAATAAACAAGTGCTTGATCGTAGGTGGCATCTCTGTCTGCAAATGAGCAAACAGACTATCATAAGTAGATCCTTTACAAATATCGTGTTTGGTACGTTCACCACGACAATCCAAAGCAACAAAACCAATGTCTGGTCCAAGAGTCGAAATAATAGAATTACAAGTTTCAAGGGTACCTCTAAATAAACCATGTTGAGGAGCTAATTCAACTGTTGTATGATGCTGGAACAAGTAATAAAATCTAGAAGCATTTGCAAACAAGACTAACATGATGTTAATAAGCCTTTTTTTTGTTTTGTTTTTTTTACTTTACCTTGGAAACATTCAGCTCGTTGCATATCAGCAGGATAAGAACCATAACCATCAATGATGTCCTATAAAAATGAGTAAAAGACAGAGAAACAGATAATTGACTTACATGATCATCCCACATATTCATAGAAGGAATTGTAGCAAAAGCCTTTGCCACCACTGGGTTTTCCTTGAACCTGAGAAATATATATATATAAGAAATGACATAACAATCGAGTTGAACACAAACCCGAAATTCTTGCAATAGTTCCAGAAAAAAAAATCTTCAAACCCATCTTTCATTGAATCAGACAACTTCATGGCCAAGCGCTTAGCAGGATCCTTTTCATTCACCCAAGGCTTCATGAACTCTTCTTTAATAAGACGATCTTGATACAATTGATCGCCACCGCCCAACAAGACATGGAAAGGCATGATTTCATGACGATCCAGTACATCTTGCCATAATGGAGCTGTCTTTTCACCAAACTTATCCTTGACTTCTTGAGGAATATCAGAAAATCCATTGCAACTATAGAACATGAAACGCATGGATTCATAAAACGAAGGCAAATGCATTTGGAAAGAGCGCTCTGCCCAGTTATTCAAGCTAGTTTTGTAAGTAGCAATTTGAGGACCGTCAATCAGCAATAGACGGACTTCATATCGCCAAAAATGATATTTGTGACGATACGTGTCGAGCTTTTCAGCTTGCAATTGATGAGTAGCAGTAACACGGTTTGAAATAGGATCTGTAAGCTGGATTTCAATAGGAGGAGGATGATGGTCATTTGAGACGACCAGGATCGAACCACGCCAGATACGTGTGTTATAGTTGATGTTGATATAGCGTAGTAAAGGGCCACATACCACTTCGCCAGGTTGGTTGTCCTGGTGATGGAGATGAGACTGGAAGTTATTCCAACGTTCACCAATATTTAGTTGACTGAAACTCTCGCTAAAGCCAGAAAAAGGGCCATGGGATTGTTGTTGTGGAGGAGACTGGCCGTAGCCTTGTGGAGGTGGAGGACAATTTTGCATTTATTTTAGGAAATGAATAAGAAAAAAAAAGGAAAGAGAGAAGGAGAGAAAAACAAGCTAGTTTTTTTTTTTGTGTACTGTGCAACCACAATCCATTAACGAGCAAGATTCTCTCGGTAATTTTTCACTTCTAATTTACTAAAAAAAAAAAAGCCTTGCACTATCATTTGAGCCTCATCACGTATTCATCATCGTGGCTGAGGCCTGATGACCTCATAAGGTTACATATCCTATTAAGTTACAGTGTTTCCAAGTAATGTCGCAAACGTTGAAAAATTATAGCGCAAAATATACAAAATGTGACATCTTGACGCGACAACAATTTCTGGATGATACAAAATTTGATTCCACTTGAAACAAAAAACAATTTGATATATATAAAAAAAAGGCTTTATTTAAAATAGAATAAGAGAACAAGTGAATTGACCTATAATAGAAAAGAGTTAGATCTTGTATATAAGACATAGAAACAAATGTCAAGATTGAGAGAAATGAGTCATATAGGAGCGAAAGAACTCTTGAGTCAACACTCATGGGGTAGTAAGTCCCATGTCTGTTGAACTATGCCATAGAAGCTGTCTAATCATTCTTATCTCTCTTTTTTCTTGACATAGAAATACGCATTTTACAAGAAGAGAGCTTCTTGATCATACGTATATATAAAAAGAAAACTGTATATTTACCCTTTTTAACTATTATAAAGTAAAGAGAGAAGAAATGGAATTGAAAAAGGACACATTACACGTTTTTATATCTTTGACAAGAAAAAAAAAATTTATTCAAGTCAATCATAGTCACAGTGTTACTGGTTTTTCTTGAAAGGTTTGTACTCAGCTTCCAGAAATAGATTTCATTGATGATGTGAAAGGAACAGAATTTCTTCCAGAACGATTAATACTCGTATTGTGGATTTATTTCAAATTTGGTAAATACAATATGGAGAAGGGGTATGGATTATGCATTTTTTGTTATAAGGAGTTGCTTGAGAGAAAAAAAAAAGATTTTAAATGACTGTACTCCCCCCCTCCTTCTAAAAATCATCAAAGGATTTTAGTTAAGGGCCATTATGGTAATAAAAAAGTGTGTTCATAGAAAGAGGTCAACAAAATAAAATGTCTTCGCCATTAAGGCCGAGATATCAAAAATACTTTTTGCCTATGACATTTTCTTTGTTACTTTCTGAGAAGCTAGACAAATTAATGAGCGAGATGATTGGAAGAAAACCCATAATTTGAAAAAAAAAAACAACTTGGTTGGTTTAATTTCATACACCTCCTTTAGAGTATTAAATAAAGATATAGGCTTATTTATTGCTCGATATTATTATAATGAGGAGAAGCAAATTCATATATTGAGATTGCATCAAGCTTGCTGTAGCTCTCCCTTGTTGTGATGTGGTAAGTTTCCCAACTCCTGTAGAACAATCAAGTATTACTGTTGATTCTCTTGGCTCAATTCATGCACGCATGTATATGTTGATTCCATTACAAGTAAGGACCAAAAACTTGATGTAGTTGCGGCGGGAGAAAGATCAAGTGATTTTGATAAAGCATGCTTGATGTTGAAAAGAGAAATATCGAGCTCGCTTTTGTTCTTTAAAATACTCCTTCGTCTTGTGAAACATACTTAACTAAAGATGCGTAAAATAAACTTTAGCTCATTACTGTCTTTGTTCACAATATTATTGAGAAGCAAGATATAATCCGATTTTACGGTTTCCTCTAGTTTAGTCTACTAATATCTTGAATCCTTGGTTTCAATACACCTTCTATAAAAGATATGATTGGTCTTGTGCGTTTTTAGAAAATGATTGTTAACAAGACTTTTATGTGCTTTAGCAGACAAAAATTTTTCAATGATATGTGATAATAGTCTAGCTCTTATCAAAAGTGTTTGTTTTGAAACGCTTTATACGAATTGGAAAAAAATTAACATTTGGACTTTGAAGCTATTTTATGTTCATGGTAGTTGAGCCCTAATTGTCCTGCATTAATTTCCTTATGTAAACAAAAACTTTTATAATCAACCGACCTTTTCGTCATCATCATCATTATTTCTCTCTTTTTTGCGTTAGCAGAAAAAGGGTAATTTTAACAAACAAACACCTACTTAAGATTTATAATACGCAGATCAAACAATAACCTTATTTATTTCTTTGTTACAACCGATGGTTTAAACATGAAACATTCAAACTCTTTTTTTATTGTAAAGTTCAGAAGACAAAGAAAAATAAGATTATATACAAAATAAATGACGATAGATAAAAAAAAAAAGAAAACGAATGAATGAATGGTACAAAAAGCAAATTAGAAGATCCACTTTTTAGTCTTGTTAGCCTTGCTAGCCTTGCCAGCCTTTTTATTGAGATCTTGTTGTTGTTGCTTTTGAAATTCTTCAGTGACCGAAAAGTAATCTGATGAACAAGGAGTGAGTGAAATTTCAGATTTGCTGTCTTTTGAATCATCTTCAAGTGTGCTATCATCACTATCCACGTATTCAAAGTCTGGTAATGCTGCCGGCTTTTCTTGCTTGTGGTTCAAGCTAGAAGGCATTGAGAGATATTTTACAATTCCATAAGACGGAGCCTTTTTCTGTGGTGGCGAATAACTAGCATTCTATTTTTCAATGCATGAGTTAAGATATATTTGAAGGCATTCAATACTTACTGTTACAGTTCTCGATGAAGAAACACTATGGCTACTTTGTATTGAAGCCAAATCACTCTTTATAGGACCTACTTTTGCATTACTGTTGGCCATTCTCTTTTTATTCAATCCTATAAGAAAATAGATCAGATCACAAGCAAACATTTGGAAATTATGTCTTTACTCTTTTCTTGTGATGGTGAAAAGTCAATATTGAGTTTGTTCAACAATGAGCTGATAAGACTCATATCCGTTATATGATGCATTACCGCTTTTTTTGGAGGCTCATTATCATCATCTGCTATGTTTCGAATAATGACTGTTGTATGAGAAGGGACATCAATCACCACCACTTTCTTCAAAGAGTTCGATACGGACGGAATCACGGTTGGTCTCGAGCTTGTCTTGACATTAGGCAAACGCTGTTTTGTGTTCTTGTGTTTTCTATTTTTTAAATCAAGCAAACCAATCTCATCGTCTGTGCTTCCGTAATTGCTATTGCTCTTGTTGTTTTCTTTGGTATAAGAAAGCACGGGTTCGGAAACAGCTGGTTTTGCATTGAAATGATAAGGAGCTTCTTCGGCCGGAGTTGAATGAGAGAGCAATTTGTTGATCCATGCCTTTGTCTTGGAGGCATTAGGTGGCGGCATGCCCTTTGAATAATACTCTCTCGGCAGCTGTAAAGGAGCGGGTGGGGCGGGCAAAGGTGGAGAAGTGGACGACCACGACGGATATTGATAATGATCTACTAAATCACCTTTTTGAAGCTGATGATGATAGACAGGGACTTGTTGTCTGTTTCTATGATGATATTGGCTACTGTTGGTGTTACTACGTGGAAAAGGATTTTCCCAATGTTGTGGTCGATGTTTTCGCTGTCTCGTTGCTCGCATTAGATCTTCCAAGGCCTCGTCTTGACGGCTGATTGCCCTGGAATAATCACATGGCTGGTAATAGTTGTACATATACTCTAAATCGAATTGTGTATGTATATATATCTCTCTTTTTTTAAACTAGTTTAGAAAAAGGGGTGAAAAAGAGAAATTAAATTTATTTTACTTTAGCATCAGGTTACAACTATTAATAATTCGACCAAAACTCAAATTAGAAGAAATAAATAAATTTCCTACAAAACTTATTAATTATTACGGTTTAAATATCCAGCGAGTGGGCTCTTTTCTCTTCTTCTTGGTCTGTCACGGCTGCCAATCAGAGGAGACTTTATGGTTGGCTTGGTATCACTATCAGAAAAATGGGAATTTCGTCTGCCGTCATTCTGATTGCTTAGCATGTCTTGAAAGCTTAAATTGCGACCAATTTCTTCTTCATGATTGTTTACATCGTCCTCATTATTATGACGTTTATATCTCATCTGTGAAACTGTCGAATGATGCTTTTGTATTGAAACAACAAATTTAGTAAAAGAAAAGTGTAAATATTGTTTCTCTTTACCTGATGTAGTCCATTGCCTCGACTGTTTGTGACCATGGGAGACTCGTCTATAGCTGCCAGTGTTCGAAGTTTGGTTATTTGTTCCATCAGTGGTTCAAGTTCTCTAGCCAGTTTACTAGCGCCTTCTTGACGTGTTTTATGTATATCAGCATTGACTCGTTCATATTCTGATTTAAGAGACGCTAGTTTGGCTTGATATTGGTCCACTTGTCGTTCTAATTCTTTGCTCATTTGTCGCATGTCGCTCACTGCTTTCTCTAGTTGTTCTTTTTCACCTCCCAACTTGTCAATTTCTACCTTGAGTACTTGATTGGCACCTGACAGCTTTCCATACAATGCAATTTCTTTTTGCTGATCGTTGCCGTCCGACAATGTGGTTGATGCATGTCCTAAAGCTTGAAGCACTAGTCTCTCTAGCATTTCATACATCACACCAGTAAATTCGTGCAAGTCAGAGTGCATCTTTTCCATGGACTTTTCGAAATAGCTACGGGCACTGTCTTGATAGCGTTCCATTTTTTTCTCGATCAGTTGCTTCTCTTGATTGTTTTGTTCTTGAAGATTAAGGATTTCTTCCAATTGGGTCTTGGAAGCGCCTTTAACTGCTCGTCGAATGGTCTCTTCCATGCCGTTAGGATTGTCGCCATAGCGGTTCAAGATACGTAGCGATCTTTCCATAAAGCGTTCTGTATTCTTGACAAATTGGTATAATTGTGATAATTTATCATCTTCTGACAGATTGGCTATACTGTGGAATGACATGGTATCTTGTTGTGGCATAGGTATATCGTGAAGTAAAGAAAGGCGTTCTTCAGTAGAATTGAGGCGATCGACCACATCTTCCAGTTGTTGAGACAAAGCGGATAAATCAGGAATTGAGCTTTCTTGAATATCATTCGAGATCAATTGCAAGTAGTTTCCAATGATTTTGATGTTTTTACCTTGTTCTTCTTGACACTGTTTTTGGTTTTGAGTGATTTCGGCCATAACTTTGTCTAGTGTCTTGATAATGTCTTCGTGTAAACGGTTGATATTCGTAGGTACAGAAGGCAGAGTGCGGTTTTGTCGAAGGCTGTTTTCAATCTTTGTTAATGTTGAGGATTGAATCTCTCTTGATTCTTCCATCCATTCACTTAGTTGTTCAGTGACCACCTTGACAAGTCCAGATTCTCTGTCCATGGATGGCATTGAATCAGACGTTGGTGTGTTTGGCATGTTTTCACTACTGCTTGAACTGTTATTGTCTGAGAGTGAAGAAGCGAGACGAGTTTGATTGACTTGTACATTTTCAATCATTTCAATCAAGATATCAAACTTTTCAGAAAGTGAGGGTGTTTTCTTGACACTTAGTTCATCATCCTCTTGTTCTTCTTCGTCATCAGAAGAAACGCCTGTAACCTCTTGACGTAAACCAACAAAGTCCTTGCGCAACAATTCAATCATGTGCTTTTGGCTTGACTCCTTAAACTTGTTGTCTTCTTTTTCAGTCTCCAAAAACTTGACAATATCATGTTGTAGTTCATTCCAGCTCATTTTAGCATCATCCAGGCTATCACACAGTTTACCAACGCTCGATTTGATATCTTGAAGAGATCCTTCAGATGAAGAGGACTTGATTTGATCTTTTAAGACTTGAAGGTTAAATTTGACATCAGACATAGTTTCCTTGATAAGATCATGGTTATTTTCGTAGGAACTGTTTCTTGATTGGCTACCGAAATTTCTATATTCTGCTTGATGTTCTAGTTCGTCCACTCGACTTCGCCATTTACGTATCTCCATCTCTAAAGCATCCATCTTGGCCTGCTGTTTTTCGTCTACTACCTTGCTTTTCTCTAGTTCTGTGTATTTGTTTCTCCATTGAGTTGCTTCACGTTCAAAGACTTCACATTTCGTTTCAAGTGCTTGTCTTTGGCGATCCAGCTCTTCTTCTCTATCCTGGAGTTCTTGTTGCAAAAGACGTTCTTTCTTTATAAACTCGGCTTCTCTGTTTTGTAATTCTTGTTGGTAAAATTTGTCCTTCTTGGCTACTTCATCTTTCAGAGCCTGAATTTCTTGCTTCAGTTGTGAATTTTCATCATCCAGGTCTTCAGCGACACTTTGAAGATCACGGTTCATTTGTTCAGAGGTTTGAATACGAGACGTTAATTCGATTTGTGTAGCGATGGATACTTTGCCCATGATAGATGTTAAGGAATCAATCCAGTCTTTACGAGACAACATGTCATCTGTAGCAAGCATCACATCGTCTCTTTTGACTAGCATACGGAATTCCCATTTGATACCTTGCTTGTATTCTTGTGCGCGAGGTGATATTTCAAGTACTTCACTCATGTCATATGTATGAATATGATTTGTACACTAGTATTAAGTCAGTTCATGTCATGACAAAATGAAGTGGATGTTACCTTTACATCTTTATACAAATAAAGGCCACCAGGCCTTACTGCGTTTCCGTGTTTGGCAACTGCATACACAGGCTTCCATTGCTAAATAAAGCAATTAAGTACTCTTTAAAAGGAAATTCAAAACAAACGTACCATTAAACCATTCTTTCTGTACAACCAGCCTTCTTTGACAATCTACAGACACATTGTTGGATGTTGTCTCGATAAAGTTTTTGTTTTTTTTTACATACCTTAAATTCTTGAGAACCAGTAGGTGAGTTATGATAGAAAGTAGGTTGTTGTGCAGACATGATTGATCCACCAGATCCTATTGTGTTGTGAATAAAACAAAACAAAATAAATTAAAACCTTACCTCGATTAATACTAGGGGATTTAGCCCGCATATCTTGAATGATAACCATACGCTCTTCTTCTACATCATTTCTTTCATCTTCTATCTCAATACTATCATCAAACACAACATCTTGATTGTTGTCATTGTACTGTCTTTGCTGTTTGCCTGTTGATTTAGAAGGAATAGGCGAAACAGATCGATAATTTTGACTATTGGTGCTTAAATTACGTGAAATAGGTACTGAGGATATGTCTTGCTGCTGCTGTTGCATAAGCCACTTATGATGTTGTTGAAGTGAAGCAACAGACTGACTAGCCCCTGAAGATAATGGTCTTCTTCCATACGCATTATCGGGTACAGGACTTACAGTGCGTTTCATCATGTTTGTATAGTCAGTACTGCTAGAAGGTGAATTAGGTCTACTACGCCAATCAGGACCATTTGTTCGTACAGCAAGATTAGCTCGAGGTCTGTTATATTTGTCTTTATTGGAGGTATACATTATGTTAAGAAAGAGAAAAGTAAAGTTCATGCCATCACTTTTTTTTATAGGAGCGCTAGTTTCTATATATAGTAGAATAGTAACAACAACAACACATTGCTTTTTATAAAATTTTTAATTTCATTTCTTCAATTATGAATCAGTGGATAAAGAGTCTATTTCGACTGACACACAACAAACTAGACCATATTCCTTCCAACTATGATAAATTAACAAGGCAGCAACTGATAGCCAAGATAATAGCACTTGAAAAACAACAAAAGCATACGACACTTGAGATCAACAAGATCCGAAAAGAAAAGAAACCGTTTGATATTTCACACTATGGACAACGTCGTATCGCACTCAAAGTGGCCTATCTTGGCTGGGAATATTTTGGTTTCGCAAGCCAAAACGACCCACTTGTGTCTACAGTAGAAGACCAGTTGTTTAAAGCATTCGAAACCTGTCGGTTTATTGAAAACAGAGATGGTTGTAATTTTACCAGATGTGGCAGAACTGACAAGGGCGTAAGTGGGTTGGGTCAAGTTATCGCGCTGGATGTCCGTAGTTCGAACAAGAAAGGTGTAGCGCAAGAGCCCATGAGCTACATTGAGAGACTGAATCGAATTTTACCTCAAGATGTTCGTATTTTGGCATGGGCACCCGTCAATTCAACGTTTAATGCTCGATTCGACTGTCAATCTCGTACATATAAATACTTTTTTGAAAAAGGAGACCTGGATATTGACGCCATGCGTCAAGCAGCTAGCTACATGATTGGAAAACATGACTTTCGAAACTTTTGTCGCCTTGATCCCTCCAAAAACATTACAAATTACGAGCGCACGATTCTTTATCTTGATATTCGTCCTATCAGTCATGAACTATACGAAGTCGAATTAAAAGGTACTGCCTTTTTGTGGCATCAAGTAAGATGTATCATGGCTATTTTATTCTTGACCGGGAAGAAATTAGAATCGCCTCATGTAGTTAAAGACTTGCTGGATATAGAAAAGGTACCGGCAAAACCAAATTACGACATGGCAAGCGACTTGCCGCTGTTACTTTATGACTGCGAATTCAAAGATATAGACTGGAGATACGCTAATGAAGAACAAGAAGCAACAAAGAATTATTTGATACCCACACCTGTTAGAACACAGCGCCATTTTCGTGAGCTTTGGTCTTCATCTTTGATTAAAGCACAGTTATACAAGACTTGTCTGGAACAAGTGTCTAATGTTCCTTCAACAGAAAGCCAACAGTTTGTTATTCCGTTAGGAGCAGGCAAAGTCCTTCGAACAGCTCACTACAAGAAATTATTAGACCGCCCTCGGGCAGATTCAGATCAAGTGAAAAAAGAAAAGTATCGACTTAGACAATTACGTAAAGAGTTTATTGATATTAAAAACATTTAAGTTTGTTGTTGGTTTGTTAAAAAGGAGATGCTAAATGGATTTCTATCGTTGTTTTGACTCGACTCTTCTGGTGTTCTACTATCTGTCGATTCTTCTTTGACCTTTTCCAATTTTTTCCTCTTGAGCCAGAAATTACTTAATAGAACATGTGCGCCCCAGAATTCAGAGCACAGTTTGAGAGGCAAGAGATGTTGAGTTGCTTCCTCTAATTGCCTATAGGCTTCTAGCTTGACAGTTGGATCTACCCGACTCCATTTAAGTGTTGAATTAATATGATAAAGTTCTTTCAGATGCGAAATTACAGCTTTTGTCACCAGCACAGCTTCTTTAACCATAGCTTTGTAGTCTAAACCTGTTTCTGATTCTGCGCCTAGTGCTTTCTGTATCAAATCTATATAGAGACTACTTGTAAATTGAAGGCTGTGAATCTTTTTTTCTCCTTTGATTTTGTCGGAAAACAAGGTTGTTTCTTTTGGTGAGGGTCGAGGCATGATGCGATCTATAGGTTTGTACGCAGGGAAAGGCCCTGTTGATGCAGCTTGTAATTCTTGTTTTATGGTATCGGGTTTCTCTTTTTGGTGATTTCCTGCAAGCCGAGTCTTGATATCTTTTATTTCGTCTTTTAGAATGCTTGTGTCTTGAGTCACACGCTGAAGATCCTGGCTTAGTTGAAAAATGCCGCTTAATATTAACTCTAGTTTGTCTTCAATGTCTGTCATGAACAACTGTCTTTTGCGCTTATATCTGTGATAGTCCGTTTCTTTTGCATCCTAAGCCACTGTTAGTCAATTCAAGCAACATCAATTCAAACTACTACTTGTTCTTGCTCTTCTTCAATATGAATGAAATCTTCTATGTTCTCTATTGATTTTACATCTTCGTCCTGTTCTTGACTACTGATTTTATAAGTAAATGTGTTCTTTTCGTACAAGCATATACCTTGATCTTGATCTTGATCGTTTCATGGATTTCGTCATGCAAATGATATAGAATTCACAAGGCTCAGTTAAAGAAAGACGAAAGAAACCTCCTTTTTATAAGGAAGAAGAAAGAAGCAAATGGCATAATTATAGAATTTTCTTTGAAGGACAATAACTAATCTCAACTTGACATTTCGGTGGAAAGATTTATGAATGCCGCTAAAATGTGTAACATACGATGTTTCAAAAGTGTAGAATTTGACAGATTGTTTTAGTTTTTGGACCCTGTGATGTAATCTTTGTATCTTCTTCATTGTTTTATGATTTCTTTTTTTTTCTACATTCTCATTGCTAAAGAAGCTGACAGTATATTACTGGTGTTTATACTTTTTCTTTTCGGCAACAATTGCAATTGCTTCTTTACATAGAATAGCAGTTTTTTTTTTTTTTTTTTAGAACATGTTAAACCCTACCAATCCTAGCAATTTATTTAATGTTCCTGAAACATTTTCCTTTTCTTTTTTTTTTTTTTCAAAGCTCGTGATTATTTGTTGGCATTTATCCATTCCAGCGCTTGTTCAAACCCGAAGCGACCATGTTCAAAATCTTCTTGAGCCTTGAAGACTTCTTTCTGTGTATTCATCGCAAACATGCCATATTGAACCACAGGTTCGCAAAGAGGCTTACCTGCAACCATAATAAAACGTGCATCATCTGATAAGGATTTTACAGAAACATATGTGCCTCCGTTTTGACTTAGGACCAGCATCTGCCTTGTGCCATCTAGTGTTACAACATCGCCAAACTTGACTGACCCTTTCAGTGGATAGATGAAGCCATTGAAATCTGCAGGGATAGCTTGCTCCAATTGTTTGCCTTTCTCTTTGAGTTGAACATCTACAAAGATCATAGGTGTCCGAGTGAGGATTGGACTTGAAGCACCCTGAAAAGAACCTGCCAAGACATTGATATCAATACCCGGTTCGGGTGCAACATGCGTTAGTCTATGCTTTGAAATTTCTTGATATTGAGGATCCATCATTTTATGTCGGTGAGATAAATTGACCCATAACTGAAGTCCGTGTACTTTTTGGCTTGCTGCAAGTTCTGTATGCACAATGCCTTTACCTGCTGTCATCCATTGAAGATCACCAGGGCCTATTAGACCTTGATGTCCCTTAAAATCTCTATGTTGAATCTTGCCTTCCAACAGATAAGTAACTGTCTCAAAACCTCGGTGTGGATGAGGTGGAAATCCTCCTGGCTCTTCAATATAGAATTCGTCAAATAGCAAGAATGGATCTAAATTGCGCAAAGACCGAATCCCGATACTACGATAAACTTTTTTCTATTTAATCACAATCGAGAGGCATTTTGTTTACTTCTAGCTCCATTCCCCTCTATTTTTTCAGTTGGAAAAATATGTTGACTAATGTTTCTTGCAATACGAAAAGACATGGCAAAAAAAAAAAAAAAAAAAAAATGCTAAAATACAAAGTTTAACTTTGAATGATTGGATTTATAGGCGCTGAGTAATTTACATTGACCAATGGTCTATAATTTAAATAAGCATTATGTAAACATTTAGTACACTATTTCCAAAATCAATGTTGAATTTTATAATACAAATTATACATGAATTAACAACTTCAATTTTGGAAATACTGTATATCCCTTAGTAAATACACGGGTCAATCATTATTATTGGAAGCATTACTTTCCCAGTCAACAGGTACATGTTGGCCTTGTTAATGCTCATTCAACATACTAATGGCTTTATTCACACTTTCCTTAATTCTTTCTTCTCTTTCGGTGGTTTGCCAATTTTCTCCTGAATTTTAGGTGTCGATATGGTACTTGCAGTGCTGCTATCCGAATCAGAGTCATGTATAAATGAGTCATCTGGAGTCATGAAATTCAAATTATCTTCATGAATGACTTGGAGAATGGTTTCAATAGTGTCAATGTTCTTCACTATAGTTCTCTGTTGTTATTTTAGCATAAAAATGAGCCTTTTAAAAAGAAAAGCTATACAAGCTGTCTTTACCATTAATGATATGATTACTGATATGAAATCTGCAATAGCTCTAACACTTTTTTCTGAAGCAGACATGCTAACTTCTCTTAAAATTGTATGTACAATGGTGTTGTCGATGATTTTTGTAGTAGTGATTATTAACTTTAACTTGTTGAAGCAACATGAAGTTAATGAAAAGTGCTCTAATGCATTTGAGTATTGAAGTATTGATCTCCAATAAACTAACGATTTTTTTCCGTAGGTTTCTTGGTATCTTTGGTTGATTCTTTTCCTGTAGGCTTGTCTTCACAGATCAAGACATCATTGGTGCCAGTAACGGAAGTATTGCAGAAAATGAAGTCTAGCCTCACATTTGGCTCATCTTCCTTTATCAAACCTAACCCCTTTAGGGATTTTATTATCCTCGAGTGACATTCGGATCTAAAACAAATTATATACATATAATAATAATAATAAAATACCTTTTAGTCATGTATCCCTCTTTTGACGCGAATATGTAATCAAAGAGATCATCGTATACCATTATACGAATCCAATCCTCATTATGTTCATGATTTTCTAAAAGACCATCGTTATACAAATATCATCTAAAAAAAGTGAACGAAAGATTAATAAATGCTTACAACTTCTGCACAGCTTGCTTATATATGAAAGGGCTGAATCTTTGGTAAATGAATCGATATCTTTTACAACAGCATACAGACTCTCCTTGTTCCTGTATTGGGCAATCTTCTTTAAGAGAAAATGTTCTTCCTTTTTCAATAGATACGGTAGATTTGAGCCATAAGTCTTCTTCAAATCTTTGATGTCACTTGCGAACTTTTTTGGTATAAATACTTTTCTTGTCAAATCTAAAACGCCTTCAGTGCCACTAAATAAAAGTTTGTTAGTTTTGACTTAGTTAATTGATGTTATACTAGTACTACAATTCCGTCAGCTTTTTTTTTTAGCTGTTCTGCTCTACTAAGTACTTTAAACTCTTTCTTGTGTAAAGCTTTTCTTTTCTTCGGCCTACAATAATCATTTTTGAAACAAAAATGGCACACGTTTTGGCTGAGAACATGTCGCACAAAAAATTCCTCAATTACATTTTGAAAAAGCACATTTTGGGTATTAAGGATATAGTTGTGTTAATTCAAGTTGGAAAAGAATGTCAATTCAAATATTATCTCATTTTCTGAGGAAATAGAAAAGCTTTGTGTTTGATATCCCCAGAAATATGGTTGAAGAAATGCCCAGACAGAATAATCATAGATCTATACAACAGTTCAATGGTTTTGTTCCATTGCAATTTAATATTTCAGCTAATAAAAGCACCCCTTTTACTAATCGTTCATTTGATAGGCCAGTTAAAAAAAATTTCAGACATACTGGCTTGTGTTAGTCATCAATAGTCTGATTGGATAATATAAGCATAAAAGGTACATATAAATAAACTTTTTTCTGTCTCGATTTTTTCACTTTTCTTTTCTCATTGTCTTCTTACATTAATGAATTCTCTTCGTTCTGCTTTTACTAAAACCGCTCGTGTCAATCCTCGTGTTGCAGCCATTGCATCAGGATCTATCTTGGGCGCTTCTCGAGTTCGTCCTGCTACTATGATCCAACATCGTGGATACGCTTCTACTGATGCCCCTAAAAAGGGTGGATCTGGTGGCCTTTTATTCCTCAGTAAGTTTTTTTCTTTTTTCCATTTCGTGCTTGAAATGCTTATTATTGAGTAGCTTTGGCTTCTCTCGGCGGTGTTGCTGGTTATTATTACAACTCTGCTCAATCCATTCAAACACAAACTTTGACTAATGAAAAGGAAAACAAGAACATTGATTACCAACAAGTTTATAACGATATTGCAGAATTACTTGATGAGAACTCAGAGTAAGTCATTCAAACATTTTTCACAACTTATTCACGATTGGTATTAGCTATGATGACGGTTCTTATGGTCCTGTCCTTGTTCGTCTTGCCTGGCACGCTTCTGGTACTTATGATAAAGAAACAAAGACCGGTGGTAGTAATGGTGCAACCATGCGTATGTTACAAATGATTTCAGTGTGAATTACTAAAAAAAAAAATAGGTTTCAAGCCTGAGTCCTTGCATGCTGCCAACAACGGTTTAGATATTGCTCGTACCATTTTAGAAAAGATTCATGTCAAATACCCTGAGATTAGTTATGGTGATCTTTGGACATTGGCTGGTGTTTGTGCTATTCAAGAACTGGTACGCATTTGAAACTATTATGATAAATGCTCATCTATTGTTTTAGGGTGGTCCTACCATTTCTTGGAGACCTGGTCGTCAAGATGCTTTAGAAGACGCTAAGCCTTGTACTCCTGATGGCCGCCTTCCTGATGCTACTAAGAAGCAAGACCACATTCGTGATATTTTCTATAGAATGGTAAGTGTTACACAAAGTACGAGTGAATCTCGGATTCTCACACACACATACACACATAGGGTTTTGATGATCAAGAAATTGTTGCTTTGACTGGTGGCCATGCCCTTGGCCGTTGCCATCCTGAACGTAGCGGATTTGAAGGCCCTTGGCAAGAAGCTCCTACTGTTTTTTCAAACGAATATTACAAGGCTATTTCTACTCGTACTTGGGTCAAGAAGGAGTTGCCTCATGGTGGTTGGCAATGGGTTGATAAGAATAACACAGATGTTATGATGTTGCCTGCTGAAATTTCCATGTATAACGATAAGGAATTCAAGAAATATTTTGATCTCTATGCAAAGGACGAAGACAAGTTCTTCAAAGATTTCGCTGCAGCTTTCAAAAAGCTTGTGGAATTAGGTGTTCCTTTTAAGGGCAATGAAAAAGTGTATGAATTCAAGCGTACTACCGATTAAGAACACTAGAATCCTGTATATTTTATTTATTACTGTTTCAATGTACAATAAAAAGGCTACTTTCTTTATCTTGTGAATGTTTTTTGTAAAAAGGCTCTTGTCATCTCAGCTAAACTTTTTTGGCCTTCCTCGGTCTTCTTATTTCGATCTTTTGGTGCCAAGTTCATCATCATTGTGTTTGTGTTGTTGTTTGTCATACTGAAATTATTGGGCACCATGGCTTCGTTTGGCATCATGTTGAGTCTTAACATGGCTTCATACGCGCTCCATCTCTCTTGAGTAAATCGCCAAAAGCAGAAAGCAAAATGAACCTAAATTTAGGTAAATGTTTATCATCTGACCAATGCTTACATAAAGTGTGAATAAAATGACATATAAAACACAAGCGAATTTGACTTCATCTTCCCATAATCGAGTGCAATTATATAAATTAGAAGTAGGGCTTTTTGATGCAAATGTCAATTGGGTATCTTGATTGAATGTACTATTGTAAGGCATGTGCGTAAACAAATAATAAGTTGTATCCTGTCGAGATTGTCCAATACACCAGTCTTTGAATTGTTCTTTTTGAACACCAAACAGTACAATATTAGCAAAGAAATCCGATAAGAAAAAAATGACCATAATCCACGTCAATCGATGTGACCTTCTTAATTGCCATGGTCTTGCCTATCCTATTTTTCAAACTCTTTTTCATGAGTTTGCCTCTACTTACCAAAGAAAACGAATAGAGAGATATTAAAGCTGAGATAAAAAACAAAAGACAGATGACTCCTTGTATAATCAATGCCGCATTGTTCAGGTAAGAAAAGACCGCTATAATGCAAGATTTAATATTTAAAAAGTTAATTATGCATATGAGCTTACGACTTCTCTTTTGAAATGCGAGTACGCATGTATACATATTGATTACCTATAATGACTTGAATAAAAAACTTCTATAAATACTCAAATACTTTACGAGCCATATAAAACACACAAAAGGGCCACCATAAGACATATCAAGGAAGCCACATATTTGAAACCTTCGTCGAACTGGCAAAACAGTTTGATTTGGGTATATTTCTTGCATAAGACAAAAATAAGAAATAGAGAGAGAGAAAGAGAGAGAAAGAGAGAGAAAACAAATATACAAATAAGCTCATGTTGTAAACAAGGCAATTTCCTGATTTAGTCGAACGAAAAAACATATTAGTTTATTATTATTATACAGCAATAAATTATATACAACATAGAATTAGTGCTTTGTTGCTGGATCCTTCTTCTCTAATAAATCAGCAGTACTTGAGGAAGCTTCGTTTGTATTAGAGAATGGTGTAGTAATTGAATTTTCAACTGTCTCTTCATTCTTAGGTGTAGATGAGGATGTTTCTCTATCAATAAAAGGGTTTTTGGAGTTAAGTGGAGGAGAAGGGGGAGAAGAAGCAGGGAGAATAGGTGGTGGTATAATCGTAGAATGCTGTGAATGATTTGCTTCTCCTAAAGGCTGTTCTTGTGTATGAGAAAGACCAGGCGTCATATCAACTGCGACTGCCGAATTGTCTACATTTGCTTGTTGTTGTTGTTGTTGTTGCTCTCTTTCTCGACGAAGATCAACAGGCAAACAATCCCATTTACAAATAGGACACATGGTTGATTTTTGAGTAAGCCAGGGATCAATACATAGCACACAAAATCCATGACCACAAGGTAAGATTCGAACGTCATTTTTGCCGGGCGCAAAATCCTCTAAACAAATGGCGCAGTTGATATTCTTAATCAAGTCAACAGAATACTTGTCGATTGGCATACTATTAACAATATCCACAGGAAGAGGATCAAGTTGATTATTTCTAGGTTGCATAGGGAAGCCATTGTTGCCACTGTATCCATTGTAACCATTAGCAAGTTCATTTCGCATACGTCGAATCTTCCACCAGCGTATCACAATGACACCTAGCACACAAAATGAGCATCAGACACATAAGCACATGATAAAACTTACCTATCAGAAAGATGGCAGCAAGTGCAATGATGTAAGATAAATAACCTCGGCCTGTAGAGAAGAAGCCATCACCACCAGAATAGCCCCAACTCACTTCTTCCAAATAAGGCGTCAATAGCCAATATTGTCTCATGTCAGGGTTGCTTGCATTGTACATTTGGTTGATTCTTTGAACAAATTGATTGCCATATATATAAGGTACAAAATAAACAGTTGTTGTAGAAGGGCTGGAAGGGTCTAAATCATTATCAGTCATGTTCAAGACAGAACGAGCAACAGGCAATGCATCAGGGTAAATAGGAGGAGCTATGCTACCCGAGCCTGTAACAGCAGTTCTTTGTATATCAATACTATTGCCATGAGTATCATTATCGTAGATAAAGACAGCCGAAATGTTGATTGTGTTGGCTGTTGATAACTGGTTGACTGTCTTAACTTTCTCACTCCAGCTACAATTGCCTCGTTTCACCAGCGCTATTTTCTCTGCTCTTTGAATTGCTGCTGCTTGGATACTGTTGAAATTGATTTGCCGAAGTGTATCCATTGTCGTATTAGAGGAAGGACAGCTTTCTCCAAAATTGAAAATAATTCTCTGTTAAATATATAATTAGACATCTTAGAAAAAGATAAATTTAAGCATTGCATTACATCAGGTGCATTACGAGGGTTATTATCAACATAAATGCCTTGGAAATCTTGTGAAGTAGCCATGTATGAAGTAGTTTGTATTAGAGTTCCTATACTATTAGGATTCGAGATATTGATTGTAAAACTACGCTCCCAAAACACTGGGTTTTCTATGCCGGCGGCTTGTAGTAACGCACTCTGTAATATAAAAATCAATAGTAAGAGAAGCCTGTACATAATGTGAAAAAAGAGAGACACAAGAGAGAGAAAAGACAAAAAGAAAAAAAAATAGAAAGATAAATTAGAATCTCCGTCAGCAGAATGGTTTCAGAAGATGACGAATAATAGAATTGACTAATTTAGCTTGCTGTGCAATTGAACACAACGACTTATTCAACATTGTTATCAGATTGAAAGGTGTAAGCATGCCCTTCGATTCGGGTCTTAAATTGCAGAAAGCAAAAAGGGGCATGAATTATGTAAAATAATTCATGTCTTTTATTAGAGCATTCATAAATTAAAAATAGAGTGAGTACACACTATAGTTATTGTGTGTATTGAGGATAAATTAATTACTTATTTTATCTAGTATGTTGATTGAAATAGGTTTACGTGGAAGAATAAAAGAAAGAGAAAGAAAGAAAAAAATATTTGTCATGAGTTGATTAGTGTTCTTGTATGGGGATAAAGATCTAATTGGATATCTAATCTAGAGCACCCCAAAAATATAAAAAAAGATTGACATCCTCAACTCCGTGCATCCCGTGGCTTTTCCCGCTTTAATTTTATTGATAAATACATTGGGGCAAGATAAATGGCTTGCAAGTAAAATGCGCCCAAAAAAAAAAATCGGCCCATTTTGCACATCCCCATACTTTCTATTTTATGCGTGATAAAAGATAAGGCATTTTTAATGTATCGAACAAACCCTGAATATGATATACTCGTAGTAGCAGTGCTTTCATAACCAAAATCGATACATAAACACGTCTATTACAGCTTGTTGACTGACCATGGTCTTTTCTACTCGGGTTTAATTCTTTTTCTTTCGCTTTTTTTAAACCTATAAATCTATGATAATGACAATAAGCATATTAAATTGCCTTTTTGTCTTCCTGTGCAATTAGCTAAACAGAAATTGTCCATAAAAGCAAAAAAGAGAGGGCGAGAGAGCGAGAGTATAGAACAAATTGTATGACAACCCCACTTATTGTTGTCGATTGTTGTTTTAATTGGCTTAGACAATAGAGTATTCAATAGGCGTTTTTTTGAATGAAACTCCCTCTCTAATTTACTTGGTTAAAGATGGCTGTCCACTGAGTCCATGGCTGTGTAACCATCTTGACTTTTAAGCCATAAAGCAATGGTTCTATGTTTCAGAGAGCTCAGATTTAAAGGACAACATGAGATCGATCTTTGCCATGCCGAAAAACAAAGCAAAGCAGTTTTGGGGATAGGAAGTAAGAAAATGTTGTTCGTGGTGACACCTTTAGCAATAGCTTTAACTAAGAACTACCTTACTGACAACCAAGCATCGCAAGTTGGTTTTTGGGGTGGGAGCTTAATCGAGTTTTATAATACAAATATACATAATGGACAATGTTAATTCCGAGTCACTCCGCACCAATTTTTGCCCCTACCAAATGTCCAAATCAGGCATTCAAAGTTTGATGGGGGTCTATTTTTTACATGACATTTTAGTAGTAAAACTTTTTTCTTTTCATTCTTTTTCTCTTCTTCTTCAAAACTTCTTTTTTTCTTTGAAAATTTTCATTAAATTTTACAACATCATTTCATTATATTTTGTTTGGGGAAACAGAATATAAAAAAGATAATTTTCATTTTAAAAAAGGAAGAATTTGAATAACACAACTATATTTTTGTATTGTGCAACGAATTAATATACATAAAACAACATACAAAAAGAAGCTTGTAATTTTTTTACTGTAATTTCATAGAGAAAGAGGTAAGTGAAAAAGAGTAGTAAGGAAAGAAAGCGGACTAAACATTTGTATCTGTTTGACAGATAAATCTTTTTTCATCAATTATTTATATACATATACTATACAATCAGTACATACATAATGGATACTCAACAAGTCCTTCGTCCCTTGTCTATTAAACAAAACACTACCGAGGTTTCTGTCCTCGTGCCAACAAATATTTGGGTTCCTGCTGAACAACTTAGAGAAGAGTTTCCTACTGCTGAAGAAACTGTAGAAGAAATCGCTGATATTGAGCTCGCAGCCAAATTTTTGCATTTCGCCACTGACCGTGCTGCCAAAGAATCACAATTCTTGCCTGTCGCACGGACCCTTTTCGTCGACTTTGGTGCTCAATATCTTAAGGAGAATGATGTTCATGCCATCACTCGTTCTCTTTCATCCGAGTCTAAGAAAGTCGTTCTTCAAGCTTACTACTCTGCTCTCGTAGTTCTTAAGGAACACGATGTCTTGTCCGCTGAAGAAGCTTCTCCTGCCAAGTCTGCTCTCTTTGCAGCTGCTGCTCGTGGCGATGCAAAGCTCTTTGCTATCTTTGGTGGTCAAGGTAACATTGAAGAATACTTTGATGAATTTGCCGATATTTGGGAGACTTATCAAGGCCTTGTCAAGCCTTTTGTTGAACGTATGGCTGTTGTCTTGGCTGAATACGCTCGCAGTCCTGAAGCTAGTGTCCTTCACTCCAAGGGTTTGGATATCTTGCGTTGGTTGGAAAACCCTGAATTGAGACCTGATCTTCAATATCTCATTTCAGCTCCTGTCAGTTTCCCTTTGATTGGTCTTACTCAACTTCTCCAATACTATGTGATGATCCGTGTTCTTGGCCGTACTCCTGCTGAAATCCGTGATTTATTTGAAGGTAAAGTTGAAAAAAATAGAGCGTGAGGATGAGCAAAAGTATCTAAACAATTATTTGAATAGGTACTACTGGTCATAGTCAAGGTATCATCAGTTCAGTTGTTATTTCTGCTTCATCCACCGAAGAAGAATTTATTAGCAACACTGAAAAGGCACTGGGTCTTTTGTTCTGGATCGGTACTCGTGCTCAACAAGTATTCCCTACCACTACTTTGAACCCTGCTGTTCTTGAAGACTCCATTGGCAACAACGAAGGTAACCCTACTCCCATGTTGGCCATTACTGGTCTTAGAGAAGTTCAAGTTTTGAAGCATCTTGAAGAAACCAACTCTCACCTTGCTTCCGATCGTAAGATTGAAATTACTCTGCACAATGGTCCTCGTTCCTTTGTTTGCACTGGTCCTCCTCAATCTTTGTATGGTTTGAACCTTAGTTTGCGTAAACTTAAGGCTCCTACTGGTCTTGACCAATCCCGTATTCCTTTCTCTCAACGTAAGATCAAGTTCTCTTCTCGTTTCTTGCCTATCACTGCTCCCTTCCACAGTTTCTACTTAAAGGCTGCCACTCCTATCATCTTAGAAGATGCTGCTAAGCATGGTCTTGCCTTTACCACTAAGGATCTTAAGGTTGCTGTTTATGCTACAGACTCAGGTAAGCGGAAATAATAATTTTAATAGTGGGGTGTTGGGGTAATATAGTCAAAGAAAAAAAATCCTAACGTGACCGTACTTTTAGGCAAAGATCTTCGTGAAGCAGACGACCTCACCAAGTCATTGTTGGAACTTATTTGTGAAAGACATGTTCATTGGGAAAAATCCATTGTTGGTAAGGATTTGACCCACATTATTGATTTTGGACCTGGTGGTGCCTCAGGTATCGGTGGTTTGACCTACCGTAATAAGGAAGGTACCGGTGTACAAATTGTTTTAGCCGGTTCTCTTGAAGGCAGTAACCGTGACCTTTCTTACAAGGCTGATCTTTTTGACGCTGATATTCGTGCTGTTACTTACTCTCAAGATTGGGCCAAGGTTTTCCAACCCAAATTGGTTCAAACCACTAGGTAAGCTTTTTATAGTTCTATTAGCATTATGATATTGACATTTTAGCAGTAATGGTCGTGTTCATGTTGATACCAAGATGTCTCGTTTGTTGGGTAAGCCCCCACTTATGGTTGCTGGTATGACACCTGCTACTGTCAATGAGAACTTTGTTGCCGCTGTTATGAATGCAGGTTACCATATTGAACTTGCTGGTGGTGGTCACTTCAATGAACATCTTCTCCGTGAAAAGGTTGACAAGATTATGAAGCTCACCCGTGCTGGTGAAGGTATCTCTCTCAACATCATTTTCTTGAACGTTCGTCAATGGGGCTTCCAATACCCTCTTATTCAAGTTATGCGTAAGGAAGGTTTGCCTATGGAAGGTCTTTGTGTCGCTGCTGGTGTTCCCAGTCTTGAATTAGCCAATGAGATTATCGCCAACTTACAAGCTGCTGGTCTCCGTCATGTTGCTTTCAAGCCCGGAAGTGTTGACACTATTCGTCAAGTAGTTGCTATCGCTGCTGCTAACCCCACCATGCCTATCATCATGCAATGGACTGGTGGTCGTGCTGGTGGTCACCACGGTTTTGAAGATGTTCATCAACCTATCCTTGAAACTTATGCTGCTATCCGTCGCCAATCTAACATTGTCCTTGTTGCTGGTTCTGGTTTCGGTGGTGCTGATGACACCTTGCCTTACATCACTGGTGATTGGTCTCTTAAGTTCGACTATCCTCCCATGCCTTTTGATGGTATCCTCTTTGGTTCTCGTATGATGGTTGCCAAGGAAGGTTTGGCTTCTCCTGCTGCCAAGCAAGCTATGGTCGATGCTCCTGGTGTAGATGATGGTGATTGGGAAAAGACCTACAAGGGTCCCGCTGGTGGTATCATCACTGTTCTTTCTGAACTTGGTGAACCTATTCACAAAGTTGCCACTCGTGGTGTCCGTTTTTGGAAGGAATTGGATGAAGGCATTTTCAGTTTGCCCAAGGAAAAGCGTTTGCCTGCTTTGTTGGCTAAGAAGGACTACATTATCAAGCGCTTGAATGCTGATTTCCAAAAGGTCTGGTTCGGTCAAAAGAAGACTGGCGAAGCTGTTGATCTTCAAGATATGACTTACACTGAAGTTGTTCACCGTTTGATTACTTTGCTTTACGTCAAGCATGAAGCTCGTTGGATTGATACAACCCTCCGTGACTTGGTTGGTGATTTCTTACGTCGTGTTGAAGAACGTTTCACTAAGAAGTCTGGTCCTTCTATGCTTCAAAACTACACTCAATTGGAAACTCCTCTTCCTTTTGCTGATGAATTCTTGGCTCAATTCCCTGAAGCTGAAAGCCAACTCTTGACTTCTGAAGATGTTCTTCACTTCATCGCTCTTTGTAAGCGTCCTTTTCAAAAGCCCGTTCCTTTCATTCCTGTTATGGATAAGGAATTCGATATTTGGTTTAAGAAAGATTCTCTCTGGCAATCTGAAGACCTTGGTGCCGTTGTTGATCAAGATGTCCAACGTACTTGTATTCTTCACGGTCCTGTCGCTGCCAAGTACGCCACTCGTGTCGACCAACCTGTTGGTGAGATCCTTGGTGACATTTACGAAAGCCACATTGAAAGCTTGAAGGAGCGTTACTATAAGGATGCTGCTATTCCTCAAATTGAATACCTTGGTGGTGTTGCTATTGAAAAGACTGTTCTTCAAGAAGCTTCTTCCACTGCTACTGAAAAGGTATATGAAGTTGGTACTCAAGTTCCTACTGAAGATGAATGGCTTCAAACTATTTCTGGTCCTGAATACAGCTGGCTTCGTGCTCTCTTGACCTCTCCTTTCATTGTTCAAGGAAAGCGTTTCATTGATAACCCTGCTAAGCGCATCTTCCGTCCTCGTGCTGGTCAAAAGGTTGTTGTTTCTTTCAACAATGGTCAAATTACTGCTGTTAAGGTCCAAGACAAGCGTACATGGAGTGCTACTGATAAGACTACTGACTATGTCTCTTCTGTTGAAGCCTCCATTTCTGGCAAGTCTATTGATGTCAAGCTCTTCGAAAAGAGAGGCAGTGACTTCATTCCTTTGAACTTGCAATTCGAGTACAAGCCTGAACTTGGTTACGCTCCTGTCCATGAAGTCATGGAAGGTCGTAACGATCGTATTAAGGACTTCTACTACAAGCTTTGGTTTGGTATTGATAATACTGATGATTTCTTGAACGTCTCTGTCAATGAGAAGCTCATCGGTAAGGATGAGACCGTCAAGTCCGAAGAAATCAAGGAGTTCTGTCAAGCTGTCGGCAACCAAGCTGAAGTCTTTGTTGATCGTGGTCAAAAGGTTGTCTATGCTCCTATGGATTTCGCCATTGTTGTTGGTTGGAAGGCTATTATGAAGGCCATCTTCCCTAAGGTCATTGATGGTGATCTCTTGAGACTTGTTCACTTGGGTAACGGCTACCGTCTCTTGGAAGGTTCTGAACTTCTTAAGGTTGGCGATGTTGTTGATACTTTTGCCCACATCAACGCCGTCATTAACACTGATTCTGGTAAGATGATCGAAGTCAAGGGTGTCATTGTTCGTGAAGAAAAGCCTGTTCTTGAAGTGACTAGTCAATTCCTATACCGTGGTAACTTCGAAGACTTTGAACACACCTTTGAACGCAAGACCGAAACTCCCATGGAATTCAAGGTCAAGGATACTAAGGACATTGCCGTCCTTAAGTCAAAGGAATGGATGCAATGGACTGAAGCTTTGGAAACTCACGAAGTTACTCCTGGTTCCTCTTTGATCTTCCGTTTAAACACTGAACTCAAATACAAGAACAAGAAAGTCTTTGCTAGTGTTAAGACTACTGGTACTGTTGTCATGCAACTTTCTACCAAGGAATTTGTTGAAATTGCCAAGGTTGAATATGAGTCTGGCGAAAGCCACGGTAACCCTGTCATTGAATACTTGAAGCGTAACGCTCAAGAAATTGAACAAGCTCATTTCTTTGAAAACGGTGGTTACTCTGTCATGCCTAGTCAATCTACCTACTCTTCAGTTGTTCATGCTCCTGCTTCCAACGAGCCTTATGCCAATGTTTCAGGTGATTTCAACCCTATTCACGTCAACCCTTACTTTGCTGATTTGGCTTTGTTGCCTGGTACTATCACTCATGGTATGTGGACCAGTGCTTCTACTCGTAAGTTCGTTGAAATCTTCGCTGCCGATAACGTTCCTCGTCGTGTCATTGCTTACGATGTCAAGTTCGTTGGTATGGTCTTGCCTTCTGATAGACTTGAAACCAAGCTTTATCACACTGGCATGAAGAATGGTCGTAAGATCATTAAGGTTGAAACCATTAACCAAAATAACGAAAAAGTCGTTGAAGGCACTGCTGAAGTCGAACAACCTGTCACTGCCTATGTCTTCACTGGTCAAGGTTCTCAAGAACAAGGTATGGGTATGGCTTTGTATGACAGCTCTTCTGTTGCCAAGGCTATTTGGGACGAAGCTGATAAGCACTTCATGGAAAACTATGGTTTCTCTATCATTGAGATTGTCCGTAGCAACCCCAAGGAAAAGGTTGTCCATTTTGGTGGTCCTCGTGGTAACAAGATTCGTCAAAACTACATGAGCATGACCTACGATGTTGTTGAAGCTGATGGTACTACCAAAACTTTGCCTTTGTTCCCCAGTATTACTGAACGTACTGCCTTTTACACTTTCCGTTCTCCTACTGGTCTCTTGTTTGCCACTCAATTCACTCAACCTGCTTTGACCTTGATGGAAAAGGCTGCCTTTGAAGACATGCGTGCTAAGGAATTGATCCAAAGCAACTGTGCTTTCGCTGGTCACTCTCTTGGTGAATACGCTGCTTTGGCCTCTGTTGGTGATGTCTTGCCTTTAACCTCTCTCGTTGATGTTGTCTTCTACCGTGGTATGACTATGCAATCTGCTGTCAAGCGTGATGAAGAAGGTCGTTCCAACTATGGTATGGCCGCTGTCAACCCTGCCCGTGTTTCCAAGACTTTTAATGATACTGCTCTCCGTTACGTTGTTGATGCTATTGCTCGCCGTGGTGGTGACGTTTTGGAAATCGTCAACTTCAACGTTGAAAACTGGCAATATGTTGCTGCTGGTGCTATTCAAAACCTTGATGCTCTTACCAACGTTTTGAACTACATCAAGACTGCCAACATTGATCTTCAAAAGTTGATGGAAACTATGTCTCTTGAAGATGTTAAGAAGCACTTGTATGAAATCATTGATGGTGCTTTTGAAAAGACCAAGGCTAAGCAAGCAAAGGGTCGTATCGTCCTTGAACGTGGTCATGCTACTGTACCTCTTCCTGGTATTGATGTTCCTTTCCACTCTTCTTTCTTGCTCAGTGGTGTCACTCCTTTCCGTACTTTCTTGGCTAAGAAGTTTGACCCCTCTGATATCAATGTTGCTCAATTGACTGCCAAGTACATTCCTAACTTGACTGCCAAGCCTTTCAGCACTGACAAGAGCTACATTGAAGATGTTCACAAGTTGACTTCTAGTCCTCGTTTGGCTAAGGTCTTGAAGAACTGGTCTGACGACAAGTACGTTACTCCTGCTCAACAACAACGTCTTGGTTACATTCTCTTGATTGAACTTTTGGCTTACCAATTCGCTTCTCCTGTTCGTTGGATTGAAACTCAAGATCAATTGTTTAAGAATTACCAAATTGAACGTCTCATTGAAGTTGGTCCTTCTCCTACTCTTAGTGGTATGGCTGTTCGTACTTTGAATCTCAAGTACCAAGCTTACGATAACGCTTTGAGTAACCGTCGTCAAAACTTGTCTATTTCCAAAGATGCTAAGGAAATTTACTACGAGTTTGAAAACATCGAAGAAGAAGCCGCTCCAGCTACTGATGCTGCACCTACTGCTACCCCTGCTGCTACTCCTGCTGCTACTCCTGCTGCTGCGGCACCTGTTGCTGCCGCTCCTTCCCCTGCCGCTGCTGGTCCCGCCGCTGCTGTCAGTGATGTTCCTGTTACTGCCACCGAAATTCTTCACGCTGTCATTGCTCAAAAGTTAAAGAAGAGTATTGATGAAGTTCCCTTATCTAAGGCTATTAAGGACTTAGTTGGTGGCAAATCTACCCTTCAAAACGAAATTCTTGGTGACTTGCAAAAGGAATTCAGTAATGCTGTTCCTGAAAAGTCTGAAGAAACTCCTTTGGATGAACTTGGTAGCGCTTTGAACGGCAGTTTCCCTGGTACTCTTGGTAAGCACTCTAGTTCTTTGGTTGCTAAGATGATTGGTGCTAAGATGCCTGGTGGTTTTACCTTGAACAATGCTAAGACCTATCTCTCTACCTCTTATGGTTTGGGTCCTGGTCGCATTGATGGTGCTCTCTTAATTGCTATCACTATGGAACCTCCTGCTCGTTTTGGTTCTGAACCTGAAGCTAAGGCTTGGTTGGACTCTGTTGCTCAAGCTTATGCTAAAAGAGCTGGTATTACTTTGTCTGCCCCTGGCTCTGGTGCTGCTGCTGGTGGTGCTGGTGGCGCCGCTGTTGCTGTCATCAACAGTGAAGAATTTGATGCTTTGAAGGCTAAGCAAGATGCTTTGATTTACCAACAATTGAACTTGTATGCCAAGTACCTTCAAAAGGACTTGCGTGATGGCCACAAGAAGTATGAACAAGAAAAGACCACCACTGCTAAGTTGCAAGCGGAATTAGACTTGTGGCTCGCTGAACATGGTGATGTTTATGCTGAAGGTATCAAGCCTACCTTCACTCCTCTTAAGGCTCGTCGTTATGACTCTTACTGGAACTGGTCTCGTCAAGAAGCTCTTGAAATGTGGTATGATATCATCTTTGGTAAGCTTGCTATCGTTGATCGTGAAGTTACAGCCAAGTGCTTGCGTATCATGAACCGTGCTTATCCTCAATTGATCGACTACATGCGTTACAATGTTGAAAACTGTAACGGTGATAAGGGTGAAACTTACCGTCTTGCTAAGGAGTTTGGTGAAGCTTTGATTGAAAACTGTGTTGATGTTCTCGCTGAAAGCCCTGTCTATAAAGATGTTGGTTTCCCCACTGGCCCCAAGACTTCTGTTTCTGAGAAGGGTGACATTGGCTATGCTGAAGTTCCTCGTCCTGGCTGTCGTAAGTTGTCTGACTATGTCAAGGATATGACTGCTGGTTCTAAGGTCTCTGAGTACTCTAACCGTCTCAAGGTTCAACAAGATCTCGGTCGTATTTACAAGATCATCCGTAGCGAAAACAAGTTGAAGAAGAGTACCAAGTTGGCTATCAAAGATCTTTACGCTGATGTCTTACGTGCTATGTCCATGTCTAGCTCCATCGTCAAGGAAGAAAGATCTCGTCAACGCCGTGCTTCTAATGTCAATAGACCTGAACGTAAGCGTCTTTCTGACAAGGCTGCTAAGACTGAAACTATTCCCTTCTTGCATCTTAAGAAGAAGAACCCTAGCGAATCTTCTGGTTGGGAATTTAGCAGCAAGTTGACATCCTCTTACCTCAATGTCTTAACTGAGATTGCTGAAAAGGGTATCACTTTTGCTGACAAGTGTGTCCTCTTGACTGGTGCTGGTAGAGACTCTATTGGTTCTGAAATTATGAAGGGTCTTATTTCTGGTGGTGCTAAGGTTGTTGTTACTACTTCTCGTTACAGCCGTGAAGTTACTCAATACTTCCAATCCATCTATGAAAGCTATGGTTCTAAGGGTTCTGAACTTGTTGTTGTTCCCTTCAACCAAGGTGCTAAGCAAGATGTTGACGCTTTAGTCGATTACATCTACGATCCTAAGGGCCTCAACTGGGATCTTGATTTCATCATTCCTTTCGCTGCTATCCCCGAAAACGGTCGTGAAATTGATGCTATTGATTCCAAGTCTGAACTTGCTCACCGTATCATGTTAACCAACCTTCTTCGTATGTTGGGTAATGTCAAGACTCACAAGCAAAAGATTGGCTCTGATACTCGTCCTGCTCAAGTCATTTTGCCTTTGTCTCCTAACCATGGTACTTTCGGTGCTGATGGTCTCTATGGTGAATCTAAGATTTCCTTAGAAACTCTCTTCAACAGATGGTACTCTGAAAGCTGGTCTAGCTACTTGCTTATTGCTGGTGCTGTCATTGGTTGGACTCGTGGTACTGGTTTAATGAGTGCTAACAACATGGTTGCTGAAGGTATTGAAGCCCTTGGTGTCAGAACTTTCTCTACTGTTGAAATGTCATTCAACATCCTTGGTCTTATGCACCCCTCCATTGTTGAACTCTGTCAAAACGAACCTGTTTGGGCTGATCTTAACGGTGGTCTTCACTTCATTACCAACTTGAATGAAATCAGTGCCAATTTGCGTAAGGAAATCCGTGAAACTGCTGAAATCCGTAGGGCTATTGATGCTGAAAACGCTCTTGATTTCAAGACTGTCTTTGGTGAAGAAGCTGAACGCAAACACAAACCTCACAACATCACTCCTCGTGCCAACATGAAGTTCGACTTCCCTACTCTCAAGCCTTATGATGCTCTTAATCATCTCGGTTATCTTAAGGGTATGCTTGACCTTGATCAAGTGATTGTTGTTGCTGGTTTCGGTGAAGTGTCTCCTTGGGGTAATGCTAGAACTCGTTGGGAAATGGAAGCTCATGGTGAATTCTCTCTTGAGGGTTGCATTGAAATGGCCTGGATCATGGGCTACATCAAGCACCACAATGGTAACTTGAAGAATGGCAAATTCTACTCTGGCTGGTTGGATGCTAAATCTGGCGAACCTGTTGAAGAAAAGGATATTAAGTCTAAGTATGAAAAGCAAATCCTTGAACACTCTGGTATCCGTTTGATTGGTAAGTTATAAAAAGAATGCATTACAATAGATAATTTAATCATCATACATAGATCCTACTGTTATGGATGGCTACAACCCTGAAAAGAAGATGCTTATGCAAGAAATTGTTGTTGATCATGATCTTGAACCTTTCGAATGTTCCAAGGAAGAAGCTGACCACTTCAAGCTTCAACAAGAAGATAAGGCTGATGTCTACGAAAATGCCAATGGTGACTGGTGTGTTGTCTTGCGTAAGGGTGCTACTTTGTATGTTCCTAAGGCTCTTCGCTTTGACCGTCTTGTCGCTGGTCAAATTCCTACTGGTTGGGATGCTACTCGTTATGGTGTTCCTAAGGATATCGTTGATCAAGTCGACCCTGTCACCTTGTTTAACATTGTCTCTACTGTTGAAGCCTTTGTCTCTGCTGGTATTACTGACCCTTACGAATTCTTCAAGTATGTCCACGTTTCTGAAATCGGTAACAGTACTGGTTCCGGTGTCGGTGGTCAACTCTCTCAAAGAGGTCTCTTCCGTGATCGTCTCCTTGATAAGCCTGTTCAAAAGGATATCTTGCAAGAATCTTTCATTAACACCATGCCTGCTTGGATCAACATGTTGCTTCTCTCATCATCTGGTCCTATCAAGACTCCTGTCAACGCTTGTGCTACTTCTGCTGTTTCTATCGAATTGGCTTGTGAATCTCTCTTGACCGGTAAAGCCAAGATCATGATTGCTGGTGCTACTGAAGATATTACTGAAGAATCCAGTTACGAATTCGCTAACATGAAGGCTACTTCTAACGCTGTTGATGAATTTGCTCATGGTCGTACTCCTTCTGAAATGTCTCGTCCTGCTACTACATCCAGAAATGGTTTTATGGAAGCTCACGGTTCTGCTAACCACATCCTTATGTCTGCTGCTACTGCCATTGAAATTGGTTCTCCTATCTATGGTATCATTGCTCTCAGCAGCACTGCCACTGACAAGGAAGGTCGTTCCGTCCCTGCTCCTGGTGCTGGTATCCTGACCACTGCTCGTGAAGGTTCTGGCAAGAGAGCTTCTCCCTTGTTGAACTTCAACTACCGTGCTAGACAAATCAAGGCTCGCCGTGCTCAAATCAAGGCTTGGGTTGAAAGTGAATATGAACTCTTGCGTGAAGAATTGGATGAACTCAAGGCTTCTGGTGAGCTTGCTCCTGAAGAAGAACAATCTTGGATTGAAGAACGTACTACTTTCATCCACAGTGAAGCTAAGCGTCAAGAAAAGGAATGCTTGTCTACATTCAATCATCAATTCTTCAAGAATGATTCTAGCATTGCTCCTATTCGTGGTGCCCTTGCTGTCTATGGTTTGACCATTGATGATATCAATGTTGCTTCCTTCCACGGTACCTCTACTAAGGCTAACGATAAGAATGAATCTCGTGTCCTCAACTCTCAATTGAAGCATCTCGGTCGTTCTAAGGGTAATGCTCTTTTGGCCATTACTCAAAAGTATTTGACTGGTCATCCTAAGGGCCCTGCCGCTTCTTGGATGGCAAATGGTATGATGCAATGTTTGCTTAGTGGTCTCATCCCCGGTAACCGCAATGCTGATAATATTGATATTGTCATGAAGGACTTTGAATACATTGTCTATCCCTCTCGCTCTATTCAAACTGATGGCTTGAAGGCTGGTCTCCTCAAGTCCTTCGGTTTCGGTCAAGCTGGTGGTGAAATTTTGATTATTCATCCTGACTATGTCTTTGGTGCTTTGGAAGAATCTCAATACAATGCTTACAAGGCCAAGAACGCTCAACGTTATGCCAAGACTTATCGTTACCTTCATGACTCCATTACTGGTGTTGCTGACTTTGTTCAAGTCAAGAATGAAGCTCCTTACTCTGACGACCTTGAATTTACCGTTTATCTTAACCCCAGTGCTCGTGTTGAATACTCAAAGGAAAAGAAGTCTTACCACTTTACTAACAAGTCTGCTAACCTCGCTGCCCCCACAGCTGGTGATGCTGAAGTGACCAAAAGCATTCTTGCTTCTCTGACTGAACAACAAGCTGGCAAGAGAGGTGTTGGAGTTGATGTTGAATTGACTAATGCTGTTAACATTGAAAGTGCTACCTTCCTTGAACGCAACTTTACTGCTGCCGAAATTGAATACTGTCAAGCCCGCCCCGATCCCCAGGCTAGCTTCACAGGTCGTTGGTCAGCTAAAGAAGCCGTCTTCAAAGCCATCTCTTCTTATGGTAAGATTCCCTCTGACGGTGCCGCTGCTCCTTTGAAGGAAATTGAAATTAAGAGTAACGAAGTTGGTGCTCCTGAAGTTGTTTTGACCGGTAAAGCTTTAAGCGCTGCTTCTGCTGCTGGTGTCAAGAACGTAAATGTCTCAATTAGTCACAGTGGTGCTTACAGTGTTGCTGTTGCATTAGCTCAGTAAAAAAAAAAAAAAAAAAAAAAAAAAAAAAAAACAAGATGTTGTAAAAAAATATATACATATTAGAATCCCCTCAAAATCCCCACCCTTAATTAAATTTTAAATAAATTTGTATGATGTTGTAAAATAATTATCTTCAAAGTTGTGTAATGCTAAACAGCTGAGATCTAATTGTAAGCATCGGCCATCTTTTATGCATACGCACTGATCAGTTCAAACATTTTCTTATAACTACTAAACAGTGAACATTTAAAAGCTGTAAAATAAAAATGAATTTTGTGTTCTCATTCTTTTATTTTTCTATCTGTATCATAAAAGAGTCCTAACTGCTCTCTAAGATAAGATGCAAATGTCTAAAAACATTGCTTTATCATTGGAATCTCAATCCAGTGGAGGTTTAGTCATATTCATTAAGCTTTTGTGTTCCCCTTCCTTGTCAAACATATTATTCTTTAAAAGCAAATGTATAACCAGAAACAACAAGTTATCCTCGAGATAAGGTTGTTATTCGCAAAATAGATTTCATGAAATTATTTGCCAAAGAGGAAGCAAAACCATGTGCTTATTCTAACCAGCCGAGTAATGAAACTAGCAGAGAAAAAGTGACTTGTAATGCTTTGCAAAGTGACTTAATTTTCTTTATTGAGAAGGAGTTTTTTTCTGCCTTTATATATTTCACTTTTTTTCTTCAAGTTAAAAATGGGCTTACCCTTATGGAGACCTAGAGACTTAAAAGAAGATATCGAGCCTATCATTCATAAACCCCATCATGCTACTTTAAACGACGATAATGATATCCGAGTTAATATTCCCCACCAATTAATGCATAATATACATAATGGCTATAGACGCAGTAGACCTTCCTTTTCCTCTTCCCCTTCCTCTTCCTCTTCCTCTTCCCCTTCCCCTTCCTCCTTCTCCTCCTCTTCTTCCTCTTCCTCTCAAAGAAGCGGCTCTCGGCTTTTTCAACCACTTGTTACTCGCTCTCGTCTTGAAAGACGCAGACAAATGTTGGAGAGACTTCGAGCACAACACTCTTCAAGCACTTCACCGCCTATTCGGAGTGAACTCGATCGTCGCCTTCAACAGCGTATTTCCGAAAAGGAAGATTTACTTGAGCAGCTAACAGCAACTGTGAATTTGCTTGATCAATTTTTGTCCGCAAGAACAGCACTTGGTTCGGATTTCGCGGAACTGTTTATCACTCAAGGTAGAATTTCTCGTTTATCACATTGTATGTGCTTACATAGTTAGATTTGCCTGCTGTTCTTGAGAGCGCATCTTCCTTGGCTGCCTTGGTACCTGCTGCAATTGGCAATAACAGTACTACCTTGAGCAGCGAGAATACTGAAAACAATACACTTCAAGAGATGGTAAATCGATTACTTCAAATTCCTCCTTATTCTGCTCGTATACAAAATGTCGAGCTCAACATTATTTCAACACATAGACGTATTCAAGAACAATTAGACCAGCTAAGCTCCACTGTATCTCTCTCTTCACCACATCAACAATCGACAGGAACAATTAATATGATGCGCACATTAGCAGGTGGTAATCAGACTCCTAGTCACAGCAGTAACTAAGAAAGAACAGACAACCTGCTTTTGTATATATATGTCAAATATACCATGCAATATACGTACTTTATACTATTTTATTTTAAATAATTATACAGAATGAGATATGCAATGATTACAATTCTTTATTGCAATGCAGTGGTGAAGTTTAAAGGCCAACCCATTCTTTGTCAGAAACAGCGTTGCTGTGATGGGTATTAAAGTTGTTGTGGACAAAATCGTCTTGAAGGAGTGAGGTTTCTTCGGGAATATGGTCGTTTCTGTTGGCTTGTTGCAACTCTTCAGTAGCATTAATGTGGTCTTCAGATTCCCATTCATTAGAGTTCACATGGTCATCAAGATCATTCATTTCCTCAGAGATCCATTCAGGAGCAGCATTTGTGTGTTCTTCATTGTCATCTTGCCATTCAGTATCCTTAGTACTTTCGGCATCGTAAGAGTCCCAATCGCCACTTCTAATGTAATAATCGTCGTGTTCAATGTCTTCAGAAACCCATCCAGCATTGGTATGCTCTTCGTCTTCGCTGACCCATTCAGAATCATTAGTGTGGTAGTCAGAGTGATCAATGGTGTCGATATCTTCAGAGATCCATTCGGTAGCAGCATTGTTGTGCTCCTCGTTATCATCTTGCCATTCAGCAAAGTTAGCATGGATTGCGGAGCTTTCGCCTTCAACATCAACATCTTCGGATTCCCAATTAGCAGCATTAGTATGTTCTTCGTTGTCTTCAGAGACCCATTCGGTAGCAGCATTGCTGTGCTCTTCGTTATCGTCTTGCCATTCAGCAAAGTTAGCATGGATTGCGGAGCTTTCGCCTTCAACATCAACATCTTCGGATTCCCAGTTGGCAGCATTGGTATGTTCATCGCCAGAAGTCCATTCAACATCATTGGGATGATAGTTGGGATGATCAACAATGTCGACTTCTTCAGTAGACCAGCCAGCAGCATTGAGGTGTTCATCTTCTTCAGATACCCAACCGTTGTTGTGCTCAGTAGTATCCTCTTCTTCCAAGTCTTGGTCATAGTCAACATCACCCATGTATTCATTAGCATGGGCAACATCGACTTCTTCAGAGCTCCAGTCATTGTTATGCTGGGCATCGTCAGAGTACCATTCACTGAGGTTTTCATGAGCATCATCGCTCCATTCAGCACTATTGACATGGTCGTCCTCAAGGTCAACATCTTCGGATTCCCAATTAGCAGCATTAGTATGTTCTTCGTTGTCTTCAGAAACCCATTCGGTAGCAGCATTGCTGTGCTCCTCGTTATCATCTTGCCATTCAGCAAAGTTAGCATGGATTGCGGAGCTTTCGTCTTCAACATCAACATCTTCGGATTCCCAATTAGCAGCATTGGTATGTTCATCGCCAGAAGTCCATTCAACATCATTGGGATGATAGTTGGGATGATCAACAATGTCGACTTCTTCAGTAGACCAGCCAGCAGCATTGAGGTGTTCATCTTCTTCAGATACCCAACCGTTGTTGTGCTCAGTAGTATCCTCTTCTTCCAAGTCTTGGTCATAGTCAACATCACCCATGTATTCATTAGCATGGGCAACGTCGACTTCTTCAGAGCTCCAGTCATTGTTATGCTGGGCATCGTCAGAGTACCATTCACTGAGGTTTTCATGAGCATCATCGCTCCATTCAGCACTATTAACATGGTCGTCCTCAAGGTCAACATCTTCAGATTCCCAATTAGCAGCATTAGTATGTTCTTCGTTGTCTTCAGAAACCCATTCGGTAGCAGCATTGCTGTGCTCCTCGTTATCGTCTTGCCATTCAGCAAAGTTAGCATGGATTGCGGAGCTTTCGTCTTCAACATCAACATCTTCGGATTCCCAATTAGCAGCATTAGTATGTTCTTCGTTGTCTTCAGAAACCCATTCGGTAGCAGCATTGCTGTGCTCCTCGTTATCGTCTTGCCATTCAGCAAAGTTAGCATGGATTGCGGAGCTTTCGTCTTCAACATCAACATCTTCGGATTCCCAATTAGCAGCATTGGTATGTTCATCGCCAGAAGTCCATTCAACATCATTGGGATGATAGTTGGGATGATCAACAATGTCGACTTCTTCAGTAGACCAGCCAGCAGCATTGAGGTGTTCATCTTCTTCAGATACCCAACCGTTGTTGTGCTCAGTAGTATCCTCTTCTTCCAAGTCTTGGTCATAGTCAACATCACCCATGTATTCATTAGCATGGGCAACATCGACTTCTTCAGAGCTCCAGTCATTGTTATGCTGGGCATCGTCAGAGTACCATTCACTGAGGTTTTCATGAGCATCATCGCTCCATTCAGCACTATTAACATGGTCGTCCTCAAGGTCAACATCTTCGGATTCCCAATTAGCAGCATTAGTATGTTCTTCGTTGTCTTCAGAAACCCATTCGGTAGCAGCATTGCTGTGCTCCTCGTTATCATCTTGCCATTCAGCAAAGTTAGCATGGATTGTGGAGCTTTCGTCTTCAACATCAACATCTTCGGATTCCCAGTTGGCAGCATTAGTATGTTCTTCATCTTCCACATTATCTTCAGTAACCCATTCACTGTCATTGTGATAGGCAGAAGCATTTGTGGTCTGATCTTCATTGGTGAAATAGCTATTAGCATCGTTTGAATGCCATGTCTTGACTTGTGGTTCATTATTATGAGCCTTAGTAGTACGATCTTCATTTGTGAAGTAAGGATCTAAGTCTTCACCTTCGTTCTTATGAGTGACGTCTTCAGTTTCAGTTTCTTTGTTTTTGTCGAGATATTTCTTGTAATCTTGATCTAAACTGTTAATGTAGTCAGCGAATGATTGTTTGGTATCATTGGTAGAAGAAGCATCGTTGCTATGGGATTCGTTACTTTCACTAGTCAGGTTTGTAACTTTATTTAAAGCAGAATCCCAATTAGCATCGTCTTCATGAGTGCTGTCATCATCATTGGTGTTTTCAGAAGCTTCTGTCTCTGTGGAAGTTTCATCAGTTGTATCAACGGCACGCTTTGTGATTTGGAAGGGTACTGAATCAGCTTCACAATATTGGTTATCACCTTGACCAGAGAGATGGAAATGGTATTCGCCAGCGTCTTTATCGCCGAGTGATAAAGGAAACTCGTCTGTTGCACCTTGGCTTGCATCTATGTATTGTATCAGTTATTTTTGTGTTTCCTAAAAAAAGTAAATGATTGATTTGATTATTACCAAAAATGCCAATGTAAGCAGGTGTTCCAGAAAGCGTGTTGTCGACAAGTGTCAAATTGACTTGCTTCATACCGGTTGGTGCTTGCCAGGCCACAACATGTTTACTTTCTTCTTCAAACGAAATACCTAATAAAGCAGTTTAGTCATTTTATTATCGATTTATATATTTTACCTGAAGTAAAGGGATAAGTCACTCGAAAACCTAAAAATATAAATTAGTCTCGTTTTATCTACAGCTCTCTCTTTATTTTTAGCATACCATCACAACTGTTTATGTCAAGAGAAGCATCATTGTTGTGAGCTGTGGCGGCTGTTGGTATATTGAAAAAGGGTGTAGCTGCTACAAAGCTTCCACTTTGAAGCAATAAATTTGCTGCAATAGACAAGGTTGCCAAGTTGGATAACAACTTCATCTTTTTAGTTGAATTGATTGTTTTCTATAAAAGAAGCAAGTGAAAAAAAAAGGAGAGGAAAGAGAGCAAAAAAAAAAAAAAAAGAAAGAAAAAGAAAAGAAAAAAGCGCAAATAAGCGGGGATGAAAGCGAGAGAGAGAGACATGTAAAATGCTCATTAGCCCTTTAAAGTACTGCCATAATTGCATCTATTTTTGTAGTGGTTACACATGAATAAATTGGAACATATTTAGTGAACCGACAATAATTACCTGTAAAGATCACTCCTTTCATTTTGGTTATATATTGCAAGTTTAGTTTGGAAATATCTGTAATTAAGTGACATGAGTTACGTATAAACAAAGGCAGGTATATACTGCCTTGTTTCATTGCTAACATTAATATGATTACTGCTGCTACTGTTTTGCCTTCTTTTAATACATTCTGGATTATTTTTAGCTATACATCCACTTCTAATTTCGTCCTAGCAAGCTTTCTTTATCAAGGTTACTCAAAAATAAATCACTTCATAAAGAAACCATTCTTTTGTCTCTCTCTTGCTGCTCGAAGAGGAGGTTATTCAAGTACTTTGATAAGACATTTCAATTCAATTAGAGCATTAAACACAATAGTTGTATATTAGCTTAATATATTCATAGGTACTCATACTGGCTAATTCCCATGTTTCTTTAAACAAGAGGTCTTTTCCTGTTTTAGTAGTGCTTCTCGACAAATATAAGGTATATTTTTCTATTTTCTGCTCAAGCATTGATACTCGCTATCCTGTTGAACTTTTTTACAAATAATAGAGATCTTGTAATGATTTGAAATCAATCAGTTTTCGGCCAAGAATATTGTGATTGGCTACTTGATGTATTCATGCTTATTTTAATTTTATAGCTGACTACGCGTCTCTCTTTTCTTTTCTCTCGTATTTTATTATGGAACCAGAACTTCTGAAAAAAGCACTTGACGATCTCCCTCCAGCTTCACTTATTACAGAGATTCCCGAGATACAAAATGCTATTGCACACTTGTTAAAAAGCAACCAAGAAATGATTGAATACGATCCAAACGATCCAGATCTCAAGCAAGCTATTAAAGAAAACAAAGACCTTATCATAAGAAAAGAAAAGCACGTTGATATAACTTTACAGGTGATTCGAGAACGATTAGGAGAAGCAGCCTGGCGAGAAATGGGTAGCAATGTCAAAGAATTCAGAGAAATCCATGCAGAAGCATTAAAAGAAACACGGCGTCCAGATAATACAGAAGAAGGTGTATTTTTATAAAAAATAATAAAGAGATAATTAAGCATGCATTGTAAGTACATAAATATTGCGCATAAATGGGTGTGTGTCTGTACAGTGCAAACAAACTTGGTTATTCAGGTTGTCCTGGCCATGCTGGTTTTTTAGATCCATCAAATTCACCATAAAACCTATTTGACTCAACTACTCGATGTCCTGTTCCTCCAATTGGTGCATCACATTCAGGGCATTTTGACACTTCTGTTGCACCACCACAATCTCCGACGTAATAAGGATGTTGATTTCGACAGACAAACCAGCGACCACCAACAATATTGTAGACAGCGTGATGTCGTGTCTCATCATTCATAGCACTAATTATTTGCTCTCTTTCGTGGTATGTGAGTTGTTGACGATCTTTTTCCATGCGGACCTTTATAGTGTTCACAAGAGCAACTTCAGTCTTGATGTATTTGTTATAGCGCAGTGCTGTATAAGTGGGCTTTTGACATTTAGGACACTGCCAGAGTTTAATGGCTGTATGTTGACCATTCTTCACTTGTGTCTCGAAATACATGTCAAGTGATTCTACAGAGAACACACAACCACATTCAGGGAGTTGATAGGCCTTTTCGCCCTTTTCAAATTCGGACAATTCGCGAAGTGTAATAGAGCATTTAAGGTCGCCATTACAAACAATACAGGGCGGACAGTTTTCACCACATAAACCAGCACATTTATGGCTAAATCTTGGTGAGCATCAATGCATAAACTAATAAGTTACCTACCCGCATTCTAGCTTGATACGACAAGGTTCATTACAAGGAGGACGATCACAGATCTCATAACATTTCTTGGTACATTTGTAATGATCGCAACGGTAAGGGCATTCACTGATACAACGAATACAGTCCTTAAAACATTCTCTACTGCACTTATAGCCATGAGAGCAAACATAATTACACTTTTCAACACAGCGTTCTGTGTGCTGATCAGGATTGGCACAACCTAAATGATAGAATAAGATGCTGCACACTACATATCTATTTTGCTTACCTTGTGCGCACATATGGCCACAAATGAGTTGTTTGGGACAACTAGCTATGCACTGACTTCGATCATGTAAATGGGGAATGCCACATATTCCTTGACACTTGTGTCCACATTCCAATGATTGACTGCAAGGTTCTATACAAATAGGCTCAATACCACATTGACTCGTAACGGTGTGTCCACAATCCAATGTCACTGACTGCTTGAGATCACATTTTAAATTGGCCACCTTCTTATCACGGGCTCTATAACAATGGATTGTCTTGCTGTGTCCACAGGTTAAATCGATATTGACAATTTCTTTGCATTGAATATTTTGGCCATTACCGCCTTGTAACATATGGCAGAGACCTTGCATTTGATGCCCACATGGTAATACAATTTCAGTTTTTTCTGTACATGGAGGACAAACGCGATCCTTTGAGCATTCATAACATTTTTTAAGACAAGCGTGTGTACAACCAGAGGGTCGAATTCGATTACATGGTTCTCTGCAGACTACTTCAGCATGGCTCAAAAAATGGCATTCTTCTTTACAGGTATGGCTATCGCTCATCAATGTATTGCACGGGCGCTGACAGCCACCATTCTTCATTTGAACAAAGTCTTGCCAGCAACCTGCATTAATTGTATCACCGTGTGCATGACATGTGAGACGAATCGAGTTGCCGTAAAGGCCACGGTCTTGCATATAGTTGGCAAACTCTTTCCAGCGAGGATGTACCCGATCTTGTTCTGGTTTACCAATAATAAAAAGTCCATATTTGGCACGAGTCAATGCTTGAGTGACATTGTCCAATGTGCTACAAGAATAGCCAGGTGTGGCAGTAGAAATAATGGTGAATGAGTTTTGTCTGCCAGCGTATTGCTCAACAGTATCAAGGGCAATGTTCTTGAGATTACTGGTGAAGCAAGTACGTTTGGGAATTTCGTCTTTTAGGATCATTCGGATCAAGTATTTCTGTAAAACATTGAGTGTCAGGATAGCGATGCTTGCTTTTTGATAAGGTTGCTGGCTCAAATAAGTGGCGAGAGAAGCTACATAGCGGGCTTCGTTTACTTGGGCATTGGTCACGTCAGACATCAATAAACGCTTATAATACGGGTTAATAACATCATCCTTAGCTGATGGTTGATAGTGAATATACAAGGCCCGTTCTGAAATACCATACAAAGCCTCTCTTGCAGGATATTTGCCATCCACCATATTTTCATCACAAGAAGCCAAAGGCGCTGTGTTGTTATTTCTATTATCGAATTGATGAATCACGCTTGCAATCTCAGAATGCATACGCCATTGTTCCTCTAAATGAGCCTTTTCGATATTAGTTGATTTCCATCGCTCAAACAAGGACGTATCAAGACGGTGAGGTTCACCCACTAATTCAGGATTAGCCACACAAGGTTTTGTCAGGTGATCACTTATGCCCAGCAACACAACATGTTCTGTGCGAGGACCCAAAATAACAGACGATAAAGTGGACTCCAGAATCTCGGATGCTTCATCCACAATGACAGCGCGCGGCCAAAGGCTAGCAATAAAGTTGCGATGAGCACTAGCATTAGCTGCAGTCATACCAATCACTCGCTTAAATCGGCACATATAGATCCATTTCTGTATTAAATTATCGTCATGTGCCTCTGCTGTCTGGATTTGGTCTTGCATAACACCTTGGATTTCTTTGTCGATACGATTCACAAGCACATTGACAAGGCGATGAATCAGATCTGTCTTTTCTTTATCAGAGAGGTAGTTGATGCGGTCTACAGGCGTCTTTCTCCATTCCTTCATCAATGCATCACGAACAATAGCACCTGAATAACTGGCGGATTGATCAAATGGCCAACAGCTTGCATTAGCAATCGAGGTGACATGAACAGACAAGTTGGCCACATTAGTGAATCTATTCTTGATAGTATGACCATCCATGATAGGCAACAAGCCACGACCTGCTCGCTTGATATACTCGTTTTCTAGATACCATTGTGCACACTTGAATTGAGTATAACCCACTTTAGTCACAGAGTCAAACATTTTAGTTCGCTTGTCATGATGAGCCCAAGAGGTCCAAATACCAACATCAGAGATATGGCTTTCTACTCCATGTGTCCGAATATAATCCTTTTCAAGCATTTGACGATACTGGGGTGGAATAGTGGTTGCTAAAAATGAAGGGTCATGATCTTTGGCTTGAGCACGAAGTCCCAACAAAATATTCAGCTTAGCTTGGTTACGTAACAATTGACGCTCTAATTGTTGATGCTGACGATAGTTTTGGTCAGAGGCAGAAATAGTGGCAAGTCGAGTGATTTGTTTGTTCATCAAATTGTCTGCAAAAGGCTCATTACCGAAACGAACAATACCAGGAATGGTGGCAGCAGCCTTAGAGAGAATATCGTCAAGCGTAGATTGTGATTTGGCAATCACAAGCACCGGTTGATGGAACTGACCCACAGTCAGTACTTCCCCCAACAATTGAGCCAATTTAGCAGCCATGAATGTTTTCCCAGTGCCTGGCGCACCTGAGATAATAGCAATACGATGCGACATGGCAAACTTGACAGACTCCAACTGGCTAGGTGACAAGCAGTAAAAAGGCGGCAGTTTAGTTGTAGGAATATTTTGCATATTCAAAGGATCACGAGGCCAGATATCTTTTCCTGGACAAGCACGATAGTTACCATGAGAATTTGCCATAATACACGAAACATCAATCTCTGCATCTACAATATAGTAGGGTGTAGCATCTGCATTGATGGCCAATGCGTTCTCCAAGACAGACTCATCCCAAGCTTTAATTTGGCCAGTTGTCAAGTTATTTGAGGCAGCCAAGATACGGGGCGTAAGTACTTTTGAAAAGTGCTTTTTCTCCATATTGAAGCAAGACTTGTATAACCATTCTAATGTAGAGAGCGTGCTGGCAGCATTGATTCGAAATACAATCATGGTGTATTTGATGTCCCAATTGAGTTTACGCAAGTCATTCTTGTTGATCTGAATAGACACTAGACGGAGTATAGGACCATTGGATCGAGCACTGGCGCGAATAGCTTGACCCATTAAAGCAGTATCTTTAACACTTTTGGAAGCTGTTGATTCAGATTCACTTTTTTCAGGTAATAACAGAACCAAGACACCTTCTTCAAAATCAGCCATGATATCGTCCGTGTCTTGCATGTTACCTAACTCAAACACAACACCAGGCCCAGAAGAATGAAGTAAGATAGTGAAAGCCTTTGGTGTCGTATTTGGGTAGACAGGGTATTTCATTTCAGATGTTGAGCTTTCTTCAAGCAAATCTTGAATCGCCTTTTTGGCAGGTCCAACCATTTCTTCTCTCAACAATAAGAATTGGGTGATAAGATAGTTGAGGATGTCTTCAATCCAAGAGTCATTTGTTTGGTTTGTAATCACAGTCTGATATAGCTTTTCGTATTCCTTTAAATAGTTTATCTTGCCCATGGTTTCGAACATGATAGATTTAGCATTAGGTATCAAAGGTAATGTAAACATCAGATCGTCAGTACATAAGCTGCCCTTCGTAACTTCTTTAAGAGGAAGGGCTTTTAGGATACGCAAACATTCAAACATTTCTGTCTTAGATTCTAGTGCAACAATATTGCCTATTCTTTTGTAGATGCCCATATAGTCCATAATGGGCAACTCTTGTTCAAAACGAAGTGTAGATTGAACTAATATGGTACTGAATCGAAGCATCAGCCTCAAGTCAGAAGGTGTATAGGCATATGTGTTGATAAATCGCATAAAATGTATCTTAAACGGACTCCAGGCTTCCCAAATCTTGTGAGCGATGTCTACTGTCTGTTTGTCATGTATTGGTTTAGATTCCATAGCAATCACAAGTGATTCAAGCAAGAATCCAAAGGTACGAGGAGTTAATTCAGGTAACTTGTTGTGTAATATATAGCCGAGTTTTTTGTGAAAAGATGCTATCAAATTCTCTTGTTTAGGGTTTTCAATGATGGAAATAAAGAACAGTGCATATTCAATGTCGAAATTATTAGGTATAGCTACTGGAGCAGTGAAAGTAGCAGGAGTGTTGTTAGCATAACTATTAGCAGGCATAGGCATATAAGGATGTCCAGAATGCATCATGACAACAGGTACCATTTGATGCGTATTGGAAGCTGGGTTTGTATCGGAGGGCCACATACCTAAAGAAGAGGAGGAATGCGCCATACTGTAGCTAGTATCATAAAGAGTCGAGGATGTGTTGTCTTCAATAGCCCAAGCAGGTGTTTTTCTGTCTACAGCTTCAGCGTATGTTTCGTCCGGCTTTTGTTCTTCTGGTATATTGGTAGCAAATAAATCTGTATTTGAAGAAAAGAAATCGCCTGGGGAAAGCCATTCTGAACGCTTTTTGGATTTTGAGTCTTTCTTGAGCTTCAGGTCAACACCTTCTTCCCATGAATTAATGGCTTCTGATTTAAGGTCTTCAAATTTTCCTACACCAGGCATGAATTTAACAAAACCCAGAGTGTCTATCTTTTGATCCCGACTGCGGAAAGAACCAGATTGAACAGGTGAACTGTGATTTGACAGCCTGTCTGTTGGAATATTTGTACTGCTATTACTGCTGGTGGATGTGTGGTCTGCAGTCCATGATTTGTTAGCTGTTATTGGTGTCTTATTGTGTGCGAACTCTGTATATTCGCTCAAGGGTGGGGTATATTCGTTCTGACTATAAGAGAATAAGCAACAATGACAAGTTATGTATGTATACATACACGGACGTATCTGCTGTCACTTGACTCAGCTTTGAGTTAGAGTCTGTTTCTGTAGGTGATCTGGTGACATGATTAGTCCATGCATTCATTTGCCTTTGTCAACTTACACTATGCTAGATGTGGCAGTGTTTGTTCGATTAAGGCGCCTTGGTCTTGGTGGTAAGACTGAGTCCATGGTGACAAGACTTGAATTTTTTGAAGTTGTTTCATGGCGTTGGTTTTGCTGATCGATAGAGCGAACGATCGAGTTTGCCCTTACGTTTTCTTCAAACGTTGAAAACATATTGACACGAAACAAGAAATGAAAAAAAGAAAAAAAAAAGGATTTTCTTACAGAACTAGGTTTGTGCGCCACTCAATTTGCATAGGTCATGCAAACTTGGATTTTCTTAGTCCTATATTTTGAATTCATTCAAATGCTTTTATTGAATATAGACAAACGCTTTGTGTTTTGTCTTTCTCTTTCTTCTTATGTATACATTACCTTCTATCTCGTTGATCAATAAAAATCATATCTAAAAGGTCTTTGATGATAAAGAAAGGCAATGCAATCATATCACCTATTTTTTTTTCAGGTCTTAATCTGTATATAGCTCACAAGAGAACAATCACTAGTAAAATAAAACATATGTGTTCATTTTTGAATAATAAAAGCTAACATATGAGAAAACGGTCAAAATGACCTTTCAACTAAAAGGTACTGCTCATGAAAAAAGCTCACTTTGACAACTGTGGATCTTCTTTTTGACGTTACAAGATGAAAAATGGAGCTATTGACAAGCTTAAATACTCAAAATGAGCGTCAGAGACTCTAGTTTTGGATCAATGTGTTTATTTGTTCATCATATCATAAAAGTGATATGATACAAGCAAGAAATTTCAGTAGCAAATTCTGTGTATTCTTTATATCAATAGACTCAGAAGCTAAAGAATCTGCAGCTCTTGTCACTATACCAAAGCTGAAGAATTGGAATTGCCTTTTGATTTCAATTTCCGCCCAATGGCAACCTGTATGCCTTGTGTCCATTTGTTCCACATTTGTATTATAACTCGACTATGTTTCTACTTCTTCATGCTATTTGTTATCCCAAATAACATATGGTGGCTTTTAAAAGTGCATGAATAACTCATTTTATGTGACATCTAGAGCAAAAATGCTCAAAACACAGCTTAAGCATGCCAATCTTTGATGGCTCATTACTCGACAACCAGACCATCAACACATCTCATTTTTTCATTTATAACATGTTCTTTGGAGTCCAGGAATTGAATGGTACCATTGTTTTGGTTATTTTGTGAGATTCATTTTTTTGATCCAGTCTAGGTCTGACCCAACCGAAATGAGGTGAAGCCATTTTTAAGTACTTCCAAAGAAAAGAAAAAGAGTTTACCAAGACAAAAATGTCGACTTGATTTGAACATGGCCTTCAAATTTGCATTCAAAGTTGGTTGCACACTGTGAATAGTGGGAAAGTAGCCTTTTTTTTTTTGTGTAAAGAGATTATTAAGTGAATGACTTTTTAACTCATTTTGATGTTGATATTTTTGACTACAAAAAGAGCAACTCTGAATATGGCAATGTCATGCAAGAGACGTATTCGGCCTTTCAAATATTAATTTCTTGCGTATGTGTGCTCTCTGCTTTGATGATCCGCTGTACAAAAGCAGCACGTAGCATCACAGCCTATTAAAGGTAGTATGGCTAGTGTTTGGCAGGCAGATTACACTCTGATCAACTCATACTGAGGATAAAAAAAAAGGCAATGAACGTGAGTGAATAAAACAATGATACAGCTGGATTCTAGGCATAGCCCATGTGCGTGATCTGGTGTCATTAACTGAAAATAAATAAACAACGTACAAGAGCCAGCCAAAGACACGTCTTGATGTTGAGGCAAAATAATTTACTTTGAAATGACTTGCATCAATAAAATAAATGGAAGTTATCCACCTTACTACGATATAGCGATGTATTATGAAGATCCTATCGTGTTCAGAGATCTTTATTGAAGCTTTTGAACACTTTTCTTTATTGCCAAGCATGAACTTCGTACTCTTCAAGCCTATTCAAAAAGTTCCCGAGAGAAAAAGAATGTAACTCTCAGACTCTGCGCTGTACTTTAGAAAGTGCTATCCTCTAAGCCAATGGGGTTGATATGGATGTCACTTGCAAGATCTCAAAACATCAGCTTAGATCGACAGCTCAACTCTTTTTTTTTTTATGATAGTCATGGCTGTTTATCCACTTGAAAGTACAGGTTATTTTCTCATAGAAAGCATAAATGAGTGGTAAAACGGACGATCAATTTGGTCTTTTTTTTTCATATATATTTTACTCGTCATGGGCATTCTAAACGGCAATGTTCCTTTAAGCAACTTGCGTTTTAACGACGATCATTTACCTACAGATACTTCTATAGATCAAGTAAGATCTATACACGTCCAAAAATAAATTGAAGTTAACATAAACAGAAACGAACAGAAGAATCAGTCCTTGAAAAGTTTGTACCTTATGCTCCGAACAATGTTCGCAAACTCTCTTTAGAAAGGTTTGAATACACAAGACATGGATGGAATGTATTGACATGACGTGTAGTATTGAGCTTAACCGAGATAAACACGTTGCTTATTTGAAAAAGGGTCTACAAGGACTTGGGCGTTGGGCAGCAGTACTTGATGCAAGTAAACCATGGCTATTATATTGGATATTACATGCTTTGGATTTATTAGAATACACTTTTGATGATGCAATGAAGCAAAGGTATGGATATGTACATACTCTTTTATATATATAACGTATTGTTGGAATAGATTGATCGATACATGCAAACAATGGCAATTACCTTCAGGTGGTTTTGGAGGAGGAGGAGATCAATTAGCTCATTTAGCAACCACTTATGCAGCTGTGAATGCCATTGCTATCATAGGCATAAAAGAAGCGTATGATCTATTGGACAGAAAGGCTTTATATACATTTCTGATGCGCATGAAACAACCTGATGGATCCTTTACGATGCATGAAGGAGGCGAAATTGATATTCGGTAAGCAACACAAGTGACGGTTCATGGGCCTGATTGTATGATGTTAGTGGCTCTTATTGTGCTCTTTCTACTGCTGCATTAACCAATTTGCTTACACCTGAATTACAAGAGAACTGTATTGAGTTTATACAGAAATCACAAACGTATGAAGGTGGTATCGGTCCTTATCCTGGAAAAGAAGCTCATAATGGATATACTTTCTGTGGTTTAGCTGCTATGAAAATCTTGAATGGGATGGATGCATTGGATATGGACAAGTTATTGGTAAGCACACAATCGACAGTTTTAAAAAAAAAATAACAAGTTTTCTAGGCATGGTGTACTGGGCGTCAAATGAGTCTTGAAGGTGGGTTTCAAGGCAGAACAAACAAGTTGGTGGATGGTTGCTATTCTTTCTGGGGTGCTGGCGATTTCCCTATTATCAATGCAGAACTTCATATGGGTAATAGATTAGACTAAAAAATAAGAAGCACACTAACATGATAGGATAGATGACTATATGTTTGATAGAGAAGCATTGCAAGAATATATTTTATTATGCTGTCAATCTAACTATGGTGGTTTGATAGATAAGCCTGGTAAAGGAGCAGACTATTACCATACATGCTATTGTCTTTCAGGTCTATCTGTAGCACAACATTCCATTCAGTATGTTCCTGTAGATCAAATTCAACAAGGTGGCCTTTGCTCTCTTTTATGGACATGTAAAAATGAATACATGATTGTGGGTGATGTAAACAATACCTTGGCTGCTTCACACCCTATTCACAACATTACAATGCGAGCAACAAGAAACATGATCCATTACTTCTATCAACAAGAACTCAAAGACATTCAACATTTGTTGCCCTTGGATGAGGAAGCCTATGATGAATAAAAAATTATGCTCATTTAATGTCCGTTTTTCTTTTTTTTTTTTCTTCTTCTCTATGAGTCACTCACCTAATTTGAATGCACAACCTACAAAAGGTATATTAAAGAAAGCAAAACAACCAAGTGATGCTGGAAGGTAAAGTCAATAAGAAATAAGGATGTGTAGACTGATATATGTACAATAGGTTAAGATGGGATGAAGCCAACCTTGAACTGACCGAGTCACAAAAGGACTCTACCATGAAGGTAGATGAACCCAAGACACCTTATGTTCGATATGATGCTACAACAGACCAAGTACTTAATATGGATGGTACATGTTCAATAGATAGATAGATAAGCTTTTATTGACGCGATGATATGATTAGATATTCCTGGTATTCCTCAATATCATCATGAATCTGAACCTGAAGAATTCACTTTGGATGGAGGTGTTGCTTCTGATAAAAAGTCACGTAGAAGAGTGTCTGTCAGTGATGATGATTGGGAAATTGATGAAAAAGAAGAAGAAGATGAAGAAGGTAAGCCATTGTATCTTTGTATCATGGCCTCATTATCTGTTTAGCCAAGAAGCGTCATGAAGAATTTTTGCGTAAAAGAGCCATGCATTATCATATGGGAGCAGCTTTACGCCATGATAAAGAAGATGAAGAAGAAGACGAACAGACAATACCACCTGTACCTACTTCTTTATAAGTGGGTATTTCCTTGTACGACTTTCTCTCTCTCTCTCTCTTTCTCTTTCTCTTTCTCTTTCTCTTTCTCTTTTTTTTTTTTTTTGATTTTATAAACTCTCTTTCTTTTTTTCTTTCTGATTTTTCTTTCTTACAAAATGACAAATATTCGTAATCATCCTTATCATTTTGAACATGTATTACAACCCTCAGTAGACTATGGACAAACAACACAATATCATAATTTTACTTGGCTTGTCTTTATCAATGCAAAATGGATACCTTTTGCAAGTGCCAATCAACATAAACTAGAACAAACATTAGGATTAGGCGGTACTTTTGTGGACATTGAAGACTGTCTATTTCCTGGTGTGAAACGAGTACGTGTCTTTCCAAAAGCGAATTATTTAAGCTATTTGGGTGTTAAATATCGATTATCAAGAGTGATGCAACCACATCAATTTGAATTTGATGCTACAGAACAAAGACAGCAACAAGAACTGGATGAAAATGATCCTGCTATGAATCGAATACTACAACCAAGCAGGTTTATTGTTATGGATAATCTATGTAATACATCTCACGTGAACCTATAAATTTGATCATCCCTCTCTCTTTCTTTCTTTCTTGATAAGCCACTTTTTTTTTTTTACTTTCTTTTACTAATGACATTACCATCCCATCAACAAACACAACGTCTCGATCATTTATTTACGGCAAGTTATCGTATGTTTACTGCTTGTCCGTCCTTGAGTCGATATTATATGAATGAATTTCAAAATACATTGACAGAATATGAGTTAACTTCAGCTACAGAACGTCTTTCTTGTTCTAGTTGTGGACAAATTCTAGTACCAGGGTTGAATTCACAAGTACGACTGATATCTAAGAAAAGACAACATAAGCCTAACAAAAGTTTGATTCGATCAATGTGCTTTACTTGTCGTCACACAAAGATATACCATGGCTCTTACAAGAAAAAGATACCCACTGAAGAAACAGCACCTCCAGTGATTGAACAAGGCAAGAAAAAGAAAAACAAGGGAAAAAAGAACAATCTAAAAGCCTTGCTATCTAAACCTAAGCCAAATACCTCAACAACAGGCGGTCTCAGTGATTTCTTATCCTCACTTTAATAATAAATTTTGTTCTGAATGCTTCTAAAGTGTTCCTTTTATTTATTTATTTGTGATGGTATGGTCGATGGTGAATTTCGATTGGAGGCTTCTTCATTATTTAACAAGTAAAATGGGTAGTGTTTTTGATCTGCAAAAGTTGGCATGTTATTATTATTATTATTATTATTATTAGTACTGACAGCTTCTTCTGTTTGAGAACATATCGAGGATGTTCTTCGCGGTCTTGCTGAATCACTTACAGTACCATCACTTCCATATTCATCTCTTCTATGCCTCTTTCTTGGTCTACCCACTGGGCGTGCTAACAAGAGATCAATCAAGAGAAAAAGAAATGAGTCAGGCTTACCTGCTGCTTCATTCTCAGCCTTAAAATCAGAAATATACTGTTGGTATTTCTAATCCCCCCTCTCAGCATCAGTCTATCATTTCTATGTGTTATGGTTTACCTTAAAAGCGTCTGTCTTTTGATATTCTTCTACTTTCTTTAAATACTCTTCCCTTGCTTTCAACGCAATGGTCTCATACATTTCTTTTTCTGCTGGGGTGATATTCTTCCATCGATCACCAATGATCTTGGCTAGATCAGTAAACGACTTGTTTTGTTGCTTCAGTTCTGCTCGTACATCATTCGAGAACATCACATAAGCAGAAGGTGGTTTTAAAGGTGCGTTTATGTCTGGTTTAGCATGGCGATGATACTTGCGTTTCCATAATCGATGGACATTATCACTGGTTACTGCTTCTTCTTCTGTAGAAGACATGCCACTGGCTGTGTTATGGATCATCGTGCCTGCCGATGGAGAATAGTCATTTGGTATGTAGGAGGCTGCAGAAGATGGAGAAGAGGTGTTGAGGTGAGAAGAAGTTGACATGTGGATGTCGTTGGTGGGTTTGGATTGAATGGATGTACTGGGTGCAGGAAAAGATGGGTTAGTGACATGAAGGCGTTGACCAGGGGGAGGTTGGGCTGGTGGTGGTGGTGCTGGTTGATGCATCTGATGTTGTTGTGTGGGTGGTTGGGGTGGTTGAAATGGTTGTGGAGCATAGTCTAGTTTGTTTTTAATACAGGATCATGTTAAAAATAAAATAAAAAGGGGGGGGGAGTTATACCTGTTAGATCCTTATTGTTCAAGATAGGTGTGATATTTAATGGAATATGAGGCGATATTCCTTTCGCATTTGCTATGGCTCTTTGGAGGAGCTACAAATAGAAATGGGTTATAAGTCATCTACAAGAACATCAAATTCTCAATCATCATTTTTCGTCATATCAAATAGAAACATACTCTACGATGCCCTCGTTTGACTTGCATCTGTATTAAATCTGATTCTGTGATTTCTAGCAGCTATGATAAGGTAAATAGACATTCATGATATGATATACCTACAGATTCTAGTCTGTCAAACCCTTCTTCCATAAAGATGTCAACATATTGAAATAGACCACACTGAGATAAAAATGCTTCTACTTGTTGTTGGTGTATGTGTGTTGGCTGGCATAAATCAATAGGGTTATCATTCGTTGGTGGTGGTGGTGAAGACATGTTTTGCATAAAAAAATATATATGTATAAATTTAAATTCTGTGGTCGAGATGGTAAAAATCGGCTTCTATTTAGATCTTCATTCAGGAAAAAAAAAAGTAGTTACTGACAAGCATACGTTTATTTCTTTCTTTTTTTTTTTTCTTTTTCTTTTTTTGTTTGTTTCCTATAAAGAATAAGTCTTTTTGCTACAAAAAAAAAATTTGTTTTAAGGAGTGAGAGTAAGAGAAAAAAGAAAAAAAAGAAAAAAAGGATTTTTTTTAAAAAACAAAAGGGAAATACACATACACATACACGCAGCAGTTTATATATGGGATGAATGACGCAGATAAACTCGATAGAAGTCTCAAGAACAACATAGAACAATGTTCTATCGATAAATGTTTATTTGAATTTTCTATTTTTTGACATACCGCTTTATTTTATTCATTTTGTAACAATCAAGTTCAAGTACCGAAGATACATCAAAATAAGATATATACACTTTTAGAAGATGCTAATTTATATATCCTGTTTCTTTTTCGATTTTTTACAAATTAGTTTGTCCTATCCTATTCTATGAAAAAAAAAATTGTATTTTTCTCTTTTTCTCTTAACATAACAATAGCATCATTAAAAACATTACATCAAACAAACATATTTATTTTGTCATTTATAGGATGGAATAACCCATGTTGTTACCTCCTAGTTTCTGTAAGGTACAATGGATAACAAAACTTATTTGACATATTTATTGTGTTACCTATTGTGACTGTATTCCATGATTTCAAAACAAAAAAATAAAAAAAAAAAAAAAGAGAGGCTACCTTGTTCACCATGTCACCATCTCAAGATCCACCACCTACAACAGCTTTACTTACAGGCGCAGCAGGAGCTTTTGGAGCAGGTCTCTTAGGCGCCATTTGGCATACGAAAAGAAAACAAACACAACGCATGGAACAAGAACTGGCTGAAGGAATTGTTCATACACCACATACACCTGTGCCATATACCCCACCCAAAATGACACCTGCAGAATATGCTGTGGCTCGAAAAGAAGCGTCACTTTATGCAGTGAAAACATTGGGTTATGGTACATTATTGGCATTTAGTGGGGCTGGTTTGATCGCATTGGGTGTAGGTTATTGGCTTGATGTTCGCAATGTAAGTGTTGGGATGATAGAAAGTGTATTGATGTGTGTGTGTCTCTTTTTTTTTTTTTTTTTTTTTTTAGTTTAAGGAGTTTTCAGATAAACTTCAAATTATTGTACCTAAACAAACATCCAAGTTGAGGCAAATGTTGGGAGGAAAAAAGCTGGAAATGACGTCAGAAGAACAACAAGAATTAGATAGCATTCAAATGAAAGATTAAAAAAGAGAAACCTATATTATTTGCTCGATCTGTTTAAACTAGCGGCGGATGATCTATGCGCTGTCTGAACCGGGAAATTGAATGAGTCAAGTTAGTAATCATAAATAAGCTTTGATGGATAAGAATTCTATGTTTGAAATTGAAAACACTGTTTCATAGTGATATACATCTTTTCTATGCTTATTTGGTCATTGAATACAAGTCATAGGATAAGGAAAGCAGTTTTGTTTTTGGGAAACAGTATGTTTTATTTTTGTTCATTTAGACATTCTAATTCTTTACATTCTAAAGACACCAAAGTTCGTCTTCTCAATAGGTGCATTCAATGAAGCACTGAGTGCTAAACCAAGCACAGTACGAGTATCTCGAGGATTAATGACACCATCATCCCATAATCTGGCACTTGAGAAATAAGGATGACCTTCAGCTTCATACTTTTCACGAATAGGTGCCATAAACTTTTCTTGTTCTTCTTCAGACCATGTTTGGCCCTTCTTTTCTTTACTTTCTCGCGTGATTTGTGCTAATACATTAGCACTTTGTTCACCACCCATGACAGAGATACGAGCATTCTATCGGTCGATGAGTTCTATGTTTCAATCAGGTTGATTTTACTTACAGGCCACATCCACAAGAACCGAGGAGAATAAGCACGACCACACATACCATAATTACCAGCACCAAAACTACCACCGGTAATCACAGTGAACTTGGGCACACGAGCACACGAGACAGCATTTACCAACTTGGCACCATTCTTGGCAATCCCGCCTGCTTCAGCAGAAGAACCTACCATGAAACCAGTAATGTTCTGCAAGAACACAAGAGGAATACCACGCTGAGAACACAACTGGATGAAATGAGCACCCTTCAAGGCAGACTCAGAAAACAAGATACCGTTATTAGCGACGATACCGACAGGCATACCATGAATGTGAGCAAACCCAGTGACGAGTGTGGTACCGTAGTTTTCCTTAAACTCAGCAAATCGACTGCCATCGACAATACGAGCAATGACGTTCTTGCTGTCAAAGGGCTTTTTGAGGTTGTCGCCGACAATGCCACCAAGCTCATCAGGTGAGTATAAGGGTTCTTGAGGGACACAGAGATCAAGTTGGGGTTTCTTGGTGCGGTTGAGTGTGCCTACAATACGACGGGCCAAGACAAGCGCGTGTTCGTCGTCAAGGGCATAGTGGTCTGTGACACCAGACGTGCGGCAGTGGAGATCAGCACCACCCAAATCCTCGGGACTGATGACTTCACCAACGGCTGCTTTCACAAGAGGAGGTCCAGCCAAGAAGATGGTACCTTGTTTCTTGACAATGATACTCTCATCTGCCATGGCAGGTACATACGCACCACCTGCTGTACATGAACCCATGACAGCAGCGATTTGAGGAATGCCCATTGAAGACATATTGGCTTGGTTATAAAAGATACGGCCAAAATGTTCACGATCAGGAAAGACGTCGGCTTGTCGAGGAAGATTGGCTCCTCCAGAATCAACTAACATGTTCATGAGTCTACAGATATAGAGGGAGGAAGTGGCTTATGTAACACACATACCAAGGTAAATACAAGGCAAATGATTCTCTTTTGCAATTTCTTGAGCACGAAGATGTTTCTTGACTAAAATGACATGTCAGTTAAACATTCTTTAAAAACCATTAATTCTTTACCTGTAATGGGATAATAGGATCCACCCTGTATACCGGGTGAGAAAAAAATATATATATATATAAAAAAAGTAGGTGTGCTGTAAGACTTACCTTGACAGTTGGATCGTTGGCTACCACCATACATTCAACCCTTTGTTTTAAAAGTCAGTCCACATTCCCACGACTCTTGTGTTTTTTTTACCACACTTACCCATTCACGCGTCCAATACCAGTGATGATAGAGCCAGCAGGTACTTCTTCATCATAGAGTTCATAGCCTGCTAAAGTAGACAATTCAAGAAAAGGAGAACTAGTGAATCCCATAAGTTATGTGGCATGTTGCTATCCGATGTACTTACTTTGGATCCAACAAACGATTGATTCTATCATGAATAAGCATACATGCTATCCTATTGAAATCAACTTACCTGTCTCTGGGTAACATTTTCTTTCGAGACAAATGTCTTTGACGAGCAGCTTCTCCACCTCCTTTTTAAAAGATGGTTATATATATATATATGATGGTTTCTATCTCTAGCCACTTACCCAACTTGATCTTTTCTGTCTTGAGGTTCAAATCATCCACTAATCTTTGCATTCTCTCTGCGTTCTCTTTGAATGAAGCACTGGCAGTTTCTACTCGGTTAGGAATGACAGAAGCATTGTCTTCATGAAGAGAATGATAATGAGATTTAAGCACAGAATGAAATGCAGCTGGTTGACGAGTCAGTGCATAACGTGTTTGATGAACAAGTCTTTGAGATAACATTTTAAAGAAGAAAGAAAGAAGAAAGAAAGAACAAAAGAAGATGTATAAAAAGGTACAGTTTTTCCCACGACGCACACAAAAGAAAGAGAGTGAGAGCATCCAGCATTACAAAATAATCTGGCCAATCAAGCATGCTTCTTAAAGTTGCACTGAGTAAATCTTGTTTAGTCGTACACACATTGGGCAACCTTGATTGGCCAGATTATTTCAAATGATACTATGGTGCATTATCTTTTTTGTTTTTGTTTTTTTTCTGTAATATAGGATGGGCAACAACATCTCAAATTTCACAGACATGGCTACAATAAGTAGTTATGTGAATGTGCTGGGCGATGTTTATTTTGAAAAGAGGTAATAAAACTAGACATAGGGCCTATTTATGTAATGACTTGTAGTATTGGCACAGCTCGATTCATGAAGACATTACGTGCAAGACATACAGATGGTTATGTGATCATCAAATTATTCATTAAACCAGAATCTGGTATGGACTTGTCTAGACAAGTCAAAAAGATCAAAGGCAAGTAGATTGCATCCACGCGTCTTTCTTGTTGACAATCACATACAGAGGAATCCAAAGCATTGATGAATGTACCTAATGCATTCTACTTTCAACGAGTGGTGGAAGATGACCGTGCTACTTTTCTTGTTCGACAATATCTATATAGTAGTCTTTATGATCGTATCAGTACTCGACCTTTTCTGACGACGATTGAAAAGAAATGGATTGCCTATCAGTTATTAAGAGCAGTAGCAGACTCGCATGAAAAAGGTGTCTATCATGGTGATATCAAGACAGAAAATGTACTTGTTACTTCTTGGAATTGGGTGTATTTAGTAGACTATGCTTTCTATAAGCCTACTTATTTACCAGAGGTATGGAGACAATATGATGGTGCATGCTATTCATGTTTTTATTTTGTTAATAGAACAATCCAGCCAATTATTCGTATTATTTTGACACTTCTTTTCGAAGAACAGGCTATATTGCCCCTGAGCGATTTTATGGACCTGAATCCGAGATAGAGCAACGCATGGTAAATAGCAATCCAATGTGCATAAAAGAACTTATTTGTTAATAGAACACACTGGCTGAAAATGAACATAAAAGTGAACTGACGCCTGAAATGGACATCTTTTCAGTAGGGTAAGGCCTCTACTCCATTTGCTATATAGAGTACTCATAGGACCTAGATGTGTGATTGCAGAATTGTTTCTTGAGGGCACACCTTTGTTCAACTTGTCTCAATTGCTTAAATATAAAAGTGGTGATTATCATCCTGACACTGTACTTGATCAAATAGAAGACAGACATATGCGTGATATGATCAAACATATGATTCAAATGGATCCAACCAAACGATATTCAGCAGAAAAGTATTTATCAGAATGGCATGGAAAAGCATTTCCTCACTATTTTTATTCGTTTCTGTATCAATACATGAGCGCATTGAATCAAAAGGTCCATAGTCCACCAGAACAGACAGATACTACCATTCTATCTGCTCTTTCTTCAGCTTATCCTAATGTTAACACAAAGCTGACAGATGCAGATGAAAAGATGGAGCATGTATTTGATGATTTTGAAAGGATTCTTTACTTTATATCGTCGAGTGATACAGAAAGAAAAAGAGCAGACAGTACAGCCTCTTCTATTTTACTTGCGCCTGTTAATGTGTCTACTACCAACACATTCACAGAAGAAGAAGGATCACTTATTTTACTCTCATTTATTTGTTCTTTGATCAGAAATACACTTTATCCCAGCAGCAAACTAAAGGCATTGGACATTCTGCTTGGCTTGGGTGAAAGATTACCTGACGATGTCAAACTGGATCGATTGGTCCCTTATCTGATTGCTTTATTAACAGACGAATCTGCCCTGGTCAGAGCCAATGCGATCAAGACACTCACTCAAGTCTTGTGTCTTGTCGAATCCATCTCGCCCATTAATGCCCGTATTTTCCCTGAATACATTATACCCAGCATCCGCCCATTTTCCACAGACCCTGATGTTCTTGTTCGATCGACCTATGCTAGCTGTATTGCCTTATTAGCCGAGACAGCATTACGGTTCTTGGAAATGACACAACTGTTAAAAGCAGACCATGTCTATCCACTTCAAGATACTGATTCAGAAGATCTGGATTTCGAGTCTGCCTATGACTCTTCCTTGCAGGATTTACAGGCTGTGATTCAAGAACAAGCGACCATTTTATTGATCGATAGTGAAAGTGCTGTCAAACGAGCCTTGTTGACCAACATTACTTGCCTCTGTGTGTTCTTTGGAAGACAAAAGGCAAACGATGTCCTGTTGAGCCATATGATTACTTATCTGAACGACAAGGATTGGATGTTGCGAAGTGCTTTTTTTGAAAGTATCAAAGGTGTAGGTACTTTTGTAGGTGCTAAAAGTCTAGAAGAATACATTTTACCTTTGATGATTCAAGCCTTGACAGGTACGTTTGTAATAACAGACTGAAGCTTACCCATATGCATAGATGCAGAAGAATTCGTGGTTGAAAAAGTCTTGAATTCATTGACAAGTTTAGCAGATCTAGGTCTGTTTCCCAAGATGAAGCTATGGGAACTAGTAGGCGTCATTTGGCCTTTGATTTGTCACCCCAATGTCTGGATTCGATATGGTGCTATTGGGTTTATTTCCTCAAGTGCTAAAAATCTACCAAAGACTGATCTTTGGTGTATTATCTATCCTATGCTGAGACCCTTTTTGAGATCCGATATTGCTCAAGTGAATGAAGGCACCTTATTAGAAAATGTAGAGACACCTGTAAGTGTGTCTATAGTTCTTTTTTATATATGTATTAACAAACTTAGATTTCTCGCCAAGTCTATGAACAGGCCATCGTTTGGGCTACAAAAGCAACTGTTCAATCTAATTTCTGGAAGCAACAGATCAGTAAACCTATCAAAGATATGATGTCGTTTAAAGCACCTCGTATGTCAATGGCAGCATCCAACACATTCATGAGCAGCAGTAAACGAGGTAAGTGAACAGCATGGAAACATCAGTATCTTATTAATCCATTCTTAGGGTCTTTATTTAACAGTAGCATCACAGCAGAAGAGGAACAGGATCATTCAAAAGAGTAAGTTGCTGAAATACATGCCATGGATTCAACAAGCCATTAGGGATCAAATTTTCTTGGAGCGTTTAAGAAGTTTTGGCATGTCGATAGAAGATGAAGACAAGTTGCGATACATGCGAGAATATATTTACAAAGTGAGCAAGACAAAGATGAGGTAAATTCAAAAAAAAAGAGGTTAAATACTCACTCTTTTTTTTTTCAAGTCGGCCAAAAGCCATTGAAGAACAAAGCTTGATGGTAATTATATATATATATATATATATATATAGACTAACATAAAGAGTAGAAGGGTGACATCTTGTTGAAAAACCTTAATGTGACGCCCATGACTGTGTTCTTACCTGACTTGTCTCAAAAGTTACGCAGCATGAAATCAAAGCAAGGGGATAAGCCGTGAGTATACGATAGGAAGCTTGACTGTATATATTCATCTAAAATATAGTCATTCTTCACCCAGTCTTCAAGTACCCAAATCAATGCGTACTCAGTCTCGAGAAGATTTATGCAAACTCAATCGAATTGCTAGCCAACCTCATATTCAGGCACTCTCACCCAGTATTGTTGATAAAGAAAACCATAACCATTATCAAGAACCAGTGACAGCCATCCCTATTCAGAACAAGATAAACTACCGAACCTCACCTATTCCTAGTCCTTCAGACTATCACTTTGGATCGAGTGTGCCTAAAAGCCTTGAAAGGCCTAAAAGTAGGTTATACACAACATATCATGGTACTCATAACCTTCGTAGGCATTATCTTGACCATGGATGCTATCAAGAACAAACATCACACACTAACAGAACCTGTTGAGTTGAGCTTATTATCCAGTCAGACAAAATCACAGAGTATCCATGATCATGATGATCCACCCAAGGAACCACCCAATAAAGTGAGCTCAAGTAAGTCTATATAACACATCTACTTTGTATTCATTGTCCTTTTTTTTTTTTTACAAGTTGGATATGCTCACTTGCACAAACTATTGTACAAAATTGCAACGGAAGCATTCCCCCCTCATATACCAGGTAATGCATATATAGATATTGTATGATGCTTACTTTAGTTAGAATTTGCTGGAGACCCTTCTGTTATGAAACGTATCCGCAAACTCACCAACATGACTACACCAAACACTTTATACAACTGGAAGCCTGAAGGCATTTTGGTGGCCCATTTCACTGAACATACGGGCTCTATCAATCAACTAGCCATTTCTTTTGACAATCTCTTGTTTGCTTCTTGTTCTGATGATGGTTCTGTCAAGATATGGGATTGTTCTCGACTGGAACGGAATGTCACCAATCGATCCAAAGCCACTTATAATCAACAGGGAGGTCGTATTAAATGCTTGACATTTGTTCAACACACTTACAGTATTGCTGCTGCGTCTGACAATGGAAGCATCCATATTTTTCGGTAAGTGAAAGACTCAGATGGACATGGCACTGATGGACATGTTAGTGTGGATATTCGTAATGCAGGTTCAGCACTCAAGTTTGGTAAATGCATCACCGTACGAGAATATCAATTGATGGACGAACATGCTATTCTCATGCAGCACTTGACAAGCAATGCTTCAAACACAATGACAGGGTCCAAATCAATCTTGATGTTTGCTACGACCAAAAGCACCATTTATGCGCTTGATCTATTGACGATGGAGACGATCTGGAAGCTGCAGAACAACAAGAGCCATGGTGTGATTACTTGTATGGTCACTGATCCTAAACATGTCTGGTTACTCGTAGGCACCATGCGAGGTATTTTGACATTGTATGATTTACGGTTCCAAATCCCTCTCAAGTCGTGGCTTCATCCAAGCAAGAGTCGTATCAGTTCATTGGTGTTGATGGCCGATCCTCGCGATACGCAGGGCGAGAAGCATTTGGTGAGAATAGCAGCAGGAAGAAACGAGATTTCTGTCTGGGATCTAGAATCATTGACATGTTTACAAGTCTTTGCTGTCAAATCAGGCGATGAAAAGACCACAGGTGTCTTGTTGGAAGCCTACAAGGCTTTAGAAGCTCCCTCTGATAAAGACATTTTGTTAAACACATTTACCAACAAGGAATCAAATCTGGTAGAGAATTCAGTTCGAGCCGTCATCTCACCTCTTCATTGTCCGTTTATGATCACAGGTGGTACAGATCGAAAGATCAGATTTTGGGATACGTCTCGGGTGGAGAATTCGGGTGTTGTTTTAGGCTTGGAAATGGATGAACCCAAGCCAAGATACAGGTTTGTTCAAATCATATCCTTTTTTTTTTTTTAATCAAAACATGATAGTACAAATACATTTGATCATATGAATTTTTACTTTGAGTTTACACATGCCAATCGTCAACAAGGTGCATCCAACTATACAAGTCGTACAACAGCAGCCACAACCACAACCATGTCTATGTCTCATCATGCAAATGCCATTGCACAACAGCAGTATTTGATGAGAAATCATACAGATGCCATTACAGACATGGTATTAACAGAAGCACCTTATCCAATGATTATCAGCGGTGATCGAGATGGTGTTATCAAGGTTATTTCTTAAGAAAAATAAGTCAAAGTCGAATAAAGAGTATTTTTTTTTTTACCATCCTACAGAACGACTTGTCTTTATTGTTACATGTCATGATAGCTAATGAAGAATGAGTCAATGTATGTAGGGTGAGAAACAACTTACTTCATTGAAAATGTTGAAATTAACCATGGCCACAGGTTTCTTTTTCTCATTGATGGTGTTATTTGACTAGAGAAATTGAGTATCATATATTACCAACAATTGGCTTACCTTGAGTCTTTTAGGAGAAGGCTCATGAGAAAGAGATTTTGATTTAGGTTGTATGAGTGGTGAAGGAGCAGGTGGAGAGAAAGATGCTCGTGAATGCATTGCAAAATTATCTTGGTATTCTCTTGTTAATTGTGAAGCGGGTTTGGGTACACGTATCGTTGTTGTATGTTGATGTATTGGTTTAGGTCTTTTAGGGGATGAATGATAAATAGAAGCACTGATATGAACGTTAATCATTGTACAAGGTTTTGTCGTTACTCACACTTTGTCTGTCTCTTTTTTTGTTTGTTGAAATAATTTACTCATTGTTGATCGCCCTAAATGATGGTTAAAGCTCAACATAGACCATGCGTACTTACTTGCTGATTCGTATGAGTGTCTCTTTTTTGTAGGCACAACACCATGTAATACTTTGATAGACTTTTTTTCTTTTTCATTCTGTATCTTGCTGTATTGATTCTTGACTTTTTCTTTGATCAATTGCCTCTTTTTCTCATTTTCCTGATATTTGTTCTATGGATGCTGAAAATTAAAATTGACATTAAATCAGATATTTCTTACAAGATAAAGTTCTCTCCATTGTTTTGGATCTTGATGTAACCCTTGTTCGTATTCGTGCCGGATATCTTGAAATAAAAGACAATGCTTCAACCATAATTCTATCCATGCGGATAAGTTTATGTCTATCAATACAATATCACTTACCATCTGACTCGGCTGCGATATCCTACATATGCTTGTTAGCCAATCATAGATTATCGATCAAAGGGGGAGGGGGGAGAGAGAAACATACTGGATTTGCTTTTTCAATACGATACAGTTGCTGCGGTGTAGCGTGAAGGATAGAAGCCTTAAGTAAAGAATAGGGAACACTACCCACGTCCACTAACACTAGTATCCAAATTAGTTTATGGCGGCAACTCTATTCGACTTACAATCCAAATACTTTGCTAGTGTATCTTGACAAGTGGTGACTAGTGACTTGACTTGTTTATTATCTGGCATTAGGATTCGATATTGAAAAAAAGAAAAAAAAAAAAAGAAGAGAGAGAGAGAGAGAGCGAGAAATTTGAAGAGGTGTGTGTATGAGCGGAAATGAGAAACAAAGTCACTTTATTACCAAGACATCATGGATCAATTCGTACATAAGGCTTTTTATCATAAACGCAAAAAGTGCTCTTTCTTTTTGAAATAGAAAAAAAGTAGCTGGGTCTTTACTTTCCTTTATTTTTACATGATCTCCTTGCTTTCTTTTTATGCATGAACTCCTCTGTTGTTAACTTAATTTTCAAGTACCTGAGTTTTTGAATTGGCTTACGGAATCTGCATATCGAGACGATGTAATTTCAATGCTCTGGCTAGTCACTGGTATAAATGATAGTAAGCAAGTCTGATCAACTACTTTGATAACAAATACTTTTTTTGTGCAGCTCGGCTCTTCTTTTCATTCAACAAAAAACACAATCGTATAAGTATTATGGAGGGATCGATATTAATTAAACTAGAGCTCATTACTATCATTAAAAGAAAAACATACATACATTGTGACTACCAAATCACACTCTATTCTTCATGCGCTTTTAAACTCAGGATAGTATCTTGATTTGTAAACCAACTTTCTTTACGATCTGATAAACAATAATAGTATCACTTATAGATTGGCAGCCCGCTGCAGGCGTAAGTGCTTATCATCATAGATCAATATTTCTGCTTTCTAATTCCCTTCTTTTGAGCTTCTTATATTAGAGCATATGTTGTGAGATCAAGAGAGAATAGATAATAAATAAGAGAAAAGGTAAAAACACAGAGAAAGTCCGTTAGAACTTGTATAGGTTTTTATTTCTCCAAGAAATGTTATCTTTCAATTGCTATAAAACGTCGAGGTATTTATACTTTTTCTTCTCGGTCAAAATATTGTTTTGGGGTTAGCTTCTTGACTACGGATTGATTTGTTAGATCAGGAGCAATTAAGAGAAATGCCTTTAGAGGAAGTTGTCAGCTCAGTCAATAGTACATGATCTGACCTGAACTTGAATAAACTATTACATATTTGTCAAATGCCAATGCTAATGTATTTGTCAGCTCTAACTGTCACTTTATGAGGGCCATTGATAATAACAGAGTCACTAGGTTCATAATCTCTGACTATGAGGATGATGTAGTACTTCTAGTATAATGAGTGAATGTCAGTGACTATAGATCCATTGCAATTGCCATAGATGTGATCTGGTCTTTTGCCATGATCATCATTTATTGATCTATGCATATGAATTCATATATGTTCACAACAAAAACAATGGGCATTTCGAAACATCCAGCCACTGGTAATGAATGTACAGACACTAACTCCAAGCTAGTAGCTGTCCAATCGTTCTACTCCAAGTTGTATACAGAGGAGAGAATTGACATAAACAGTTTAGAAGCTATGACGAACCAAATTAACAAAGTCATGTCCAAAGAAGAAAGCGACAGCTTGATTGAAGAGATTCACTATGAAGACATCATACTAGGTATACAAAGAAGTTCACGTAAGAGTAGTCCAGGGCTAGATGGTATCCCATATGAGATATTCAGTATCATCGTTAACCAGCCAAACTGTCGAGATATCATACCACAAGTCTACAATGATGCTATCAAACTAGGAAAGTTTCCAAGATCATGGCAGCAAGGGTGTGTTGTATTGCTACCAAAAAAAAAAAAGGAGACTTATCATACTTAGGAAACTGGAGACCAATCACGCTGATCAATACAGACTGTAAAGTTTTCACTAGGTTAATGAATGCAAGAACGATAGAAATCGCCAATCGGCTTATCACCAAATTCCAAACTGGATTTATGCCAGTGTGACATAATCACCCAAAACGGCCCAAAAAGAAGTTCTGCTTTATTAAAGGTTATATTTTGTATTGTATTTATACTGTTTGTATGATAATTGATTATCCCTGATTTGGGACTGAGTGTGTATACACTAGCTAATCGGTTGAATAGATTAAGGTACAGAAGAACAGGGTACATGATCAGGGCACAGACCTCGTCTACCATTGGTATTGATGCAGATGTCAATTTGTGATTATGTGATGGTCTGATCTTTAGCGTGTTGAAACTAAGATAGAAGACATCCATCGAAACTGCGGATAAAACTGTGATTGAAAGATATATTTATACATGGCATTAATACTTGGTCTTTTAAGGCATAACTAGTGTAAGAAGGGATGAATAATGCTGTGTATACAACAAGCAGCCACTTCCTATTCCAAAGAAGAATAAAAGACATCGAAAATGATCAATGCGTCAGTTGTAATGAAATAGAATATGTCAAACACCTACTGATCTCTTGCGGTAATAAAGCAATGATTTAGCAAGATATATCCAACAAGTTCCTTGGCTACCCAATCGAAATTGATACAGATAAGATATTCCAAGATCTTAAAAATCTCACACTGTCAAGATACCTCATTTACAACTTAGATGTCAAGATCAATATATTCGACTTCTTTGTAACAATTATCAGATCAATCTGGGGCGGCCATTTCCAACAACACTTCCATGGAGTGCCTTTTGTGATGTTTGGGTTGTGAAATGAAAATAGAATAGAATAAAAAAGAAAACAAAGAAATACAGTGAGACTGTTCAGTACTTCTTTATTACAAAAATAAATTGATTGTCTAAAATATATCTTTTCCAGGTTGTCTTTTATACTACCTGATTTATTGACTAATTATGATTACTGATTATTGATTACTTGATCTATTAAGAGATACATTGTCTTATTCAGCACAAGAGGTTCTTTTATGTCTATTTCTGATGTAAATTGATTATGATATATTTTAGTATGTAATTGAAGACTTATTTAATGTTCAGATCATCACAAGATTAAATTATCACAAATCTGTGATATTCCCACTGTTGGGTCAATCTCGCTCATTATCTGAGACGTTTCATCGACACATTCGACAACTACAGTTTCAATGGTTTGATGCCAACAGTCCTTCTTATCTCCGATACCTTGGATATCCTTTCTGATTTAATACCACTCAGAGAGATACGTTCTGCAATGAAGTCATCCAAAAGCTGCAATATGCCATTGATAGAAACAAATCTAGACAAACCTCTGTGTATGGTCGAGCAAAATTGGACAACGCTATCTTACTGTCTCGGTTCTGGCATGTTCTTCGTATCACTGCCCTCCCAACCTACTTCTTCACAAAAATTTCTTCAATGATTTATCAGTTCGTTTGCCAAGGAATTTTTACTTCCCTGCGTAAGACAATTATTTACCATCCAAGACTTGGAGATTTGTCCGTGATAGACGTCCCTGCACAACAGAAGGTCTTCCAAAATCGGTACATTCGAACCATCCTCCATAACAATTACACTGATCGACCTATCCCTGCTTTCTTATTGCAGCTACTTGTATCGTACATTCAAGCGGCTTTCGATTGCCCTTATTATTAAGTATCTTTGCTTTTTTCCGAGACTCGTAAACCTGCTCATCCCTCTGGTTTACGCACGCTCTCTGCATTCTTAAAGCAATAAATGGTTATCCTCTCCCTTCCTCCTGGGACGATAGGAAGCTCAGCCCACCTGCATGTCTGGAGATCCCTTTTGTTGACCTGTGCCAACCTGGGCAAATATGTCCTCAAATCCTGGATAACGCAACCATTCAATTGCAAAAAGCATCCTATTTTCTGAAAATTGATCCTTCCTCAGGAGTGCACCAATTCAAAAAAAAAAAAAGACAATAATGCAAAAGCCTTGTACTGTTGTCACGGATTCACAAGGCATACAAAGATGGTTCGCTGCTGTTCTTGCCTTTTTTTTTTCAAAAATATTTAATTCGTTCATCGGATCCTTATCTACCGGTTAGCTTTGAACCATATCTACAACGATTTGCTTACAACGACTATTCAAACCTCAAATTCAACAATCCTGAGCTCCGCCAAATGTACTCAAGACATCTTCCTAATATACAGTCAATAAAGGCTAGCATAAACACTACCCGATTTAAACGTTTTCTTCGGATTTCAATTCCAAGTCGTTCGAGGAACCTATGGTATCGTCTTTTGTACAACAAAATCTCCAGCAGGACAATTACCACCTCCATCCTGCAACTACTAGATGATAAGTGTATATCTTGTGGCTTATCCCAACTCCAGAGCACATGTTGTTTACATGCATGGCTAACAACGATATGTGGCTAAATGCTATCAATTTGTATTTCAAACACCCATCTCGCTTCTCTCTTCCACAGCTATACCTGGACGTAATTGCTTTGAACGTTGATCATTACCAACTATTAGATACGTACCTTCGTCTCAATAGCTTTGAAATTCTTTCTGCTGTCTTCTTCTCTATTTGGAATGCCTACTGGCGCCATCATTTCGATTCTTAATTGTACGTTAGTCAAGTTATACTCGATGAAGCCGTCAAAACGATACGAAAACTATCTGCTTACAAATACTTGTAAATTCTGTTTTTTTAAGACAAGTCACTGCTTCTTACACTTGTTCTCCTTTAAATATATCCCCCTATTCGATGAGTTTAATGAAAACCCCCCGATATCTTCACTTTTCACTATTTTGTGATTGGTGACCGATAGAGACATTTTAGTACGAATTGTTTCTCTAGGTCTATAAAATACAACTAAAGTGTTGAACTCACAAAAGTACTATAAAAAATGTACACTAGGACTCAGAAACAAAGAACAGGTTTCTGAAGTATAACTCAAAACTTTAGTAACAAAAATACAATGTTATTTACATCATTTGGTACTATGCATAAATATCTACAGATTTTGCTAAGACAGTTATCTCATAATACTTCATTTTTGCGTAGTTTTAGTCCATCATTTCTTTTTTTTAAGTTGTATTTATTGATTGAGTCGCGTACACTAAGAGTAATGGTCAAAGTGAAGAGGCGGGTGCAATTGAGATAATGCTAAGAACTGATATAAAATATAATAACTAAATAAAAATACGATAAAATAAAGTAAACAATGTAGAGGTTATAGAAGTGAATGGCATTGATCCTCTTCAATGGTCTGACGAACATTGGATCGGATGCTTGCTAATATTGCTGTGGATATAATGGGGGGTTTTGTCAAAGATAAATCTCATATAAGCAAGCCAGGTTTGTGAAAGAGTCATTATGAGGATTCTGTATGGTTTGATTCCTTTCCATTGGCAGTACCAGATGTACAAGAAGTCCAGAAACAGAAGAGCCTCTTTGATATCAGAGATGGATATGGTAGGCTATAGGAACTCGAGAATTATTTCCCTTTATACCTTTTCTTTAGTTGGACAGTAGAATAACAAGTGGATGGTTGAGTCTTTTGAAGATATGCAAAGAGGGGAATTGAACATCATTTCTTTCAAAGTTCTGATCTCTTCTTTTTTTTTTGTCAACATAATCCTCCCTTGACGTACCTTTTTAAGAAAGAATTATCCTCTACTTAATTTTTCTCATTTGTGTCATTCTTTGTCTTTCAGCATCACAAGTTAGTTCTATCAGCAAAGTCAATTATAGGAAAGAATAGACGGAATTGGCTCACAGCTTTGTTTCTTCTATTGTCAATTCGTTTCAAAGACTAGACTCCAACATTGATGGTATTAATGGTTTCCTTTTTTGAGCAACAATTTGGAATTCTGTTGTTCAACATAAATACGTTCGCTTGTGTTCACTTATCTTTTTATTTTTACTATTAAAAATTGCTGTCATTGATTTGAACCTAATACTATACACTGATCTGAAATAAGAATTAACCCATTTTTTTTATCATTCGAACTTAGCAATAAAGGCATTATGATCAAGATGATACTTAAACGCATTCAATTTTTTGTGGATGATTTGTTAAGATGTTTAGTTTAAGATAATATAGTTTAGTACTTGATAGTACAGCCTTTGGTATCAATCACAGCTTGGCTGATCTATTGTATAGTAGTGCAAATGCAATGAGAAGATGGTGTAACGCAAAGAAAAACAAGCAAGCAACCTACTCCTTGATTATTATTATATGCTTTGTTATTCCTCAGAATAAAAGTTGGTTAAGCTTGAGCTTTAATGAACGGTTTTACACCATAATACCAGTAGTATTACGCTTATTTCCTAGTCTACCATAATGCATGGCTCTAAAAGAGGTATTCAATTACCTCCTCATATCTGTGTCAATATTTTACATATACTGGTTAATAGATGTTGATCTTATGTAATTTCTAAAATTTAATATTTTACGAATTTTTTTTTTCAGTAAAGTGTATTTAAAGCTCTTTCTCTTACACACTACTCTCCTTTTCCTCTTTTTTTTTTTTCTAACCAATTATTCTATATAGCTCTATTGAATAGACATTCTAAACAATTTTAAACATGATGCGTATTGCAGAGTCAGAAGGAGGTCCTGCAGCTGCCGTGGTTCAATGGGTAAAGAAAAAGAAAAATATAAGAGATGAGGTCGCGTTCATCTCACTTTGTCTAGATTAATTCTTTTGAGAGCATTTCACATTCGGTCAGTCATATTCAAGACCTCTCGGACGGCATCACTCTTTTCGAAGTTGCTTCCAACATGTAAGTCATCCTGTTGATGAACGTTATGTACTAACGATAGTACAAGTGACTACAAATGGTTCAAGTTAATTCGTTCAGCAGATGTAGGCGACAATTGGGTCCTTAAAATCAACAATTTAAAAAAGCTCTATAAGCTCATATCTCGTTACTATGAAGAAAAGCTAGGGGTTTCTTTTTCAAAATTGCCTGAAATCAATTTGAATGCCATTGCTAAAGACTCAGATCCACATGAAATCATTCAGTTATGTAAATACGTACTTTACATTGCTGTGTGTTGTCCAGACAATAGTCAGTACATTCAAAATATCACCCAACTCAGTAATGCTAGTCAAGAAAACCTCATGTTCTTTATCGACGAAGTAGGAGAGCTATAATGTGATGATGTAGACTAAACATTCGTTAGATTATGCGATACACAAAAGATGACCAACCCATGGAACCTCAACAAGCATCTGAACATGATACCCAAATGCATTCTTTTGCAGATGAAGGAACATACAAAAGTGAATTGACTCGAATTGTAAAAGAAAAAGAAGAACTTGAGATTCAAAACAGGCAATTGATTGACAAACATTCTGAACTCTTGACTCGCTATGTAAGTTGAATGATGTCAAACTGTAAATGATTTATTTCTTGTGATGTAGGACAGACTAGAGAATGAAAAACAAGACTTACAAGCAAGACTCAAAGACATGGACACAGCAGTAGCTCAAGCCAATGAAACAGGTCGAGCTGATTTTATTATGAGAACAGAAATTGAGCATTTAAAACAAGACTTGTAAGTTGATCGCATTAAACTCAATTCGACTGATCTCTGTATTAGACAGCGAAGTGAAGATACACGTCAAGAACAAGAAAGAAGATTGGACGACCAGACCTTTCAAATCAATGATTTAACAAAAAGAGTAATGATCATTCCCTTTTTTATGCATTGGTCACTCATCGTACTATAGAATGAAGAACTTACTAAATACGCTGAACAAGCAGTAAGACTCAAAGACCAGTTAGACGAACACCGACATGTAGCAGAAAAACTTCAAAAAGCAGAAAATGTGATTGAGAAATACAAAAAGAAGTTGGAAGAAACAGCCGACTTGAGAAGACAAGTCAAGGCATTAGAAGATCAAAATCATACCTTGATGGATCGAAATCAAAAGATTGAAGACGAGTACCGCAATGTACTTGCCTTCAAAACATTGATGGATTCTTACAAGGATCAAGTCACTATGCTGGAAACAAAGAACAATGAGTTGGTGAGAGAAAAGAACAAGTTGGATTATGAACTTGTGCAGATGACCAAGAAGATGGAGTTGTTGGAAGCAGATCGTGAAAGAGACTCAGACCGTATTCAGACATTAGAAGAGAACCTTCAAGAAGCACAGCTTGGTATGGGTTCGCTTGTAGAGAGACCTACGGCAAACAGAACATCAGAAGCTGATACAGACGATATAATGGAGATTGATGATGAATTTAATCTGAATGATTCTCTGGAAGATTCATTAAAGGAATCCAACGTCACTGAACTGTAAGTCATGACTAAATATAGGACAAAGCAATTGACACTATGTTAGTAAACTGTCCAAACGTCGTTTAGAACGTCAAGTTAAAACACTCCAAGAAGAAAATGCTCAAGGACGTAACCAAAAAGCAGTTGTCTTACAACACTTGTTGGATGATGCCAATCGTCTCAAAAATCAATTTGAAAAGAGTTACATTGAAGTCTCTCAAGAACGAGACATTCTTCAGAGTGATATGGCACGCATTCGTGAAGGTATTCCTGATGCTCTTGTCAATCAGAACCAACACACACTTTCTTTGCGTCTTCGTATTGTCGAACTCGAAAAAGAAATCAAGTCTCTGAATGAAACTGTCAAGAAGCTTGAACAAAAGATTGCTGAAGGACGGTTCAGTGATGGAGAAGAAGGTGGTGATTTCCATGCAAAATATGTCGAGTTGGAAAGCAGATCGAAGCAATTGGAAGAACAGACCAAGAAGCAATTGCAGGATATCAACAAGCTCTTGTTAGAAAAGGATCTGCTGCAGGGGCAAAGCATTGAGCAAAAGGATCTCTTGTTGGAGAAAGAACGCTTGAACAGTGAAATGAAGGCTTCCTTGGCCGCATTTGAAGCTAAGGGAGATGAACCATTCAAGCAACAAAATGCTCATTTACAACAACAATTGATTCAGTTGCAAGAAGAATTACATGAAGTCAAGACAAAACTCAAGAAAGCCAAAGAGGTAAAGTGTGTGTATTTTGTACCATGGCTAATAATGTCATGATAGTTTATCAAGCAACAAGACAAATTGTTCAAAGATAGTAAGGAACAAGCTCTGGATGGTAATAAAAATGAAGCTATTTCTTCTATGAAGACAGAGATTGCTATGCGAGAAGAAGAGATTGAAAAACTTAAGAAGTTCTTGCAAGAGACACGTATTCAAGCCCGTCGTGAGCAACAATTGATGATTTCTGCTTGGTATGACATGTCTAGAAGAACTAACAAGGAAGTTGTGAACAAAACCTTTCCTAATTCATGGCTTGGTCAACAAAGACGTACTTTAGACAACCAACTGAAGCGTCGTTAAACACCCTTTTTTTTTATTTTAAAAAATTGAATTTTTTGTTATAAATATATATATATATATATCATACTATGCAATTCAAACTAAAAACATATTCATTGCCTGTACGAATATCATCCATAACACAAAAGATAATTTCAGTTGCCTCAAGCTGTAAAGAACGAATATTGTGTCCAGGAATAATCTGAACAAGTTCACCCTATCGTTGTCCTTAGTCTATTGTGTCATTCAATAGATCTACTTACTGTATTTACATGTCGAATTTCGATAAAGCTAGAATCAAAAGCGAGTATATACGGGTAATGATAGACAAAAGATAGAGGATGTCCTTCCCAATTGATGAGCCAATCTGGTCGTACCCTGCGTCCTTTTTTGTCAATATAAAAAGCGATTTCTATAAAAGATAAGTATCACTTTCTAAATAGACAAGTTTTACCATTATAGCAAAGCATAATACAACCATCAGGATGTCTAAACATCGACACAGGTCTCAAAGTTTCTCTCTGGCTAATAAAATCATGATTTTCATCACTTGGATCCAATACACCTTGTTTTTTTTTAAAAAAAAATAAATGATGCTTATGTGTGTTCTTACTTACTTTGTACACCAGTAGAACCAATATCCACCATTTGAAACCCTTTGGCACTTCCCACGCAAATGACATTTTTGAAATACTGTAAGGAGGTGGCTTCACCCGGAATATAAAGATCCTTGAATACTTTAAGAACATCACTCGAGTTTCGCAAAAAAAGGCCCAGATTGGCTGATTGTCTTTTCTTTTTCTTTTTCTTCTTTTCTATTGTTCCTTCTTGTGGCTCTAAAGCTCGAATGGTGGATGTCATGGCATTGTATTTTACAAGGCAGACCAGTAGACGCTCAACAGCCATGGTCTTGTCGTAGACACAACCTACTCTAAAGAACGAAATATTGCTACCGAGTTTTTTAAGATGAAGCTTCTTGGTTGAGGTGATAGGTGATGTATTGGCCGTATCGTTGCTGTGACTACTATGACTACTTATACTTGTGTTGCTACTATGGGATACAGTAGCATGCTTGATGTTTTCACTTAGTGATTTAGTCTTGTCATACGAAATGGGAGAGGAACTGGAACTCACAAAGACAGAAGGAGACATCAACAACCGATCTTCTTCGTCAAACAATAGGTCCAACGAGAACGTATAAAACTGTTTGTCAGCTAATACCAACATCAATCGAAGATCCTGTAAGATATCCATCTGAGAAACTTTTTCAAGTGGCAAGATCTTGATGATATCCTCCTCCTCGTCTTCTTCTTCTTCTGAGAGCCTCTGGGCAGGCTTTCTTTTCAAGTAAATACCATGATCACAACCAAACAGAATACAGGTACCATATGGAATAGCACAATTGACCTTGTTGAACGAATTAAAGTATTGATGGCTAATGGTACGAATATGAAACATTTGACGTTTTTCCATGATGGACAATCGATGATTTTCAATGGCATCCATCCATTTTCTTCGACTAGCTAAAGTGGGCGCATACAATGTCGTCGTGCCTGAACCATGACGCCCTAGATGAATAAAGCTGATGGGATAACCACCTGATTTCTGACTGGTAGCTGAAGACGAAGAATAAGAGGTCAAAGGAGAAGGCAAAAAATCACTGCTACTGCCTGCTGAATAATAAGAACCTGTGCTGGGTCGGTTGTAAGGAAACATAGAACTTGATCGCCTTCCTCCTTGATCTGGTAACGCAATAGCAAGCAATGCCAAAGGAATAGGCTAAATAGAAAAGTATGAATGCATTTACTTGTGTTTTTTTTCTTCTACCTTGCGATACAACTTAAAATGTTCTGTGTGTTCAAAATATTTGGATTTGATGATGAGCAAGTAATGATCCAAAACATAGACTTGCAGTTCTGAAGATTCACTGGAAGAATTGGTAGAACTGTTGTTTCTTTTGAGTGCGCCTTTTATAATAATACGTCGACCTTGATCGAGTAAATTTAACTTGTTCTTGTGAACTCATGTGAGTCACTTGATAAAAAGAAAAAATAGCACTTACAATATCTTGATTGGGATTCTTTTTATAAGAGAGTTTCTTTTCAAGCAGCTCTAATCCAAATCTATTTTCTGTCTTGCCTGATTCTTCATTGACTCGAGCAAGATATTGGTTGATGAGTTGCATAACTTGAGGTATTGCTTCGCGGTCTGGATGCTCCTCATCGGTATGCTTTAATATTTCTCGTAAGAGTAGATTGTATCTTCCAAGACGTGTGATAGGCTTTGTCAGATAGCCATTCAACTCAAGCTTACGAGACTCTGGGGCACGTTCAACCGTCTATCAAATCGTTTATGCACCAAGACTTGGCAGTCTCTTCTTACCTGAACAAACTCAGCAAATGCAGGATTCATCATTTTTTCAGATTCAAATATATACTTTCCAATGATTTGATGTGATCCATACTCTACAAAATGCTTACAGATATTTGACACATGTTCCAGAAAGACATCTCCAATTTTGTGTACAACCCTATGTCGTTTCTGTCGCTGCAAAAATCCAGTCAACAATAAAGTATTCTTTTTCCTAATGTCTGACAGGTTCCAAAATACATCCTTGACAAATTTCTCTCTTCTTTCAATCGGTAGATAATCATGAACAAGTAAAGGTTGGATCCATTTCTATCATAAGACAAGTGTTACTAGTAGAATTGTTGTCATGAAGCACTTGCCTGTTCTACATAGATCAGATCTTCTACAAAATCTCTTTCGGTATAAATGAGCTCAAAAATGTTTTCTTGTCTTTTTCTTTCTTTCAAAGATATACTGTTGGAAATACTCTTAGGAACTGTGTTGATCCACAACCTATCTTCCTAAAACAACGTATAGAAAAATGTTAGCAAGTCATTTTTACAAGAAGGCTTTTGCTTGTTTACATTTTCTTCAGGTAATGAATTTTGGCTTAGCTAAAAAATCGGTTAACTTCTTTTTTCATGGTAGATCTGATCATGGTTACCTGTTGTATTCTTTTAGGACATAAGGGGCTATAACACAAAACGCTTGTAGTACATGTAGGTGAATAGCAATTGGTAAGTAAAGTAAAGACGCCATGAGGTAAATGATCTCTGGTGTTATTCGGCAACTCTGGTTCTTCTTCCTCTGGTTCTTCTTCCTCCTCTTCCTCCTCTTCCTCCTCCTCCTCCTCCTCCTCCTCCTCTTCCTCATCTTCTTCTATATCCATAATGATATCTGAATCAGACGATAATTTACGTTTGTATGAGGGCCGTTGTTTACTCGTATTGCGTTGTATTTTGAACTGGTAAAGTTCATTGACTGAATCACGCAACGAGTGTTCATAATTGACATCGTGAAAGAACTTTTGTTGATTCAAAGCCCTTCCTACTAGAATAGCCAAATTTCTATCTTTTGTCTTGATAATGGATGTCAATTTATTCTATCAACCGTTAATATGTTGCTCATACATCCACTGTTATTTACCACAGCATCTCTTCCATCAAAAACATCATGATATTGAATACTGTCTTTTTGCTTTTTACCGATCACAACATTCTCTTTCAACGCATAAGCTACATGAGACAAAAGAGCAGGGTAGATATCAGCTGTGGTACGTGAAGGTCCAGCATACGTATCAAACGAATGCGCTCGTTCCTTTTGTTTTTCTTTTCTTTTTTTACGTGATAATGACATTTGATGTACGCTTTCTGCTGATTTCCTAAGCGGCAGTGTGAGTGTAGTAGACGAACTTGCCCACAGGTGGTCCAGATTGGCTATATATTTTTCAGTTTTCCTCCTGATTTTCCATCTTTAAATGTATAAATGAGCTTACTTTTACTACGTGACAATTTGGCCCGCATAGGCGCTGTTGACTTGGAAAGTTTGGATAACAATGTTGAATGATGTCTTTCGGTTTCTTCTGGTAACAATACGATTTTAGGTGTTGTACTGGATTGAGGTTCAAACAATGTGTTATGATCACTTTCGATAGATACAATATCATCTTCGTCTTCATCGGAAATAGGCTGAATAGAGAGCGATTTTTTTAGGGACATGGTTGTTTTTGAAGCAGTGGGTTGGTGTTGTGATAGATAGTATTGGTTACGAAAAGCAGCAGCAGGTGAAAGTGATTGGTTGGTATCTACCTCGCAACGGTCTTTGCCTGTCAAAAGTGCTTGTGTTAAACTCATTATAGAAAAAAAAAAGTATGATAAAGAAAAGAGAGAAAGAGAGAAATGGATTCAAAGGAGCCCGCGTTCAAAGAAAGAAAAGTAGATATATTAGGAGAACATTTTCCCTTTTTTTTTTTGTTTATTTTGCATGAATTGGACAGGTGGTCAAAGGTAAATCCTATACTATTTATATTCATTATTTAACATATATTAGAAATAAAAGTGCGCTTTCTTCCAAAGACATTCGAATAAGACATCAAGACAGCCTTTCTATAACAGGTATCTAAAAAGATATACTTTCATTAATTAACACTAAAAAAGATACAACAATAACATCCTCCTGTTCAATTTACCTTTTTAGTCTCACAAAACAAGTGGAAAACTACAAACAAATAAGCAGCCATAGCTCAAATGGCGCTGCTATAAATAAAAAAATGAATAAAACAAAAAAGTAATGGTGCCTAGAACTTCTCAATATAGTTTTCTTTATATTGAAACAAACACTGAAGATCGCGACAAATAAGGAGAGAAATTAGCCTTTCTCCTTGTTCATGCAAATTGACACCATAGTCATTACTGTTGAAACGAAATAAACGCTTGCTTTAGGTACATTTATTCATAGGCAACATGTCTTCAGAAAACATGCCTGAATGCTTGGTATGATTCAGTCTTATGTTGACTACACTTTTCATGCCTATTTGCACAGAAAAAAAAAAGCAGCTTGTTCAAATTGATTTTGCATCTAAGGGTTCATTCAGGACACCCAACGTTCAAACTCCGAAATAGCCATGTTTGGACTCTATGCCTCCAAAACCTAACATATCAGCTTATCCAAGTACTCAAGACTATGGTAGAAAGACCTTATGTATGGCAAATGTTTCTAAATTTATTTTCCAGGAACAGAAAAAAGACAACCTCTCCTTTGCTACTATGGTTTGCAGTCCACCACTAAAAAAAAGTATTGTTTCTTGCATTATATCACTAAAATAATATATATCTACAGCTTTTGTTAATGCATCAATTTTCAAACATTGCTTCTTTGAGCTGTTCTCGTAAAAAGTATTTTCTGCATGGTCTTTTTCACATCTAATATTCATCCTCAGACAAGGGCTGACCTTAAATAACGTAACGATGACTCCATGTCGCTTTTTTTTTTTCATTTCTCGATCCAACTCGTCTACCATGCCTAAAACACGTACCAGTAGCAAAAAAGTCAAACTTGAAGAAGCCTCTTTGGAATCTGTTGTAAAGTATATTCAAGATCATCAAGGTAAATCGAGAACGATCTTCTTGATCTCACGTATATGCAGTCAAGCATGTTATTGTCATGACAGGTGCTGGTATCTCTACTGCAGCCGGTATTCCTGATTTCCGCAGTAAAGGCACAGGTCTTTATTCCAACCTTCAGAGATTCAATCTGCCTTATGCAGAAGCTGTGTTTGATATTGATTATTTCGAGGTACAAACAACCATCATGCATCTTGTTATTCACAAAGACTATCCAGGAAAATCCTCAGCCATTTTATACACTTGCTAAAGAATTATATCCTGGCCGATTTTTGCCTACGAAAACGCATTATTTTGTACGCCTCTTGCAAGAAAAAGGCATACTCTTACGCAATTTTACACAAAATATCGATACATTGGAACGTTTAGCAGGATTAGATGAAGCATTGCTTGTAGAAGCCCATGGTAGTTTTGCCACTGCTTCTTGTGTGACATGTAAAAAAAAGGCAGACTCAGACAAGGTCAAAAAGAAGGCATTGGCTGCTCAAGTACCTCATTGTGAAGAATGTGATGGGTTGATTAAGCCAGATATCGTCTTTTTCGGTGAAGGATTACCCAAGCGATTTTTTGATCTGTTGGATGTAAGTCACAGGCGTCTTTAACAGTATGACCTAATATTTGCCATTAGGATTTTGAGAAAGCTGATTTGTTGATTGTGATTGGCACAAGTCTACAAGTACAACCTTTTGCTTCTTTGATTGATAATGTGCCAGACCATATACCTCGTCTGTTGATTAACCGAGAAGAAGCAGGTGTCCATCATACAAAGTCAATGGGATTTGACTTTAAATGGAAATATGGGTCAAAGCGCGATGTTGCTCATCTAGGCGATTGTGACGAGAGCATTGAAAAATTATGTGAATTGCTTGGGTGGAGAAAGGATTTAGATCAATTATATCATAAGGGGCATGAGAAATTAAAGGCTATTTGGAAACAAGAAGAAGAAAATGAAGAAGAAGAAGAAGTGGTTGAACAGAGACAAGATAAGGATGTAGATCAACTTGCTGAAGTCTTGGAGAACTTGACTACTGAAGAAAATAAAAATAAAATAAAATAAAATAATGTCCGCAAACAGAACACTTTCTTTTTTGTATATGGTAGAACTCAAAAGAAAAAGAAGCCAAAAAGATAAATCATCACGCTATCCACTCAGTGTTCAATTCTCTTCACTTACTTATCGACAAGCACCTGAATCACTCGCACTCTCTTCACATAATGTATTGGCATTGACTTCAACACGCCCTCATCCCCATCAGTTCAGTACGATTGCAGGCGACGTGTTTTCACTGGATATGCCTATACGTAAAATACCTATCAAGAATGTAGAACAATATCATAAACAACATACGATTACCCATTTAAAGTGGAATCAAAAGGGAAATACACTGGCATCCATAGATGAAACAGGTCATTTGGCCTTGTGGCAAGTCAATGTAGGTAAGCCTATCGTTTGATATGGATACTCAACTACCTATAGCACACGGTTCATGAATGGAAGATTGTCTATCAAACAGATCTGAAACAACCCTTAGCTGCCTTTTTATGGCTTCATTCGGATCGCATGGTAAGGAGGGGGGAAAGCAATGACGTGTGACATTGGCTCATGAGATTAGTACATCATGCAAGATACGATCCAAAGAGATGGCCTTTATGGTCCCCGTAACCCTTATGGTCAACTTGGTTTTATGACAGTCACTACACATGGTGTCATTACTGTTCACTATCAACGCAATGGTAATATTTTCTCTAGCTTCTCAACACCTTTACCCAACATTGGCCGAAGAGAAATTAGCCGAGCAGATGCAGGTTGTTTTGGTATGTCTTTAGCTGGATTTGATGATTGGGAGAGAATATCGCATGCAGACATTATGTTGCATCAAGACCAGATTTACCTTGTTACACACGATGCATCTCTTCAACACAAGACAGTCTGGTTGCATACGATTGATATTCAGTTTCCTAAAAGCAAAAAGGGCACCATTGTCTGTAAATCACTCAGCTCACTTCAACTCAAACACGACACACAAATCACTCAGTTGATCTTGAAGCAAGGTAGTGCTTCTTTAGCGTGTGTGATAGGACTAGGACAAGTCTCGCATGGGTGTATTGCTACTTATGAATTACAGACAATCCAAAAGACAATCACCAGTGATTTAGGCACAATTCAACACGAGCGCACTAGTCTTGTGCATCAATCCAGTACAGAGATACAAGATCGATTTATTACTGCCTTGAAATGCACACACCAGGGACGTATCCTGGTTGGTTTAAGTGATGGTAGTGTTCATTTGGAGAACAAGGAGAAGGCAGGCTATTTAGAAGTGGATTATAGGCAAGTGGTAGGTCCTCAGCAGGATTCGATTGCAGATATCGTCCTATCGCCTAATCAGACCCATGTTGTCTATCTATTCTCTTCCATGGCATTAGGCGTGGCTAGTATCACCCAAGAGATACCTGATCTATCTCAACAATGCCTATTGTGTCTATTGAACAATCAAGACTATACAGATTTAATATCTGAATTAGTACGCATGCCTCAACCAGGTATTGTCTATTCAACTACATGCATTGTGATTCTGACATATCCAATAGATACAGTAATTCATGATGTATTAGCATCGTATGAATCATATGTAAAGGATTCAACAAGGTTATTTTCAGAAAAAGCTTATGGATTTGCCTTGGCTGTCTATCGTCGACTACCCAACAAACAAGTCCAATACACCAATTTCTCAAGGGCTATTCAGTTACCTTTGATTCTTGAATGCTTTATGAGTGCTACTGTGGATGAAACAACTGAATTTGATGTCCATAGTCTATGGTCTCTGGTTTCTTTATCCAGTTGGATCTATGACTATGTACGATGGTTATTACGTGAATGGTATTTGTTATTTCATCATTCGACACGCAAGTATCATCTCTGTCTGTTTAGAGATTACTGACAGTTCAATTTTAGGTAGCACTCAACCTGTGTATGCTGTCTTATTATTACACAAAGAATCAAGGTCATGTCTGTACAAGATATTGTTGTACATCCGTCGTTTTATTGCGTACACAAACACATCCCAGTATGCACTCGAATCTCGGTCTTTATTGCAGAGATATACATGTACACTATTCAATCAAGACACAGTGGATATTGCTGACCTTCTTTTATTTCTTGAAGCATTAGACAATGTCACCCATACCCAAAGTAAGCTTAACCCTATGTCACTATGTCATTTACCTTTTATTAGCTGAACATCGTTGGTCTTTATTGGTTCATTCTACTTTGGATGGATTTGATATCCATCAAATTCAATCTATTTCAAACCAACATAAAGATACTTGTGCTAAACCTAGTATCTATATTGAAAAGGTAGAACCTTATCCTTACGATGTCATTCGTAAACGTCGATTAGGACAAGCCAAGACTTATTGTTGTATGCGGTAAGTTTAGAAAAGAAAAGAAAAAAAAGGAGGTAATCTCATTCAATATATCTAGATGCAATCAACCTGTATTAGCTACTCATCCAGACAAACAAGAGCCTTATCAGTCTGCTTCATGGTATCAAAGTATAGGACAACAGCATTGTATCTGCGGTGGTTTATTTGCTTAAAAGTCAGACGCGCTTTTTTTTTTTTTTTTTTTTTTTATCTACGCGACCCAATAAATATTTTTCTTTCTTTCCTTTTTTCGTGTCCTTTATATCATGTCTGTACAGTTGGACTATAAACGTTTTCATAGAAGAGCACGTTACTTGATTGCCAAGTGGAAGGTATTCTTGATTATGAGTAACAAGTAGATTGATCCTATTAGAATGATCCCGAAGCATTTCAAAATGCAGAAGCCATTGCTGTTATTGTAGGTGACGATGAATACGAAAATCCTTATATGAAATCCCTTGCTATTCAGGTAAAATGTACGTGTGATGAGCAATTGGCTGACTTGGCATAGACGTGGTTGATCGGTATGCCTTTATATTCTTCCATGATTGTGATCACACCTGATAAAATCACTTTTGTCTGTGGTCAAAAGAAAGCAGATATCATGGAAACATTGAAACAAGGCGATAAACAAATTCCCATTGACATCATTCGTCGAGGCAAAGATGTAGAAGAGAATGTACCCTTGTACCAATCTGTGGTGGAAGCACTCAACAATGTAAGTGTTTCCTTTTTTATTTATTTGATATTGAACAACAACGGCTTAGAAACGTGTGGGTGTGTTTGTCAAAGATAAATTCAAAGGCAAAAATATCAATGAATGGCAAAAAGCAACTACAAAATACAACAAGAACTATGAAGAAGTGGATGTCTCTGCTGGTATTTCTGCTTGTTTAGCTGAAAAAGACGAAGAAGAAGTGGTAAAGTATTTACATATATTATACTATACTCATTCTTTTACAGAGACATGTCAAAACAGCAGCCAAAATCAGTGCCAATATGATGCAATACTACTTTACGACAGAAATGTCAACATTGATTGATGAAGAAAAACCCATCACGAATGAAAAACTGAGTGAAATGACAGAAAATGCATTAGACGATCCCAAACTTGAAAAACGTCTTCGTCTACCTCCTGAAGTCCAGGACAAGAACGAGATTGATTGGTGTTATTCACCCATTGTCCAGAGTGGCGGTAAATTCGATTTACGTTCGTCTGCCTCTTCCAATAACGATAAATTGTTTCCGGGTGCTATTATCTGCAGTTTAGGTATTCGTTACAAGTTCTATTGCTCCAATATCGGTCGTACCTTCTTGATTGATCCTAGTAAGACGCAAGAAAAGAATTATGAATTCTTGATGGAAGTGCAAGACCGTGTACTCAACAGTATTCGTGAAGGAGTCAAGATGCGCGAAGTCTATCAAAAGGCTATCAGTTTTATCAAATCCAAACGACCTGATTTAGAATCCCATTTCATCAAAAACGTCGGGTTTGGTATGGGCATTGAGTTTCGTGAGGCAAATTATGTCTTGAGTGGTAAAAATGCGCGTGAACTCAAGAACGGCATGATTCTGAATGTTCAAGTGGGATTTGCAGATCTGGAAAACCCCAAGGCCACAGATCCTCGAGGCAAGACCTATGCGCTCATGTTGGTCGATACTGTGCGTGTCACACAAGATGTGCCTATTGTCTTGACAGCCGACTGCAGCAAGAAACTCAACAAGATTTCTTATTTCTTTGACGACGAAGAAGACAAGATGGACGTAGACACACCTGAAAAGAAAGCACCTCCTCCTACAGCTGCACCTGCCAAACGTGAATCTTCGGTTGCCAAAACCGCTATTTTGCGCAGTAAGCTCAGAAATGAAGATCAAGAAGAAGAATCACGTGAACAACGACGTCGTGAACATCAGAAACAACTGTTTGCTCAAAAACTCGCAGAAGGTCTCGCCAAGTTTTCAGAGAGTTCAGGCAACGGGAACGGTGAAGAAAAGCCTGTGTTTCGCAAATTTGAAAGCTATCGATCGGAAGCCAAGTTGCCTCGTGAGGTACGTGGATTGAAGATTGTGATTGACAAGAAGCATGATTCGATCATCTTGCCCATCTATGGTATGGCTGTTCCTTTCCATATTTCTACCTTAAAAAATGCCAGTAAGAGCGATGAAGGGGACTATGTCATGCTTCGTCTTAACTTTTTGACACCTGGTCAAGCAGGTGGTAAGCGAGAAGATATGCCATTTGATGATGCCAATGCGACCTTTGTCCGTTCATTGACATTCCGTAGTGCTGATACGTATCGTATGGGTGAAATTTACCGTGGTATCACAGACATGAAGAAGGAAGCCACGAAAAAGGAAGCTGAGCGTCGTGAAATGGCGGATGTGGTTGAACAGGATAATTTAGTGATGGTCAAGGGTCGTCGTCCTCATCGTCTTTCTGATGTCTATGTGCGTCCTCAGACAGAATCAAAGCGTTTGCCTGGTGAACTCGAAATTCATCAAAACGGTCTTCGTTATCAATCCATTCGCTCCGATTCTTCCTTTAATGTGTTGTTTAGTAATGTCAAGCATTTGTTCTTTCAACCCTGTGACAATGAACTCTTGGTCTTGATCCATATCCATTTCAAAAACCCCATCCTGATTGGTAAAAAGAAGACTAAGGACATTCAATTCTATCGTGAAGCCTCTGATATCCAGTTTGATGAAACGGGTAACAAGCGTCGTAATCGCCACTTGTATGGTGATGAAGATGAGTTAGAGATGGAACAAGAAGAACGTCGTCGCCGTGCTAACCTGAACAAGGAGTTTAAACAGTTTGCAGAAAAGATTGCTGAAGCCAGTGATGGTCGTGTGGAACTCGATGTGCCTTTCCGTGAACTCGGATTCCAAGGTGTACCTAATCGATCCAATGTGTTGTTGCAACCTACCACTGACTGTCTTGTCCATCTATCAGATCCTCCCTTCTTGTGTATCACACTGAATGAAGTCGAACTGGCTCATCTGGAACGTGTTCAGTTTGGTCTTAAGAATTTTGATATGGTATTTGTGTTTAAAGACTATCATCGCCCACCTGTGCATATCAACACGATTCCCATGTCACAACTCGACAATGTCAAGGACTGGCTTGATTCTGTTGAAGTTGCATTTACAGAAGGTCCTGTCAACCTGAATTGGAGTATGATCATGAAGACAGTGAATGAAGACACAGGTGAATTCTTCCGTAATGAAGGTTGGGATTTCCTTCGTCCAAAGAGTGATGAAGAAAATTCAGATGTCTCTGAAAGTGGTAGTGAGTTTGAATTAAGTGATGATGGATTTGAAGAGAGTTCTTCCGATGATGATGATAGTGAAGCGAACTCCAACGCCTCTGATGAATCAGAAGAAGAAGAAGAAATGACAGATTCAGGTGAGGATTGGGACGAATTAGAAGAGAATGCACGTAAAGGTAAGTCTTTTCCTTCTTTTCTTTTTTCTCTTCTTAACTCATCGAATAAAAATAGCTGATGAACGTAAAATGAAGCGAAGTGCAGATTATGATGATGATGCACCTAGTCGAAAAAAGAGAAAATAAATCATACACAAAACCCAATAAAAATTGTTTTTTTTCTTCATTTTATTCTTTACAATGGAACAAACACCAAGTGTCAAACATGACAACTTTCGATTCGTAGCTCGCATCGACCCCACCAAGCGTATCTTACACGCGAATAAACAAAAAGCACGTCTCCATCGACAAAAGAAACAGCGGCTTCAACCACCAATTACTCATGAACCCAACTCGATTGATACTACGGATCTACCGTTGATCCTCCAAAACTATGTGATCTATATACATACCAAACTAGACTGCGACAAATTACGCACCCTAGCAGAAGGACTAGGGGCTACTGTCAAAAAAGAGATGGACAAGGCAGTGACTCATGTGGTCATTGGTAAAGAACACCGTTTGATTCAAGCCTATGAAAAAAAGAGCATTGTGTGTGTATCACCTAAATGGTTATGGACCTGTTATTCTACACGGCGACATCATCCTCCTGTTTCTTTTCCAGTGGATATCAATGAAGATCGATACATGTTGGACGAACATACAGAAATCAACAATCCATTTCAAACAGAATATATTGATTATGATGCATTAGAACACAACAAACCCATTCAAGGACAATTACGCATGGATCAGTTCTTAGAGGCAGATCCAATCAGTCAACAACAGGACGAAGGCAGTGATGAGTTCTTTTATAACCAGACAGACAGTGAAGAGAGACGAAAAGCAGCAGAGAAACGATCTCTTCAAGCACAGAAATTGATTGAACAAAGACAACGTGCATCAGTAGCCTCATCCAGTTCAGCACAGCCTACTATTCGTACCATTGCAGGTCATAACAACACTGTGTTTGGTGAAGAGAGACTTAGGATCTGGTATGGTGAACAATCTTTGGGTCAAAAGAAGCAAGCTATTTCACTTAAGAAATCACGCAAATCCATTTCAAACTCACCACCACCCTCAATGAAAAAGAAACGAACTTGATTCTTTTTTTTTTTTTCTTTCTTTCTTTAAAAATAATATGAATGAGACACAGAAATCACTGTCTAGATCAACTTCTGTTGACATGAAGCGTAAACTAGAACAATTCAAGTAAAGAAATAAAGCAAATGAAAACCATGCCCTTATTTAGTTTTATAGTCCAACAAAAAAAAACGAAAAGAGTCCTCAAGTAAGAAGAACTAGCAGATGGTATTAATCCTTAGTATCATGATGTATGCGATGCATGTGGTGGTGTAGGTCATTTTATTTGTTGCGATGGCTGTCCTAGTGTATTTCATTTTACTTGTGTTGAACCACCTTTGGATACAAAAGATGTAGCGAAAAAAGACAAGTGGTATTGTCGTCAATGTGAACATCAACAACAAAAGACAAGATCACATCCTCGAGGATTATTTGCTCAATTATTAGATGATTTAAACACAAAGAATCCAAAGGCATATCGACTACCGAATGATATTGTTTATTTCTTTCAAGGAGGTAAGAATCAATGCAAGAGTGTGTTTACTTATATATTATAGTGACATCTGATAAACTAGGGAGATATGTAGACACAACACAACAAAGCAAAAAAAGGTAAAAAAAAATAAAAATAAATAACGCATAGAGTTCCCTTGGTTTGAACTTATGGATTTTAGACCTTCTTCATGGGAGAATGACACTGTTAAATCAAGAGAGATTTGCTATTATTGTAGACAGACTGGATTTAAGAAACCCATGATTGCCTGTGATTATTGTAGTCTGTATTGGCATCTAGACTGTCTTGATCCTCCTATGGCATCTCCTTCCACTAAAAAATGGCGCTGTCCTCATCATATTGAAAACTTTATTGTGAGTGTATAGATATACGCATATTTGCTTATCCATGATAGAAACCCCCACGACAACAAAGGCATCAAACAGACATCACCATTACACAGCCAATGCCTTCTTGCACATATCAAAACTATCTAGAGCATCTTATAGAGGAAGAGAAGCCCTCTCTGGCCAACAATCCATCAGAAGACGTTATTATGAGTCGACAAGGAGTTGTGTATCGATTACCAATAAAGCCCATTCAATTTGATTTTATCAATTATGTCAAACAGTAAGTGCTCCATAACAAACACACCATTGATCCATGTTAGAAATCAAATATCAAAAGAAGAGAATGAAGTAGGCATCATAGAATAAGCAAATAGATCATTTACACATACTGAATTAGTGGTTATGTAACATGGCTTGCTTTAAAGCAGGAAGACAAGAAGACAGTCAAGCAAGTAAATTGATGTATGTAAGATGGTAAATTAATTCCCTGTAGGCATCTTCTTCTCCACCTGCTTCACCTGTGCCAACTCATTTACAAAAGACAATAGATCTCGAAACATATGAAAAATACCAACAGATTGAAAGACTCTTAAAAGAGAAAGACAATCAACACATAATGCGTCTATTACAACAATAATAAACTTAAAAATAAGCAACGGTATGAAGAATAGGGAAACCTGGATTACGCATTGAAAACTCTTCAATAATACCATCCATATCAGCATCAATATCATTAGAAGCTTCAATCTATATAGAGAAAATCAATGGGATATATAGGTAGAATGAATGGACTTACCATTTGAGCTAATTGTAAAATAGCTCTACCACCTAATAAAGCATCTTCATGATTATCTTTGATCTCTACATTGATCACATGAGTACTCGCATGTAATGATTGACCCCGATTAGCCAAGTCTTCTACAACAGAATCAAAACAACGCTCTTCACAAGTGATGATCACATCAAACATCTCTCTTGACTCATGCCACCGTTGAGGCGCTTCTTTTGTCTTTCTGTTTCTGTCCAACATGTTGAGTAAACCGTTCTGTGTATAGAGTGCTGGATCTTTACTCTTGAGTTCTTGATAAACTTGTTCATAAGGTGTACCGAATGGATAGATGTTGGGTTTGTCTATAGCAGGACCAGGCAAACGTACCATTGTACCTGTGCCATAAGAATGTACATTAAATCCTTTTTTACTATCCTAAAGTGTCAGTATATAGGATTTATATATGGATCGAATTACTTGAGGACATGATGAGCTTCCATAGATCGGTTTTGATTACTCGCACAAATTACTGCATATTTTGCCATTTTATTTTTTTTAAAAAAAAAAGAGAGAAAAACACGTACGCGTCCCTTTTTTTTTATTCTTATTATTTTTATTATCAAACATGACAACCATTCAACAAGTTCAATCAGTAGCAGACTTTCAAAAGTTACTTACCAGTGACAAGTTAGTAGTTGTTGACTTCTTTGCTACTTGGTGGTAAGTCAAAAGAGGTAAAGTATATTGGCTTAATGAAGATGTAGTGGTCCTTGCAAGATGATTGCTCCTTTTTATGCTCAGTTATCTACCAAGTATAAGCAAGCTGTGTTTGCTAAAGTCGATGTGGATCAGTTAAAAGAAGTTGCTGCTGCTTGTAAAGTGACTTCCATGTAAGTCTATTCCTATTCCCTTTCCTTCTTTAACCGTAGTAAAGGCCTACTTTCCAATTCTACAAGAATGGAAACAAAGTAGCTGAAATGAAGGGTGCTAATCCTCAACAATTGGAGCACTATGTGAAACAACATGCAGGTGAAACGGCCAGTTCAAGCAGCAAAAAGAGTTTCTCTATTCCTGGCTGTGTAAGTTGAATAAGCATATGCCATCATTTGCTTAACATAGTCTAGGTTGATTTGACAGAGTACATTACACCTAACCAAATGGATGCGTTAAACCAACAAGAAAAGAACAATGTCAAGAATATCTTCAAGGACGATGTGTCCTATTTAGAAAGTGATGTTGATGAACAATTGATCATCAGTGTTCCTTTTAATCAACCTGTCAAGCTTCATTCACTTCAGTTTAAGGTGCCTTGCTTAGGTAAGTGGATTTCTTTTAAGAAGACTAGGGTGATTGATATCTTATCTAGCCAATGCTCCCAAGACAGTCAAGATTTATGCTAATCGTACTGTATTGGGTTTTGACGATGCTGATGCTGTTAAGGAAACTCAGGTACTTGAGTTGAAGCCTGAACATTTTGAACAAGATGCTATTGTCAACTTGAGATTTGTCAAGTATCAAAACATTACTCATATCATGGTAAAGAAAAAAAAAAAAAAGAAAACAATAGAATCCAGTTTACTTATCATTTTTAGTTGTTCATTGAAGACAATCAGGAAGATGAAGAGACAACAAAGATTCAACAACTTGTCTTTATTGGGTATGTTTAACAAAAGGATGATAGCCCAATAACTCATTATTTTTATAGTTCCCCTGTTGAGGCTACCAACATGAGTGATTTTAACAAAGAACAATAATAAAGTCTTTTTTTTTTTTCTTTTATTCTTCTTCCACCCATTCTTCTTCTTCTTCCTTTTTAGAATGACCAGGCAAATTCCATTGTTTATGAACCATCAACAAGGCCAACAAGACAGGCAAATGAATAACACTTCCAAAGAACAATTGCTTACCAGACTTGTCATTACTGTTTCTCCAAAACTTAACAGCACCCCAAGCCAAGACACCATTCACCACAGTTGAATCTAAAGCAAACCACCATGAAGTCATATCAAAGTAAGGCACAGCCCAACATAAGGGAAACATGGCTAAGCTGTATCTAAGTGACACACGCGCATTCAACTTAGGATCCGTCACAGCCATCATACGATACCCTGCCTTGGAATAATCTGCACGCAAATTCCATGCCAATGCATTGAAGTGAGGGAACTGCCAAGCGTATAAAATACCACCCAAGATCCAAGCAGCAGGATCCATCAATGTGTTTGTCACAGCTGTGTATCCCATCATAGGGGGAATAGCACCTACCACAGCACCTACCCATGTATTCGCAATCGAAGATCGTTTCATGGGTGTATAAATCCCTGTATACAACACAATATTCGCTGCACCCAAACAAGCTGTCAAAGGATTCACACAACTGGCCAATAAAGACACACCCGAGACGCCTGTCAAACAACCAAATCCAAATGCATGGGCTTGAGATAAGGCACGTCGGCCCAAGACACGGTTTCGCGTACGAAGCATCTGAGCATCGTAAGGGGTTTCGATCCATTGATTGATCGCATTGGCTGAACCGATACAAAGACCTGTACCCAATGTCGTGGCCAATAAGGTCGTGACTGTACTTTCGCCGGGTGCGATAGCATAGCCTGCCATAGTGGTCAGTGTGACCAGGGCAGCTAGTTTGAATTTGACGAGTTCTTTATAGAGTGAAGGAAGTTGTTGTGATGTAGGTGTTGTGATTACTTTGTATTTCGTGACACGCGTATTGTTGGTATCAGTCCATTGTTGATAGACAGTTGGACATGAACAAAGTCTGGCTATTTGAGGTGACTTGAACTTGTGTCGAGAAAGAATCGTCAATGAGGAGCGATACATTTAGAAAAAAAAAAGCAGAAAAAAAAAATTTAGTTGTCCCCCCAGGTTTTATATTTATTGTGAATGCCTGCATAATAAATAAAATAAAATAAAATAAAATCAGGCAATACACTGTGTATATTTTTATGACAAAAAAACCTCTTTTTTTTTTATTAAATGCAAGTGTGAGTACGGTATGAAGAAGTTATTTTTTTTTATATATATGTACACAGAAATTAGTTAACTGAGTTGAAGTATTCCTTGGACTTTTCAACATCAGGCTTGATAGTCTTGGAACCAGCCTTCCAGTTAGCAGGGCAAACTTCACCGTGTTCATCAGTGAACTTGAAGGCTTCAACAAGACGAAGGACTTCATCAACAGAACGACCAACAGGAAGATCGTTGATGGTGATTTGACGAACAACACCGTTAGGGTCAATGATGAAGAGACCACGGAGAGCAACACCGGCTTCTTCGATGAGAACACCGTAGTCCTTGGCAATAGACTTGGTTTTATCGGCCAAGAGAGGAATGTTCATTTCACCAAGACCACCTTGCTTACGGGGAGTGTTGATCCAGGCAAGGTGAGAGAATTCTATATGACATTAATATACTTTCTCACTCCTTTTTTTTTTTTTGATGACACACTTACCAGAATCAGTAGAAGCACCAATAACAACGGTGTCCAAAGCTTCGAATTCCTTGACGCGTTCAGAGAAAGCAAGGATTTCAGTGGGGCAAACAAAAGTGAAATCCATAGGGTACCAGAAGAAGACAACATACTTGCCCTTGTAGTCAGAAAGGGAGATATCCTTGAATTCACCGTTGACAACAGCGGGAGCAGTGAAGGCGGGAGCAGGCTTTTGAACTTGGGCGACTAATATATCATGTCAATAAATAAATAAAAGTGCGCGCTTTATCTCGTGACGTGTCAAAACTTACCCATTTTTAAAACGGATTAAAAAAAGAATATAGAAGAAAAGAAAAGAAAAAAAAATAATGGACGATAACACCGTTATTTATAGTCAAAAAAGACCCATCATTCATTTTGATTTGTTGATGAGGGGGATTACTAAAACCTAACTTTAAAGAAGCTGATCTTGAATTAAGCTTAGTAATAAGCATATTCCACCAATCATAGCCACCTTACAAATGACTTTTATAGCCAATCACTTTATTCATCTGTCAAATGGAGAAAGGGGTAACTTTTTACAGCGTTGAAAAGATAAGCCTGGCACACGAACTTGTTTTGTTTCCAAAGAAAGGGGTGACTTTTTTTTTTTTAGGTAAGTCCATCTTCTAGCAATTTCCATCACACTTACTTCAATAGCATCTAATCGTATGGTTGTCTTGATACGTTCTGGTAAATGATGATAATCAAAAATGGCGTTTTTTGTGATATCCATCATTTTGATATGATTTGACCAACGTAAAATCCGTTGGTGACTCTGACTTGTTAATCCGCAGTTTGAAATTGACAAGGCGATAATTTTTGATTTCTCAATAGCCTCATCTAAATATTGAATGCCTAAAAAAGGGTTGCATAAATATTATCTTTTGGGATAAAAGAGAAACAATTACCTGCATCTCCGATCTGAGGATTAGAAGACAGTACAAGTCGATTAAGTCTCTCAATATAGACTAGACTATAGCCCATTAAGACCATATCTATATTTGGCGTCAATATATAGATATATGTATGTATATATATATGTGTGTGTGTGTGTGTGTTTTACCTTCTAAATCTAATCCGCAGCTTGTTAAGTCTAATTCCATCAAGTTCTTTTTTAAAATAAAAAGCTCTTTGAAATGACAATAAGCAAGTGTTGTCTTGATAGAACGTTTAAAACTCAATTTAGTTAATCTAAACAGACATTAGATCATTTTAGTACGACATGTCCCCTTGCCTTTGTAAATCAGATAACATATCAAAATTATTCCAACCAAAATCACTTGTAATGCTTGTTAATTCAAGTGCTTCAATATAGTTGTATTGACACCATAATTCAGTCAATTTAGAAAGCATATCTTGCTCAAAATGATTACTGGATAGATTTATGGTCAACAAACAAGACACTATCAGAACACTAAGTTATGAGCTATTGTTTTCTTAGACTTACGTTTGAGATCCAAAGGTTTCTCTCGAACCATGCGATGAATGATGTCGTTCGCTTTGCCAATCTCTGTGTTTTCTAAATAGAGACGCTTCATACCAGGCTTTTTTTCAAGAAAAGAAGGAAGTTGAAGAAAAAAGAGAGCATCCACGGGGTTATGAGAGAGATTCAATATGTATATACGAAAAGGTATTAAATAATCGAGACAGGCTGATGTGATACGATTGTTGCTTAGATTAAGGTCACCCAGAGATGGGCTGACACAAGTTAATAATTGATCTATATCCTGATCCACTAGTCACCATAAATACGTTACGTTACGATGTATAACACACTTACCCAACATGTTGGATGCCAAGTTCAGTCTATATAGTGCGGATGAATGCTTCAAAATGTGTTGTATCACTCGAAATTGATCGAATGCTTTGATATCTATTTATCTATGGGTGAATAGAATGTTTATAAACCCTGTTGTGTTCTTTACTTAAACCCTTGAATGAGATATCTGTGATTGTCTGTCCTCTTAGAGCATATTCAAGAGACTCTATCTTGGCTATATTGAATCGTTGACATGTATTGAGGTATAAATCATGAGGCAGTTTTCGATGAGTGCCATCTATCTGTGCTTCTACATATTGATTTTCTTCTGTAATGACACTATAGACTAAGTCTTCTGGAAGTATATCATGGCCCCGAGTACGTAAATGGCTTATATTGGGCTTGTTTATGTTAATGAAGGAATATATCTTGAGCTCTCTCTTACCTCGAACCCATGTTCATGCCAACATCGTACAGCAATGTCTTTCATCAAAAGTCGCACAGTTTCTGGGGCAGGTTCATAAGTAATATGAAGATCAACGGGTGGATCTGATAAGATCTTGACACGCATGGTCTATCTAGATTAGTTTCTTTAGGGATGGTAACCAACTTACTTTTTTGGTTAATTGCGTAAAAGAAGGCGTGATACGTGGATAGACGTGTAATTGAGCAGAACGATTTTGAAGCTTGTATCGCTATAGAAAACAGTAAGAGGTACATATACAGACAACATGTAGCTCACTTGCCAAAAGTTCTTCTTGTCTTTTAGTTTCTGCTAACAACTTTTCAGTCGCCTGTTGTTGAAAACCCAAATCAAAGTATTCGTAGATACGAGTACGAAGCTGAAGAATATCAATGGTAAGCATATATTGATTTAAAGGGCTTTCTTTTAAACTAGCTTCTACATAATCGAAAGCTTCATTGCTTGATTCCAAATAGACTTGTTGTGTTGACTCATTTAATTTCCATAAGGTTTCTGTCTTGATATGCAGCAATTGACCATAGATCAAGGAAGAGAAATCCCTAGCGCTTGAAAGCACAAGATAGCCTTGATCTATCGTATCAATAACCACTCGATAGAGTTCATAAAAATCCAAAGCTCGGACATAAGCCAAGAATTTAGCAGCAATGGGCGCATTGATATCTCCCTTTTTACCAAGGTATTCAATTTCATCCTTCATTGTCTTGATTTGTATAACCATTTCAAGCAGTCGTTTCTGTACAAAAAAAAATAAATAGGCTGCTGTTATATATGTATAAAACTCACACAAGCTCTTTTAGATTCTGTGCCAAGGGTGTCTACAGCTTGTTTGTGTAATTTTATGCAAGCATTGAACTCGTTCAGGTACAAATGATATTTGACTGACAAGATCAGTGTCCATTCTAAAATAAGAGACTTACTTCTTTCTTCATAACAAGTCATTATATCTTCCGATAATCCGAGTCGAATGGCCACTGCATGTTCACTCATCTGACATTGCTTGACCATATCATGATCCCCTAATGCCTTATATAAATTACCCAATTCCCACCAAGCTGTCTTTTCACTAAAGCCATCCTCTAATTTTTGAGCTAGTTTGACCGCATTGTTGAGATGATGTTTAGCATCATGACGTTTGTCTGGTAATTTGCATTTCATGACACCCATATTAAAATAAACAGACTGTTTGAGTTTTACAAGATCATCTTCATCTGTCGAATCAATATCTGCCAATGTCAGGTCCTCTATCACTTGTCTTTCGAGTTCATAGAAATGAACAGCTTGTTGATAATCAGAGAACCGAGATGCTTCAAGATCAAGACTTTTTGTGAAATAAACGTTGCCTATCAATCGATAGGTAGACTGTAAGGCAAGTTTTATTTTGGGTTGATCCAAATCCATCTTATCCTCATCCTCTGGCTTATGTTGAGATAAGAGTAATTGAGTTGATTCAAGCGCATAATGAATGGCTTGATCGTATATTTCTTGCATAGCATAAATTTGACTCATAGAATGATACGCTTTGGCTAATAAGAAGGGATATCTGGCTTCTTTTAAGACGCTAATGACTTTTTGACAATACTTGAGAGTACGATCGAGGTATTTGAAAAGCTGATCTTGATCAAACCCTTGATCATCGTCCACAAGCCATTCAACTAGCTCGAGGATCTGTTGTGCAGCTTTTATTTTCTTATTCTTGGCTAAGTGTTGTTTGTATTGTTCAATGTAGAACGCATAACCTTCAGCTAAGGTATCTGTCTTTTTGTATTCAATAGCATAGGTAACGTTTTTCATTCTTTTGACAAATGGAAAAAAAATTTGAACTAAATGATCAAGCAGTCCTTGCTTATTAAAACGATGGATCCTTTTTTTTTTGAAGCCTTTGCTCGTTATTTATATAGTGAAAACAACTGTTTCTCTGCTCTCTGCACCTCTTTTTACTAATGCATCTACCTATAGTCTCTTTGATTTTGTGCCTCTTGGGTCGTAGCAAAGTATCATGCACACACGAAATGGCAGTCTCCGGAGATTGAAAACAAAGCAACTGGATTTCTTCAGAGCGACCAACCCAACCCACAACATGACATCCTCCAAAGGGCGTCGTAACAACGAAAATGCACCCAAAACCTGGTCGCAAGTAGCGACTAGAGCTATTGTGTCTGCTAATCAGTCGTCATTATTGGCTTCTACTTCGTCATCTACACGCACCTCCGGTTCTTTCTAGTCAAAGTATGCTAGTAACAGCATTCTTTCTTCAGGCACCATTACGCCTTATATTTGTCGGTTTAGAAAAAGATAGTGTTTTGATTGATATCACTAATATTCGTGATGTAAGTGGCCTTAAACAGTTTTTTGGGTCACTCAATACAAATGAAAAGTATTATTTCTTTGGCACTTGTTGAGCGCAAGTATTTGCAGAAACGCTTTATTGAAACTTGCTGGGATATCAACTCAGAAGTGTACAATAAATTAGTGAACTCCGGTTTGCAGATGGAAGATAATAATATTATCAAAGGCTACCGCAGCTTGCTCCAAAACGCCAAAATTGCTCGAGTTGAGGTTGGACGACCCCCCCCTCATTCATTCTTCAGCTCTCCGCGAGCAAATGAAAAAAAAACGTTTTTCCCATTTTGGTAAAGTCCTAGATCTGGGATTTCGTATGGACGGTGCTGTATTTTTCGGCCAGGGCTACGTCGTTCTTGACCTGAACAATCCTCACAAGTCTGAGCCTGAGCAACTTGGTCGAGTAGTGGATTGGTCTGAATTTGATCAAGAACCTCTGCTTACGTGAGATGAAATGCCCCAATTTTGTCGTTTTTGCCAGAAATCCGACCATTATAGAGCAGACTGCATGGAACTCATTAATACTCGTCGTTGCTATAACTGCAATGAGCGTGGTCATATCAGCCGTGATTGTCCTCGTCGTAGTCATGGAGCAGGCCACCCTCCTAATAAGCGTATTGGGATCACAAAAGACAAGGCTAGTAAATCAGGATCCAACCTGCCCAATGAGCAACTGGCACAAAATGCGAAGCATAAGCAAATTGTCTCTCCTGCTGCATTGACTACCGTCCCTCTTAGTCAAATAGCAACCGAGACTATTCAAACGCTTTCAAACGATATTACAGTAGTCGAGCATGAATTGATGGATCATGAAATGAAAGAGCAAGGAGATAGTGAAGTAGAAATCATTGACTCCGATGGAGAGGATGATGATGAATATCTTCAAAATATTCCAAGCAATAATCCAACCCAAGAGGCTTTGGACTTAGAAAGGTTTATCCAGGAGCATAAAAAGATCAAATTTAATCATGACGATGAGAGACATAGAGTGGTGCCCAATCATAATACAGGTGGATCAACAGGTACCTCTCCTGACTTTCAACAAGATAATCTATGCCTAAAGACTCTATGCAAATTGCACCCTTAATTGTCGTGGCCTTACGAAAACTTCAGATCCTTACAAACAATCCTTATCCATCCGCTTTCTACGTTCAACTAAATATGACATTCTATGCTTACAAGAAACACACGCATCTACACTTAATATACAGAAACAGCTCAATCTCAAGTTCCAGACTAAATCCAGTCTTTGGATAGAACATTGTGGCATTGTTTCCTTAAAATTTCAATTCTACCGATGGCCGCTTTCTCTTAGCGTCCGCCGTTCATGCCTCTGAACCCTCCATTCCTTTTATGTATATCCTCAATATTTATGCTCCTGCTTATCGTAGTAGTCGATCCACATTCTTTCGCACGTTATCTTCCAATCAACTATTAATGTCACATTTACGGTCAACGTCTTTGCCTATTATTATTGCTGGCGATTTCAACTATGACATTTACCGTAAATCCAACATTGATACGTGCTGGAATGATCTATTTCTTACTTCATTCCAAGATTGTTTTCAAAGTGATCCTCTTCCTACATTCGTCAGTACCACTGGTAGTCGCACACATATTGACTATATATTTTGCACTCTACCTCATGCTGACAATGTAATTTCTATGACTCAAAATTTTGTCAACTACAGTTGGACTGACCATGCCTTGCTTTCTATCAACTATCAATCGGTACACACTTCAGCTGGACCTGGTCCTTGGAAAGATAATCCTAATCTTGCTCGACTATCCACATACAGAAGCGGTTTGACAGCACACATTGAACAGTATATGGATAACATCAACCGTTTGGATCCTGATTGCCCTTCAGTTCAAACTATTTGGGATGAATTGAAAGAACAAGTCAAAGTTCTTACTCGATCCTTCCAGATCGAGCGTAACAACTGGCGATCCAAATCTCTAAAAAAGCTTCAATCCAAACGCAACATAATTTTACGAGATCATAAAAATATATCTATTTTATCATCTCTTTTACCAAAGGTAGAACAAATGATTACCATCTTGCAGGATGAATCGGCAGAAATAGAACATCTCAAAGCAGGCAAATTTTGGCAAAAAAAAAAAAGGTGAACGATCTCCTGGTCTTTTCAAAAAAACTTGCACAAGATAGGTCTACGCAGCGAACAATACCAGAGCTCTTTGATCCCAATTCTAGACGATTGGTTACTAATACAGAAGGGAAAACAAAGGTGATGATTGCCTTCTATAAGGCGCTATATCGTCCTGACAAGATCCAATCCTCTGATGTCAATACGCTTTTACAACGTACCAACAGCCAACGACTTACTAAATAGCAAGTATCTACCCTTGGAAGTCCTATCACTTGGCTGGAGATATCGAAAGCAAGTAGACGCTCACCTCGTCAGAGTAGAGTAGTCCTGGTAGCGATGGTTTGCCATACGAAATTCTAGGCATTTTACTTTGTGTTCCTTGTTTAAGGCAGCTGGTTCTACAAGTATACAATGATGCCTTAGCTCATTCTTTATTCCCAAGATCATGGTTGCTATCACTTATGACTCTTTTGCCTAGGAAAGGTGATCTAACACAGGCAGGTAACTATCATTCTATCCAATTGGTGAATACAGATAACAAGATCTTCGCTCGAACCATCAACCACCGGATTATGACAGTAGCTGCTACACTTATCAACAGACATCAGCTAGGCTTTATGCCTGGTAGATATATTGCTGAGCATGGCTTGCTCACCCAAATGATCATGGAAAATGCAGCAGCAAACTACCGCCGACCAGACAAAGATCTTGGCATTCTTTTAGACCAAGAAAAGGCCTATAATCGTGTCAACCTTGGCTATCTCAAGCAAGTGTTGTTACACTTTGGTTTTCCAAAGACCCTGGTTGCCAGCATTATTACCTTGTTTAGAGATAATTCCATTTGTATCAACATCAATGGTTGGCTCTCTAAGCAGTTGGTTCCAAAGCGTCGAGACCTCAAACAAGGTGACCCACTCTCTTGTATTTTGTACAATTTTGCCTTAGAGCCACCTCTCCAGTCGATATTGAATGACACTCAATTTTCTGGCCATCGCTTCAAGCATAATGATTTTAGTCAAGCTATCACCTTACCTGCTATCAAATTGCTTAGTTATGCTGATGACACTTTAGTTTTTCTTCATAATATCCGTGACCTTCGCAGAATGCAGTTTCACTTGCAGGCCTACAGTAAAGCATCCAATGCCAAGAGTAACTACCATAAAGTGCGAGCAATCTCTCTCTCTGGCCACAATCTAGATGATAAATGGCTGACTACTCTACAAGCCATTGACATTCCCAAGATATGGTGCCGTACAGTTGCTGAACCCATTGTCTATTTAGGTTTTCCCCTTATCCAATCCTTGGACCAGCGCGCTCACTTTTTTTCGTCCCTCACTCGATCACTGACTCAACTGGCGGATATTCATGCCTCACGCAATCTTTCTGTTGTTGGCAGAGCTACAGTTGCCAGTGCGCTTTTATTGTCTAAATGCTGGTATATTTTGCGGGTGATCCCTACCACTGAAGCAATCCTTAATACCATCCGAACTGTCATTACTTCTTTTGTCAACCGGCAAATCTTTCCTCGCATTAGTTGGCAAACGATGACTGCACCAAAGTGGCATGGTGGCCTTGGCATTCTTGACTTGTTTTCTCAGCAGAAATCACTGTATTACCATTGGCTTCATCCTTTTTTGTGTCCTCAAGCTGAACGCTCTCTGGTATAATACTTTCTAGCAGCACATACCCGTGCTTTGCTTCAGACTGAACATCTGCTCTTGGGTCTGCTCTTTCCTCGTTCTCGCCCAGGCCAACTCAGGCAATTGGCAAGTAATACTGTCACAATGTGCTGCCAGACAATGGATGCTATTCCTAGGAAACAGTACTCATACATGCCAAACCCTATCGAATGCCTTTTACTGCCATTACGCTCAATTATTTTGCCATCTGACACTTTTGACTTGCCTCTCAAGCTACGCACAGTAGCAGTTTCCTATCTATATGAGTACCATTCACAGGGTCACTATTTGGCACCAATACCAGTTTCTTCCTTTCCCCTGGATATCCGTCGTAGTGTCAGAAAATATATTCAAGCAGTGAATCAAAATCATTGTCAACTGGAACCATTCTTTGGTCAATGCCTTGTTCGTACTTCATTAGACTTATACAATCCTGTGCATATTCCTGCAATCCAGCGGTCTCTTTGTTTCTTTTCTTTTGTGCGTATGTTGAAACTGCCTTTTGACAATGAAAATTTCATTGCCCTCAAAAATGGTGGCTATACTTTCCGTAAGGTCATCACACAAGCTACCTTGTCTGATATCATTGCTCGGCAAGAAGCTTCTTCTGCTGCTTGGAAGTACTTTTGGTGTATACCTATCACAAGATTCCCACTCGCTTCCCCACTGCTGCCTGCATTTTGTGTGGTGATCAGGAGACTGTGTACCATTTCTTCTTTCGCTGCCCCCAAAAATTTCCGTTCTGGGATGCTTTGATCAGGGAATTTCTACGGCCAGGCACCTCTCTGGATCTAGTCTCTGATGCACTTGCATCTTTCAATTTTTCTCGGATTCGGTCTCAAACCAACTGTCCTCTTTCAGTAGCCATGGTAACCTTGATCGGTCTCTCTGAAATCTGGAAGGCCCATTGGACCCATACCATGCAGAACCAACCATTCCATTATCTCTCTGTTCTCCATAGCACTCGCTATCAAATTATGCGTATAGCTGCTGAAAATGACCTTTCATCTTGAGAGGTCTTTTCTCGCAGTAGCTGCTCTTTTTTTTTCTTGATTTCTTTGTTTTTTGAAATTGTAGTACCCTTTTTGTTTCTTTTAATCCTCTTATAATAAATAATTGTCGAGCACCTCTTAGTGGGTCCCTCTCGAGACTACTAATACGTGCGGCAAATAAAATCATTAAAAAAAATTGAGCTTTTGCTTGGAACTCCATAAAGACGCAGTTTTTTGGCTTTAGTGTAGTGACAAAAGTTGCAGGTATCTGTCTTTTAAATCTACTGATCCAGAGAAAGCAACGACTCTTCTGCTAAAATATTGAGTAAATACTCGAAGCGTTTACAAGGTTTTTCGCTCTTATCATACCATTTCTATTATAAAATTAGCAAGTAAGCACTTTCATTGGAAACTGCAGCATTTGACTCACAGTTTCAGTATTCAAGCTTGCCTTTAGCTTTAATTTTCGTCTTGTAGCGTCAAAAAGAAGCTCAGAGAATTGTCAGCTTGAAGTTTTTTGTGAGTAGCACCCTTTGGTTTTGGGAGATTGATCTCTCCCGCCTCATTGGTCACAATCTATTTATCCATGATACTCAATCTCTATCCATAAAATACCGCACATGCAATACATTGACTCAACACTGTCGTATCCTCCTTCAAATTTTCAAACATATCTACAAATAAAAACTATTTCTCAAACCATTTGTCCTCGCTCACCTTGAATCTACTATGGTTACACCTCCCTTTAACACCTACAATATCCTTCATCCTTCTTGCCTGCAATCCTTTGTCACCACACTTACATACTTTCAATCTGTCTCCTCATCACTAGTTTTCAGACCTGCAACTCTCACTATTTCTGGTTATAAAGCCTTACTTCCCCAACACATTCCTACACCCACCTCACCTTTTGACACTGCCCCTAATTGGAAAGCCTTTTGGTCACTTCAAATCACACATCGCTCCCGCAACATCTGGTTTCGCTTCCTACACAAAAACATCAACACTCGCTTCTACCTACACCAAAAATTACCGAAGCTCATCACTAGCCCTCAATGTATTCACTGTCCTTACTTCCGTCTCAACACCATTGACACACTTGACCATTTCAACTTTCTTTGTCCAGTCAAATACAAAATCTGGTGTCACATCCTCTCCGCTCCTTCAATTCACCTCTTACGACAACTCCTCAATCTTCGTACCACCATCAGTCGCTCCAGTTATTCTGCATTCCCAGCCCTATGCACACAACAAATCTGCGCTAGCACATTGGGAGGTCTATGGTACAGCCATTGGCGTTTGGTTTTTGATTCCACACCCTTCACCTTTTCTGCTGTACTCTCCATAATCAAACGCCTGCTGACTAAACAACCCAATGAACAAGAACTAATACTTCTTGACTGAAATCACTTTCCCTACTAGTTAAACTTATGCACATTTCCTCTCTCTTTCTTATTGCACATCATATCCCTCCAGTCTTAATTATCACTCATTATGACATCTTTAGGACTTTAAATAAAACAAGAACATAGTTCCCTTACAAAAAAAAAGTTTTGGGAGATTTTTGACCATTTTTCACAAGTCGCTTTTTTTGGCCCAAACCAACTCTAAAGATACCCCATATATTAGCAGACATGATTTATACATATCTAGAGTATTTATGCATGTATAAAAAGGCTTTTTAATACCTTTATATGTCTAGGAAGAACAAGAAGGTATGCGTAAGCCCTTGTCTTTTTCACTTCTGAATCATATTTTAAGCACTTCCTTCCCTTTTTTTTTCATTTGAAAATTCTTCTGAAATTATCAAGCTTTCTCGCTTTGATATTTTTGGCCCTCAAAAGATGAAATGACAATAAAAAAAATGCTTTTTTTGTACGCATGTAACAAAACCTTGCTTTGGGGGCTACTTTGTCTTTTCTTCTTTGCTTTCCTATTACTATCTTTTTGTTTATCAAAAAGCAAATAATAACTGGTTAAATGTGTACTTTTCTTAGGTTAGGCAGCAACAAGGGAGTTTTTTTATTGTTTTTTATTGTTTTGTTTTGTTTTGTTTTGTTTTGTTTTGTTTTGTATTATGCAGTTGAACAGTGTTACACATGGTGTTGTCTATTTCTTTACAACAAGCAATGTCCTCTTAAAGACTATTTCTTTTCTGTCATCTTCACACACAATAAAGAAATAGATCGCTATGCATGTGCATCTTTTTAAAGAGCAAGAACAAGATGTATAAAAGCATAGATGAAATACATGAGTTGTATTTTATCAGCATAAATAATGACGTCAGTATGACTATGTTCTCTTCCCCTCCTTTTTTTTTTTTTTTTTTTGTTAATTGGCTTGAAAGTAAAAAAGAGCAAAGAACGTCTATAAAAAAGAAATGGCACAGTCTTGTCTTTTTTCTTTTCTTTCTTCCTTTTACTTATCATCTACTCTACTCTTTCAATCAAAAGCTACGCTACCTTAAGGCCTCAAGACCACTTTTGCTCTACTACAAGACCTACTCTACCTTACTTTACTCTTCTACTCTCTTGGCCTCGTATGCAAATCTACTAGCCTCTTCTCATCCATCAAGGAGGTAAGATAATTATTCTAAAAGACACGTTTACTGACTCTCTTATAGGGAACCACTTGTTTCCGTACAGTGATGTTCCAAATGCCCTCTTCTTGTCGGCGATGGCATCCATTCGGCCCTGAACTACGCAGGGCCAGTTTGGGCCGGTTCATTCGGCTCTGAACTACGCAGAGCCGCGTGGGCTATGAAAATCAGCACATTAGAGGGTAGCATGATGGCTTTGGTCTTTTGGTAAGTTATATATGCTTGAAAGCTTTTTTTTTAATCATCATTCTAGTTACTTGTTTCCTGGTTCATCAAGGCTCTCTTTCTATGGCTTTACTCTTCTGGTTCTATTTCTGGCTCTATTTTGTATTTGGTGAATCTTTCTCAAACCTCTTCTTCGAACCTCTTCTTCAAAATAATTGCCTCTTCCTGATATATGAAATTACTGACACATCATTAAAAAAAATAAACAAGTCATTTTTTCTTCTTTTCTTATCATATATAATCATGATAAATCATTAATGTGCTTATGCTTCTGTATTATTCAAAACTGCTATGTTTAAATTGAATTCGGGTAAAAGCTAGCATGTCTATGAAATAAACAGGTTTTCAATATGAGACAGACCTAGGTGTGCTTCCTTTTTTATAAACAAAAATTGCAGCTTAAATGATTTTACTAAAGGTACTAGAGAAGACATTTATTATGTTCAGATTACCACGATGGCTTTGTTAAGTTGGAATTCTACTAGAAAGAGAATTGCAGGGTTGAACTGTAGCTCCGTATTAAAGAGCATCTCGCTTTCATAATTTTGAAGGTAATGAAAGATAAAATACGTTTGTATAAAGACGAGTTAATTTGAGCATTCCCCTCAGATCTGCATTCAAAGTTGATTGCACACTGTAATCAGTACAAAAGAAGCCCCTTTTCAATAAATTTTGACTAATAAGTAGGTACTAATTCATATAATATTCGATTTACAGAGCGTTTGAGAGTAAGATTCGCTATTATACATGACATTTCTGAGGTCAAAAAGAGTAACTATTGAGTATGACAAATGGTGCATATCATGCAAGTGGGAGATTCGGTATTTCAAATATTGGTCTCTTGCACTCTGCTTAAAGACCTTTTTTTTCTCTTTTTACTGACACTCACAAACCGCAACTGCGTTTCGATCGAGTTAAGAGGAAGACTAAACACCAGTTAGAAAAAATCAGAGCGTAGTGTTATGGCATATGGAAGACAACATCACTGTAGTTTCGCAAGTGAAATGAGTCCTGATCACCTCATACTAAAGACGAAAGACAACAAGGCAACATACTTGAGTGAACAAAGCCGTTGATGTAAGTGGAATATACGCATAGATCTTATTACACAAATACGACAACAAAGAAAAAGGATATGCACAACACAAACACATGATGGGTTTGATCAGGGTAATCAAGCCTTTTCAGATCCTCTTTTTGTCTGAACAAGAGTTGATCAGACTCTCGAATAGACACAAAAAGACTCAAAAAAGTAGACTTACACTACGAAAACTTACTAAGCCTTGAATGTATATCTTCCAAACCCTAAAGAGAGCCAGAGTCTGAAGAAAAGGGTTTGAAAGCCCTATACCACTTGATCAAACGCCTTACAGACACTTGAGAAACCAGCCTGAGTAGAGCACACCTTGTTTATCATAGAGCTTACCGACCAAATCAGAGTAGAACCAGGGAGAGAAATAGTCTTGAACCAGCAGTACATCTTGTTAGACGACCTTTTAGATAACTAAAAAACCAGTTTGAGTAGACTAGTCAATAAACATAAGTTATTGCGCGTTGCTTTTGATGACACAAGTTTCAGTGTGGCTTTATGTCTGAACAACACTAAACAACACAACTACACTATTGAAAGATATATAGAAATCAAATAAGCAACATGAACTTACCTTGAAAAAGAATGTAAAAAAGAAACAAAAGTAAATCGTTGCTTTAAGCAAGCCCTTAAACTTCTAAAGACAAAAGTAAAAGCAGCTAGTCTTCAAGAAAACATCATTACAATAAAAAAAAAAGTATACGTCATTATTCATTGTTAAAAGTAAATCTTTATTAAATAATGTCAGTCTTTAGTTTCACTTCATAGAGAAGTTACTCACAGGAGTAGCCACGAGAAGGCAACTGACTCGTACTCCCTCACTTCCTTCACTGACACCTTCCCAGGCCCGCGATACACTGGGGAATGTCAGATCATTAAAGAAGGATCCCAGCAACTCCCAGCAACTACCCTTCTTCCCGCTGCAGACCAACGCCTATATACCTCGTATCTTACTCTCGGGGCAGTAAGATAAGAAAGTAAATCATCGGCTATAACAGGCCAACAACGATCAGGATCGAACACTGAAAGCCACGGAGAGAGAGACACCAGTAGACAGAACCAACCAAATAGAGAGAAAAACCTAGAGAAAGCAGAGATGTCAGCAAACGCGTTTTTGAAATGATGGAGTACTTACCAAAAAACGATCTACAAAAAGAGAGAACACGAAAAAAAAACTACATTGTTAGACTACAGATAACACACAGACGCTCAAAATGAAAATAGAAAGACTCAAAAAACCAACCAAAGAGAAAATCCTAGAAAAGACAGAGATGTCAGTAAACGCGTTCTTGAAATAAATAAGGTACTTACCAGAAAACGAACCACAGAAAGAGACAACAAAAACAACTACACTAGCCTTCACCAGTGCATTGTTAGACTACAGATAACTAGTATATCCTCAATACATAGCTACTTGTAACCAAAGTAGAGAGACAAAGAGAGAGAACCAAGCAGATAGAGCCAAGCGGATAGAACCAGCCAAGTAAAGAGAAAACCTTAGAGAAAGTAGACGCGTTCTTGAAATAGATAAGGCACGAACCAAAAAGAGAGAGAGACCAGAGTAGAGAAAGTAAAGAAACAGAAAGAAAAGATAAAGAAATAAAAAAGAGTGCTGCGTCCTTTCTGTTTTTTTTTTTTCTTTTGTTTTTTTTGGATTATCTCATAGAGAGGACGTCCAACTTGTGTTACATATAAACTTATTTACTTGCATAAGACATGCGATGAACACCCTACTTGTCAGTTCTATAAACAGAAAAGCATCCCCTTTTGCTTATTTTCTTTCTCTTTTGCTATGTACTTGTCCTCTGTATTTCTATTGAGTAGTTCATTATTCTTTGCCCTTGAAGATAAGGGAAGTTTACTTATCATATAAATCAATGCGGAATGTATTTCGTAATAGAGGACTTTGAATTGTAATCATTCCCAGTTTCCTTTTTTTCTTTCCATGAGAAGATCATCCTGAAACAATAACAAACTTTCTTATTCATATGAAAATGTCAATAACCAAAAGAGCAAAGAAAAGTTTAGCTGTTTAGAAAAAAAGAAAGAAAGAAAAAGAAAGAAAGAAAGCTATTTTACACACAAACTGAAAGTACTGATTACTGGTGCCTAAAGATGAACTAACTATCGTCTTTTTTTTATTATTATTATTTTATTTTATTTTATTTTTTCTATCTTGAGCACAAAAAGTATTTCCGTTGATCCGTGCATTATGCATACGCTTACCACATTTTAAATCCGTAGGACAGTGGCTTACTTTTCCCTGAAAATAGACCCTGAAAAATCATCGCTTTTTTTTTTTTTTTGTTCACTATAAAACTCATACTGATTGCTTCTTTTTCTTTCTAAGTGAATAGACTATAAACTAGTTCTATACGTTATCTTTAGCTATCAGTTTAGTGATGAAGAAAAGATGACATGATGTAAACAAATGTTTTTACAATAGTGGTTTTAATTCTAAAATAGCGGTTTTTATTGCTTTTCAAAAAATATTTTTTTGAGTACGCAAATGGCATACTTGTAATTTCGGCATAACTGTCAATATTTTTATGATGTTTGAAAATGTTTTTTTTTTCTTTTTTCTTTTTTTTTTTAGGTAAGTCCATCACACTGACAACGAAGGCCTGAGGTATAAAAGTCTTTCTATAATTTTCTCCATCACTCTAGTTACTTTTTTATAGAGTTGTCACTACAGCGTAAGCGATGGAAGAAAAATGCAGTTGCTCACGCTGTGGTGTATGGTTACCATGGCTACCATGGCTACTATGACTGTCGTAACCATTCTGCTGCAAGAGTGAAACTAGCCAAAAAATTGATGATCAAGAGCATTCAATAAGGATATTGAATTGCAGCAGTTGTCATTTGAAAAGAGAAGACGTTGTCAACGGCTAGTAGTTGCTTTTTAAAAATGATTTTCAGCTGCCGCTTGCTTGATTCGAGTTTGCAAAGGAAGAAATATTGAAGACAGCATTGATCAATACCTTTGGACGTTTTGGTGATATATTAAACATTGGTATCTCCAAGTGCTCTGGCTCTGCTTGCTTCGTCGGTTGCGGTTTTGCTACACTTAATAGAGATAAATTAAAAGAAGCTGAACCCACACCTCAAGTGGAATATGCAACAAAACATAAAGAAATGCTATTGTAGCTGAAATAATCGGAAGAATCAGAGCTCTAGTGGCTTTTTCTTAAAAAAAAAAAAAAAACTAGAAATATCTCCATGTACGGTAGGGCAAATGTAGCCAACACAATCATAGTCGCAAAACTATTACATATGCTCAGACCGACACCAATGTCAAAAGCTGTACTCACAACCTTGAACTCAATTATCCACCAATATATTGTCGATGAGAAGAAATTGCAAGTCAAGAAAGACATCTTTTATCTGCCTAAAGCTAAAGGTTGTTTGAAACTACTAGACGTGTTTGTTTAACAGAAATATCTACAGATAAAATACGTTGACCCTCTACTTAACTATGAGCAGCACAAACAAATTGCAAGGTACCTATATGATATGATTATATACGCCCTTCAAGTGAAAGCCAACAATCCAAGCCTGAAATCTATTACGCTCTTTCCTGATTCTAGATACAAAACATCCCTGAGCAAGGATGGTGCCTTTGGGTCGATCTTTGAAATAATGGATGTATTAACAAAACTGTGCAGACCAAAAAAAAAAACAAAGCCTCGACATCTTTATTAGCAATCAATTGTATGACTCTACCACTTTCAGCTGTATGTAACAATTGGAAAGACAACGCTGAGCTGGTATTTATTGATAGCCTATTTGCGAAAAAAAAAGTTAGATCAACCTAACTCTACAAGATACCAATACATCAATCCACCAAAAATATCTGAATCAAAATTATATACAACAAAATCTCTAGCAGGCTATTCCTGCACCAAAGAAGGATAAAAGACATTGAAAATGATTAATGTGTCAGTGGTAATGAGATAGAGAATACCAAACACTTAGTGATCTTTTGTGGTAATAATACAATGATTTGGCAAAACATGTTCAACAAGTTCTTTGGTTACTCAACCAACATCGATGCAAATAGAGCATTTCAAGATTTTAAAAACCTCACACTGTTGAGATATCTCATTTACAACTTAGATGTCAAGATATATATATGACTTCTTTGCAACAATAATTCGATCCATCCAGTACGATCACTTCCAGCAATATTTTTATGGAGTACCATTTGACGCTGTTAAAACCTCTAAAAGAAGCACCAAAGAGACACTGAAGATTTCGAAAATGAAAAAGAAAACAACACAACAAATGATAATAACATAGCATAGCAAGTCACTTCAATCTGTGTACACTTGACCTTCTTCGCTATGTTTTTATTTTTTGAATAAAATTTTATTCAGTATAAAAAACCACCGCGTCTCGAATCAAGCTTTTGCTTAGAATTGCATAAAGATGTAGTTATTTAGACTTAGTATAGTAGCAAAAGTTGTAGATATTTGCTTTCTGAGTTTTTTGATTTAAAGAACTCAGTAAATTTATTAATGAAAGTTGGACAAATAGATAAAAATATTTACAAGGTTTTTCGCTTCTGTAATGCCATTTCTATATGGTGATTAGCAAGCAAATATTTTGATCAGAAACTAAAGCTTTTGACGCTCGTTTCGAGTAATTATGCTTATGATAGCTTTAATTTCTATCTTGTAGCGTCAAAAGAAGCTCAAAGAGTTGTCAGCTCAATAATTTTCATGAGCGACACCCTTTGTTCGAAGGCGTATTTTGGCTATTTTTCACAAGTCGTTTTTTAGGTTTAAGTCAACCACAGAGGCACCATGTGAGTTATTAAATATTTCTTGTAGGCACTTAAAGTATTTATGCATGCATAAAGAGGTTTTATACTATCTTCATATGTATAGACAAAAGAAGAAAACATACAATCAAGTTTTTTTTTATCTCTCTGTAATTTTGGACAGAGGGGTCTGGTGTATCACTCAACAATTCTTGAAGAATAGGAATCGCTTAAAAATATATAGCGTTATCCTTGAGTCTATTTTGAATCGAATTGCTTATATACAAACATTTGAGCAGTTCTTGTCTTATCAGATTTGATCAAGATGAATCTTCTTCGTTTGCAAGATACGAATATAAATATGAATACTTTAGTTTTTGATGTATATTTTGATCTATTCAGGTTTTTGTCGCCAATCAAAGAATACTATAAATCATACATGTCGATTTTATGTAGAATAATTACTGCTGTGTTATGCTATGCTATTTGTATTAATATCTAGACTTACTTTTCATACAACTTTACCTTTTTCTGCTTTAATGCCAGTAAAACCATTGATTATCCACTCTAGCATAAGCTTCTACTCACCTAAGCCCTGATTAAGAGCCAGACAAAGAAAAGAAGCAGCATTCTTACTAGGATTTAAGAAAAGCCTCCAATCCTGGATTTTAGTTGTAAACATGCAAGTGCGTGTGAACTTTATTCAGCATCTTGTGTTCCCGAAGCCAAAAGAACCATGCGTACGTTTTCTATTGAAAATGTAGGCATTGCTAAAGAAATGCATACAATTGAAAAATTACAAAGCAGATCAAGAACTCATATGTTACTGTAACAAAAAATGCTTAAACAACACGCGTAATCATGTTTAATCGACTTTGTTACGTCATGCAAGTTGGCTTGAGCTCCGTCCGTCCTGAAATTGCTCTTTATGCGAACGATAATGCCATAAAAAAAAGGAGGCAGGTCATTCTCCTTAATATTTCTACTCTTTCTTCCTACTTTTTTCTTCTTCTATATACCCATCTCATGTCACTTTCAAAGATTTCAGACAAAGACTGCTGGTTCGTTATAGGTGCTCATCAAGCAGGTGCTTCTGAGCGTCAGTGTGCTGAACTTTCAGGTCTCTCTAGAAGGGTGATTCACAACATCATCACCAATTTTCGAAAGTTGGGTTCTCCTCACGCAAACCAGTTATCTCTAGACAACTTGATAGACAGCGCCTGCGAGTCGGTTCCCTCTGAAAAAAACCCAAAAGTAACTAAGGTAAAAATATTGGAAAGCAAATTGCACTATGTCTAATTTATTAGACTGCACCTCGTAAAAGAGGTAGACCACCCAAGCCCAAAGAGGCTCCTTTTTTTACAGAAAACATCGTACGAAAGGCTTTAACTGAGGCTAGAAAATATCAGGTAATTTTACGAGAAATGATAGGCCACATGGTCTGATCATCACCTCTCTATGTAGATTGTAAATAATACCGCCAGTGCCTTTCCATTAGATCGTCTCAATACCCCTCCTACTGACGAAGATAGTCTAACTTTGGATCCATTGAAGGTTCGTCGTAGTTCTAGAGAAGACGACATATTGCCTGCTACTCCTCGTTCAATTACCCTGGATGATTCAGACGATGAAGAATGGTCATTAGAAGAGGATAAAGAACTATTGATGCATGTACTAGGCTCAAATGTAAAGAATGTCAAATGGAAGGAACTTGAGGGCCAGTTTGGTGATAGACACTTGGCCAAAATGTGCTCGGAACGTTGGGAGTTTATAAAAGAACAATTGCTAAAGGATATAACCAGTCTAAAAGGATGATCTTAGTGTATTTGTCACTCAGTCTATCGTGTCACAGAGCCAATTATTCAAGTGTAACCAAGTTCAACGTGCAAAATGTCTATATTATATCAACCAGGCATGGTTTAATCAACGTCAGTGCTCCCATAAAATAAAATAAAGCTCATTTCCTTACCAGTTTTATATACGCTCCTTACATCTTTTTATTTCTTTCTTCTTCTTTTTATTTCTTTCTCTTATACCCTCACACTTTCCTTTCTTAAAACCTTCCTTTTCCCTCTCTCACTCTCACTCTTTCTTTGGAAATCGAAAAAAGTTGTCGTCTTTTGTAACTTTTGAGAATTGTCATGAAGAAGAATAAGTGGCAAACCTCTTTATTCTCTTTGATTGTAGTGAGCTTTTTGGTTTTGATAGGTAAAGAAACACATAATGAATCAATTCGTTTTTTATTAATTATTTTATATAGTCAATGCTGCTTCTGAAAGTGAGTAAATCAAAAAAAAAAAGAAGCACAAACTTAATTAAAATTAACCTCTTTTTACTTAATTAGATGAAAATCACACTGTAACTGCTACAAAGCATCATAGTCATCACGAGAAGCACCACACAACAAAGACCGTCAGAAACTGTTCTTTAGCTTCAATTCAGAATAAGCGCTTAAGTCGATGGAGATCACATCATCATAGAACTCCCCGTCTTCATACTGTCTATGTATGTCATACTACGAAGCATTCGACTCATACGAAGCATCATTCGGTTCATAAAGGAAGTGCACATAGAAAGTATAGCCATAAGACAAAGCATGTCAGTAAGAAGCACACTTCCAAAGGACATTCCAGCAAGAAGCACGCTGTGAAGAAGCATTTCTCTAAAGGACATTCTAGCAAGAAGCATGCTTCTAAGAGATATACTTCCAAGAAGGATATCTCCATGAAGCATACCTCTAAGAAACACACCTCCAAGAAGCACACCTCCAAGAAGCATGCTTCAAAGAAGCATAGCATCAAAGAACACCATTCAAAGAAACACACTGCTACCACTCACCACACCACCACCCACCACACTCAATTGAGAGAGTACACTGCCCCCACAGCTACTACAACTGTTGCCGCCACCTCTTCTTCCGTCTCTATAATTCTCGCCACTACTACCCCTACTACCATAGATGTAGCACTTGATTTCCTAACAAAATCTGTACAGTCTGCCAGCTTCACACTTACCGCTGTCCCTTTCGCTTCAACAACGTCCATTCCTTTGAATGGCAGTAACAATAATACTAGTATTGTCGCTATTGGCAGTAGCTCTAATAGTACTACCACAGGTAGTAACTCTAATAGTACTACCACAAGTAGTAACTCTAATAGTACTACCACAAGTAGTAACTCTAATAGTACTACCACAAGTAGTAACAATAACACTGACACTACTGCTATCCAATCTGGCGCCACCATCACTGATACTGGTGCCAATCAATCTAGCACCTCAGTTACCTCGGACACTACCAATGGTCAATCCAAAGACACTGCTTCCAATGACAATAATAACGAGTCCTCAATCAGCGACAACAGTGATAGTATCTCTCCTCTTTCTAATAGCAACGACAGCAATGCCGAAAATGACAACTACGATACTACCGGAAATAGTGACAGTAACACTGAGGACAACGACAACGACAACGGCAACGATTCGTCAGGCGATAGTGACACTGCAGATAGCAGTGAATCAACAGCTACCAGCAATGGTGCTAACACAGCAAACATTGTCATTGGCCAGCCAAGCTCCTCTTCCAACAGTAACACTGTCTCTGCTCAGGATGTTCAAAATGGACAAGCCATTGAAGCGACTGCCCAAAGCAAGATCATCGGTATTTCTGTAGGTGCTGTTGTTGGCTGTTTAGCAGCAGCTGGTTTAGCTGGCATGTTCATTTATAGACGCCATCAAAAGAACCACTCTGAACAAAACGTAGAAGAAATGGATTCTCAATCTGAAGTCAATACTCGTTACCGTACACAGTCTTTCATGGCTGTTGTTGCTGGAGCTGTTGCTAAACTTCCGGTTCGTAGTGATTCTTCTAGTTCAAAGAAATCCGTGGGTGTTTTGGGCAGCATTCGTCGAGCTGCAAGCAATGCCTCTCGTTCTTTGTCAAGATCAAACTCTAATTCAAGTGCACAAAGTTATGGTATTGCTTATTCAGGTCCTCCTCCTATTGCTCGAATTGACGGAGATCAGTACTATAACGAATCTGCCAACCCTGCACATGGGCCAGGACATACACATGCTTATTAGAATGCATAGTAAAATAATGTAAACCTTTACCTCTTTCTCTTTTTTCTCACTCTTTTCTCTATGAGTTTGAAAACGACTCATAATGTGGGACAAAGTCGATTAAGGTTTTCTTTTTTTAAATTTGCAATTTATTCTGCAACAGACGGACGTACAATAATGCCTTCGCTAATTTCCTTAGAGTATTCATCACCATATCTCCATGGCCTTGGCCTTACTTTTCTTCTATTTACTGTCTCATCTATCTTATTTGAGCTTCTATGAATCCCATTGATTGATTTACAGGTACGAGTGATCGTATTGATAACATGGCAATCGTGTGAACACCAACTTGTAAACTGAGATAATTCTAGTGCTAAATCTATTAAATAAGGCGTCTCTTGTTTTTGTCGTACACTTGAATGATCATCGGTCTATCTACTAAGTTAGTATAATAACCAAATGGCAAATATTTTTTTTACCGAGATAAAATTGATAAAATTCACAAACTGATGTGTATTGTTCTATAAAAATAATTAAAATCTAAAAAAAGGTGCTTACTTACTTGAACAAACTCATTCAAACACATCATCCAGGCTTCTTTTGAATTCTGTTCGAGTGAATTATGGCTAGCTAATGTCATTAAGCACTTTGCTATTAAAGTCAAGGTACGACATGTTTTCGTATCAGGGTGATCTAATACACATTAATCTTGTTTCAAAATAATAAAATTACCTTGGACAAGTCCAAACTGTTTAGGCGAAATGATGGCAGGACAAATCCATCTCAGAAAGATAAACCCACTAAAAAAAAGAAATTTTAAGTTACTAAATATGTCATATGTGCTTTTGTTGGTATTACCTAACACAAGTGTATCTCGTAAGTTGATATTGTTTATCTAACGTGTTCTTGCTCAAATTGAATTTCTTAACAATGGTAGCTTGTAGGTGTCCAAATATTTTACGCAACTCACTAAATTAAGCATAATTAGAAACAACACATGCTTAAGCGTATTTCATACATAGGACACTTGGTTTTTGCTTTCTGAATATCCTCCCATATGAATCTTACATAACTAAATAATTCTGAGCTATTAGCCATAGTGCTGTCCAGCGTTGAATTAGTTAGACGAGATGGTTCCACCTAACCTTGTTTAGTAAAATTAATACAATCAAATATGGGCTTTACCTCAATATGGAGACCTAACTTGCATATATTTTGTATAGTGTGTTGGAGCGATTCTTCCAGAAATTCTTTTCCATTCATTCTCATGTAATTGTCAAGGACTTTGGTAAAGAATGAGTTGCCTCTATCAAAAGAGTTGGTAAAGTGTCTTTTTTTGCATATCACTTTTTTAGTACCTGAAGAGAATATTCGCATCATCTACAAGTAATGAGATTTAATAAGGTATCATTATTTTTTCTCTAAATACCTGTATTTAAACCAGATACTTCATAATCTATCAGTGATTTCATCCAAGCTAGTGTCATACTCATGCCTTCGTATATTCTAAGTAAATTTCTTGCTAACACTTGTACATCAGAAGATTTTCTGGCCATATCATACACCATATCATGTCTAAATTCGGTCAAGACATCCATCAAAGGTTGATAAATATCTAAAGAATAGACTTTATACTTTTCAAGCAATACGCCTACTCGGATTTGCCCACAAAATCCATTGCTTGAACCCAAGCTTGTTAAAGAAGCAAATGCTTTGTGTCTGTTCTCTTTTCTGATTTCATACCATTCTTCTTGTATCGTGTTGCTTGCATCAATCAACGAGACAGGTAGAAAGACAATTCCTTATATACGAATTTAGTTTTCTATCATACTGAATTGTCTCTGCTTACCAAACATAGTTTCTCTATCATTCTTGTTACCTTTGGTATACATGTTGATGGTTACTCCATAATTCACTTTCGAAATGTCACTATTCATGCATAAATCATACTGCTTCGATGAGTTGTGTATGGCTTACGAGAACTGAAATTCTTCTTTCCAGAAAACAGATGAGCTTTTTTTTATCGATCCGGTTAATCCTCGTATTTCATTATCTACTACAACATCACAATATAATTCACTATGCATTGAATCCTTCGGACTTGTTTGGAGTCGACGTGCTTCTGCAATACGTACAGTCAAACTATAGACTGTTCTTGGATTCTCAGGCAGTGGTTTATTAAGATCACCTATTAGTAATTTATTCGATCCATCGCCTTTGCAGCTTTGCTTAAGACGGAACAGCCATGCATCTCTTTGGATCTTGCTGCTCGTCACCAAGTGATACGTTTCAGAGATTTTGGGTCGTACAACAATGCAATACTTCATATGATCGATTGAATCAGAGAACGGATAGATATCTTGTGATGAGAGCACCGAAAGTTGAATAGGACGATGAAACAAGGTATTCTCGTCCTAATCTTGAGTTAAACTAGGTCAACGAATAATTGTACTTTACCTTTTCTGTTTGCATATGAAGTGTTCCATCTTCAAAGAGTGACACATGAAGCACACACAAAGCACCTGTATGATGCGAGATGCAGCTTGACTTTTCAATACAGGATTCTACGTAATCGAAGGTTAACACATCTACGTGTTGTTGTGTATTAGTCACTCACTATGGATTTTAAACAAGCCTGTCATTTGAACTTTTGAATGATCCATAATGCCAGTTGTGCTGCAACAATTGATTGGGCATTCAGTGATAGGGATAGGATAACCATACAATTCACTATGCTGATTTTCATAATCAGCTGAATTACCATTGCGTATTGTTGTCTGCTTTTTTTTTTCTTATAGATCAATAGATGCTCTCCAACAAAAAAAAAAACTACCCACATACTTACAGTTGAAAATAGTTCCATATTGTTTTTTTCTACAGGTAGTATACTTGACGTAGACTTTTTTGATAATAACGATTTATGTTGTAGACCGGAATAAGATTGACCGGACATCTATTACGTATTAGGGCATGTCTAAAAAGGACATATACATACAGAACTTTTCTTGAATGATTTGGATTTCATACTCTTTGAGTTTGTCTTTTTAAAGGGCTCGACTGTTTCTTGATTTGGATTCCAAGACTGTAAGGCTTGAAGCCAAGTCATAAAATCAATTGCAGTTTCTGCTTGAAGACTGGTACTAAAAGAGTAAAAAAAAAAGAAAGGTCAGAAAACAGAGAAAGAAAAGATATTAAATTTACATAGCATGATTGTCCTGAGAAGCAATCAAAATGACAAAATCACGCTTATCTGTCTCAGATGGCTGAACATTGGCTGTCTTAAGATTGGTAGTACTGATAATCGTCTATTGAATGGTTAGGCCTGCTTTTAGTCGTCATTGAGCTTACTGTATGATTGATATATTGTTTTAAGCAACCATCTTCTTTTGAAATGAAGAAATAGCATCTACAAAGTGTTATTTAAAGCTTATTGTGTTCTTTGGACGAACCTTTCCCATTTTCCTGCGATGCTATCTTTTGTGTTTCCATTCGTTTGTGTACTTTGGCTACGACGCTGCTTTCTTTTTACCAGTAAATAACCTTTGGTTGTGATGTGAAAACATCGAGAAACATAGGCTTGTGCATTGTTTGAAATGATAGAGTCTAGACTGTTATATCTTTGCTGCTTGCACATATCAACTTTTGTTTTTGGGATTTTTATTTTACACTTACGATCACTTTAGGCCTGCTTAAAAAAGCAAAAGGAATTAAGGATGTAGGTGATAAAGGTCGGCCTTTTGCATATTGTTCACTTAATGAGCATGATTTTTTGAGGCAAGTGTGATAGGATGCCAGCTTTTCTTGAATATAATAAGACAATCTTTCATTGTTTAGCTGTTAAAAGATTAGGTTCAATGATGAAGAAAAAAAGGGGTTGTTTATACCTCATGACAGTCTTCAAATGGAAAGTGAGGAACTGGGTTTCCTGTTCCATTTTTAGATTTATTGTCTTGAAAACTGGCAGAAATCAACACAAGTTCTTCAAGTATTTTCAAATTTTTACGTTTGACAGATTGAAGCCTAACCATCAATGGAGCCAGCTACGTGAAAGAATGAGTAAAGAAAAAAAACAGTGTAAGTCAATATACCTTTTCATCAATCAAATATCGTGTAGACTTAATTAGATCGTTTAGTGTATATATGTATTCCAACAATGCTTTACACAAAGATTTTTTTGCAAGATATAACGACGCACTCATTTCCTGTAGATTGCATAAGCAAATAATAACCCTTAGAAGCAAAAAATAGTTACATTACATCCAATAACTTAATGTTTGTTTGTGACATATTTAGCTTTTGAGAAGCACAATAAGCATTTGAAGACTGAGCATGCTTTGTTCTTAAGTCTTTGATAATGCATTCAAAACGCTATATTGTAAGTTTAGTAAATAAAGGGGCTTGTCAGAATATTGTTTTACCGTCAATATTTCCTTTATTTTGGCGCCGTGGTTCCTTAAACAAGCTTTATGGTAATTAAATGAGTGCACAGGATTATGGATACAATTATACTTACGTAAAATGTGTTCTAATACCCCGTCTTGATCCTCTGAAAAGACTCCTTCTTTAGGCCATTGAATGTGTTGGAACTCTGTTGGACAATAAAACGGTTCATTTAATACCAGCTTCGTTTGCTCAAACAATAAAGTAATCGATTTGGTGTAGGCTACATGCTATTTGTTAGCGTTGGCTCGAATATATTTATCTGTTACCAATCTCTAGTTGTCTGCATTGCTCTACTTTCTCCAGCCATGTCAGATATCGATGCAAAAATAACTCCAGCGATTTCAGATACTCACGAAAGATAGGTGAATCAGTCCAGATGTCTTCGTAAAGGATATCAGAAGATAAAACATTCATCGTTAATGGTTTTGACTGATTTAGTGTTTTTCGACCATGCATGGCTACACCAGCTTCGTCATCACTGCTATTACTCAGGATACTATCGTGATCGTCTTCTAACAACTCTCGTATTGCCTCTTCTTCTTTGTCTTCCACTTCTTCGTTCCAATTGATGCTTGTGAGGAATTCCCGCTTGGTAGGTTGTAAAGAAGGTAAACTACATGATGATCTTGGCAATGAACTATATCCATTATTTGAATACATTAAAGGAGCACTGTTTGATCTGCTTTGATCCATTCCCTCTATAAATATCTGATTTCACTCAAATGAGAAAAAAAAGAAAAAAAGAGCCAAATGTACTTTTTTTCAAATATATTATGAAAATTTAAGGGGCAAAACGATGAGATTAAACTCTTTATAGTGTAACCAAGTACTTAAAAGGAAATGAAAACCCCTTTCTCCCCTTCTTTTTTCTCCTTGGGCGTATAAATTGAAAAGGCAATTTGAGCTTATGATTCGATTATCAACTAATGAACATCCAAAGTATATTGTCATTTGCACAATTTTTTGCCTCCTTTTCTTTTCTGTATTGTTTTTTATCATTATTTCTTTCTTTCTTTCTCTCTTTTGTTTGTTTATTTATTTTGCTTCTATAACAACAACGAGGCTGGTCCTATTTCTTTTTCTTTTCATCAAGAATTCATGTAACTTTCTTTATACACGTTTGAATTATGTTACCATTATCCATGTCCGCAGAAGCTTCAATGAAAGCACTCATGAATGAAGCTTCGCAGTGTCTAAACTCTGGAAAACTAAAGGTAGTCTGTGCTAAAAGCAAGGAGATAATGACAATTCTTTAGCAATCTTATGAACTATACATTAAAGCATTACTATCAGCAGTTAAAGAATTCAAGCAATTAGAATTCATCAATCAATGTAAGATTCTTGCTCATATATTTCAAACAAACCAATGGTTTTCGTAGATGCAAAAAAGAACAATTTGTCTACACTTTTCAGTTTAGCAGCGACCTGCATCCAACAAACCAAGAGCATTTCGTCTTTGAAGCAACCCATTCATTCCTTGACTCCTCCTCCTCCTATTCCGCCCAAACCAATGCACTTGACCACATCAAAATCGCCTCCTCGTTTACCCATTAGACCCACTCAAAAGAAGTCTTATTATTTTTCAGATACCACAAACTCAAAAGAACAATACCATGCAAAGCTTTACCCTTGTTTTGAGGATGATGATGATGATAATTCCGAACTCGAGTCAGAAGAAGGTAAAAAGCAAAGTAAATTTATCTATACTATTTATAACAGAGAATTTTCAAAAAAGACAAACACAAACAAACAAGAGATAACAAAGGATCACACAAGCTTATTAAAGTTTCTCGTCGATCTTCTGTCGCTAATCTATCCACTTCCGCCCCCTCATCGCCTATACATACTGCAGTCTCAAATCCTTTGAATGTGGTCAAGTCTTTTTTATCTTTACCAGGTTCAATGGTAACACATTCCTCGACTACTGAACATGGTCTATCGTCATTATTGTTGCCAAGAAAAGGTACATCATTTTCTTCCGGAAGTACCTTGTACTCAGAAAACAGTTCTCTGGATGCAGACGAAACTTTTTTGCTGATCAATGGTACAGTCAATCCAAACCAACTCGTACATGCTCAGACAAGCAGTAATACAGATAGTTTGTATTCCTCAAACAAAAGCAACAGTACATATCTTCCCATGATACCCCAAGCTCCTCTTGTTACTGTATACCAATCGCTACAGAAGAAATTAAAAGAAGCAACAGATCCAAAAAGCACAGGACCCTCACAAACAGCGATGACAGAAAATATCCAAAGCCTCTTAAACAAGGTTCAGAATATACATATTTCTGCCACCACTGTACCTACCATTCTTCAATTTCAGCCTGTTTTGATAGCATACCAACTGACATTGATCGACTCTGCAATTTTTCGAAATATACCTATAGACGCCATTCTTTCACATGCCCCTAAAACGCCTCACCCTGCCATTGTCGCCTCTACAGATTTTTTTAATTATTTGACACGCTTGATTGAGCATTCCATCCTATTAGAACAAGAAGCATGCAGGCGAGCACAGCAAATCAATCACTGGATCAAAGTAGCTAGCAAATGTCATGAGCTGAAAAATTATCAAACGTTGAAGGCCGTAATTTCCGCATTAGGAACACCTCCTATTCAGCGCTTGAAGCGATCTTGGGCTTTTATTCCCAAAAAAAGCATGGTGCAACTAGAGGAATTGAGCGAACTTATGTCAGAAGCATCCAATTATGGCAGGTATAGAGAGAGACTGGGTCTATCCGTATCCAACGAGGAGGAAGATGAAATCAAACATAGAGAGGACACACATGAAGATCAATTAAGAGAAGCTGAAAGTGAGCAAAAGAGAAATACAAGAAAAAACTCGTTCAGTGAACCCACTGTACCTTTTTTGGGTATCTTCATTCATGATGTAACGTATCTAGTGGCGGCGATTTCGAAAAAGAAGCAGCAAGGAAGCAATAGCTGGAAGAAGAAACAAGACCAAACGCTTGAAATACTTAAACAGGACAATCGCGTTTCAGAGCTATTAAAGTTGTTCAAAAATTTTCAGCGTAGTCCATCTTATTCACCCAACTTGACACATACATGCTTGAAAGATTTGTACAAAACGAAGAGGCGCAAAATATCACAAGCTTTGGCACGCACTTCACCTATAAAGAAAGTAAACTTCTATTTACCGTTTGATGATAGTCAGCTTAGTATTGAATTACAACAATGCTTGGTCACCCAGTATCTGGTAAAAAAAGTCTTGATCTAGAAGAAAGATATGTGAAAATTAAACAATTTTTGAATTAGTTGACCAGGTCCTGGGTAAGTGAAAAAGCAGTGGATGAATTAAGTCTAGTCAGAGAACCAACAAAGACAATGCGAAGTTATTCTGCAACAGAGTCTTTGTCACTACAACAAGGAAAATCCATGTCATGCGAAAATATGATGTTAGCTTCAGCTACGACACCTCCAGTTCTTGCGACTTCAATCAGTCTTACAACGTCTTCTTCCTTTGGAGGGACCCGAAACAGTTCAGGCAGCCTAACGAGTGGAGGAACGATGAGCTCAAACAATAGTCGCCCCGTGAGTTTAGAAGATGATGAAGATAAACAGGAAAATGATCTAGATAAAAAGGTACCGACTAGTAGCTTTTGGCTATTTGGAAGAAAGAGTGTCGACAATGGCCATCCAAATATAGGAACGATGCATAGGTCTCCCCGACATTTCTCCTTTGATGAACTAAACGAAAGCAAAAAGCCAAATATCAAGTCTTCTGTAGTTTCTTCTGGTTCACAGCCTTACACAACCACAGACATAGGCACGTTTCGTATTCATCGTGAAGGTTCGCAAGGTTCTTTGTCTATTTTTCGAAAAGATTTTTGGAAAAGTAATCATACTCAACGATTCCAAACTGACAGTTATCAAGACAGTGGCCAAATGTCTAACATCCTGACATCCCCACATCCTCTAGACAACTGTTGATAGCATTGTATCATTTTATTATAATTATTACGGTTTGTTTATGAATAAATAGTATAAATAAATTTACATGAGTGAGCAACATTTGGTTGAAGAATGACGGCTTGAGTCATTAGCATGATTTCCTGCTCCTGCTGCTGCCACTGCTGCTGATTCTTGATGGTTTTGTTCTTTATTGTAGCGTCTAATATCACGTACGACTTCATAAAATGCCTCATCTACATTAATACGCATTTTGGCCGATGTTTCAACAAATTGACAGCCATATTCAAGGGCCAAGTCTTTCCCCTCTTGACTTGAAACCTGACGTTCTAATTCGAGATCACATTTATTAGCAACCAATACCATAGGAAAACGGTTTTTATCCTTCACTCGGCTGATTTGCTGATAGAAAGTACCAATTTCTTCAAAAGACATTCTTGATGTTATCGAGTATACTAGCAAAAATCCCTCGCCGTTTCTCATGTATTGTTCACGCATAGCACTGTATTTTGAATGGTCAATCTACTATGCAAATAGACCATGCGTTACCTATATTCTTCTTGCCCGGCTGTATCCAATATATCAAGAAGTGCAGTTTCTTCGTCAATAACACATTGCTTTCTGTAAGAGTCTAAGGTAGGTTTTGTTATTGAAGCACTTTTTTATTGTTAGCCAACTACCTTCAATAGTGGGATCATACTCGTCAACGAATTGAGATTGAATAAACTGGATCGTCAAAGCCGACTTTCCTACACCTAGAATATATATGAGTCAATAGCAATACAAGCTTGAAAATATACCTCCTCCTCCAACAAGAACAAGCTTGTATTCACGTACTATCCATGAAGCTGTTTTATTCAACATAATGAAAAAGAAATGCAAGAAAATATTTTCTTTGTTCGCGCATTAAAATCAAGCCAATTTAGGTTTGGGTATACTGCATCAAAACCCATATTAAAACTCTAAATGTAGAATAGAAGATAATGGTATCAATGTAAATGCATTCTGACCATATAGCTATTTATGAGCATCGCATATGGAAACAATCAGTATCTAGCCTTTGCTTTAAATAATCAAATAAAAACCCCTCGTTCTAATGATACTTCTAAGCATTTTTTATGTGTGAAGCAGCGCAGTTTATGTCCATAAGCTCATTATAGTACCGTAGATAGGATTTATAGTCATAAGTTATTTGTAAAAAGCATAATTCTCATTAGAATTTAAAGATGATTTTTGAGTTTTTTGTCTCTACCGTACAAATTCTACTCTGTCTTTTAAAGCACGACATTTCCAATGCATTTTACAGCTTTCCTATTAGTAAAAAGCTACCCTATCTCTATCGAGTCGCAGTTTTACGACAATTAAAAAAAATTGCAGGGCAGTTGGGGAGTTTGGTCATCCCAAGATATGACCTTTTTTGGTTAGTTTCTTATTGCATAGGGCATTCAAAAAAGGATTAAATGCATTTTCGATGCAAGTTTAGGCAAAACCAATGATAATGTAATCAGATCGTCAGTAAAGTAAGCCATAAGGGCCCTATGTTTGTTACAATTGACGAATTCAAGATATTAAAAGTTTGTAGCACACATCGAAGCCAAAATTTGCATAAACTAGCGATTATCAAAGGTCATAGAACATTTTGGCAAGAAAGTATAGATACAAAAAGCCGGTTGTCATATATTTTGAAATTGGTTGGAACGGTCTGACAGAACCATCTACCTTTGCGGGACGATAAGCAAGTATTAACTGGTCGCTCTAATAAACTCATGTTTCCCCTTTTTTCAAAGTGACTTTAATAAAAGAGGGGTTTGTCTCAAAAAGACGCTTAGTCTGGTGCAAGAAATAACTTCGGTGCGCTTTAATATATATGATTTATTGTTTACAAACGTCTACAGAAATTCAATAAAGTGTAAACAAAAAGGACCAACTGATGTTTTACAAAGATGTCATTTTGGTTTTACGCCAATTGGCTTTTTTTTTAAACTCGCCTTTTAAGTTCCCGAAACTGTAATCAAATCAACGCATAGCCCGCCAATTGGCATCGTGATGACCTGGTCTTACTAAGCGGGATAATCTTGATAAAAATATAAAAAGCATTGATTTTTTTTTCGTCCATTTTCTTTTCTTTTAACTTTATCTAATCATGTCTGTCCTCGAACAACTCAAGAAATTCACTACTATTGTTGCTGACTCTGGTGACTTCGAATGTAAGTTATATGTCCCCTCGAGATTTTGTGTTTACCAATACGCGTCTGTTATTAGCCATTGCCCAATACAAGCCTCAAGATGCTACTACCAACCCTTCTTTAATCTTGGCTGCTGCTCAAAAGCCCCAATATGCTCATCTTATTGATGAAGCCATCAAGTACGCCAAGGCTAAGGGAGTGTAAGTGTTATAAGAAAAAGAGAGGAAGATAGCGCGTGCTTAATGTGTGCGCATGGTCAATGAGAAGCAGTTTCTAATTTTGAATTTCTAGTTCTGAAGCCGAGACTCTTGAATTGGCTATTGATAAGCTCCTGGTCAACTTTGGTTCTGAAATCCTCAAGATCGTTCCTGGTCGCGTTTCTACTGAAGTTGATGCTCGTCTCTCCTTCAACACTGAGGCTACTGTTGCCAAAGCCCTTACTCTCATCAAGTTGTACGAAGAAGTTGGTGTCAACAAGGACCGTATCTTGATCAAGATTGCTTCCACCTGGGAAGGTATCCAAGCTGCTCACATTCTCGAAACCCAACACGGTATCCACTGTAACTTGACCTTGTTGTTCGGTTTCGCCCAAGCTGTTGCTTGCGCTGAAGCTGGTGTCACTCTTATTTCTCCTTTCGTCGGTCGTATCCTCGATTGGTTCAAGAAGAGCACTGGTGAAGAATACACTAGCAGCAGCGATCCTGGTGTTGCTTCTGTCACCAAGATTTACAACTACTACAAAAAATTCGGCTACAACACTATTGTTATGGGTGCTTCTTTCCGTAACACTGGTGAAATCGAAGAATTGGCCGGTTGTGATTTCTTGACCATCTCTCCTGCCCTTTTGAAGTCTCTGCAAGACGACAACAAGACTTTGGAACGCAAGTTGAGCCCTGAAAACGCAAAGACCACTGATCTTGAAAAGGTCACTTTCTTCAAGGATGAAAAGGCTTTCCGTTGGGAAATGAACCAAGATGCTATGGCTACTGAAAAGTTGTCAGAAGGTATCCGTAACTTTGCTAAGGATGGTGTCAAGCTTGAAGACATGTTGAAGGAAAAGCTTGCTTTGTAAATACTATATCCCTTTTAAATTTCTAATAATAAAAGACTCAGTCTTTGTTACAATTACATTTCATGGGACTCTTTCATGTTGGGTTTATTACGCAATAATTTTCTCCTGGAAAATATTTAAAAAAAAGAGCCTATATTATTGTCCGACGGATTTAATGTTGATCTCAGATAATGACAGAGGTTTATGTAATCAACTTTCAAAGTACCCTGCTTTTGCTGACAAAGCATTTACTACCGTTGGTCATAAGGTCTTGAAGGCTGATATAAGAATAGATTATGTAATGTTTCCATAAATGCATTACAAAAGCATATAGTTACATACCTTTATTTAACCTCAATCTCTAAATTGTAGAAACAGTCTGGCCGTTTAAACTATAGAGAATTCCACTTCATAAAATGAGAGGTTTTCTTGTAAAAGAAAGAACACTTTTTTTTCTTGAAATACACACACAATTATCAGAGAATGATATTGCTTTATTTAAATAAAAAAAGGTTATCTATAAATATTTACATAAAGATGTTTAGTTCGAGTCTTCTTTATCTTTACATGTTGACTCTTCGGTGGCTTTGACCTCTTCTGCCTCCTCTGCCTCCTCTACCTCTTCGATTTTGGAAGCCTTTTTTTTACCTTGGTCTTCATCTTCGCTTTCACTTTCAGTTGAGTCAGTTTCTTTGGATTTTTCTTCATCCTTGATACCGTCATGCTTCTTGGCTTGTTCTCTATCAGATCCTACTTGTTTTAAGAACTTGGGTATCCTTTCAAACATAACTTCATAAATATAGTCTCTGGTCCAGTTATTATAGTTGGCCTCCAATAACATGTCAATGAAAAAGCTCTGGATTTCGGCTGTAGTAACGTAATCCGTAGGTATCATTCCAACAAACTTGTCAGCGTATTTTTCAGCTTTGACCCTTTCTTCATCGATAAGAGGCTTTGAAGTTTCTTCATCAAGTCTCATGAATCTCCAATACGTGTCTCTGATCTGTTCCTTAGCAGCATAATCAAATTTGAGCTTGAGATCAATTCGACCAGGACGAAGCAAAGCAGGTTGAATTTTGTTTATATTATTACAAGTCATAAAGATCACTAAAGATATATAAGTAGACATTCTTACAATTGTTATTCTTCAAATCACTTACTTGATCCTTCATGGCTATGCATACCGTCCATAATATTCAACAAGCCACTCATCGTCAGTAGATGGTAGTTGCTACGACTGTCATCTTCCTTTGAATCAAACAAATGGTCAATATCTTCAATTACAACAATACTGTTATAAGGTACGCATTGAATTAAAGATTTAAGGTCGCTATCATTGAAGTCTGTGATACAGCTGGCAATAGCAATATGTAGATTAAGTTCGTTCTAATAGTAAGTCAGTAAACACGAATGTACTAATGATGAAGCTTACCGCAATAGCTTGAATGGTTGATGTTTTACCAGTACCAGGGGGACCATACAACAAGTAGCCACGACGATGAGGAATGCCTCTCTTTTTGTACCATTCTGCACGCTTCTTGAATGTTTGCATATCTGCAACATGTTAGCATGTATCCCTTTATTCACAAGATCTTACCTCTAACTAATAAGTCTTTTTGACCATCACGTAAGTGAATGCTGTCCATATCTCGAAAAGGCAATGTTCTTTCAAACATCCAGCTATAGCCATTTGAGCGATAAATATGCTATTCGTAGCATCTTTAGACATGGTTTGTTTGATTGTTTGAATTACTTACTCTGCTGGCAAGGTTTTTGTTATAGTCATCTGACCATTCTTGCAAGATAACATGTAATTTCCTAGTATCACGTCCACTCATGCTACCCAATACAATCAGTCAAAGAAATTAAATTAAACTCTATATCTACCTGACCAAGACGTGTTCTGAGTCTTCATTCCCTTTAATATTACTGGCGTCTTTAAATTCAATCTTGATCAAATGGCCTTTATACACAATTTCTTCGTCAAAGTTTGAAGCTAATGTATACAGTGAGTAAAAAAGGATTTGAAAATGAAAGGTATATTCACTAACGAGGAATAAGTCGAACCTTGGCAAGATCAGGATCATTGAATTCAGAGTAATTGGTATGATCACACCATTGGCTATCGTTGTCATAATCATAATCATCTACTTCTGTTGCAACACGGTCACTAACTTCAGCATATTGAGCCACACCAGTCTGTAAGTCTTTTCGAGCAGTGCCATGATCGAATACGTATTGTGAGATACATTGATAGAGTGTATCCGTGGAATATATCTTTAAAGAAATTGTACCAGCAGGAGCAACCTTTTTCGAAATTTTTTCCATTAATTGAGACCAATGCATTCTTAAAATAGCTATGACAGAATAAGCTTTGGTACAACCTTATATTTCATGAAACCTACGAGCAATATAAAACGCCAGAGAAAGTGCCACAAAGTCATTACCAAAGTACTTTTGGCCTAGGTTAACAACACGTTCACCAAGAACACTCTTCCAAACATCTTCATCAGAAATCTTTTCCAGGAAAGTGAGCAAAAGATTGAATACTGCACTAATATTAGTGATAGGCTTAACAGCTGCGGTCATGAGTATAAATAAATAGGGGGAGAATAAATAGAGAGAAAGGAAGAAAGGGGGAGTTTTTTGATTTTTCTGTGTTGGAACATGTAGCTATTTATATGAGTGATAAATACTGCGGTAGACAAATGTGGCGAAGTTTTAACTTAAAGTATTTGACAATCATAAATTCCGAAATGTAAAAGCCATGTTTATATGCTTGTCAAATCAAGCAGTTGTTACTCAGCTCTTCTCTGCTTTCCATATTGATGCCTTCAGTATCTTTTCTTTTTGTGTGACATAGGACTTTGTCAAAAGAAAAGACGCAAGTCACATTGATGAACCGAACCTTTTTTTTTTTTTTCGCAAATTAGGACCCTAGCCCTTCTTTCTCTTTCTTATACACAATGTCTTTATTATCTCAGTTTACAAAAACTGCTTTTCAACAGTTTACAAGACCTGTAGCAATCAACAATCCTTCCATTTTTACTCTTGTTCGTACCATGAAGGTCCGTTCTTCAGTCAAGAAGATGTGTGATGGTTGTACAACTGTCAGAAGACGTGGAAAGCTCTTCGTAACATGCTCCAAGAACAAGAAGCACAAGCAACGCCAAGGATAAACTGATTCATCATACTATGTATATTATTTCCAGCATCGTTTTCTTTTTTGTATAGACCCTCTAATAAATCGATAGCAAGCCATTTTTATTTTATCTTATATTTCTATTTGTTTTGCTGAGGATATCTAATACTTTGAAGGCCAACACCAGTAATAGCAACATGGACATCATCACTGTCAAACAATCAATAAGGCGGTTATGTATATCAATACTTACTTGAAAACAACAGCATCCAATGCAGAAGGATCAGGAACATCCATATACATTGCACTCTTTAATATTAACGATACTTCTTGAGGATCAACATGCCATATATTGAGTCTTTGATCTGTAGATGTCGTAAATACAGCATTATCCATGTACTTGATACCAGTAACAGAAGACGCATGTGCATGAGGGACAATAAAAGGCTTCCCAATCAATTGAACATATTGATCATTAATTTCTATCTTAGCTATTGACACTGCATTGTCTTCCCCACCAGTCACAACAAGAACATCTACATAGACATAAGCTTTAGTAGCATTGATTCAATAACTTACCTTTGCCAAACAGGACTGTCTCAAGCGCGTTAACACCAGACATGTGCACACTGTAATGAAAGGCAGGTTCAGACAGTCTGAATGCTGCTTTTGTAGGCTCAATTTCTAGCTGTTCATTGCTTGTAATAGCAGTATAAAGGTCATCACTGATATCCCAGACAGCTACTCTTCCGTCTGTAGCTGAAGTAAAGAAATAAATGCCATCCTCACGCTTGACATGTGTGATCTGTAAGATACATTTGGCATGCCATGTACCATCTGCAATCAATGAAAATTTACGTGTGGTTTCATTAAACAACCAAAATCGAATCATGGCATCAGAATAAACAGCACCAATGATATGCAAACCACGCTTAGAATCAATAGCAAACGCAGTGGTGTCCATGATTCTTGTTTCAATATCTTCAGAGAGTGCAGGGCAAGTGGCTACCTCAAGGCAGTTGAGACTAACAATTCCACCAGGAGTTTTGGAAGGCTGCGCTTCTACTTTCCAACAACGAAGCTCTTCAAGGCCACCACTCGAAAACAACAAGGAAGATATGCCCTGGCTGAAATCAATACTCTTGATAACAGTAGTATGTTTACGGATGTTGACATGTGTATAGAGTTTGTTTGCGTATTGAGGCATATATTGTTGAATACGAAGAATAGTATCCTCGCCACCAGTAGCAAACAATAAAGAATGACTGTCAGACAACAAAGGGAGAAATCGAATAGCACGTACTTCACGCCCATGGTAATTGGTTTGAAGAATGCTATCATTAAAGCCATCTGTTGTACTGGAAGTATCTCGGAGGTAAGCATACAAGACTTCTTTACGGATAAATGCAAAAGAAGATTTGTTGAGCTTAACATCTAGTGTGTTAAACCCCCAACGTCGATGTCCTCCACCACAATTGATAGCAACCATAACAAAGTTCTTCTTTTCGTTATAAATAAAGAAATTCTTTCGAAAGAACCCCATCAATAAGAGCTCACCATCCAATATCAACGATCCTTCCAAAGTACCCTTTGTCACTCGATTTCTATACAGCTTTTCAAGAATCATATCATGTCCCGAAAGCGTCATATCTCCTTGACTAGCAATACCAGATTGAGTTTCTTGAACTTGCTCATCAGTACTGTGTAATAAGCCAAGTCTGTACTGAATATAGCATCCATCACGTCCTGTTGTCCAAAAAACAATACTGTCTTCTTCGTCTAAAGAATCCATAGTCTTTTTTATCAATACACTTGTAATGGCTTGTTTGCCATGAGACCGTCTTAGTTGCAGTGCTGGCTTCAAATTGATGATATTGCCTTCAGGAACAGTGGTATGACAAGGAAGACGATATACTAACAGTGCAGATTCTCTAGATCCACAAATCAGAATCTTTTTATCTTCAGCATATCCCAGTGACATGACTGTGGTTCGTTCAGCAGGCATTTCTAAATCAAACAGTGTTTGAATAACAGGCTAATAAAGCAAAATCAGGCATAGGATCAAGAATCAATTCCTACCTTGTCTCCAGACAAATCTAGGCGATGGAATAACACACTGTCATTGTATCCATTGGAGACCACATAGAGAATATTTTCATCTACATTAGCATATAAATGGTATATCCAGCAAAACATCAACTTACCTGATGAAGGTTCAATAAAAATTTCAAATAACTTTTGCTTATGAGCAGTAATTTTAAAAGGCTCGAATGCATCTGCAGGACTAATGATGACAAGATCGCCAAAGATGTTGCCCACAACAACGACTCTTCCACAGTCTGAGTTTTTCATGATGGCATAATTTCTATAGGACTCATCATGTTGTATTTCTTTCCATGCATAAGGCAGTTCTGTAGCATTGCATTTTAAAAGGTATCCTTCAGTTGTAGCAGCAATAATACACCTGTCTTTTGTAATCACAAAATTACGGATATTATCCTTATTTCTATCTTGTGGCAATGGGAAAGCCACCAAGTCATCTTCTGAGTCAATCTTGTTGTTTTTAATAGAACTCAAGGACCATAAACGAATACCAGAATCTTGTCCTCCTGTGGCTACAATTTTGTTTTCAGGATTGATAGCACAGCTCCATACATTTTTACTGGCATGACCTTCCCAACAGGCAATACAGTCTCCATCGTCCTCATCGTCTTCATTTGCATTAAGGGAATTCCTCCAGACTCGACATGTTGAATCTTCGGATATACTGACAAGATAATCATCCACAAATTGACAATCCCATACTCGAGCTGTGTGGCCAAATAAAACGAGAGGTTTGCTATCTTGTTTAAATAAAAAAAAATAACTCCTGTGCTTTTTACCTTTTTTCATCATTGAGCGACCAAAGTCGAATAGTTCTATCGTCAGATACACTAATGATTTGACTAGCATCTTGATTGAATCGTACACCAAAAATGACACCTTCATGACCAATTAACTGTTTATATACAACAGCATCGTCTTGTTCATTCTTTTCATGTGGTTTCCAAAGATGCACTTGATTAAATACAGTGCCTGAAGCAATAATCAATGTTTCAGCTGAATGTCCATAAATTCTGGCCGAATATAAGATACATCGAACTTCACATTGTGCTGAGTATAACAATTTAGGTATGGAAGACTTGAAGTCATAAATCTCGACATTGTTATGACCATAGACAAGTGTCATCTTGGTTGGATGAGATCTCTCTTGATCGTCATAAAACCATTGTGCATCCATGATCCAATCTTTGAAAGGCCCAATAGATTGTCTGATGCTAATATGTGCCTCTTGTTGGTTTGTTTTCAGTTCAAGGATCGAGATGAATTTTGATCCAAATACAGCAAGTTGTCTTATTTCCATTTCATTGTTATTCACAACATGAGGTGCTGTTTTCAGTGTCAGTATTGAATAATTTAATGCATTTCTTACCGAGAACAATCCGATGAATACGGTTTGCGGGCAAAATGCATTTGTTGGTCAACAAATTTCCCGTTCGAACATTATATACTTTTAAAAAGGGGCCGTGGCCAACTAACAATATAGAGTCGTTATGGAAGGTGAGGCTAGTAACAATACCAGCATAGATGTCCTTTTCTATAGACTAGTTTGACATATTAGTTTGGCTGCTTATTTTAGGTGACTATGTGTACCTTGTCCCCAAAAGAAGCAAGGCTTGCCATCGCAATAAGAAAAAGAAACAAGCGTTTTTTTCTCGAAGGCTGCACGTCAAAAATACAAAAAGTCCGAAAAAAGCTACCTGAAGGTGGCTTGTTTCCATCATGCAACCAAAACAAACAATCATGCTAGAACAAAGCTCTCGGTCATCAAAATTAATTTATTGTCTTGGAGAGCGAGGAAATTTAGCTTTCTATTGTTTGGTGTCTTGCAATTGGCCGCTCTCTTTCATACGCTTCAAATAATAGTATCTTAGTTGACAGTTTTCTTTTCTCTTCAATGTATACAAACAAGACTATGTTTAGCTAATGCACATTTCTCTCTGCCAATAATTTAATGGTCACTTACTAATATGAGTCATAGCGTATACATATTATTGTACAGAGGAACTCTTTGGAAGAAACAACAAACATACAAAGGTCCTATTTGTCAAAGCCCAATGAAATGACTGTGACTAACTTTTAAAAGTCAGTCGAGTACAAAAAAAAGTTTTGAACCTCTTTTTCTTCTCCTTTTTTTTCTCTTTATTATTATGTCTGACTTGAAGGAAGAAAAGCAAGCTCCTGCTGCCCCTACTGCCGAACTTGATCCTGCCGCTGCCGCTAAGAAGGCTGCCAAGGAGGCCAAGAATAAGGAAAAGCAAGCTGCTAAAATGGCCAAATTTGCTGCCAAACAAGCCAAGGTAAAAAAATAAAACAACGTGTCCCTGTTCAATACTAACATGCTTTACAGCTCAACGAAGCTAAAAAGACTGCTGAGCCCAACCCTGAAAAGAAAAAGAAAAAGGAAGTTAAGACTCCTGCTCCCGTCTTTATAAACAAGACTCCCAAGGGTGAAAAGAAGGGTAAGATAGCTCCATATGATTGTCAATTTGCTCAATTTTTTTTGTTAGATATGTCCGAACCTCTTGCCAGTGCTTATGATCCTCGCGCTGTTGAAAGCGCTTGGTATGATTGGTGGGTCAAGGAAGGTTACTTCAAGCCTGAATTTGGTCCTGACGGTAAACCTAAGGTTGAAGGTACCTTTGTTATTCCTGCTCCCCCACCAAACGTCACCGGTTCTCTTCACATTGGTCATGCTTTGACTGTTGCTATCCAAGATGCTTTGATTCGTTGGTAAGTCTTTAGAAGATATTGTCCACAAGCACTGAACATAAATCCAGGAACCGTATGTTGGGCAAGACTGTCTTGTTCCAAATGGGTACCGATCACGCTGGTATCTCTTGTCAATCTGTTGTGGAAAAGATGTTATGGAAGGAAAAAAAGATCACTCGCCATGACCTTGGTCGTGAGAAGTTCATTGAAAAGGTTTGGGAATGGAAGGAGAAGTATGGTGATAGAATTCATACTCAATTCCAACGTCTTGGTGCTTCTTTTGACTGGGACAGAGCTACTTTTACCATGGATCCTGTAAGTTATGAGCTTGTGTAAGATTGAGATACTTATGTGTTTTGATAGGGACCATCTGCTGCTGTCACTGAAAACTTTGTTCGTCTTCACCGTGATGGTATCATTTACCGTGCTAACCGTCTTGTTAACTGGTGTGTTGCCCTCAACACCACTTTGTCTAACTTGGAAGTTGAAAACAAGGAAATTCCTGGTAGAACTTTGATGCATGTTCCTGGTTACGACGAAAAGGAAAAGTTCGAATTTGGTGTACTTAACGAATTCGCTTATCAAGTCGAAGGTAGCGATGAACGCATCATTGTCGCCACTACTCGTATTGAAACCATGTTGGGTGATACTGCTGTTGCTGTTCATCCTCAAGATCCTCGTTACACTCACCTTCACGGTAAATATGTTGTCCACCCCTTCATGGACCGTCGTATCCCTATTGTGTGCGATGATATTGCTGTTGATATGAGCTTTGGTACTGGTGCTGTCAAGATAACACCTGCTCACGATTTTAACGATTATGAAGTTGGTAAGCGCCACAACTTGGAATTCATCAATTTGCTGAATGACAATGGTATCTTCAATGAAAACGCTGGTCCTTACAAGGACATGAAGCGTTTCCATGTTCGTACAAAGATTATTGAAGACTTGAAGGAAAAAGGCTTGTTTATTGGCTCTACTGATAACCCTATGGCTGTCCCTATCTGTAGCAAGTCTGGCGATATCATTGAGCCCATGATGAAGCCTCAATGGTGGGTCAAGTGTAAGGGTATGGCTGAAAAGGCTATGCAAGCCGTCACTGATGGTCAACTCAAGATTGCTCCCAAGGTCTCTGAAGGCGATTGGTTCCGTTGGTTGGGTAACATCAACGACTGGTGTATCTCTCGTCAATTGTGGTGGGGTCATCGTGTTCCTGCTTACTTTGTCAACATTGAAGGTGAAGAACACAGCCAAACCGATGATGCCATGTGGGTTACTGGTAGAAATGAAGAAGAAGCCCGTGCTGAAGCTGAACGCAAGTTTCCTGGCAAGAAATTTACTCTCGAACAAGATCCTGATGTCTTGGATACTTGGTTCTCTTCTGGTTTGTGGCCCTTCTCTACTCAAGGTTGGCCCGATCAAACCTTCAACATGGAACACTTCTATCCTGCTAGTCTTTTGGAAACTGGCTGGGATATTCTTTTCTTCTGGGTTGCTCGTATGGTCATGCTCGGCATTCAATTGACTGGCAAGGTGCCTTTCTCCGAAGTGTTGTGTCATGCCATGATTCGTGATGCCCATGGTCGTAAGATGTCCAAATCCCTTGGTAACGTTATTGATCCTGTTGATGTGATTGAAGGTATCTCTCTTCAAGGCCTTCATGCCAAGCTTTATGAAGGTAATCTCGATGTCAAGGAAATCAAGAAGGCTGAAGCTGGTCAAAAGTCTGACTTCCCTAAGGGTATTCCTGAATGTGGTACTGATGCCCTTCGTTTTGCTCTTTGTGCCTACACAACTGGTGGCCGTGATATTAACCTTGACATTCTTCGTGTTGAAGGTTACCGTAAGTTCTGTAACAAGTTATGGAATGCCACACGTTTTGCCCTGATGAAGTTAGGTGCTGACTTTAAGCCTTCTGAATCTGCTGAACCTGCTGGCAATGAATCCTTGGCTGACAAATGGATCCTTACCAAGCTTAATAGATGTGCTGTTGAGCTCAACAAGTATCTTGAAGAACGTAACTTCATGATGGCTACTAATACTATCCATCAATTCTGGCTCTATGATCTTTGTGATGTTTATATTGAAGTTGTTAAGCCTATCTGTGATGCTGATACTACTGGTGATGAAGCTGCTACTGCTCGTAAGGTCACTGCTCAAAACACTTTGTACACTTGTCTTGAAGCAGGCCTTAAGCTTATGCACCCTTTCATGCCTTTCGTTACTGAAGAATTATTCCAACGTCTTCCTCGTCGTCCTAACCATCCTGAAACTACCATTGTCAAGGCTAAATTCCCTGTTGAAAACAAGGCTTATGACTTTGCTGAAGCCGAAAAGGAATTCGAAGTTGTTTTTGAAGCTGTCAAGAGTATTCGTTCTGTTGCTACACAATTGAATCAAAAGAAGAACATTGTTGCTTCTGTTCAAACCAAGAATGCCTCATTCAAGAAGTTGTTTGATGCTGAAACACAATCCATTGTTGCTTTGGCTAAGGGTGTTTCTGAATTGACCATTTTGGATGAAAGCGCTGAAGCTCCTGCTGATGTTGAAGCTGCTGCTGCTGGTGAAGATGTTACTATTTACATTCGCAAGTAGATTTTGTTTATATTTTAAGTTTATGTATGTTAGAAGAACAATAAAATGAATAGAAATAAATGAATGTTTGGGTTGATTTCTGAGCTTAAAAAAGAGTACAAACAGTACCTTGCTCTTTTTTTTTTTCTCTTTTTTTACTTTAAGAGTTCAATATGGCTCAACCTGTAGCTAGAAAGTTGCTTGTAGTTGGTGGTTCTGGCTTTCTTGGTAATAAACAGTTGGTTACTGTTGTTTTTCTGATCGTGCAATCGCATAGGTTCAAATATCTGTAGACTTGCAGCCAACAAGGGTTGGGAAACTGTCAGTTTAAGGTGAGTAAGAAAAACCGAGAAAATAACGCGGTATTGACGTCCAATTCCAGCCGAAGAGGAGAGCCTGAATTATTTCAACAGTATGGAAAGCCTGATTGGGCTCAACAGGTAAAGTAATATAAAATAAATAGACAAATCTGACAGTTTTGACAGGTTCAATGGGCTTCTGGAAATTCACTTCAACCCGAGACCTACAAAGATGCATTAGAAGGTGTGACTGATGTAGTTCATACCGTTGGTATTTTAATGGAAAACGACTACAAGTCAGTTGCTCAAGCGCAATCCCTATGTGAAGTAGCTAGTGGTATTCCAAAGCTTGTGCTCGGAATGAAGGATTATGGTAACCCTCTTGATCCCAACTTGAAAGATAATCCTAGACCTACTTATGAAACGATGAACAGAGATACAGGTATGTAAAGGATATATGGTTTGATTATTAACTGTCTAGAATAGCTATAACCGTTGCTGATCAAGTAGCCAAGCTGCCTTCTATCAAATCATTCACTTATATCTCTGCTTCTGATGTATTCCCATTGATTGATCCACGTTACATTACTACAAAAAGACAAGCAGAAACCTACTTATTTAGACACAATGAATTCAAGACAATTGTATTGAGACCAGGTAGTGAATGCGGCAATGATTTTATCTTCTGTTAATATATGACTTAGGCTTCATGTACAATGAGCACAGACCTGCTGCTATGCCTATTGCTGGTGCACTTCAATTCATCAATGCTGTTTCTAGTCCATTCAAGCAAGGTCTGGCCAGTTTACCAGGAGGAAAAATGATTACTACTCCTCCTCTTGAAACTCAAGAAGTAGCAAGAGCAGTGATTGCTGGTATTGAGAGTGAAGAAAATGGCATTTTTGATGTAGAAGGAATCGAAAACCTGAGCCGCATTACTATTTAAAGTTTAGTGCAAGGCGTGTGTGTGTGTGTAAATAAATCAAAGTTGCATAAAAAATATTTTCCTCCTTTTTTTTTCTTTTCTACATTTTTTTTCTTGAATTATGACCTCTATCATTGGATATACTAGGACCTTTCATCCCTCTTGTTCAATAGCACCAGTACAAAGACATTGCCCCAATAGGCCTGCTTTGAACAGAACAGATCATACTGATCAAGTAGTGACGCGAAATGAAGATAATGCAGCCAAAAAGCCAAATTATCACCGCATGTTTTCCAGAGAATTGACTACGCCAAATGGAATGATAGAACTCATTATTGACAAAAAACCCTTATCTCTCCAATCAAGCAAAATCACTATCAATACGGCGATGGCTGTACCAGATAAGAAGATACTAAACCAACAAGTTAAAAATAATAACAGCATACCTCAATATAAAGATTACAACACATATTTGGCCATTGACCTAAGTGGAAAGCATGACTATGATGAAATTTCATCATCTACAACAAGCTTTGATAGCATACAAAGACTAATGGATTCTATTTCAAAAATGAAACACAAGAAATCGATCAAATTCGTGAATATTATAGAGTTGCTTAGACAACTGCAGCGTTATCAACACGAATATCAGTTCATGAGCTGCATTGACAAACAAAACGAAAAAATCTTAGTTTATTTCCCTAATAGTCTTTCAGTCAACATACATGGGACACGTACTTGGCTAAAGCAAGTCGTTGGAGTAGACTGCGAAGCATATGACTACTGGCATTTGATATGCTCTAATGAAGAAGAGGAAGAAGACGACGTGGATGCATTTGATGGCAAGAAGTACTTTAAAGAGATAAATATGTTTATAGATCAGGTGGATGCTTTGATGGAATCAAATGGTTTATTCTCTCACAAACAAAAGAATTAGTTACTTTTTTTTAATGATGCCACAAGACCTTGATAATAAACCTAATGTAAAATGATGTGATTTGTCTTGTGCTACACACGCCCCTCTTCTTGGAATTTAGAGTTTCTCACCTGCAAGAATTTAAGAATTTTAGACAGTTGTTTACAGAAATAATACCATATTAGCAAGAATCAGACCAACTCAAACCATTTCCTTTGGCCTAAGATATATGTTCGCAATTTCAATCAAACTTTATTGCATGTTTTTTAAGTTTCCAAATGGCCAAGGCTTCTATAAAACTATTCAATTTAGTGTATTTTTATAGCAAGGAAGAATTATATTCGATACTTCTAAGTAATACCAAGACATTCACTGTTTTTGGAGTTGATTTGTTCTAGAAAGGGCGACATGTTCAAAATGACCAAAAATTTTTTTTTTTGTAAGGGAGACTTGCTCCAATTTTATTTTAAGTCCTTTAGACGTCAAAAGAGTGGAAGAAAAGACTGTGGTATTATTAGAACTAGACTAAGGAATGGGAAATGAGCCTGTGGTAGAAGAAATTGAGAAAAGAATAAGAGTTTAAGAGAGCTTGATAGATACTTGAAATGGAGAGAACATCATGAGTAGTGAGAGAGGAACTAGAAAGGAAAGCGGAGGAGAGAATTTACGGTTCATAATCAAGGCGGGATTCATTATGCAGCTTATTTGCTAAGCGGAAAACTGTCTTGGTTATAGTTTTGGAGAGGAATGGGTTTTCAGAAAAAACAGACTGCCAGTGAGCTTGCCAGAGGGCTAGAGCAGTGCATGCAAAGATTTGGAAGGTGCTTAAGGAAGGAAAATGGAGGAGAGAAACACGAGGGATAACAACCCGAAGGAGGAGGACTTGACGTAGGAGATTGACCGAAGGTGCACGGATGTTGGGATTGATGTACTTGGAGAAGACATGAGACCAAACATCATACTTGGTAGGGCAGAGGAAATAAAAGTGATCAAGGGTATCAATGGAAGTAATGAGATTTGAAGGACAGTGGATACAAAAGTTATTAGGAACTGTATGGGGCATAAGACGATGTAGGTGAAAACGGTTGTTGACTTTGTTGTGAAGCATCCTGTAGAGGACATTGCGAGCAGGGAGAGGGATCTTGAGAGACCAAAAGCGTTTCCAGTTAGGCGATAGGCGGGGATCAGGCGGTATAGGAGGGGAGGAGCTATGGCATAATTTACGATAAGAATGAGTGGAAGATGTAATGGGGAATTGAGAGTATGTAAGGGTTGAAATGAATGTCTGTAAATCAGTGGGACTAATGTGAGAGGTTGAAGGAAGAATAGAAAAGGAAGAAACACGAGGAGCAGGAGAAAAGAGTGACAGGACAAAGGGATTGAGGAAGAGCTTTTTTTGACGAAAGTGTAGTAAAGCGCGGTAGGTGGCCGATTCAAAACGAGGAACTTCTTGCCGAGAGCGAAACCGAAGGCATTCACTAGAAGAATCAAAAACAAAAATGTGATTACCTGTTAAGGCTAGCATACTGGGATTGTGTTTGAAGTATTCATTTTTAGAAATAGGAGGGTTGGATGGAGGTGGAGAAGGATAGATAGAATGTAGAAGTTCAGGAAGTGGAAGGCGAAGGCAAACGTGAAGGGGAACATGACAATTGGAGAAGTTGTGGGGTAGATAATCTATAGCTAAGAAAATACGGTTGAAGTAAGGAATGTCAATAGAAAGTTTTTTTCGTATAAAGGGGAATAACAAAGGCCAGTGGTAAGTAGGGTATTGTGGGGAACAAAGGAAGAAAGAGAGGGTAAACTGGAGATAAGGAAGTGAAGGTAAAGAAACAGCAAAAGAGTGAGGAACTAATAAAGGGTAGACCCATCGCCATTGAAGAGCTCTCTGTTGTAGATGAGGATCAATGACGCTTAGTCCACCTTGAGAACGAGGTAAAATGAGTGTTGAGAAAGGAATGGTACCAAAGCGGCGACTGTTGATGAAGGAAGTGATGAGGCGTTGCAATGTGTTTTGTTGCGTTTTGTTGAGAGGAAGCAGGCGAAGTACATGCCATAGTCGTGATAGAATGAGTGAATTGAGAACAGTAGCTCTGCCTCTAACAGATAAATTTCTAGTGCTGTGTATGAGACATGCTTGCTGGATGATTCGGAATAATTTGTCGATATGTGAGTTTCGTTGATGGGGACTGGAGTAAATTGGATAACCAAGATAAATAACTGCTTTAGGCGAGGTGTTGTCATGCCAAGTTGTAATGTTCTGTGAAGCTAAAAAGTACTTCCATCTTGGATTAGGTTTACCTGACAGCGAAATGGCTGTAGTCTTGTTGAAGTTGAGTTTAGCATTGGAGGCTAGCATGTAATTGTGAATTAATTGTTGAAGGCATAGAAGGTCTTGGCGATTATGAAGTAAAACGAGTGTATCATCGGCATAGGCGAGAACTTTGACAGGTGGTGCTGAGAAGGATGGAGATGAGGGATTGTCTAGTTGTAGTTGTTGAAAGGAAAGTGAGAGGTCATTTGGTGATACGGAGGATGGCGGATGATGGTTTTTGGTTTCTAGTTGAAAGTCAAAACCTTGAATATTAGGATTTTGTTGAATAGAACGAAGGAATGGGTCGAAAGCAATGTTGAATAATAAAGGACTGAGTGGATCTCCTTGTCGGAGACCTCTATGTTGTTGGACTGTTGTGGAAGAGATATGACCATTGATATTGAAACTAATGTCAGTAGAGAAGAAAAGAGATGTGATGGATTCAATGAAAGTATGGGGTATGTTAAATGCATGCATAACTTGAGTCAGATAAGTAGGATGGACCCTATCATAAGCTTTCTCTTGGTCGAGAAGAAGGGCAATAGAGTTGGAATTAACATGGTGTGCAATAGCTTGTATCGATTGTAGGATCTGACCATTTTCTGCGATGAATCTACCAGGCATAAATCCGAGTTGGTGTGATGAAATATATTTGTTGAGGTAAGGCATAAGTCGAGCATTGATTAATCGAGTAAAAGTTTTGGCATCTGCGTTAATGAGTGAAATGGGTCGCCAGTTTGTTAGCGAAGAGAGATTGCCCTTTTTTGGTAGTAGAATCATACAAGTTTGTAACCAGGACTTTGGAAATCTAGAGGAGGTGAGTGCATCATTGTATACCTTTACGGCCAAAGCGCCAGTAAGTGGATGCTGCAATAAAATGGAAAGTAGTTCGTACGGTAACCCATCTATACCAGGACTGCTTTGACTTGGGGTTCTAGCCGCACCTTCTTGAAGTTCTTGTAGGGTGATGGGAGCACATAATCGATTATGCATTACATCTGGAATGCTGTCACTAGAAGGAATTGTGCTAGTGAGATCTGCAATATGTTTCATACTTACCTGGTCAGGGCAGTAAAGCTGACCGTAAAAAGTTGAGACTGCATCTTCCATTTCTTCGGTCGATTGACAGAGGTTGCCGATGATGGGATGAATGAGTGGCGGCATGGATTTCTTAGCTGATTTGGATTCAATAGTTCTCTTGAGGTAACCTGCTGAAGTTTCACCATTTTCTCTCCAGTGTCGACCAGCACGAAGAGCAAGATTGTTGACATAGTCCTCTTGTACCATTGCAATTTTCTTTTCAACGTTTGAAAGGAGTGGATGAGGAATGCGAGCTGTACCGTATTCTTTGAAATACTTGTTGCGCTTGCGTTGAAGACGCTTCATCAGACGAACTCGCCATGCTGCTTGTTGTCTGCCAATCTTTTTTGCAATAGTTTTTGTGATCTGTTTGATCACATCCCATTGTTGTTGTGTTGTGGGGCATGACTCTTCAGAAAAGGTTTCTATCAGTGAATGATAATCATCCAATGCAGAATTCAAGGCTTTGATGAAGTAAGAGTTCTTGGCCAGACTAGGGTGAGCACGCCACAGACCTCGACCTTGTTTGTTTTGTGCAAAGCGGAAAGTAGCTGAGAGAAGAGCATGATCGGTCCATCTTGGAGAGAGAAACTCAATGTCATGAGAAAGAATGTTGTCAGCAAAGAAAGGTGAAGCAAATATGTAGTCAATGGTGGATGTATCCGACTCTCCACGACGAAAGGTGGGAATTCGTTGATCGTGTTGAAGCGCATGAGTGCATTCTGTAAAGTAGGTAGATAGCAAATAGTGCCATTTCCATTGAGAAAGAATGCTGGATGAATTGATAGGAGACTCTTTGTCAGGAAGGTTGCGGGTAGAATATGAGTGAAAGTCGTAGTTGAAGTCGCCTACAATGATGAGGGAAGGTGTGGATGTATCGTCATCCTCTGATGGTAAAGGACTGGAGAGGGGATCAAAGAAATCTGAAAATGGTTGCATAGTCATCAGATCGTTGTAAAAGAACTGTCTTAGGCGTTTTGTCGCTGGAGCATAAATGTTGGCTAGAAGGAATGGAGGAAAAAGGTTAGAAGTGTGTGTAATATTACATATGATGACCCTTTGGTCTATGGTAATCAAGTATGGTGTGATTTGTATATTAGGATTGTTGCTAATTATCCCACAGTGCTGAGTCCATATTGAGAAAGTCGGTTTGAAAAGGAAGTCGAGTTGTTGTTGCATAGTAATGTTGCTGGCATGTGTTTCTTGGAAGCATAGGATGTCTAGTTGTTTAGTTTTCAAGTATCGAATAAAGCTGCTGCTAACTTCTGGTTGTGATGGTTTTGTTAAACTTCGGCAATTAAGGGAACATATAGAAAGGTCAGTAAATGAATGTGAGGGGAACTTACGAGATTGGGTTGTGCTTGAAGTCGACATATTTATTGTTGTGAATTCGCTTCACCTTCAGCGAGAGGTTCAGAACTACTTGTTTGATCAATTTGCATTTCTGAGTCGTCAGTTATCTTCTCAGGTGTTGGGCGAGAGAAAATAAATGCTGGAGCATCATTGTCTGTTTGGTCTTGTTCATGTAATGCAGACTTTGGCTGGGTCTGAGGGAGAAAGGCACGGAGTTGTTCTTCGGTAATCCAATTCTTTTTAGCAAAGGATCTAGCAACCGCTACATTGACAGGTGTTCGGATGTACTGCAGCGTGGATAGAGCTCTGGTAGAGTTGATACGACATGCTTCTTGTCTGCGCTCTTCCTCAGAAGCCTCAGCAAAAGCTGGGTTTCGGACTACTGTTGGATCGAGTGGATCAAAGTCATGGAGAGGCTTAATATTATGCTTTTCAAAGACAGCAGAGGCAGCGGAGGCGTACTCGTTGTGTACGAGGATGGCGACGACATTTCGATCAGGATAGTGAATATCCAAGACTCTTCCACGATCAAGTCCGAGGCGGGCAAATTGTTGACGCATGTCTCTGATAGGGAGCTTTCGTCTGCATGGGAGATAAAGGTATTGGAACCCTTGATCAGTAGACACAGGTATGAATTGTCTGGCCACGCTAGCCACTTGACGAGGAGAGAGGCGTTTTGAAGGACGAGTGGGCGCACGTCTTGCTATTGTAGCAAAAGTGACATGCTCCCCAGAAGGTTTGTAAGCATGGGCATATTGAGATGCTTCAATTCCCTTAGCCAAGGGAGGGAAATCAGTAGGAATTGCCATATCATGATCTGTATTTTGAATTGCCTCTGGTTGAGTCAGAGGCAAGTCTGACTGACTGTTGGCGGCGGACTGTAAGGCGGCAATTTGTTGATAAGCTTCTGCCAAAGCCTTTTGCGTCTCCGCTAAAGCAGAGCGAGTGTCTTGGAGCTCTTGACGAAGCCCTTCGTTGTCTTGGCTAAATGCCGCCAGTTGAGCTTGGAACGAGAGCATCTGGTCTTGCAAGCTGGTGGGTATAGCAGCCTTAGCAGCTGCTTCCGCAATGAGGGCGGCGGTTTGTTGTCTAGTAGCCTTGGAAGGACTACCAGTGGTTGATAGTTTGCTGTAAGGTTCAACACGCTTCGCACGTGGGGTGGTCTTCTTGATAGTAGGAGTATTCATAACGAAGTTATATTCGTGGTCTAATGAATTTGATCGAAGTCGTTTCCTTGGGGGAGGTAGAGTTGGACTGAATGAAATAGTTACAGGTGCGTCAGATGTTACGTCTACGAGTGGTGGTGAAACTGAAGGCGATGTCGGTTGCAGTGGTACAGAAGAAGGTTCTACTGGAGGTCTGTCGACTATGTCGTTTATGTTGAAGTTGTTGTTGTTGTTGTGTTTTGTTAGTTGAAGGTGCTGTTTCGGGGCTTAGGTACCCAAAACAGAAAATTCGAAAAAAAGGTGTTATTTAGTAAAAGTGAAATGACCAAAAATTTCTCGAAGGTAAAGGGCAACACTCATGGAGGCTTTTCATTCTCCGACATTTTGAGCTTCTTTTGGACTTTGCGAGATGAGGAATGCAGCTATCGGTATAACTAAATACTCAGAATGTGCACCAAAAGCTAAAGTCTCTAATGGTTGTATTTGTTTGCAAAAAAAAACAATGAAAATAGTAAGCTAGGGCCAAAAACCTCGAGAAAAATAGATGCATTTGCTCAATAAGTTGTTAGTAAAACGTTCGCCTTTTCTACATTGAGAGATTCAGAAACTAAGAATCTACAACTTTTGTTATTGCATCAAAGCCCAATAGCTGCATCTTCATGCAGTTCTATCAACAAACACCCAATTCTCGATACGGCAGGATGAACTAAAGTTGTTTCTGTTTTTAATCGCCGCAAAACAGTCAGTTTGTCCATTTGCTCCACTTTTACATTATAAAATGCCTGTATTTCTACTTCTTTATGTTCTTTAGCACTCAAAATAGTATATGGTATCTTTTGTAAGTTCATGAATAATACACTACATAAGACGTTTAGAGCAAAAATGCTCAAACCACAGCTTAAACATGCCAATATTAGATGGACCATTGCTTGACAACTGAACTATCAAACCAGTCCATTTTTTCATTCAAGACATGTTCTTCCGATCCAAGAAATTGAATGGTGCCATTGGTTTGGCTGTCTTGTGAGACTCATTCTTTTGACCCATGAGAGATCCACAGAGGTCCGTGAGGATGAAAAAAACAAAACTCGATCAAGAACTTTTGGAATGACCCAATGTAAGTGTTGTGAACATATATGAACTCATATGCATAGATCAATAAATGATGATCATGGCAAAAGACCAGACCACATCTATGGCAATTGCAATGGATCTATAGTCACTGACATTCACTCATTCTACTAGAAGTACTACATCATCCTCATAGTCAGAGATTATGAACCTAGTGACTCTGTTATTATTAATGGCCCTCATAAAGTGACAGTTAGAGCTGACAAATACATTAGCATTGGCATTTGACAAATATGTAATAGTTTATTCAAGTTCAGGTCAGATCATGTACTATTGGCTCTAAAGGCATTTCTCTTAATTGCTCCTGATCTAACAAATCAATCCGTAGTCAAGAAGCTAACCTCAAAACAATATTTTGACCGAGAAGAAAAAGTATAAATACCTCGACGTTTTATAGCAATTGAAAGATAACATTTCTTGGAGAAATAAAAACCTATACAAGTTCTAACGGACTTTCTCTGTGTTCTTACCTTTTCTCTTATTGAATATCTACTCTCTCTTTATCTCACAACAGTAAGTCTGATCCAATCAAAATCAGACAAGACCATCTCTAGATACTTTCAAAGAAATGAAAACGAGTTTACTAAGACAAAAAAGGCGACTTGATCTGAGCAAAGCCTTCAAATCTGCATCTGAAGTCTATTATACACTATAATTCGTCCAAAAGAAGCTCTCTTTAGTGGTAATCTGCAAGCGAATCAACTTACACTGAAATTAAAGACAAAAACAGATCAATTAGAAATGCAATTACAATAGTAAAGATAACTAAAGCAAAGATCCTTAAGTAAAGCATTGATAACTGTTAGAGTCTGATAAAAAGATGAACCAAGTAATGCTCTTCTCCAATTACTTTCAGCTGCTTGTCACAGGTGTCATTTCTAAGTCATATTTTATTATCGCGATTTGCTGCGGACACCGGTAGCACTAGTTCGTCCTACCTTAAAACAATGAAAGTGTGTATTTTGAATTGCTATATTAAACAAGCTTTATCGAATCCTCTTTTTCTTTTTGATGTTTACCATTTGAATGTTGCTTAACAATCAAATCAGTCTCAAGACATACGAGACAGTTCAAGAATTTGTAGACGAGGCTACACATTCTCTTTTATTACACGAAGTTCAAAACACCTTCTTGCTACTTGCGACTCAACAGGCACTTAAAGAAGCATCTCCTGACTTCTACTGCAATGCTGTATGGGACTCTCAAGACAAGTTCGTATTCGCTCTTTTCTCTCTCAATAACACAATGCTCTACGGGTCTTTTCTTCCCAAAGAAAACGCAGAAGCTGTCAATATGGCATTGAATGATTTCATTCACGCAAAAGCCTATGTATCATTGACTTTTATTCATGGCTTTCAACCCGCTCTCAGTTGCATGCAAAACTGTTTACAGACAATTCTGAAGCTCAAGCTTGTTGATCCAGTCTGGTCGTACGATAACAAACAAGTAGAGTATTCTCCAGAAGTGTTGCAGCTTGTCCAAAGTCCCAACATCGAATTAAAAACAGGAACAGAAAAAGATATGCCACTCTTGCTTAAATGGACCCAGGGTTTCCAAGATGATGTTTTGCGCAATTTCGATGCCTCTATGTTGCCTCCAGTTCAAGAAGCTGTATCTGGCGCTCTGAAAGAACAAGCCATCTACTTGCTTTATGTTGATGATTTACCTGTGAGTATGGCTTGGAAAAGAAGACCCACTTTCAATGGAATTGCTATCACGTTAGTCTATACACCACCAAGCGAAAGAAAAAAGAATTATGGATCTGTCTGTACTGGTATGCTTACAGAGTTATTATTGAAGAAATTCAAGTTTGTCACCTTGTTTGTTACAAAGCATCAGAACCCTGAAAAGAACTTGTACACCAGTATTGGTTTTAAATTCTTAGGTGAAGCAGGACGATTGGTAGTCGGTATTTGAACACAGCATGAATTAAAATTGCTTTTGGCTGTATGAGTCAGCATGATCTACAATCTCGGCCTAAACACCTAACGGCCGAAATCCAAATTGAGAGCACAATTGTCAAAGTAAAACAATAGAGATCTTTGTCTTATTTAAGCTGTTCATGAAAGATAATAAACATATATACAACATGGTTTTTTTTAACAAGTCACGTACTTACAATATGAGTCATTTGCTGTAAACTTTGCAATGTCGAGCTTTTAAATTATCTAGAAAAAATAAAATCTGAGTTGTTTGCTTTTTAAACTTGTCTTTCTTTCATTCTTAATCAACTACGCAGACATGTCTTTAAAACTAAAGCCTACACTTGAAGAAATTCAATCTATTGTCGCTTCTGGCAAGGGCAATACAATCCCTATCTATGCCGAACTTGAAGCCGACTTTTTAACACCTGTTTCTGCATACCTCAAAGTAGCTGATCGTTGCGACTACTCTTTCTTATTTGAGTCTGTAGAAGGTGGTGAAAACATCAGTCGTTATTCTTTTATTGGTTCTGGCAAGTATACAATCATTGCCACATACTGTATTTTAACGCGCACATAGACCCTTATAAATTGATTCGAGTGGGTAATAAAGAGTCTGTTCAAGGTGATCCTCTTGTGCCTATTCAAAAAGAATTGGAACATATTAAATATGTCAATGTACCTGGACTTCCAAGCTTTACAGGTAAGTCTTATTATCTAAAACAAAATCAGGCTTATTGATTGAGCTTAGGTGGTGCTGTGGGTTATATTGGTTTTGATTGTTACCAATACTTTGAACCTAGCATTCAAGGTGAACTTGAGGATCCTCTCGGTATCCCTGATGCTATTTTCATGATGTGTGACACACTCGTTGTGTTTGATCGTGTTCGCCAAATTGTCAATGTCGTTTCCCACTTCCGTAGCGACGTTACAGATCCTGAAGAAGTGGCTCGTGAATACACAAAAGCGGCCGAAGAAATCGAGACAACATTATCATTATTGAATGAAGATCGCATTCCTCCAGTACCACAAGGACCCATCACCCTAGGCAAGCAAGCTGTGTCCAATGTCGGTAAAGATGGCTATATGGGATTCGTAACAAAATTAAAGCACCATATCAAAGAAGGTGATATTTTCCAAGCAGTGCCCTCACAACGTTTAGCTCGTCCTACTGACTTGCACCCTTTCAATGTCTACCGTCACTTGAGATCATTAAATCCATCACCCTACATGTTTTACATGAATCTAAAGGAATTCACTATTGTGGGCGCTTCGCCTGAAATGTTGACCAAAGTGCAAGATGGCGTGGCATTCACACATCCTATTGCAGGTACCAGAAAGCGCGGAAAGACACCTAAAGAAGACAAAGCATTAGCAGAGGACTTATTACAAGATCCTAAAGAAATCGCTGAACATGTCATGTTGGTTGATTTGGGTCGTAATGATATTAATCGTATCTGTCGCCCTGAATCTGTCAAGGTGGATAAATTGATGCAGATTGAACATTATTCCCATGTCATGCATATCGTGTCTAATGTGTCTGGTAAATTGCGTGATGATCAAACACCTTTTGACGCTTTCCGTGCTATTTTCCCTGCTGGTACTGTCTCTGGTGCACCCAAGATTCGTGCTGTGGAATTGATTCGTGGTTTAGAGAAACAAAAGAGAGGCATTTATGCTGGTGCAGTAGGACATTTTGACTATTCTGGTGATTTAGATACTTGCATTGCTATTCGTACTATGGTGTTTAAGGATGGTGTTGCTTATTTACAAGCTGGTGGTGGTATTGTGTATGATTCTGTGGAGGAAGATGAATACCAGGAAACAATGAACAAGATGGGCTCTAATTTGGCCACTATTGATCAATGCGAACGCAAGATTTATGAGCAGCAACAAAAATAAACTTTATTATGCATTAGAGATACGTGTAGTAAAAGAAGTATCGTCTGTTACTTGTTGTGACTGCTGCTGCTGCTGCTGTTGTTGTTGTTGTTGTTTAACATGAAATAGTTTGACATGTGTATTATTCCAAGGACCGTAGTTGGATATAGAAGCAATATAGGCTTGTCCCCATAACATACTACGAAACCAGATAACCAAAGGGTCTGACCATTGAAATTTGCGAATAATGACAGGATGTGCTACTGGTAAAATGTCTGTAATTGAGAGATTTCTAAGGTACTCAATGATTTGTTCATACGACAAGTTTTTAGATTCTAATTGAGGCAGAAGATCATGGATAAGTGCTGTTGTTGTGTCCAAAGGAAGTCTTGAGTGCCATTGATAAATCTACTCTGATTAGTCAAGAAAGCATTGATTGCTGACTTACCCAATCATCCGTAGGTATAAACCCATTCTTGGCTCCCGGTAATAAGTTTGCAGCAGATCCAATGGAAGAAACACTGGGTTGTCTCTGTGGAGTTGCTTGAAGGCTTTGTGCACTTGATCCAGTGGATGATCGTGACAGAGAGACTTCAGGTAATTTACCCTTTGCTTTCTCAGACATACCTGGGCTAGTAGCACCACCAGGCTCTTCTGACGATTGTCGGGGCAACCTAGATTCCTTAGCTTGTCTTGCTCGCTCTATTTCAATCAGGGCATTGTCTAAGCTAAATTCAGCCAATCTTTGAAATTTACGATGACTACGAAGAATGGCATAAACCAGACCAGGGTTATCTAGGTCAATATGTGTCAATACCCATGTCCATATAATGATGAGCACTTACTAGAAAATTGGAATTGAAGTAAGTTGTTTAATGCTTCCAACAGATATTCAATTAAATGGTGATTCGATTCGTCTGCTAACAAGAATCCAGGTGCTGACATTGAACTAAACAAGGCTAACAGTTTACTCGATGTCGTCTGAGAGAGATTCTTCAAATAAGGAGATATGTTGGTGACTGTCTTGGTTAATGCAGGATAGAGTGTAGATAATGCACCTCGAGAAGAAGCAATCAAAGAAAAGATAGTCTATCTGGTCAGCAAAAAAAAAAAAAAAAAAAAAAAAAAAAAAAAGAAAAAGAAAAAAAGAAAAAGAAAAAAAGCATGACAATGGTCTATCCACTTACCAAAATAAGATAATCTGCATAAGAACCTTGGAAATTTGGTATTCTGATATTTACAGGCAGAGATGCATGGCCATCAAAAGGCTTATTTAACTTGACACTGAATGTTCTATCAGAAGACAATGTCTGAAGGATAAAAGAGCACATACGTACAAGCCCCACTTGAGCTAAAGATTCGATGAATACACTACATATATATATATATATATACTGAGCAACTTACAGGGATCAAGTTTGTTTTCAGTAGCATAATACAACAAAACAATCATCAAATCTAAGGCTCTTTCTGTTTCTATTAAATAGTTTCGAAATCTCTATACAATCCCTTTTTTTAAATCCCTGCATACATACACTTGCATGTCTTACATTGTTCACTTCCAACAATTTCCAGCACAACATCATCATTTCTACATGATACCTTACACGCTTTGATGATCCAGGAAGGTAACTGTTTAATGTCTATACAATAGTTCAATAATTGTTTCTTTCTCACTCATATCAATATACCTGCATCGGACTACTCAATATTCTATAAATACCGTCAATCAAAAATTGAAAATCTTGAGCTCGATGTAACTTGGACAAGTAATATCTAAAGGCATTGTCTGATACATCGATAGTGGGCTTCTCGTTCTTTTCCACAGGTTCAACATGTTTACTGCTGCCTTCTTCTTGCACTTCTTCTGTCTGTCTGACAAAAGGTGAATAGTAATCCAACACAATTAATAAGCAGCGTAAACAGAGTGCGACTAAATGTTCTCGAGGATCTGAGAACATGATATGGTTATAGGGCACAGCTGTCCATCCCATAGGGTTAAATTTACATGATGTGTTGATCATACTACACAAAAAGGCAAGCACAACCTTTCTTTCTGTTTTGGATACCATATAATTTAACCAACGATCTTCTTTAGCCAATATTTGTGACGGAGGCATATACATCGACTTCGACAAAAGGACAGTCAATAATCGTAACACTTCAGTCCGATTCATGTCATTGTCGCGAGAAGATCCAATAGGCGTTGAAGATCCGATACCTGTTTCCCAAATCACATAATTCACTCTAGACTCTACTGTACCCATAGATTGTGGCAATGTAAATCCTGCAAGAAATAAGGATTGCAGTGTTACTATAGAGTATTTAGTACCTTAATATGTCTGTTAAGGTAGGTTACATGACAACAAGACTTGTCCCCGAGAAGCAGTTTTGTGTTCAGTCCAAAAGAACTTTTCTTCCCATTCTGCCAACTCTGGACTCTCAAAGATATAAGGCAGAATTCTTGTGAGTACACGGCAACAATTCAATAAATAAATGTTCTGAACTGGTGTAGTTGAATGTAGAATAGAGCCCATTTGTTCAATCAACTAGTCTACGCGTTAATAAACATTCAACTGAATAGCCTTCTTACTTTGTCTATCAGTGTCTCGAGGTTTTCAATTGCAGTATCTCTTGCTTTTCGAATATCAGTTGAACCAACAAGTGTATAGACATCATCTACAGTTTCTGGTAATGTCCAAAACTATAATACAGGATAAATAAAAATAGCAAGCAATGGGATAGTATACCAAAGTCCAATAGTCATCTGCAGTATTGGGTATGTTCTATCTATTGTCAAGTCAACAGTCTAATGAACAGTGTTCTTTACCCTTTCTTCAAATAAACGAAACACGCCTTTTCTGAAAGCAAGTTTACTGTCTGTAGCACCCATTATTTCAATAAGCAGAAGAGAAGAAAGAGAAGAAGAAAAATGGTAATAAAAAACTTTTTTAAGGAGTCTATCATCATAGTTTGAATGATCGGAGGCAAATTTGCATTAATACGGTGAAGTTGACATGACGTGTGAAAGAAGACCTTGGAAGGTTTTTATTTTTTTGTACTTTTCTGAAAAAGTAATGCCTGCTAACACAAACAGACAGGGCGTTAATCTGTTGTATTAGAAGCCTCTCACTCTCTTTTTTTTAATGGCGAAGCTCACTTGTTTTCATGATGATTTTATGGTCCATAAACCTGGATACAAGCTGAATTGACATGGTCGAGTCTCTCTTTTGTTTAATTCAAATTCCGTCCAAAGATCTCTTTTTTTTTTTTTTTTCTGATAATGACTTCGATATTACCAACGACTCGATCAGATAACTTTAGTTCATCTTCTTATGATATTCGATCGCGTAAACACTCACCAGCACTATTAAGGCGACTCGTTCGTTTCCCTCAAATGGACTTTGAGGTATATTGTGTTTGATCTATACACGTACTCATTTTGTCTAGTTTGCATTATGGCAAATGTGTTATTTGTTGATATCACCGAAAAGAGTGTAAGTATATATAATCAATTTACTCGCTCTAATAGGCAATGTTAGCTATAGGAATATCTACTATCATAAACGTAACGTGTTTTTGAATTGATAGATTTATTTAATTTTTCAATAGAAACAAAAAATCAGTGGTCTAGAGATGATCCTGCTTTTCTTGTGCTTATTGTCAGCTTCTTAGCATGTAATTCATACTTGAAAAAAAAAACATAACTGAATCGTAACACATCATAGTATTTGGCGCTGTATGGGGCTATGTATATCACCTTGGTGCATTGAATACGCTTAGAACAATGATTTGTATGATTTTGGTTGATTTTTTATTGATTGGATCCTTTGTATCCACATTGACATGGTAAGAACTACAGCTATATGATTCAATAGTCTAAAATAATAGGTACATTGCAAATAAATTCTTGACAGAAAACATAAACTCATATGCTGTGCCTCAAAAAGTAGAATGGGCCTACGCATTTGATGTTCATTGCAACTCATTTATACCTGTATTGCTTATCCTGAATGTGATCCAATTACTCTTTCTTCCATTATTACTTAAAGACTATTGGGCTTCTATGTTTGTTGGCAATTTGATGTATTGTATGACATTGGTCTGGTATACTTTTGGTACATTTTTGGGTTTCAATGGTAAGTAAACACAAATAGCATTTTTTATTTTTCTTACTTGTATCAATAGCGTTACCTTTCTTGGTACATACTGAACTCTTTCTGTATCCAATTGCTCTCTGCCTCATCTTGTTTGTCACGTCTCTGTTTGGTTTTCATATTCCACAATATATATTGAGTTTTTACTTTTGATTGATAGATTGATTTACATAGAAAAAAAATATGTATTGATAAAATACTATATATTTTATAACAAACACCTTGATGTATTATGCTCTTTTTGGCTTCAAACTACTTTAGATATACAAAATTCAACTAAGATATGAGCAATGATTCTACTTCTTAAGCATACAAAGATAACATAAAGCCTGTTTGTACTCCCATGAATACTCTGAATACCTACAGTCCATATTTACTCACATTACGCGGCATCTTTGGAGTTGATTTGAACCAAAAAAGACGACTTGTAAAATTTGGCTGTTTTGGCCTCTGATCCAAAGGATACTACTCATAGAAAAAGCTCAGTTTGACAACTCTTGGTTTTCTTTTTAACGCTACAAGAAGAAAAATGGAGCTACCGACAAGCTTAAATACTCAAAATGCGCGTCAGAGACTCCAGTTTTTGGTTAAAGTGTTCGATTACCGATTGTGTTATAAAAGCAGTATGATAAGAGCAAAAAAACCTTGTCAACGTTTTTACGTATTTGCTCAGTATTTTTGCAGCAAATTGGTTATTTTTTCTACATTGAGAGACTCAAAAATTAAAAATCTAAAGACTGACCTGGTCTAAACAATAGGCATTATGAATGCACTCAACTGAATATCCATCTGTACTGTTGTACAACAGACGTAAATGGCTATCATACTCATAACATGAAAGCTGTTTATTACGCTCATTTTAGATTTCCTTAAAAGTAGTGACACCATCTTCAGTAACAACACTCACAAGTTTGCCACTTGTCAAGGACACTGAGCCTGTGAGATAACCTTCTAATTGCCTATGGATCACATACAAACTTAATATCCATTTGGCTAACGCTATTCATCTGGACTTACTTTGCAATATCTGTAGGTGAGGTCCATGTGCTAAAATCAGCATTAGGCATGAATTTTCTATTCATGGGAGTATCGATCGTGATACTAAAGAGGGGTTAATGACATGCACATACATACGCCATATATAAAACGTACGGTAAGATAGCAGTAACTTTAGCACCTTGAGGAAGTCCACCATTTGATGCTGCTAAGTCTTGAACAAGATGGTGTACTGAAGTCTTAGCAATACCATAACCAATCATACCAGGTGTTGCCTCCAAAGCAGCCAAAGCACCTGTCAAGGTCAGCAAGCCATTCCTAATAACAACCCCATAAGATGCATGACTTCAAGTTGAACCACTTACTCTTCAAGATATTTAGAAGCAAGATGTGAAGCAATTAAAGAAGAATGAACACTCTGACTTATCATCAATTCAGAGTTTTTTAAGAAGTCTACCGGACAAGATGAGTATTCTATGTAGCAATCAACCCTCCAAAATACCTTTGTTGGCTGCATTACCGCCAGCCCAACCACCAGCAACACAAAAAATACCACACAACTTATCTGAGCCCAAAACTTGAGAAAGGGAATGACTGATGGATTCTCCTTGTTCCGATAAAGAGGCGGAAGCATTTGTCAATGTGTTGTAGTCGGCCTCTGTATTCTCAATCAAATCCACATTGATCACTGTCTAATATATATATATATATATATATCTCAGATCAACAAGAACGCGTCTATTATTTTAAATACTTTACGAATCCTTTTGATTTAAAATGTTGTACAAGAGAACGACCCAAGGCACCAGCTCCACCATAGACTAAAAGTTTGCTCATTTTATTGATAATATACAAAAGAAAAAGGGAGATTCTATACAAGAGAGAAAGAAAAAAGGTTCATTTAAGCAATTTTTTTAAAGTGCAGTCCCACGCATAACGTGAGAAAAAATGTCGACTTCGTCTTCGTTAGCACATATTGTCCTATCAGGGTCTGTAGATACAGTGCCTGTCGTTGGATCTACTCGAGTTACATTGCAGATAGCAATAGATTGAGGGTACATCCCGACTGCGAAGGGAATGGGTCTATACTTGAGTACACCTCGAACAACAAGACCATAAGGGTATCGAATCATACGAGACCTAAACAGAGTTTAGTAGGGAACATAACTCATTATGTTCTACTTGCCATCTTTCATTACCACTGCTGTCTGCACCGGGTGATTTTATACGAATTAAGGTAATGGCTTCTTTTGTGTTGTGTCCAAATTGCCTTGATTGTATTGAAAGTGGTTCATCAAAGTGTCTGACATTCCCCAAGTATTCAGCAGGGTCAACACCTAATATAGCGCATAAATACATTAATCTCAAATGATTTAGCTTACCCCTTGAATGCGTTTTATCCATCTCAGTCGATAATTCACTGGGAACAATTTGGCTGAATGCAAAAACACTTATGTCCGCATCAGCGATATGGATTGTCCACCAATTCCAATTTTCTGCTTGCACTTTTAGGTCAAAAATAAGTTCTTTATCTGTTGCCAATACTCTTCCAATATCCACAGTGAGTTCTACAAGTGGCTGAGCTCGATAGAATACAATGACCATCAAAAAGATCAACGCTGTCAAGAGCGATAAAAATAGATTCGGTAAAGTTGAGCTGTTATTGAATTAGACGTGATCATGTGTCAATGGTGTCAACGTACCATGATTTTTTGGGCCGTGATGATCTTTTTTGTCTCCTTGACAGTAATGGTGCTTCTTCATCGTCACTTGTATAGCCTTCATATCCATCTCTGCCAGTTGCACTACAGTAATAAGGCGAAAATTTTCTCGGTAATGTAGCATACTGTGGTGGATTTCTGTTCTTTTTTGTCGGTAATAAATTATGTGTATGCTTTTTATTGAAACTTTCACGCCATAAATTCAGCAGACTTGGCTTATTTTGTTGTAACAAATGATCCTTGACATGATTCCTTAATTTAGGTCTGCGGTATTGTTCATTGCCTGACCAACACAAATCCTCTTCTTCTTCATCAAAATGATGCTGTTGACGACGAGGCGGTTTAGAATGATAAAGTGTTTGTTTAAGCCATTCTCCAAGGCCAGAACTACTGTTGTGTGTACCATAATTCTTTTTTGTGATATCATGTTGTAAATAAGTAGGTGGAGTTGATCGAACAGAAATAGGTCGATGCATGGCATGAGTTGCAGCCAGGTTTTCATTGCTGCTATAAGGATATACATAATGTTCATTTTCATCTGAATCTAATACATACATTGTCAATAGGACATTACATAAGCAATAATAACAACCTTCTGCATTCGAGACAGCATCCACCAGGTTTCTATGAAAGACTTCTGCTGGGCTTGCATTGCCATGAATAATAGGTTTGGATTGTTTTTTCATCAACTTCTTGTCAGGATTCCGATGTGTGTAACTATTTAAATGGCTCTGTATGTATAAACATGTTACATGTATGGAAACAAAAATAAATAAATAAACAATTAGTATACCTCACTTCGAACTTGTTTGACTTTTTTTGGATCATTCATGGTGGTAGTCGAACAAGACTTTTGGATCCTTAGAGGGAGTGTATGGTCATTTGAAGCACTCAAGGTAGGTGCAGAAGGTACAGTTGTCAAGGTATAGGTGGGAGCAGAAGGTGAAGAAGAGCCTACAAGTGTTGTCTCGGTGTCTGTGGAATGTCCCTGATCAGGTATAACATCAATTCTAGGGATATGATCATTTTGTTCTTGTTCTTCATTTAAACAAGTTTCGAAACGGGCTTTCTCGACAATCATATTTCGATCAAAATTAGACAAAAGCAGATCTCGACGAAGACAGTGAGGGTCGTTTTTATCTCCAATAAAACCATACTTGGTATTTAAAAAGGGCTGTCTTCTTTTACTGTTATCTTTAGTATCATTTTTCTTCAATATTTCCAATGGCATTGTTAATGCAATACAAAACAATAAAAATAGAAAGAGAGAGAGAGAGAGAGAGAAAGAGAGGCCTTTTTTTATTATTATTATTTTATTTCAGTTATTGACTGACTCTGAATCGATTCGTGCTGACGAAAAAAAAAAATATAGAATTTCTATGTATAGATAGTGACATCAATAGGTGAAAGTTCTGGTAATGAATCATTTTCGTTTGCTAGTGTAACAGACTTGATTCTTGAAAATGGACACAGTAAATCAGTGGGATCAAACAAGTCTTCTTTGTCTATTGAAGGTAAGCAAGAAGAGGTTTCTTCATGCAATTCCAATCCCCTTTCTTGCAACTCTTCTATATCTGACAATTGTCCCCAAATATCGAAAATAGGCAAAGTCCTCAAGTCAGGTAGTACTAATCCTGAGGAGATCAAATCTTGTTGCATTAATGGGACATTGTACAAAGACACTGCATCCTGAAACTGTTCTCGCATCGCTTTCTTTCTTAATTCTATATGTACGGTAGAAAGACTACTGGGGAAATTAGGAAATAGCATCACATAACCACGCAAATAGATCAATTCTTCCATAAAGCGTCTCCATGATTTTGTCCATTCATTTGACCTTAAGCCAGGCACAACGACATCTTGCATTTCAAATCCATTCAAATCAGCATGCCTTGCAGTGATATAATCATGGAATTCGCGCCAATGTTCAGGGAAATAGACAGCACCCGAGTAACCAGGCCATTGCATCCGATAAGGTTGGCCTACCTGTCCTGTCCTGTTTGCTTTCTTTAACTGGTAATTGGCACTAAAGAAATGACGACCAGAAGGATCTGTTTCAAGGAGCCGTGGCGTATACAGACTAATACCAAATAAGGAGTTGTCCCTCTCTGTATAACGATAGCGTAGGATGGCATACTTGACCCACACATAAAAATACTCGGATAGTTCAGCGTCGTTATTGAGAATGATGGCATATTCGTCATGACTAGAAGGATACCAGGATTCAACAAAGACAGAAGCCTTGGTTGCTTGTGAAATACGGTGACGAATGTTCTTTTCTCCCTTATTCCATACAAAATTATTAGCAAATGTTTGTGTAATTTGGTCACTTGAATAGTCTAACAAGACAGTCAAATCCACTTGATCACCCAAATAGTGTGCATTGGTTACTGATGTCAATAGACGAGCCAAGGCATGTGGTTTCTTGTCTGTATTGACCATGATGTTGACTGTAAAATCATGCCATTCTAATACGTTATTTAGTTTCTTATGTCATCTTGATCGAATCTTACTTGAAAGGGTATCTAAAGGCAATTCTGTCATCCAAAGTGTATGTGGTATATCTTGTGTTGGTAAATAAATATGAGTGATGGCTAATGATTTGCTTGCTGTGTCTATACTCTTGAATGTATTGCTTGTTGGATTCACTGTATGAACAAGTATTTTAGGTTGAATGGCTGTCATGATACGTATCAAATGAGATATATGTTGATTGTCAGTCAAGTCAATGGGATGAAATGAACCATCAATAGCACAGGTAGTTTTGTATGATACATCAGTGGTCATAATATGCAGATCAACTGTCTTGTTTTGATTGAATTTGCAGATCAGTGGGCCTAATTGCTCCAACTGATCTGATGAATCAACAAAGAACAAGACTGAATCCAATGTTGTGTTTCTGTTCAACATGTCTTTGTATGCTTCAAGCGATGCTGTATTCATTAGTGTCTCTAAGGATTTACATGTCTCTGATTTTTGTGCTTTTTTGAGTCGTACATCTCCCCAATAGGCTCTTTCAATGGGGTCAGTTGGAAGTGCAACAGAAGGAATACCAGCCAGATAGAGTGTCTGACTAATAAACAAACCAGCCAGTGGCGTACTTGTTTGAACATGTCTTTCTAATGCGTTCAATAGTCCCGGAATCCAAGTTCGATGGAGTAACCAGCTATCATTGATCACATCCACTACTTGACTCTTCATTTGTCTGCTACTAGAATACATCGCATTGGGCAAACATTCAACTGTGTTGTTCGTAATGACTGCACCTTCTGTGCCCAATAAAGCAGATTGATATTCAGGTGTATGGGACAATTTCAGTAAATTCTCTAAATAGCGTTTCCCTGGTGCAACATCTCGATCAATGATCCATACAAAATCAGTTGCTATCTGCTTTGCTGTCTGTAACCAGTGTAAATGATTTTGTGTCTCTTGTACCATTATCTTGACATGTCTTCTGTCCAATGTCATTATACGTGCTTCTACTTCTGCTTTGTTCTCTGTGTCACAAATGATCCATACATGTTCGGGCAGGGTTGTTTGTGTCAATACGGCTTGTACTTGGACATACAGTTGTGTTACTGTAGTAGTATGGATCATGGCTGTGACTGGAACACGTCGATGTTTGTTTGTCATGGATAATGCAACATTATTGGTTAATCGACGCAATTCATCAAAGGTGTGTCCAATCACTAAACCTTTGGCAAGCTGATGAACAAATGGATTTTGACTAGGCTCAATAGATAAATCCCAACTATTTGAGCCAGACGGGACTGTCTCTAGCATAATAATGGTTATACATACCATGTATATCTACTGCTTGTTATACCTTTTTTATCTGACAAAAGTCGATTGAGATGTGCATAATCAGTAAACTGAGTGGAATCAAGAAATACAGCAGTATCTTCAAAAGATATCACTTTTGGCTTCCTTTTTGTTGTGTTTAATTTTGTAAAAGTAGAATTAGAGATGAGTGTGATCGCCATGATGAGCAGGACAAGTGCGATTAGTATTGACCTGGATTTATTATAGAAAAAACGACGCATGTTGTCTTGTTTTTTAGAATTGAATTTAGGTGGATATGTTGCATATTGTTTTGAGTTTGTTAGTTGTCTTCTTGAACGAGTGCCAGCCCTTTCCAAATCGTCTTCTTCGACTATCATCTTGGAATAAAGAAAAAGAAGACTATCTCACTGAATTTAAATTAATGTCTATAAAAGTAAATCTAAGCCGCGTTACCAAATACACTATATGTATTGTCTATTCTTACCGACAGTTTGGCTTTCTCGGCTGAATTCTATCATATTGAGAATAAGGCCGTTATTATTCAAAGGAATAAGCAAAGAGGGGGGGGTTAAAGTGTTTATTGACGCTTTTCTTGTTACCCTTCTTGATGCTATCCGAGAATGGAAGAATCTATTATGTCAAGCAAATGTGTGGTGCACTCTGCGTCTTCAATGAGAATTTTAGCTTTGGTTATCTTCTCAAATAAATTTACTTCAGAGAGCTGCACAAGTAAGAGATGGGACTGTTTCTCTGTGTAATCTTATTGAATCTTGGGTGGTGTTTTATGCTTGCTGTCTTCTTCAGTTACTTTTGCTAATGTCAGTTGGTTTTTTTTTGGGAGGGACACCGTGAAATAGAATAGATTCATGCCTAAGAATAACGGTGGAACACAGAATACGCTCTTGGTACCAATGAGAAGAAAGTGATTGACATGATTGTTGTGCACATTAAGTCTTGGGCTGAAATAAGAAAAGAACCCATTGATCATTCCATAATGATAAGCAGCTTTTGATTGTTCATTGCACAAAGAAGTCTGTATATTATCTAATGCATGTGAAAGAAACACTTTTTGCAGTAACTGCTACTAAACTCTTAATAAGTTTAATCATAGAAGATTGTGAGCTCTTTTTCATGCTTCATAGTATGTATATTTGACAGTTCAACTCAGTTTGAATCTGTTGAATTTTAGAATTTGATTGTATTAATTATTCTCCTGTTTGACATTTCAAACATGATTGCTTTTGGGCAAGTTTGATCTGTTCTAGATTAATGACAAGCGATTGTTTTTGTAGGAGTTTATTCTGAGGAAAATATAAAAGAACTTTAAAAGGAATAAAAAGAAAAAAAACTATCTTTATCTTAAATTTTATTTTACATATCTTCATTGTCTTTTGAAGGAACTGTGCCTAAGGTTATAATCTCTCTATTTGTGTCTATCTCTCTATAATTACAATGGTCTTTACAGTCTTCTGTTGTTAATTATTGGTTTATCTCTTATATTTGTTAGTCTCGTCGTTCAAGGTAAACACAAAGGGAAAGAGAGAGAGAGTTGTCAGAGGGTCTCCCTTCCCCCCCCCAAGAGAGTGGAAGATGGTGAATTAAACTATGGCTTTGGATCAGCGAAAAAAAAAAGACTAATCGCGGTTATTCTTTTAGACACGATGGCTTACAAAGAATGAAGGGATTGAAGTGTAGAAAAAATTATAGATTGTGTTTCATAAAGGTTTGTGAGAAAAAGGAAAGATGATGTGTAACAAGTTACTTTTAATTTTGGAGGTTTTGGTGGCATTAGATAACTTAATGTGGTTTCGAAACAACCAGCGAGATGAATTCAACTTGAGGATTACTTTATATACTTTTTAATGTATTAACTATTACATTTTCAAGTTGAATTTACAGCAACCATGAAAGTTAGGAAATATAGTTTTTTGCACTATTGACAGACTCAACTTCAACAGCCATCTCATGTTTGGAATACCTCAAATAAATCTACTCAATTATTGATGGAAATGCTAAATAGTGCCAGTGCTAATGCCACTTATACAATTGACAATTTGACTTTATGAGCACAATGTTAAATCTCAACATCCAAGACTTATATATTTAGACAAAACCAATCTAGCACAAAAATTATTCAAGCCATGTCGCCAGGCCGTGGTTAAAATTATGTTGCCATTGGATTGTCTCGATTTAAGAAAAGTAGTATTGAGGGTTTTGGGGAGGCACCTTTTCCTGGGCAAGAAAAAAGTAAAAAGAAATAAAAATATCAAGGAAAAAATGTTTATGTATATACAAGAAAGCGAATGCAGAGTTGTTCTCTCAATTTCCTGGTCAAACTTCACTTGAAAAGCCTTTGTCTTTCACTTTTTTTCTATATAATTCTCGAATAAATTTCTACATTTCTTAGTTGGCTCGCAGTCTATTTGAAATATCATAAGGAGCTCAAGAAGCCAGATTTGAAAAAAGTCTTTCGATCACGAGCAAAAGTTGTCTCAGCGTATAAATGATCAGAATATATATCACTCTTTCCGTTTTCAAACATTTGTTCGAAGCTGAAAGACGGTCTTTATTTTTGCTTCTACCTTCGTAAAGAAAACACAAGGCAAACAGATTCTCCTGAAGGACGAGTATAAGCGGCTAGTAAGAGGTAACGGATTTTGTTACTGCTGAGTTATTACAGTCGACGAAAAAGGTTTGCCCAATAAAAAAAAAAAAAATAAGTCTTGGATGTTGAGATTTAACATTGTGCTCATAAAGTCAAATTGTCAATTGTATAAGTGGCATTAGCACTGGCACTATTTAGCATTTCCATCAATAATTGAGTAGATTTATTTGAGGTATTCCAAACATGAGATGGCTGTTGAAGTTGAGTCTGTCAATAGTGCAAAAAACTATATTTCCTAACTTTCATGGTTGCTGTAAATTCAACTTGAAAATGTAATAGTTAATACATTAAAAAGTATATAAAGTAATCCTCAAGTTGAATTCATCTCGCTGGTTGTTTCGAAACCACATTAAGTTATCTAATGCCACCAAAACCTCCAAAATTAAAAGTAACTTGTTACACATCATCTTTCCTTTTTCTCACAAACCTTTATGAAACACAATCTATAATTTTTTCTACACTTCAATCCCTTCATTCTTTGTAAGCCATCGTGTCTAAAAGAATAACCGCGATTAGTCTTTTTTTTTCGCTGATCCAAAGCCATAGTTTAATTCACCATCTTCCACTCTCTTGGGGGGGGGAAGGGAGACCCTCTGACAACTCTCTCTCTCTTTCCCTTTGTGTTTACCTTGAACGACGAGACTAACAAATATAAGAGATAAACCAATAATTAACAACAGAAGACTGTAAAGACCATTGTAATTATAGAGAGATAGACACAAATAGAGAGATTATAACCTTAGGCACAGTTCCTTCAAAAGACAATGAAGATATGTAAAATAAAATTTAAGATAAAGATAGTTTTTTTTCTTTTTATTCCTTTTAAAGTTCTTTTATATTTTCCTCAGAATAAACTCCTACAAAAACAATCGCTTGTCATTAATCTAGAACAGATCAAACTTGCCCAAAAGCAATCATGTTTGAAATGTCAAACAGGAGAATAATTAATACAATCAAATTCTAAAATTCAACAGATTCAAACTGAGTTGAACTGTCAAATATACATACTATGAAGCATGAAAAAGAGCTCACAATCTTCTATGATTAAACTTATTAAGAGTTTAGTAGCAGTTACTGCAAAAAGTGTTTCTTTCACATGCATTAGATAATATACAGACTTCTTTGTGCAATGAACAATCAAAAGCTGCTTATCATTATGGAATGATCAATGGGTTCTTTTCTTATTTCCTCCGTCTTTTTTATATGATACTTACAACCACTGGCTCTTTCTCAACAAAAATTGCGTATTCGCTTTGAAATCATTGTTTTTAGGATTGGATGAAGCGTTTCCTTGAAGCAATAAGTAAAGAAAAGGGTAGTAGAAAAAAGGCTACGGCAACTGTTTCTTTAACAATATGAATAGACGATTTAGTTTCTCAATGTATGACATGATTTCTTGTTAAGTGGAATTTAGAAGATTTGCATCAATAAACAAGTGCTTATCATCAACAACCACCTTCTTTATCTACGTTTTTTATTGAATCTCAGGATATGTAAAATGCTGTTTATACTAATGATATTTAAGTCTGTATTAATTATTCTTACAGGAACTAGAAAAACACTTTAGGAAAAGAACAAGTTTCTCTGTGATCTGGAAGGCGAGACATAGAAGTTTAATTATGGTAGTAAAGTTCGAGATGCAAATTCAATATACTATGCTTAGTAGCTTTCATCTTATTAGGCCACTTTTGAGAAGCAAAAAATGGTATTGCGAGAGATTGTTGACCAAGTGAATCATATCCTTGAGCTTTACCCCAAGTATCGTCGCAACTATACGTTCAATTTTGCTTAAAAGACCTCTTCAACTTTTCTTTTGATAAGGCGCAGGATATTATTAAGATTAAAGATTATTTCAAAAATACATAAATATCATTGCTGCCTACAATAGAATTGTCAACAAAATTTATTCTAGAGCCAAGATAAAAAATGTATTACTACTTTGAATTTGCATCAAACATACCTTTTTTCTCGAGTATGCACAGGTTTGAAATAAACTTAAAATCCGAGGCCTCAAATTCAACCGCCGAAAACTCGGATGAAGGGAGATTAATTAATAATCCAAAAACTAGGTTTGATACAAGAGGTAGTGTCACGACTTATCGCGCAAAAGTGCCGAAAGAAAAAGTGAGAAACGCAAAGCTAAAGCGCAAGAACAGGTACTTTTCAATAGTAATTTTGAAAACTATAATGACTTGGATAGATATCAACATGATGGATTTCCCCAAAAAAAAAAATCTCGTATCTAGAAGTGATTCTACTTTCGTTTTTTATTTAACGAAATACTCCAGTTTTATGCTCCTTAAATTAGTTGTCTAAAATCAACCGCAGCAAACACGCCCCCCCCCTCTTTTTAACATTGATGAGAAATTGTAGGATTTCAATTTCAAATGCAAAATATAGTTGAGACCTATCTACTTTTGTGCCTGAAATTTATTTGAGAGCATTTAATAATGATTCTTTTCTTTTCCATCTATATGAAGTGTTTAAATAGCCGTATCTATTGGATTTAATACATGGTACCTGAATGTTTCTAACGATTTTCATGTATTAGATCTTGCATTAAACATAGTCTTCGGATTATTAATCAATTTTCTTGATCCAAAGTTTCTGAGACCCAAAAAAAAACAATATATAAGGCACACAAACAAGCACACAAACACACATTATTATCATTGATCTTCTAAACAACATGTCTGGACTCAATAACATTAAGCTTTATTACTTTGGTGAACTCAACGGAAAGAGTAAGTATCAACGCCAATTTTTATTACAACTAAATCATGTTATTTTAGCTACCTTTGGTCGTGGTGAATACATTCGCTTGTTTCTCAAAGATGCAGGTGTAGACTTTGAATACGTCAGATGTAGTTTCGAAGAATGGGGAGCACAAAAGCAAAAATTGTCAGCTCAAGGCGTCCTTAAGCCAACCATGCCCTACATCACTATTGATGGCAAGTATTATGGTAAGACCGCACCTATCATGCGCTTTATTTCCAAAAAACTTGGCAAGTATCAGGGCAAAGACGAAGACGAAGCACAATTGGTAGATGCCTATGCTGATTCTTTGTTGGACGATATCTTTCGTTGGGTAGCGGCCAGTTTTGGTGGAATTGAACAGCTAACTAAAAAATACAACAACACTGACCGTCCTCAATCACTTCAAAGTTACGAACAAGTCTTGGGTGGCAATCAAGGACCTTATTTGCTTGGTGAAGAAGTATCCTATGCTGATTTCCTTCTTTATCACTACTTGGAAGACGATGGTTTTGTCTTTGAAGCCTCAGATTTGAAGTCTACTCACCCTCACTTGGCTACTTTTATCGAAGCTATCCAAAGTAGACCCAACCTCAAGAAATACCTTGCTACTGACAGAAAATAAATAAATAAAGTTAACAAATTAAAATAATCTAATCTGGGTATATTTATGCAGCTAAAAATAATTGCAGTGACACAAGAGGCTTGTGTACTATTGGTTATTGACTCCAAACAGCAGTAGTACAAGGAGAAAAAAAAAGTGAGAAAACATTGACAATCTTTTTTTTTTTTCCTTTTTCTTTTTCAAAATATGTCTAGTCCACTTCCTGTGAACGCAAAGCGGAACCAGACAGGTGCCGCTTCTTCTGTTTATGTAAATGAAAATCTCCTTTCAAGTTCTTTTGATCGTGCTGATACAACAGCAAGATTAAGTTCAAGTCCTTTACCTTCTCATAATAACTATGGTACTTCTCCTTCCAAGAGTATTCATTCTAATATGAACTATGGAACTCAAGACCATTTCCCTAGTAGCCGTCCTCTCTCTACTTTTGGTGATAATCTTTCTGTAGATTTGCCTGATGATGAAGTCGCAAAGGCTGTTAGACGTCATTTAGTGTCTGCTTCTCCTTCTAACTCTCATGGCTTCCTTAGAACACCCTCTCCTCACCGTAGTCGTGCTAGTAGTCGTCTCAGTCATCGCGATACAGATGAAGAAGATGAGATTGCTAATGTCCATCAATTGGCTGGTGGTGCTATTACACACGATATCTATAAATGGTCTGAAGATCAGGATCGCAAGGCACGTATGAAGCGTTCCAAGTCCATGTTGGTTCCACGCCCAGAGACCTCAGATCCAGCCCTGCAAAATCTCAAGGACCCAGGAGGATTCCGACGTCACTTTGTGTTTGATCGTGCTGCCAAAAAGGGAAGAAAACCTCCTGGATGGATTACGCATTCTTTTGTCGACTTTTTGACTTTGTATGGTCATTTTGGTGGTGAAGATTTAAGTGATGATGAGGGTGAGAGTAGTGAAGATGAAGAGGATTTAGCAGGTGGATCTGATGAAAGAACTGCCTTGTTGAGACAAGCAAGAGCCAATGCTACTGAAGGAACAGCCACCCCGACTAAGGCAGTCTTTTTGTTACTCAAGTCTTTTATTGGCACAGGTAAACATCGTGAAAATGATTGTCTTTACTTATCTTATTTTTTTCTCTCTCTCTCTCTCTCTCTTCTTTAAGGTGTCATGTTTTTACCAAAAGCGTAAGTGTAACTCTAAAAAAAATGATCTACATGAGCTTATTCAAACAAACAAGGCGTGTGAATTTTCAATAGATTTCATAATGGTGGTTTGTTGTTTTCTACGTTATTTTTATCATTTATCGCCGCCGTTTCCCTTTACTGTTTCTTGTTGCTTGTTCAAACACGCAACAAGGTTCCTGCTTCCTTTGGTGATATTGGTGGTGTCTTGTTTGGTAACTCAATGCGTATGTTGGTACTTGTGGCCATTACCACTTCCCAGGTACAGTCATGATGATGACATACCTCGTATTCACATTTTTTTTAGATTGGTTTTGTATGCGCTTATATGGTGTTTGTCGCACAAAACTTACAAGCATTGATCGAAGCTGTATCCAATTGCAAAACCAATGTACCTCTTCATTACTTGATTTTGGTCCAGATCGCCATCTTTGTACCACTTGCTATGATTCGTAAAATACAGAAACTTTCTGTTTTTGCTTTAATTGCCGATGCTTTTATTTTGATTGGTCTAGTTTACTTGTACTACTATGACTTTTTGACATTGGCTTTGGAAGGTGTTGGTAAAGTAGAATGGATAGTGAACCCTGCTTCTTTTCCTATGTTTATTGGTACTGCTGTCTTTACTTTTGAAGGTGTTGGTCTTAGTAAGTATTAATGAAAACAAAGAGGGGGATATTTATGATCCTTAGTCATTCCTATTACCGAATCTATGAAGGAGCCTAAAAAGTTCCCTAAAGTCTTGTCTTGGACTATGCTTTTTATAACCTTATTGTTCATTTCTATTGGCCTCTTGTCTTATCTTGCCTTTGGTGACGAAGTCCAGACAGTGATTTTGTTGAACTTGCCTGTCTCACCTGTTGTAAATACCATTCAAGGTCTTTATGCTATGGCCATTTGTCTGTCCATTCCCTTACAGTTGTTCCCTGCTATTCGTATTGTTGAAACAGGTCTTTTCTCTCGTTCTGGTAAGCATAATCCCATTGTAAAATGGCAAAAGAACATGTTCCGTCTTGCTGCTGTTATTTTGAGTGCTGCTGTTGCTATTGCTGGCTCAAGTGATTTGGACAAGTTTGTCTCTTTAATTGGATCTGTCTTTTGTATTCCCCTCTGTTTCTTGTTCCCTCCTCTTTTCCACTATAAGGCTGTGGCCAACCATTGGAGACACAAGGCAGTCGACATTGCCATCATTATGTTTGGTTTAATTACCATGGCTTACACAACCTATATCACAATTGGTCTCTGGACACAAGAAAGTGAGCCACCAGCTCCTATTTCTCGCTGCACACCTCATGTTTAATTAACGTCTTTTTTTTATTATTGTTTTAAATAAATTCTATTGTTTAAATGGATGTTTCTACAGGCTTAGGAGGAAGATCTCTACCCGCCTTAGCCCATTCTTTCAAAATTTCACCTGGTTCACCCAAGATCTCAATCGCTCTTGTACGACGAATATGATCATGTTCACAGCCTTGTCCTTTCTTACCAATCACAATGCGATTAGAAGCAGCGTCCATATCTTTCTCGCCTTCTTTCACAAACACACGTACACCATCCACCATCACAGGGCCAGCCGGTTCAAAGTGCTCTTTGGTTGAAGTCATGAATTCATTGACTGTATCATAACATTTGGGTCTAGCACAAGTATTCAAGAATTGACCTGCACAGCTTGGACAGCAGAGCATCAAAATATTACAGGAAGAATGAGCACAGTTTTGATAACGACTGCTGGGTTGACCACACACTTGGCATTTACCAAACACTTCATCTGTGATCTTTTCACCCATACGAGCATCAAATGTGAAATTCTTGCCTCTGAATAAGGACATCTTGTCTTTTTGTTCTTCAATCCAGCGACCATAGGAAGTAATACCACCTTCTACTAAATGAACCGTCTTGAATCCAGAAGCAGACTGAAGAATAGCACCTGCTTTTGTACAGCGAATACCACCCGTACAATACATGAAAACCTCTTGGTCTCGAGGCAAGTCTTTACAGATCTCATTCATGGCTGTAATACTGTCTTTAAAAGTGTCTGCATCAGGACGAATGGCACCGTCAAAAAAACCAATGTTGCTTTCATAGTGGTTACGCATATCAATCAAGACTGGCTTCTTGCCATATTGTTGTTCATATTGAGTTAGTTTTTCATGCCAATCTGCAGGTGAAAGATGAGAAGGCTCGTTGGTTAAATCATAGTCTTCTGAATTCAATCCATCCACAATAAGCTATGATGTGTTATTATACAGCATTTTATGTACATAAATGCATACCTGCTTACGGATACGAACATGTAAAGCACGGAAAGAACGCTTTCCATGTTCAGTACCGATATTTAAATCCATCAAGTTACCACCCACCAAAGGTGTCAAATAGTTTTGATGATAAGCTCTTAATTCCGGCAAACGTTCTTCAGGGCAAGCAATTTGTGCATTGATGCCTTCTTTTGAAATATAGATTCTACCCACAATACCCCACTCACCAAAATCATGAAGAAGCTTTTCTTTTAGTGCTTCCAATTCTGGTTTGGTAAAAGGGTAGAATTTATAGAAAGCAAGTGTTTTGTAGGTACTTGACTCGTAGTTGTCAATCTTGGACTTGGGAAAGTTTCTTTCCAAGACAGCTGTGGTCGAGAAAGAAGCTGTTGTGTTGGGTATATGAGTATCTTGTAACATGGTTTGAGTCAATATGCGAGATCGAGAAAATAAAAGAGGTTTTGTATGTGTTTGAATAATAGCTTGTCTTAACAAGCGACGAAACATGACAGTGCCTTAAAAAAAAAAAAGACAAAAAAAAAAAGATGGCTTGGCTCCCCCCTCTCTTATATCATATCGCTTGCCAATTTTAATCAGGCCACAGCGGGCAACAAAAAAAAATTATTCAAATCATGCCTACACCCCATTTCTTGACGATGTCTGGGCAATTATGTTTTAAGACAGCTTCTGTCACTTGGGCAGGTTCCATCATTAACTTAACCATACGGTATTCTTTTGGACACTTTCCAGCCACGTCAATAGGATACACTAATTCAAACAATTGTAGGTTTTCAAATGCCTAAAAAAAGAAAAGAAAAGAATCAATGATTTATCTCAATTGGTATTCTTCTTACCTTTAATGCCACTGCTCTTTTATATAGTCTAATACCCGTTGTTTGACTCTTGATTTGAGCATTGTTTGCGAATTCTTTGTATTCATCATAGACCATTTGAAAGTTAAAAGTAGAGATATCCTTTTCTAATAGTTTCTTCATACTGATAATTAAGACCATTTCAAGTAAGGCAATACCCTTTAAGAGCTCTGTTTTGGAATCTGCTCTTTGAATCAAACTGGATTCAACAAAGTCTTCTGTCGATAAATAAGGTGGTGTGGTAAGCATGCGACATACTGGATAAAACTAATAGCAGTAAGCATATATAGATGCATATATAGAGAATAGTTACACATAGTTTATGAAACATGCGAATATCTTTAGATAAATCAAAGATACGTCGAAGAATACCATTGACTGTTGGGTCTTGAAATAAGCGATCTAATGCTTTATTGAACCCGTGATGTCCCTGACATGTCTCTGGTAGCGTTAATGTTTCTTTTGCTATCTCTATAAACTGGCCAAAGCTAGAAGAAGGGAAAAGATAGATCTGTCGATGAGAGAAACGAGACTTGACTCGCTTCTCAAGTAAATCTAGGGTATCAATACGACATGTCAAGCCAATGACAGCCATGGGATTCTGTGCGCTCTGTGCTGCATCAAAAAGGTTATAAAGTAAGGCTTGTTTAGGATGATCAGCAAACAGATCAAATTCGTCCAAGATAAACACGACAGGCAACGATGTCTTGTTGCCTGATTTCAATAAAGAGAGTAAATAGTCAAATGAATCTGCAAATGTTGTCTAGTGACCATGTAAGAATGCATCGATGATCATGTCATGCTTACAAATGTTCGATCAGCTTCGTCTTCCAACGCTAACTGACGAGCAATCTCGTTCAGGGCAAGTCTGTCTGTTGTTTCTGTCAAGCCATTGAGTTTGACAACACAAAATTCTTGTGCTCTCTGTTCAAGATCGCGCAACACAGAACGAACAAGGACAGATTTGCCTGTGCCTCGATTGCCAATCAATAAACATGAGTTGCTCTCGCCTTTTGTTATTGTCTGTCTTAAAAGTTTGTAGAGTGTGTTGTATTCGTTCTCAAGTCCTGGGAGTCGTGCAGGAAGTTGGATTCCGTTCAGACGAGCAAGTAGGAGTCTGTGAACTTCTGATCGATCTAATACTTGACTTGAATTATGCAAGGTTTTTGCTAATTTTTGAGGTGTGCTGACTATAGTGTCTGAATCGCTTTCTTCAAGTGTTCGCTTTGTCATACTGAGATAAATAATTAAGAAAAAAAAATTTTTTTTTTCAACTGGATATACGCGTTTCTTTTAAATACGCGCATTCTTTTTGATTGGATAAGTAAGAGAACAGGTTACCTTGTTCTTCATGCCATTGTACTACATCTTCAATATGAAATCAAAGAATAGTTTTTAGTGCGGGATTAAATTAATGAAATTCATGTGAAAGTGTTACATATAAATGTGGGGAAATTCTTCTTATTTTTATTTTTATTTTTTTTTATCTTTCTTTTCTCTTTCATGTTGGATCATTTAGTTGGAAAGCCTTCTCCAAACTTCAAGAGAACACAAATCATACTTACTTTATTCTTTGGGTAATTCTTTATAGTCATAAACTTGTATTTATTGTCCTATAGTTGGTACCTTGTCATACATGGAAAGACAGAGAAATTACCTGGCTTTATTCAAACACTGAATAAAAAAGCAGGTAAGCTCAGCAAAGAAAATACAACATGTATCTCACAAGTGCAATTTAGGTCATTCCCCTTGGCGAGTAGCTCTTGCTTCTTGGTTAACCTATTATCTCTCTCAAAACGTTTTTCTTTTACTTGGATTAAACGGTAAGTTGAAATACATGAAAAAATGTTTTGACTGTATTTATTAGCACCGGATCCTCTTTCTCGACTGGTAAGTTTAAAATATACCATTCCTGTCTATCAACTGTAAAAGTGTAGTACAAACGTAGTTTTTATCGTGCCACATGGATCTTGACAGCTTTAGATGCTGGTTTCTTTACTGCCATGCCTTTCAAACCTGCTTGGATTCGACATATTTTATCCCTTGTGTTTAGTATGTATTACCTCGTATTTGCCGATGCAGCCGAAGAAAAAGTACGCAAGACACGGTCTACTATCTCAATTGAACAGATGCGTAATTCTTGGGAAAAAGTAGCCCATAATCCCATCTTGGGATTTGTTTCGAGTTTGATGCGTCCTCGATTGAGTTTGGCAGACATCATCATGGTCCATCGACCTGACTTCCATCAAGACTTGCCTCCTATTGAAGTTTATCGGTATTATTGCCTGAATGATGGTAAATTGGCTGACCATGATACTATTCTGTTGCAATTCCCTGGGGGCGGGTTTGTATCCATGCCTCCTCCATGTCATGAAGATGCCTTATATGCCTGGGCAAAACAGACAAGTATGCCTGTCTTTAGTGTGAACTACAAAAAGGCGCCTGAATATCCTTACCCATGGCCTATTGAAGAATGCTTTGATCTTTATGTGGCTATTGTACAGACAAAAGGCAAAGTACTCGGTCTTTCGGGTGATAAAGACATTCGTATCATCTTGACTGGTGATTCTGCGTAAGTAATAGTCCATCAGACGCACCTTTATTGACACGCTAGGAGTGGTGGCAATATCACAGCTGCAGTGACACTCAAGATCTTAGCACATAATCAACAATCATCTTTACAGAACAAGACAGACCTGTTGCCTGTGCCTGCAGGCTTAGTCTTGATTTATCCTGCCTTGGATTTTGAAATGTCATGTTGGATGTCTCCTTCTCAACTATCTCTGATCCGTGCTGAATCAAACACAAACCTGTTTCGGTCTAGTTCGCTTGACTCTCTCTGGCAAACCAAAGATCATTTAAGCCATGCCAGTCCCTTGAGTGTTGTGCCTGATTTAGAAAAGAAACAAAGCTTATGGAGACGAGCCTTAGGTATCAAACCCACTCGCAAACAAAGTGTGGCAGATAGAGCACATCCCATTCGTACCAAGATTCAAACAAAAGAAGCATGGGCTTCAGCGCGTTTAGCCATGACGAGTCGAATGAGCTTCTTTAATGATCGAGTGATCAGTCCAGATTTGGTAACTATATATCTATATTTTCTGTTACTCACACTCTTTAGTTGCGAGCCATGGCGATTTGTAAGTGACTACAGACAATAGATACATACATACATATTGACTCACCCTTAGTGTATCTTGGTCCGCATGCTTCTCCTGATTTTGAAAGTGATTATCTATTATCGCCTGTACATGCACCTGAAGATTTGCTTGCTCAATTCCCTATGACTTACATGATATGCGGTGAAAAAGATCCTCTTGTAGATGACACCGTCATTTTTGCAGGTCGTATTCGACAAGCAAGGAAGAAATACCGCCAAGATAACCCCTTTGATAAAACCTACCTTAGCCATGATGGTGTTCGAGTCAAGTTCTTAGAAGGCATCAGTCATGCATTTTTACAGATGATGCCCTTCTTACCTGAAGCACATCAAGCCACACGCACCATTGGTGACTGGGTCAAGGAAATTGCTCAACACAACTCGCGTAGGCCAGAAGACCATGTAGCTCAAATCATCACAACTGAAAAAGACATGATTCATCGTAGAAAACAACAACTCATCAAGGGTTTATACTAAGATTTATTCATCTATTTCCATCTTGATGGCTTTGGATGGATAGCTGTCTTCATTAAAATCATGACTTCGCTTCATAGGATAACTGTCGGCTGTTGTCATCTTGTTGTAAAGCCAATGGATCCATTGAGGTATGCTGTGTGTTTGTTGTAGTTCAGCAGACATTTGGTCTTGATCAAATAGGCGGGGATTCCATTTTTGCGCATAAGGGGTACTGGGTGTATTAAGGCGAACTATAGGTTTTGTAGGGCAATCAGCAGGGATGTCAATTGAGAGTGCCACCATCACCAATGGTTGGTCTGGTAAAGGAGGTGGAGACAGTGTAATATGCATTGAATGAGGTGCATCCACAGTAATGATCTCTAGCCTTAATGTGTTGTCATGTTGGCTGGCTAATGCTACCATGTCAGTATCATCACTACACTATGATCATCATTTACCTGATAAAATGTCTTTGAGTGAAAGCATCATGGGCTTTTCTTGAGCTACACTTTCCTTGTTCACTGTGGTTGAATGAAAGATACTGGTAAAGAGTGTGTTAAACATTTGTTGTTGACGAAGACATTGAATAATGTTATAGATCTGTACAGGGTGATGAAATGGTATTCTGGATACTATTTTAGCACTTGTAAAAGAAGAAGAAGCCAACTTGTATACTTGATGAGGTGCATTCTCGCATGTCTATCGATGTCAATAAACCCCCCCTCCTTGTATTTGTTCATATGGTACTTACTGTGACCCAATTGTTTTGAGTAAGCTTATTTTTGTCATGGCCGTCTTTGAGAAGCATTTCTTCTAATGATAGCGTACAGGTATCCAAACTAACATCAGACACAAGTTCTCCATTGGATAAACCTGCTACTGTCATTAGTTTCTGACATACTTGGTCTGATACAGCTAAAGGAGAATCTAATGTAGCCACAAATCTTATAGGCACTGCTTGTACTTCTGGATGTGTAGACAGTGGCTGAATAAACCTGAAGGGAGACATAAAAGAAGGTGTCATGGTCTCTGTCACTGCTTTAAAATGCTCTCTAGATAGATGTAAGTGGTTATTGTCTGTTGGTATTTGTAGACTTACCCTATGGCTTCTTCATATCCAGCCAAGTAACTTGATTGAGAAGGAGGCAAATAATACATGGGCTGAACAGAGTCTTCAAAGGACAATAAGAGGCGCGATGTATTGCGATTCTCTAGCGTGTTTGATTTGATGGTTTCTTTGTCTGTCCAATAAGCAACAGACACACCAGGATAGTCTAAATGTTGCATAGGCATGCCATGTCCTTCCAAGAGCACGCGAGACTCGTCTGATACCATGGCACTATGCTTGATTATCAGCAAAAGGTCTGTTGAGTCCATGTTGAACTTACATTTCTTGACTATAAATTGTCTTTAGATCATGGAACAGGTTCTTCATGATAAGAAAGAAATCAACAGAGCTATATTTGACATTCAATTGATCCAACAGGGCCAAGCTAGCCAAATTACGCTTAAACAGATCGTATTGTCTGCTCTGTAGACTCTCGGCAAACATAGTATCCACTCTATCATCCTGGTCATTCTGTAGTGTCTCTGATACATAGGTCACTTTAGCTTTCAATACACGTCCAGTATCATCAATGTCAATCTATTTTATGAGGACAAAGGTTATATCATCAACCTACTTACATCAATCACAATCACAGTACCACCCAGGGTGATGGTTGTGATAGAAGCTCCTGATTCTATTTTCTGCGAAGAGTCTATAAATGTCACTAATCTAGTTAAATGTGAGTAACTCTATTGGACAGACTACACACTGACCCCATCGATTGAGCAATCTTCTCTAACCGTTGTGTTTCGATTTTAGATCTCGATTCTTCTTTTTCTTTGATGGAGTCTTCAAAAAATGCTTTTGTGTGCTTTAATGTATCTTTGACGCGCATGACGGTGCTCTCGAGTGTTGCTTGTTCTTTTAGATGGGTAAAGTGTTTGCGAAAAGCAGGATCAGCACCTGCACCCATCTTCATGACATCACCCAAGACCTCAGTCTCAAATTGAGAGCATATATTTCGAATACTGTTGACATGTTGAGTAAATTCTTGACGCACCTTGTCGAGATTCACTGTGCCTAAAGCATGTAATTCTAATCATATAATCAATACCATCATGCATGTACATAGATGTACCATTGGATTGTTTTTGTGTCGATGTGTTAGAGAGACAAGGTAGTTTTTGTTGAAGGTCGCGTAATGTTTCTTGAAGACCAAACACAGCAGAGCTAATCGAATGTTGTTCTGCCATCTCAATTAGATACTGAAAAGAAACGCGAAATAGGACTTGACGCGGAGATACGCCAAAAATAACAATAATAATCATAACCATAATAATCATAATAACAAAAACGGGTATCTGATATGCTACTTCCATGCATACAAACCCTCTTTATGTATCGATAATTTAAGCAGATATCCATAGCGTAAGCCATAACATATCCATCTCTTTATTTTCATGCAATCATGGCGGGTATTTAAACAAGGCAAAGAAACGTATTTTTTTTATTCTATTTTCATTTTTATTTTATTGATACCATGGAAGTACCGACTGATTTGAAATACATTGCACCCTTTATTCAACGCGGCCAAGAATTAGCTACTCGAGATCCTATTGTGTCTTATTATGGTAAGCACATCCACAAGACGCATGAGACTCATCTCTCTTTATTTAGCTCAATATTATGCTGCCAAGTTAGCTATGGCTAAGGGACCAAGAACAAAAGAAACCAAAGAGTATCTATTTCATTTACTCGATGCTTTGGAAGAAGTGAGTCATGTCTTTCTAATCCCATACTGTATATTAACCAAATAGTAGCAAAAAAAGACGATTGGCGACAATGAAGCTATTACCAACGATTTAGTGGGTTATGCTCATGTAGAGAACTTTGCTCTCAAAATCTTTTTGAATGCTGACAACGAAGACAGAGCAGGGAAAGCAAGCAAGTAAGTCATCATATAGTTTGTCTGAAGATTGATAGATAAATAAGAAAGACAGCCAAGACATTTTTGGCTGCTTCTATCTTTTTAGAGCTCCTCAAGACATTTGGTGATCTTGATCCTGAGGTATATATAAAAAAAAAAGTAGGATAGGGTTGATTGATGATGTATGGTCTAGGTTGAAGCCAAGATCAAGTATGCTAAATGGAAAGCAACAGATATTATGAAAGCATTGCGTGAAGGACGTGTGCCTACAGCTGGCCCACCTGGAGAAGAGCAAGAAGCATTTGATGCTCCACCTATTTCAGAATTCCCTAGCCCACCTTCTAATTTTACTGCACCCCTTCCTTCCACATCACCTCAACAAGGCGATATGAATGATAGAACAAGTGATGTTGATATGCCTGCTGCTGCTACTGCTACTGCTACTGCTACTGCTACTACTACTAGTACTAGTACTAGTACTAGCACTGCACCCCAAATAGCCGTCAATACAGCCAGTATTAATATTCCCCAAGCTCAAAAGAATGCTAAATGGGCTATTAGTGCATTGGACTATGATGATATTAAGACAGCACGTATGCAATTATTGTCTGCTTTAAATGAAATTGGATTTAATCAAAATAATAATTTTGGTTTTTAAATCAAGTAGCTTTTCCAATCACAGTCTTGCATAGATTGGCTACATTCATTGACCATGCATCCAATGCTTCATATTTCAAATCATCCGTGGATCTATGCATCATTAGCCCTAGCCAATAAAATGACTGATATTTACCTTCTATGCAACACAAGTCGTTGATTGATTTGATCAATACTACCTGATATTCTATCATCCAGAATAAGTCCTACTAATAATTCCTCTACATCTTGTACAGGTATATTCAATTGCTAGTTTTTCAATTTAATCAAACATATTCTTTTTGATAAACTTACCTTGGAAATAAACCCAATTTCAATGCTTGTATAGGGCTTGATCAATTTAATCAACACTTGAGTTCGAATATTGTTCAGCACATCATCAATATAAGTGCGAATAAAAGAATCACCCATAATAGCCTTCTTATTGACTAAGAAGAATAAGCAAACTCCATCTCTTTCTATATATATATATATATATCTACCTTTTAATATATGTTCAAATTCATTGATTTCTTTCTTTTGATAAGCACTAACAAGATTTGTCATGGCTTCGATTTCTTTATCATTCTTATAAGGTTTTGTTTCTTGAGAATCAAAAGGATTGATTTGTGATTCAGTCAGCATATTGGCCAATACTAAATATCTGTTGTTGATGAGTATGTTGATGCTACATACATTTACTTTACTTTAATACTTGAATACGCTGTGGACTACCAGCTTCATCATAATTCTTAAAGGATTCAAAGAAATCAGTCTGTGCATCATCCCATTTTTCTAATTCACTATCAGTACATGGTGAAATACATTTTTCAACTTACTTTCACTCATATGCATTTTACCACCACATTCACGAATAACACCCATAATACGTGGATGAGGAATGGCTGATTTAACAGAAAGACATTGTTGATACAGTTCCTTAGTCAAGAATTAAAAGCTGCTTGAATCCATCATCCCATCTTACCTTGAGTTTCTTGTTATTCTTGGTCTCTGTATACATTTGAATTTCCAAAGCAAGTACTTCTAACAAATGAGTTCCTTTTCTTTGATCATCTGTGCCGTCGTCATTCTGACAAGCAGCATGCAATTGCTTAAGAATCTTGTTAAGTCTGCCATATTCTTTTCGATCCAACCATAACTTGGCTAGTTTAAGGTTGGTTTTCATCCAAAGTCGTTCATTCTTAGTCTCCATCAGTGAAGCCAATGTAATTTCATAAAACTTCTCCATAAATGCCATATTGTCTGCTGAAGAAACAAAATCCAAGATGTTGTTGATACTCTTTTCACTATAGTTCTTAGTCACGGCTGATTTGATATAAGTCAATAGTTGACAATAGTATTTGAGAGTCTAATAAAGAATTTAGTCTATCAAAAGAAAAAAATAAGGACCTTACATCGTCAAGGCGGTTTTTTGAAAAAGACAGCTTGGTCATTTGCTTTAATGCTTTGAATCCCCTAAGCTGAGATAAGTAAGCGTTGATCAATAGGTACTTACCAATCGCCTTTTTCTTCTTCCGTATCTACCACACTCTGAAACTCTTTTATTGCTTCGTCTGGTTCATCTTCTTTTCTGGCTATATAAAACAAGTGTCAAAGAAAGCCATAGAGCTTCAAAGGATATACCTTTAGCATTATAGTATTTATTTTCTAGATCCACATCGGGTTCTTCTTCTTCGTCATCCTCATAGTCAAAGTCGTAATCCTATTGAAACACGTTATCAAACGCGTTCTTTCTTTTTAGTAATAGCTTTCTTTACCTCTTCTTCATCTTCAAGCATAAAATCATCATCGTCACTCATTTTTATAGATTAAAAAAAAAGAAACAAAAGAGCACTACGTCGGTCTTTCAACCTGTTTCATCTGTATCAGCTTAAAATTGCATTAAATCCACGTATTCTCTCTCGTTTATACTAATAAATGAATAGAAATTATGTTGACTGAATAGAATCATCATTCTTTAGATATCTATTGATTTGAATTATGTATATATAATAGACATTGATACTACAAGCCATTGTTTAATGGACAGACAAAGGATCTCGCGTCCAAGATTAAAAAAAAAAAAAATGAAACTCAGTCATTACTCTTTTCTTTCTCTTACTTTTTTTTGGGTTTACATAGACTATGGTGACTGCAACACAAGCAGACCTAAATAATACGGCCAATGAGGATGCTCGAAGTACTTCTTCTACCCTTGTCAATGGAGAACATAGAAGTGATTTAGAAGCAACACAAGCTAATCATTCGAGCCAAATAAGACATGGTTTTGACCAAGAGTTTTATGAGGAAGACATCATTCGCTTTCTTTATTTTTCAGAAAAGAGACACGATACCAATGCCAAACTAAACAGCCATGCTCGAAACGCGTTGAAAGACTGGGTAAGATTGTGTTTCTATCAATTCTCTTAAACTTATTGGAATAGCGACTTCGAGAAAGGATAAAAACTGTGTCAGGTAAATACATGCCTATAAAAGAGCCATGATTCACTTTCTCTATAGGTCTTCTTGTTGTTTGTCTGAATATCGGGACAGATCCACCTGATGTTGTAAAGACTAATCCTTGCGCTAAACTCGAGTGTTGGATTGACCCTTTCTTATTGGTGCCTCAGAAATCATTGGAGGCCATTGGCAAAAACTTACACAATCAATACGAGACAATCAATGGACGTACTCGATTCAAACTCTCTTTAGACCCCTCTGTAGAAGAAACCAAGAAAGTATGTTGCCAAATGCGTCGTAATGCTAAAGAAGAACGTATCTTGTTTCATTATAATGGCCATGGTGTACCTAAACCTACTACAAGTGGTGAAATATGGGTCTTTAATCGAAACTATACACAGTATATTCCAGTCTCTTTGTTTGATTTACAGTCTTGGCTTGGTTCACCAGTGATTTATGTCTGGGATTGTTCTGCTGCGGGTAATATCATTAACGCATTTAATAGATTTGCAGAACAAAGAGATACAGAAGCATTACGATTGCAACAACAACAACAACAACAGCAACAGCAACAACAACAGCAACAACAACAACAACAACAACAACAACAGCAACAGAATACAGTACAGACATCATGGAAAGATAGTATACAATTAGCAGCCTGTGGTCCCACAGAAACATTGCCCATGAATCCTGATTTACCTGCGGATGTATTCACAGCTTGTTTAACAACACCTATCGAAATGTCATTGCGATGGGTCGTCATGCGTAATCCTTTATTGACATCCAATATCACAATGGACATGGTATTACAATTACCAGGCCGATCAACAGAAAGACGTACACCCTTGGGTGAACTGAATTGGATCTTTACGGCTGTAACAGACACGATTGCCTGGTGTGTCTTGCAAGATCAACCCGAGTTATTTAAGCGACTCTTTCGACAAGATTTAACAGTGGCATCCATGTTTAGAAACTACTTGTTGGCAGAGCGTATCATGCGATCTTATCAATGTACACCCATGTCGACACCTATATTACCAGAGACACACGATCATCCCATGTGGCAAGCTTGGGATTTGGCTGTGGATATGTGTCTGTTCCAATTGCCTGCCTTAAAAGCAGCTGAAGCAGGTGGATCTCCTTATGAGTACAAGGCAAGCACGTTCTTTTCTGAACAATTGACTGCATTTGAAGTCTGGTTATCCGAGGGTGCTGTGAACCCCAAGATTCCTGAACAATTACCGATTGTTTTGCAAGTCTTGTTGAGTCAAGTGCATCGATTGCGTGCTTTGATTCTCTTGAGTCGATTCTTGGATTTGGGTCCATGGGCTGTCAATGCAGCTTTGTCGGTTGGTATTTTCCCTTATGTACTCAAGTTACTCCAGAGTCCTGCTGCTGAACTGAAGCCTGTCTTGGTCTTTATCTGGGCTCGTATCTTGGCTGTCGATCGTTCTTGTCAAAACGATTTACTTAAAGACCATGGCTATGCTTACTTTATCAATATCCTGACACCCAATAATGCCATGCTAAGTATTCCTCATGTGTCTGAACACCGTGCCATGAGTGCCTTTATCTTGTCTGTCTTTTGCACAAATTTCAAAATGGGTCAGCAAGCATGTCTTAGGGGAAATGTGATCAATGCCTGTTTAGCGCATGTCAAAGACCCTGACCCATTACTCCGTCAATGGATTTGTCTCTGCCTGGCTCAAGTCTGGTTGAACAACAGTGAGGCGAAATCAGCCGCGATTGCCGAAAACGGACATGAAAAGTTGTGTGCCTTATTAAATGACAATGTGCCTGAAGTCCGTGCGTCTGCCATGTATGCGCTCGGTACATTTTTAGCTGATCCCAACAAGACAGAACAGATTGTGAACATCGAGCATAACATTGCTATTTCTGCCTTGACGGCCATGTCGGATGGTTCGCCTATGGTCCGTAAAGAGTTTGTGGTTGCTTTGTCTCATATTGTGGACCAAGCAGGTCCTTCCAAGTTTTTGGCTGCTGCTAGTCAGACGATTGAAGAAGATCAGGCGCAGCGTTCTTTGTTTGGTGAAGATCGAGGTAAATTGATGCGTGGAAGACAGTCTGAATGGCGTGCTGCGTTAGATGGTCATTTTGGTTCTTCAAGTTATGATTCTGTCTATGCTGTGATATGGAAAGCCTTGTTGAATCTGTCTGTGGATCCTCATCCTGATGTAGCCAGATCAGCAGCCACAGTGGTAGACCATATCAACTTGCTCTTGTTAAGTACACCTTTGATTGGTGAATATGCTTCGAATCTAGCAAGAGAATCTGCCCAGCATACAGCGCAAGACCCTACTGCGTTTGGCATGGATCGTTCTCCATCGTTTTATGAAGACAGTCGTACGGCTTTACCTAACAATCCTCATGTGGCCAACATGAGGCGCCCTGCTAAACTGACGCGTTCTGTTTCGTTTGCTTCTACTTTGCGTACCATTTATAATTTTGGTAATCCCAGCCATGAATCTCAAGCCTCGCCGCCTCCACCCCCACCAGCACAACCAGATGCCAATCATCAGATGAACGTGGCCATGACCAAACAGAAACAGACTCAATCTACCGTGGATGAGCATAATTTACCTCTTTCATCTTGCTTTTATGATTGGAGTTGCGAGTATTTTACAGAACCCCAAATGAGAGTAAGTTGTGTTTGACAAAAAAAAAAAAGACAGGATGGATCGACTCAACCGTTTTATAGGCTGCTGAGGCAGATGAACCAGGAAGTGTTGTATATACCCAACGCAAATGGCGTCGAAGTCGAAACGAAAAAATCTTGCAAGAATCCAATGCAACCAAGGGCATGGCAGGGACCAGTCGTTGGGATGAGCAAGTCAATACAATGTACAATGATACAGAAGCCACCTTATTGCTCATGCATCAGTTTGAACCTCATTTAGTAGCTGCTGATGCCTACAATTGTCTAGTGTAAGTGATTGCTTGAGATGGAGAAAAGAAGTCTAATCGATCCATAGTGTGTGGGATTGGAAGACAGGCACACCTCTGAGTGTGATTGATAACCATAATCCTGCTCATAGTCGTATTTCAGATCTCAAGTTTATTAATGAAGAAGATGAAGCATTACTTTTGACTGGCTCAGGTAAGCATATGGATCTCATGAATGAATACCAATGTTTGTGTCTACAGATGATGGTGTTGTCAGGATTTACAAAAACTATGATGGTAGTGATCAAGAACAAGCTGTGTTGGTCAGTTCATGGAGAGCACTGAAAGATATGGAAAAAAGTAGTTCAAGACAAAGTGGCCTTGTGACAGATTGGCATCAAGCAAGGGGTTTGCTGTTTACAGGAGGTGATGCACGTATTATCAAAGTGTGGGATGTTCATCAAGAGATGCCCATCATGGTAAGTACAAGGAAAGCAAATCATGCATGTCCTAAGCACAGATTAGGATATTCCTACACAATCATTGGCTTGTGTGACGAGCATTACAAGTGATCAAGTCAATGGAAATATGATCATTGCAGGTTTTGGTGATGGGTCCATTGGTGTGTATGATCGCCGTATAAGCCCTGATGAAGCGTAAGTACAATAACACGTAAACACACAGAGGCTTATTGAATTGTTAGTCGAGTCAAAAAATGGGAAGAACATAAGGCTTGGGTGACAGGCATTCATTTACAAAGAGAAGGCAATCGTGAACTTGTTTCTGGTGGATTTGAAGGTGATATCAAGATTTGGGATATTCGAGAAACACAGTCTTTAAGAACGATTGAGGCACACAAACACAATGAAATGACAGCCTTGACTGTTCATGATCATAGTAGTGCTATTGCCAGGTAATACATGCATAAATCACAACCAATGTTGATTCTGTCCATATAGTGCTGGTGATGATCAGGTCATCAAGGTATGGAATATGGAAGGTAATAGATTATCTACCATTCGCCCTACTTCTGGCTTTCTTGGTCAAAAGACATCCTCTACGCGTGCTTTGGTATTCCATCCTAACCTTATGGTTATGGCTGCAAGTGGAAATGATGGTTACATTACTGTAAGTTGTATTTGATGAAACAACCATGACTCATTGTTTCTGCTATAGCTTTATGCAGCACATTAAAGTAATATTACAGCTTACATAATCTTTCTTTCTTTCTTTCTTTGTCGCAATACATGAAAGAGTTCTCTATACACTTTATTAAAAGAATTTTAAAAAATGAAACTACTGGCGGAGATTAAAATAGAGCAAATCCAATTTTTCATCGAGCTGCATGAAAAATCAAGCTTTTGTTTAGAACTCCATAAAGACGTAGTTATTCAACTTTGGTATAGTGACAAGAGCTGTAGGTTTCTAGCTTCTGAGTCTATCAATGTAGAGAATACACAGACTTGGGTGCTAGATTTTTGAGCAAACACGCAAACATGTTTACCAGGTTTTTCGCTTGTATCATACCACTTTCATAATATGATTGACAAAAAGACACATTGATCAAAAACTATAGCTTTTGACGGCCATTTTGAGTATTTAAGCTGGTAAATAGCTCCATTTTTCGTCTTTTGATGTCAAAAACAAAATCCAAAGTTGTCAACTCGAGTATTTTCATAAGTAGTACCCTTTGGATCCGAATGATTTTTGGCCATTTTTTACAAGTCGCTTTTTTTGGTCCAAATCAACCCCAAAGGTATCATAGATGATAGTAAACAATATTTGTCGGTATTTAGAGTATTTATTCCTGTATAGACAGTCACGGAATGTTCAAGGACAATTATATTGTAATGGATAATGCGCCTATCCACCAACACGAGGACATCCGTAAGTATATAGGAAACCGTGGATATTGGTGTGTATACCTCCCAAATTATTCACCAGAACTGAATTCAATTGAACAATCTTGGTATGTTTGCAAAAGCAAACTCAAGAGAGAACAGCTTCTGAAAGAAGAGACCCTGACAACCAGCATGGCTGGTAATAAGATTCTTAGTGGAGATCTTTTAGGACTTTGCAAACATTCTATTGAAAAGTTTGATAAAATGCCAATTTAATACGAAATTTGTTTATGTTAAATGTAATGTCTTAGAGGGAGTGTTTGATAGGGGTAAACAACGATAAAATTCAAAAGAAATCCAGAAGCCTACAGGTTTAGTTAAAAATATATCACCACGGCGACACAGAAGAGGTTCACAGCAGTAATTTGGCTAGTTCCAAGTATTTGTGGTTTGCGTTCAACGTGTTGATATGATTGCTTCAAGTATCACATCTAAAGCCATTCTACTAGTATTTGACTACGGTTTGTTGCTATTGGTCATGATCATAATCTTTGACCTTGCTTTCGCTTATAAAACAAATCATTAAGAAACAGAAAAGAAAGGTCAATTCTGAGAGACAGGGTTAAACTTTTGTCTTCTACAATGACCTTCGTTCCCAATTAGTTTTCAGCTGATAATCGCAAGCGTTTAGCAGCGCGCAGGCAACTAGGTGCATTTCTTCTTACGGGTAAGTGATGTACCACATGAGCAAATAGAGGTGTACTTTGGAGTCTTCCCAAGACGCCAACGGAGGATCCTTTAATGGTCATAGGTCGACGTAGGCAGCAGCAAGATAGGATCAATCCAACCAACAAAGGACCTGCAAGCAGAGATAAGGACGGTGGGTATTTGTTTGTGCACGAAGAGCATCCAAATTGCGCTGATGAAGTCTCAAGAGTTGCTTCTTAGCGTTTTCATCGGCTTCGACCCAGTCGGAAAGCGTATTCTAGTAATCGCTAAGGCGCAACCAGATGTGATTTTTGTTTGATACTTGTGACCAAAGAAAGATTTGCCTTTGCTGAGCAAAGGGATACGTATCAATGTGTTTCATTAGTTGCATTATCAGTATGTCTTCTGGAAGCGTTTCAAAACGGATCATCATCTTGAAGACAAGGTGTTCTTTGCGTTCGGCCATGGAAGGAAGGCTGGTCATCGGTTTAAATGATCCGGTTGTTCCCCTTGAATGGCTATGGATAAAGAGTTGTAGACAAGTATCTTGTGCATGTTCTAGAGTTGCAAAATCGGATTTTCGGTAAAGACCGAGGCAAATACCATACTCCACTTTCGAACGTATAAAGTTACTGTATAGACGAGCAGCGGTCAGTTTAGAGAAACGAATTTGTTTAAAGAACCCCAGAGTAGAGAACCCAGCACGCATAGTTGTGGGAGCGGACTGTATGTTCCGACCGAATTAGAAGAGAGACATCAATGTGAGCCTTAGTATTGAACGGAATTTCCAAATATTCAAAAGACGACGCTATTGGAATTGGCGTATTATAGATCGAGTATGGCTGGTTAGGAGCAGGGAGACCGGTGACGATAACACATTTTAGTGGATTCGAACGATATCCAAGGTCTCCATATTGCTCTATCGCATTTTGGTAACCTGTTACCACGATCCACCGCTGAATTGATCAAGTTTGAAAAAAAACTATGGTAGATCTTTTCACATCTCGCCGTGAAGTCAACTTTGTTATGGAACACTACATCAGCAATTAAAATCACTGAATCGACCCAAGGCACAAATGACATCAGTAGCGCAGGCTAGTTCTCCGCAGCGGGACACCTGATATACGCCTTCAAAAGGAATTACTTCTCGGTAACCTGTGCCACTAGTGAGGGCGGTTCCTCAATCATTGAGCGTCAAACTCTTGCCCATTGCTTGTGAAGAAAGCATGACTATCTTACAAAAAAAAACAACGGCAACAACTGGCGTGAATCTCATGACAGACGAGTTTGGATAGAGCATTTGACGTAAAAGTATCGATGCTCCATGACCCATATAAAAATGATGTTTGAAGCAAAAAAAAAAAAAAAAAAAAAAAAAAAAAAAAAAAAAAAAAAAAAAAAAAAAAAGAAAAACTTCGTAGGTTTTGCCTATTAGTTATCTGTAATACTTGAATAAAGGGCAAACTATACATTGATTGCACAACATTCAACTTGAATATGAGCAATTTGTTTTTTAAGCGTTTCCGGAAAAGGTGTACTTCCCATTTCAAATTCGACCCTTCACCATATAGCCTCAGCTAAAATTTCCAAGGTCTTCAAAAGCTATCTGCTCAAAACTTTTAGTCAATAATGGTCTACAAAGGTTTAAAAAATACATAATGAAGCTCAGTTTCTGTTTTTGTCACCAAAAAAAATTTCACTGTTTAAAAATGGAAGCACTGTCAATGATCTTTTCTAACATGCACATATCTATCCTATGGTTCAAACATCTTCAATTCATAAATATCAAAACAGTTTGTTCCATAACAAAACAAAACCGCCCATTTAGTTTATTGAATGCATAAAGGAAGTGCTTCCCTCAATCCCTCAATAATCATGGTTTATATCATGGTTTGACGAGCAATCAACGCTTTTTCTACATCATTGTATTGCCCCGTTTCAATCCAAGAAAGAGCCAAAGACGTGTATTTCAACATACTTGTAATCTGACTACAACTTGGTTGTACACCTTGATTCATGCATTTCTTGATCATGGCCTTTAATGCCACTAACAACGCATGTTGACGCAACTGTATCTCTTGAAGCCATAGTTTCCAAAGATAATATAATGCAGGCGTCTTTTCCTGCGTGACAGTATTGACTTGCGCTAAATCTTGATGCGGGTGTCGAACAAAGATCTTGAATTCGTTCAGTAAAGAAAACCCAACATCAAATGGCTTTGTGACAAAAAACTGAGCTAAATGCTCAGAGGCAAAATCATCCACGTCCTTGGGTGAGAGGACATCTGTTTGGACCATCAAACAAAAGAACTTGAGAAATTGGTGAAATGGGTATGTAGCCTTTTCCATATGGAATGGCTCGGATACAGGGTAAGCAGAAGCATGTGTATGGTAAAGATGATATTGTTCTCGTACGTTGTTCAAGATGCGCTTTAGATGAAACAAGAGTAACAGGCGATACGTATCAACTGAGCATTCTTGATCAAACAAAATCTCCAGTATGGATTGCAACAACATCAAGAAATCGATCATCAAGACGCCTGCTGATTGAAGAGCATAAGGATCTGTGGTGTCCAGTGCTTCTGTTTGTAGATCATCAAGCTTTTGACCCAGATCTTCTTTTCGTAGCTTGAGTTCGAGAGGCGGAGGTGCTGCATGGAGAGTGGGATCCAACAAGGCATGATCAAACAAGATCCCAAGTGTTTCATTCAATAAAAAGTCGTATGAGAATGCTCTGTTGCTGCTGGTTGGTAAACGGTCATGAATAGCAATCGCCAAATGGTTTGCTACTGATTGTAAGACAGAAGGTTCGATTCTGTTTTGAACAAGTCCATATCGACCCAGATAAGCAACGGCTGCATGGACAAAATGAGAAAAGGGATGGATGAGACTGGAATGCAAGTCAATGTGGTATTTAGATCGAATGATCTGATGAGCAATCTGCCTACTTTTATGAGAGCAGGTACCCAAGTACCAAATATCTGAGAAACCCAAGTAGTCGCCTATTCTCTGTAATAACTCAAAGGGCAAATAATGAATGTTCATGAAAAAATAAATAAATAAGACAGACAGTGAATTAAAAATAGAATGTTTCTTATAGACTATAAATAGCATGATAATACATAAGTAAAAGATGAATTAGGTGTAAGATAGTAAAATGCAAGAGAAAGAGATTAATGAGAAAACATACAAAAGGCATTATGAATATCTTGTTCCATAATGCTAACAAAATTACGGGTCAATTCGAGATCATAAAGATACGCTTTTGACATTTTACAGATATTGATAGACTGTTCAAGACATCGTCTAGCAAACGCTTGATACTGAGGATCATGGTAGTCGAGTAGTTTGATATAGACCATGTTGGCAAAAAGAAAACCTAGTAAGAATATACTGCATTCATTGCGCTGTTTGACCATGATGTCAAGTGTTTGTGTGATGGCATAAGCAGCATCAATACAGATATTCAAGCATTGGATAGAGAAGGGAGAGGTAGGTACATGGTCTGAAGGAAAGAAAGCTTGATAGATTAAGATCTTGTTCATGTTATAAGCAACATGAACACTAAGCATACAAGACCTTGCAAACTCATGAATATCCATACTGTGCTGTGATGGACAGCCAATGACATCAAACGGACTGGATGCAGCAGAAGTGGCCATTTGGTCCAAACTGATTGACTCGAGATCGGGTGATTTCCATTCAGGCAACAAACTCTCATAGAATTGCTCCAGTCGGGTCTGCATGACTAAAAGATCTCTGGCTAGTGTTGTATCTTGTTGTCCAGACAGTAATCGACACAGCACGTCTTGATGGATAACTTGTAGCTGAAGCAGATAGTACCATGCAGTAAAGGTATAGTGGTGAATGAGCTCAAGAGGTGGCTCAGCATCAATCTGCATAAAATCAAGCTCTGGTTTGGGTGGAGGCATAGGTAGAGGACAACTAGGGTAGAACTGATCTGTTTCAGTAGACGAATTGAGTTCACCTTGAAGGACGCGATACCAGCTATTGAAATAATAGATGCACCAAACAAGCATACTCTCTTGTGTGCTGAGTACACGACCATCATCATAAAGACCTAATTCTTGCGCCATGGTAAATGCAATCCATTCGTACATCGAAACCACCTTGAAATGACCATTTTGTTGGTTACAATAAGAGAGCAAAAAAGCAGCTTGGCAATTATCGAATGTGGGATCATCAAAACATTCGGCTAATAATTCGCGTCCCTTTTGACAGTAGGCCACCGAGATGGCTTTGCCCATGTTGTATTCTGACATTTCATCCTCTGGACGCTTACTCCAGACATGAATCTGAAAAGCGTTGCGTGCAGCTAAAGCACAGACAGCATGTACAAGTACGTCTGAAGGACGTTTATCAGGCTCATGATATCGAGTTAAGAACTCCATGGTGTCGAGCACAGGCAACCTGTTGGTTGAGCAACAAGGCGTTTTGCAGTAAAGTTCAACAAGACTGTCTGTCAATTCCTGTGTGATTTCTACATGACAGTCTTCTTCTGAAGCATGCGAATGATGCGTCCAAATGTTTCGAAAGCCAAACGAAAAACTCGAAGACGTATGAATCGAACTTGTGTCGTCCAGTTCTAGACTGGGATCGTCTGCCAGTTCAGATGGATCAGGTTCTGGGTCCCGTGGAGAGATATGCATAGTACGCTTGAATTGATCCACTAGCTTGGAGAGATCATTGAATGAATTGACGTTGCTTTCAACAGAAAGGCCCTTGTTGGTGGACGTAATCTTCCAAGCAAAAGGCTGTAATGGGCTCTTCTTGAACGATTGATCTACACGCTGACCAAAATCTCTTGTCTTTTGAGCGAAATCTTTGGCCATTTTATCAATGGATTCCTGCCATTGATCCATGACTTTGTTCATCGTATTCAGTACTTGAGAGACATGATTTGCTTTGGGTTCTGTCTTTGTATAGACACATTCAAAATGACCTTCAGCACATCGACTGCAACTCGGCAGGGTCAAGTCACATTGCTGTAGATCCTTAAAGCATTTTGTACATGGATAGACTGAAAATGAGCTGGTGGATGCTACTTGTGTGCTTGTGGTGGACACATTGTCTTCCATGAGTGTGTCTATCGATAGATTGGAAGGTGAATCGATTTCAGGCGCCACTGTGGACCGAGGCTGAGCAAGTCTCTGAAGGGATATGCCTTTATTCTTATTTGGTAAAGGGCCATGTTCGCCTGTCTTTAGAAGTTCGCCGAATTTCTTGATACGGTCTCCTAGTGTTTCTGTTGCTTTTTGAAGCTTTTTAAGTGTGGGTGCGGCTTCTGGATAAGTGCAGGTGATGCCTCTTCTTTTACAGCGAGAACAAGCTGGTTTTGTTCTGTCACAAGCGTGTCTATCAAAATGTAAGATGATTGTCTAATGTCATTCTTTTATTTGCCTGAATCCTCTGCATCGATAACAAGCAGCACCTATCGTGGCTTGAATCGTTGTTGCTGTCTTTACTTCATTCATAAAAACAATAATTTAAAAAAAAGAGAAGGGAAATAAGTTTAAAGCGTAGTCTATTTTTAATAAAAAAAGAAGGAAGATTGTGCCAAAAATAGAAACCAAAGTTTATTATGTAAAACGATACCAGCATTTGACATATAATTTAACAAAAGGTAACTGTATAAGCATTTGAAGTACACATATAGACACTGGTAGCATCATCATAAGCATAAGAATAAGCGTCAGGACAAGTATGTTTGATTTGAGAAGCATATGCGTTTGTAGTACAGGTATCAGCACTATCAAAAGCACCTGTACAACAGTATTCGTCTGTTTGAAACTTGGTACAAGCACTTTGACAGCCAGAAATATTGCCTTGATCATCATACACCTCAAATCCAGAAGGACATTTGAATGAAGTACAAGTGGGAGCAGCACACCAACGATTATCTGTGCCTACTAGAGCATCTGCCTTGATAGTAGGTTCAACTACCATGGGCAAATTGTATCCATCTACTAAAGAGATGTCATAAAACACTTTACCATTGTCCATGAAGTGAAATTCGGCAAGAGAAGCAGGTGATCCCATACCGGACTTGAAGCAGTTTTGGCCACCACAATTGATTCTTCCCCAGACTCTGCCAGACCAATTGATAGGAGGGTGAATGGTGTACTTGCTTCCAGCAGCAACGTTGACAATATCACCATAGTATTCTACATCAGCAGAATGACCTACTTTGAGTGTAGACTCACAGTTGTTTACAACATAAACAGTAGGTGATCCATAGTCTTGAAAGCGGGTAGCACCTGTGTTCTTTGCAGGAGCAGCAGCAACCAGGCTGGCCAACATGGAAACAAAAGTCATCCATGTCTTGAGAAGCATCTTAAAGAAAGGGAAAAAGAGGGAAAGAGAGAGAGGGAGAGAGAAAGGGAGAAAGGATAACAGGTACCCTCTCCTTTATACCTTTTTTTTTTTTCTTAGCTGTCCATGAATACAGAACATAGCCAATCTAAAAGCAGACTTATCATGTACAGTGTACCTCTTTAAAATGTCTTAAAACAATTTATTCTTAACTATGTCTATATGATTGGATGCGTTTCGACATCCCTTCGCCGACTTAATCATAAAGAATCTAGACTTATCGCTTTCTCTTTGAGCCTGTTGCCATCAACAACTCTTCATCTTCTTCTTTTTCAACTTGATAGTTCTTTAGATTAGACAAGAATTCAACCAGTTTCTTTTCTTCAGCTTCTGTAGCATAAGGGCGTTCATCAGCACCATGAATAGTACAGGTAAGAGGATCTGTCTTGACTTCATCATCATCAGGACTTGTACTGTCCCGAGTAGCATCCACAACCCATCCACCTGCTTCTTCTTGACCTACTTTCCAAATCTGATAACCATAACCACAATCTTCTTCTAGAAACTGACGACGTTTTTCTGAAAATGAGACTTCATGTGTACTGTTGGTCACCAATGTATAGAATCGAGAATAAAATCCCTTTTCATTTCTCTTTTTAGCACGAAGCACACGGCCTAACCGTTGTGCTTCTTGTCGACGAGACCCAAAGTGAGAAGACACTTGGATCAGGACAGTGGCAGCTGGCAAATCAAGTGACGTATCACCTATACGAGACAAGAAGAGTGTATTGATCTGTTTGGCTTTTAAGGATCGACGAGTAGCAATCTGATTCCAAGTGAGTTCTTCATCTGTCTCAGGCACATCAATCTGAAATCGAGACAATAGCTGGCGTGCTTCATCTGTAGGTGTGCCACCATAAATAAAAGGGCGCTGGATCTTTTCTGCGTAGAGTTTCAGGGCATCAATATGATCACAATACACAAGTACTTTGTCACCTTTGGCTTCATGGTATTGAATCAATCGTTGACAGATCTGCATCTTTTTTGGATTTAAGATAGCCAACAGGGTCTTGAGATGATGACTATGGCCTAAAAGACTACCATGACCTTGTGTTTGGATGCTGTCGTGTGTCTGTTGAACAATGGGATTCATGTCTGATTCGACCTGTGTACAGATCACTTTGGCAATGTAGCCTTTGTCTGCCAATTCTTTCCATTTAGCATGATAGAGTGTAGGGCCTACCAAGGTTTCTAGGTCGCCAATACGTTCATCTTCACGCAACATGGTGGCTGTCAAACCAAGTCTGACTTTGGTCTTGATCTTGGCAATAGCCTTGGCAAAATTATTCGCAGGCACACAATGGACCTCATCCAGAATGATCAACCCCCATTCAGTCTTGTCAATAAAGCTAGACATACGCTTTGAATCAGCTGTTCTGTTCTTACTGTCGACAAGCATGGTATAGGTTGTAAAGAGCACACCCGAGGGTCCATTATAAGGCCATTTTTTTGAACCTGCAAACATGCCTGTCTTGGATGCCATCAGTGTGGTGAATCTTAAAAATTCTTTAGAGAACTGTTCCGCAGCAATGATGGTAGAACACACGACCAACACGGGTTTCTGAATAGCACTGGCCACAAGAATCGAGGTGAGTGTCTTACCTGCACCACAAGGCAAGACGATGATGCCCGATCGCGCGACATGTTGACTAGGATCCGTGTTGCTGGTGTCGATAATCGCATCAAGTGCTTCTTTTTGGTATGGGCGGACTTCAACCGTAGATCTTAAGGGAAGATCGAGGTGATTGCAAGTCTTGTCCTTATTGAAATAAAAGTTGGGAAGGACAGAAGCATGCTTGGGTTTCTTGACTTGAGAAGGTTTAACAGGAGAAGAGACTGTTTTTTGCTTCTTGATGGGAGGGGTATCAGCAGGAGAAACAGCCGTGGATTCCTCATTATCTTGCTTTTTCTTTTGTACAAATGCCAACAAATCAGCTAATCTCTTTTGCCTGTCATTGCTATCGTCTGTCAATACCATCTTTTCAAGAATCAAAAAAAAAAAGGAGAGAAAGAAATATAAAAAAAAAAAAGTGACAGGCACCCTTTTTATTGGCCCAGAACAGGTTAGAGTTTTCTCTCTCTTTTTTTATTATTATTATTATTATTATTTACTCTTTTTCTTATTGGATTTGACCAATTTGAACTTCTTGCCATCCTCTTTTGAAGCACGAACACCTTCTAATTGCTTAGGCTTAGGTATCAGTTTACCAGATTTACCAGATTGTTTCTTTACAACGGTCTTGTTCTTCTTGTTCTTGGGTGCATCTCTCACACCGCCTTCAGATACGGGTATCTTACAACGTTGAATGCGAATCTTGGTCTTGTTACGAAGTTTCTTGTCTGTCATGGCCAAAGCAGCCTCAACCGATTCGCGTTCTTTAAACTGAACATAACCAAACCCTTTACCCACATTTGTCTTTGCATCTCGCACTGTGCGGACATAATCAATCTCACCACAATCCTTAAAAAACTCCCAAAGTTCTTCATCTTCTGTATCAAACGGCAAATTACCCAAAAAGACAGAGCGTTTACGGTCATGTTGTTTGTCATTGATGGCCAGATCAACACGTAAATGCTTGTCCATGAATACAACCCCATTTAACTTACAGGCTGCTTGTGCTTCTTGTGGTTGACTGAACACGATGTAGGCATTCAAGACGTGACGGTCATTATGAAGTTTACGGGCAATAAAAGCTGATTTACGATCCAAAGGTTCAGAAAAAGCAACAGATCTGAAACGAATGGATTCTATCTTTCCACATTCTTTAAATCGAGACTTGAGTTGTTTATAACCTTCCTATAGAGTTCGGTTCAGTGGATGCCTGATTATTGGTCTATCACTCACCTTTTCAATACAGTCCGTTGTCAGATTACCAATAAAGACGGTACGTGTCTCTTTTTCAGCGAGTTCTTCAGGCGATAATACTTTTCTGACTTTTTTGGTCGTGTCATGTTCAAGTTGATCTGCTTTTCTCTATTGGATCTGATTAGCGATGTATGTCTTATGGTCTGTGTATGTGTGTTTACTTTATTGGAAAGTAATTCTTTGGCTTTTTGGAAACCCAAGAAAGCTTTATTAGCCCCCTTTTTGTCTTGTGTCTTTTTCTTTTTAGCTACTTTGGCAAGTACTTCTTCTGTCAAAATAGGTTTGACAGCAATTTCACTTTTACCAGCCTAAACCAAGATAAATACAATGCCATGTATCGTCAATAACTTACAGATTGCTTAAAAAGGTTATCTAAATGACTTTCTACTTTAGGTGGACTAGGAAGAATACCACTCATATTGGATAAAAAGAAAAAAGTTAAAAAAAAAAAATAAACATCAAGGACTGTCAAACATGAAGAAGGAGGGGCTTAGAGAGAGAAAAAAAAGTGTGACGCTTTATCTTGCTTTCCCTCCTCTTTTTTCTTGTTCTTTCCTCTTTTTGTTTTTCTTTTTTACCATGCCCAGAGAAGATGACATGAGACTTGAAGTGAATAGTAGCAAGTGAAAGAATAATGTTTATTTTAACAAATTAAAAAGAGAGAGAGAGAGAATAATTACCTTTTCAATGTCAATCATCTGTATAAAAGATGAACAAAAGGAATTCAAGCAGAATGATCGCCATTTGACATTGTGTAACTTTTATTCCAATCAGGACCGAAAAGCATTGTTTCATGTCGCCATTTCTTGTTGACTAAGCCCAGGCCAATGCATTGTTAATAACGTGTTACTAAATTAACCCTCGTGCTTTACAAATTACACTGAAAAAAACAAAATAAAAACAAAAGAAAAGGGGATGAACCATGTAATTTCATTTTCTTTATATATATATAAAAAAGGGGGAGAGTAGAAAAAGACTGAATTTCTTTATATTACAGACTTTGATAGGAGAGAATAGATAGATATAAAAAAAAAAGGAGGGGAAGCCATAAGGTGGCAAAATAAGTTATTTACTGCTTTTAATAGCACACGAGGTAAGAAAAAGAAATCGGAATAAGAAATAAATGGTATTGTACTACCTATTAAAAAAAAAATAAGAAGAGAAAAGTATCTTTTTTTTTCTTTTCTTTTTTCTCTTTCTATACTCTACATTTCCTTTCCTTTTGAACACAATAGAATTTCACTTTTGATCAAGTAGAATTCCCTTGTTTGATATACTCTATTACTTTCCTTTAACTTATATCAACAAGAACTCCTCTTAGATACACACTCCTTTTCAAACACACTCACACACAGAATCCCCTTTTTTTTCCCTTTCTATTAAAGACTCTATCTTTCTATTATTTCTCTTTTTAATTAGGAATGACAATTATTTCAGCACATCATAACAAAATGCGTTCTTCTGAAAAGGTAACAACAAACAACACATTCTTTTGGGCTGACTTTATTAGTCCATGGCCTTGATGCAAAAATCAAGATCAGAACCCAATTGTCAAACTAAATCAAAAACATTGCTTCATCATTCAGTCTATCCTAAACGTAAATCCACTGGTAATTTGAGACAATCCATGAGTCAACAATCCACCCTTTCTCGATCTACCACCACTACTACTACTACTACGAGTCAGAACAACAAAGTATGCATATATTTATTTAAGATGACATTAAACCATGTTATTTGATTCTAGATTTGGCGTCCACCTGGTCATTGTGAGATTCCTGATATCCTTGGTAATGCTTATCTTAAGCCAAGTCCACCTGTTTCATTTGATTTGCGTCCTACAGATATTGCTAAACAAGTTTCCAAGGTATAATACATATCTATTTATCTATCTATATTAATATCAATATAGCGTCCATGGTATCCTCCTAGTCCAAACTTCAAGATTCCCGATCTCCCACCTGTTGTTCGTACAGAAAACAAATTAGAAGCCAAGTTGAGAAAACTCTTGCCTTCTAAAGTGTCTGTTCGTTCTTCTGATCCCAGTGCTCGTTATGCTAATTTCAAGGAAATCGGTACTGGGTAAGTTGATTCAACATCAAAAAATCAATACTCATGATGGATTAGTGTCAATGGTGCTGTCGTAAGAGCTTCTTATCGTAAAAAGCCCAATGTACGTGTGGCCATTAAGCGCTGTAAACTCGATCCTGATCGTGAATACCGTGCTGCCATTCTTCGTGAATTAAAGATCATGTCTTCTGGTCACAGTAATCTCATCAAATTACGTGAGGTGACCCTGTGTCAAGATGATATCTGGATGACCATGGATCTCATGCGTTGTTCTGTCTTTGCTGTTCTCTGTCAAAGAGGCATTCCTGAAGAATACACTGTCTATATGGCTTGTGAGACCCTGAAGGGTTTAAGTCATTTACATGCTCAAGGCATTTTACATCGTGATGTCAAATGTGAAAATCTCTTGTTAGGTTGGCATGGTGAAGTTAAATTAGGTATAAGTGTATTGATATCAAAAGATGTATCCATGACTCACTTTTTTTATCTATATAGCTGATTTTGGTTTATCAGCACGTATTAACCGTCCTAATCATGAAAGATTAGGTACTACCAAATGGTAAGCATATATAATGTTACGTATGAAATAGCCATTCATATGTTATTTAGGATGGCACCCGAAGTTATTAGAGAAGAATATTACAATGAAAAAATTGATATGTGGTCTCTTGGTATCACTATCATTGAAATGATGGATCGTGTACCACCTCACTATGCCATCAAAGATGAAGAAGAACTGTTTGATATCATTGCTACTGAGCCTAGTCCAACCTTCACTTACAGCCACCCTACCATGTACATGCGTGGTTTAGTTGCTTGGTTATTAGATGAAGAACCCGAAACAAGACCCAGTGCACGTGATGCTCTGTTAGAAATTGAAGCTCACGTCCATTCTCATCTTTTACCTTGCTCCAATGCTCAAGATATGGCTCGCTTCTTAAATCAAGTCTTACCTGACCACTAATCATTATGTAAACAATTCTCTCTCTCTCTCTTTATATGCATCCTATTTCCATTTCTTTCTCTTTTTTTTTTTTTAATACGTATTCCTAATTCCCTATCTCTCTATGTTGCATAGAAATATGTAATATTTTATTATGTTTCTCTCATCTATGAAAAAAATAAAATAAAATAAAATTTCTTTTTTTTTTTATTTTTATCTTGATGGAAAGTTATTTTACGCTTACAGGTGCCTTGATGGCAGTACTTTGTACCTATGTCATCTTGGGTCGATTGTTGGGCATGTATATATTTGACACCACCGGCAGTACAGGGCTCAGAAGACGATTGATGGTGCAAGTGGTTGTGTTGGGTGATATTGGACGTTCACCACGTATGCGATACCATGCTACTTCGCTTGCTGATGCTGGCTGTACAGTGGACTTGATTGGCTATACAGGTTAGACTGTTCATCAGACCTGATGCTATATACTCATCCACCTTAGAAACCAATCCTGGTGCACGTATTAACGTCAATAGACACATTCGTATTCGTCCTATTCGTCAAGCATGGTCTGTGCCTGAAGGATTTCCTTCTTGGTGTTATTTAATATGGGCACCTTTTAAAGCCTGTTTCTTGACGTGTCAATTGTTCTGGATCATGGCCTGTATCTCACAAAAACCTGATTTTATCATTATCCAAGTAAGACAGACACATAACCCACGGAATCTAACGCATCTGTTCAGAATCCACCTTCTATACCTACTCTCTTGATAGCACAATGGGTAGGTAAACTTCGAAAGGCATGGCTCATCATTGACTGGCATAACTTTGGTTATTCGATCTTGGCCATGAAACTCGGTGAACAACACAAAGTAGTTCAGTTAGCCAAATGGTATGAACAGCGATTAGGTCATGAAGCCTATGCTCACATGACCGTCACGGATGCCATGCATCAGGAACTCAAACGCTGGGATGTCCAAGGCCAGATCATGACCGTCAGGGACAAACCTCAATCTGATTTCAAGCGACTCTCGTTAGACCAGATTCATCGTCAATTCACGTTTTCATTCAAATGGATTGAATCCCTTGTACAACAGACAGAGGACGGAAATACCTTTTTAGGCCAATTCAATCAGCGAGCCTTAGGTACCTTATTGACCGATGCAGATCAAGATGGAGGATTGATCTGGCGACACGATCGACCGAGATTGATTGTGTCCAGTACCTCATGGACAGAAGATGAGGATTTCTCTGTCTTGTTAAGAGCAGTCGAGTTGTACGAAAGGGCTGCCCTACCTTCGGACCCTAAATTGTTGTTTGTGATTACAGGCAATGGACCACAAAAGAAATTCTATCTGGAAAAAATAAAGCAGCTTAGGTTAGTCAAGACACATATCGTCACTGCTTGGTTAGAAACGGGCGATTATCCATTGTTGTTGGGTAGTGCAGATTTAGGTGTATCGTTACATACAAGTTCAAGTGGCATGGATTTACCAATGAAGGTGGTGGATATGTTTGGCTGTGGATTGCCTGTGTGTGCAATTGATTTTCCATGGTAACAAATATATACATGGTAACACATTATCGACTCATTACGTTAGTTTAAATGAACTTGTTCATGATCAACAGAATGGCTTGATATTCAAGACAAGTGAAGATTTAGTTGAACAATGGAAGGTGAGTCATGATGATAGAGACCTGTTTGCTTAATGAATCGATAATAGGAACTTTTTTCAAAAAACCCTGAAAAATTGGATGCATTGAGATCCAATGTCATTCAAGAATACAGGAATAATACATGGCAATACCAATATAAACAAGTATTGACAGACTTATTTAACCAAAAAGAATAAAAAAAAAAATTTTTTTTAATTACTTCTATGGTTTCTAACTTGTATCACGTTTAATTCCATTGTCCGGATTGGCTATTCCGATAAATATATAATTTGGTTTTTTTTCAGTTTTTTTTTTTTTTTTTTTTTTTCATTTCTTTTTTCCTTTTTCTAAACATGGGAAATCAAGCAAGTAAAGTAATTGAAAAATCAAAAGAGAAAAGAGAGAGAAGGACGACGAAATCAAGTCGTAGAAGAAGTACTATCACATTAGGAGGACGCTCGCATGCTTCTCTTGTCATGACAGCCAACAAGAACTCACAGGCAAACTACGATTGGATTGATGAAAAGCAAGACTCGATGCTGAATGCACCTCCACCTGTACCAAAATCAAGGCGTCAATCCATTACCGAATTCTTTGTGGGTAGAAAAAAGAGTCTTGTTCAAGATGATTTTAGAGAATTTGATCGACTTCAACGACAGGTAACCAATCCAAAACTATTTTTCTATGTTATTTACTTGTCTGATAGCACTATTTATTAAAAAGTGCCAGAAAATCCAACTGCTCATTTCAAGTCAAAGACAACATGATCATTGTAGATGCAGGCACAGGAAATGGTATTTGGGCACTTGAAATGGCAGCTGAAAACTTAAATACGCAAGTCATTGGACTTGATTTACGCCCACCTACTGAACAACAAGGAAGACCTAAAAATCTAAAATACCATGAAGCGGACATTACAGAAACATGGCCCTTGGATTCCAATTCAGTTGATTTGTAAGTTTTGTTTTTTGTTGTGTTTATACTCATGTCTTTTTTTTTTTGTAGTATCTTTCAACGTAGTATGGGTCAAACGATTCAAAAAGAACAATGGCCTAAAGTACTGAATGAAATGTTGCGAGTACTAAAACCGGGTGGAACGATTGAATTGGTGGAAGCCGATTTGTGGCATCATAATCCTGGCCCTGTTCAGCGTGCATTTGATGAATTTTATCAAAGCCAATGTGTTGAAAATGGACTGGACTGGAGTTTTACTGAAAATATGGATCAAGAGCTTACTTCCATGGGTTATGTTGAAGTAGACCATCGTACTTTAGATGTGCCTATTGGTGAATGGCCACAAGATTCAGGTAAAACATACTAGTCTCTTTGTGTGAGTGTGTGTTGACCTGTTGTTGATAGAACTAAAGCAGTTTGGGTTTATTAACAAGGAAATCCAAAAAGCTTTTTTGAGAAATAGAAAAGGCTTTTATGTCACTAAATGGGGAATTACACCTGATGATTATGAATTAGCAGTGCAAGAAGTCCTTGCTGAATTTGAAGACTACCATGGTTTTACCCGTTATAACTGTTGGACTGCAAAGAAACCAACCAATCAATAACTCTATCAACATACCACCCTTTTTCTTCCTTCACTTTTTTTTTCTTTTTTTTTTCTCTCTCTCTTTTTTTAATGTTTAATACTTATGGCACTATTTACATATATATATATGATACAACACTCTTTTTTTTATTTTTATTTTTTTTTTACTTTTCTCACTCACTTTTTTTTAGATTTTTATAGATTTTTTTTTATTATTATTAGATAGATTTATTTCTTTTATGATTATGCATTGATTCCATACACTTAGGAAAAAAAAATAAAACATGACTGGCTCTTAAAACTTGGAATAAGTCTTTATTAGGCATCTGAAAGGAGATATATTTTCCAAATCAGGCATGAAAATAAAAGTATTCAAGTTGAAGGAAATGACGAGTTGCTCTCTTTTTTTTTCGTGGTCTTTTTAAACAAAATTTGGAATGCTTATTTGTTTATTGAAATATGATACAGATTGTACATTGTGTTTATTAATAATTAAATGATTAAAAATGATAAAGTAGTAAGAAAAAGGAGTGGGGTTGTTTTTTTTGGGAGGAGTTTTTTTTTTTGAAAAAGAGAATATAGTATGATACAGGCATATACACAAGAGAGAGAGAGAGAGAGAGAGAGAGAAAGAGAGAGAGAGAGAGGAGAAATACATCATTTATCTAGAATAAGGAGACCTTGACATGGGTTGCCTTGGCCTTGACTATAAATAAATAAAAAGCTTAATTCAATGCAACAAATATGTCTTGACTTACATAATTATATCGAGGACGTGAATAAAAAGCATTGTTGTAAAAAGGAGATTCTTGTGAGACAGGTGCCCACCTACTCTTCTTTTTGGTACGTTTCTTTTCATTTTTTGCTGATTCTTCAATGCGTCTTTTCTTTTCTTGTTCTTCTTGAAGCATCAATTGTTTAATCATCTGAAACAGCCTGTGTTTCTCTTGTTCCAATGCTTCAATCTTTTCTTTGATTTCTTGTATAGAAAGCGAGGGTGTGGGTGATGCTGGTGGAGGAGAGAAAATGGGTTCTTGTTTAATATACACTTCGTTTTCTTCTTCAGGAAATATACTAGCTACTTTTCTTTCTTCTACAGGTGGAGAAGGTAATCCACCTACATGATGTTGTTGAAGATGTCCATTGCGATTAGGTAGTTTTTCTTTACATCGCTTCATAATCGCTAGTCTAATTGCATCCTGATATTGACTAGGCTGAAAATGGTAGGTGATGTTTTCTCTATTGACAATGTCTTTATAATCAAATATCGTTTCTTTCATTAAATATGTACAAGAAAAAAAATTTTTTTTAAAAAAAAAAAGAGAAAGAAAGAGAAACAAGAAAAGAAAAAAAAATAGGCCGAGATACAGAGAAAAAAAAAAAAAGAGAAAACTTTGATTCGTCAAGTTTTATTCTAAAACAGAGCAAATAACTAAGGCTTTTTTTTTTTTTGTTTTTTTCCTATATAAAATACATACACTTTATACTTTATTAGGTACACACTAAAAAAAAAAAAAAAAAAAGATACACTTTGGCTTTGACATACTTTCTTTTTTAAGCATTCAATGACCGCACGAATCAAAAACGACTTGTAGTAAAATACAATGGTCTATACATCAAAACACATTGTTCAACATGTGTTGGTGTTCCAAACAATATCTGTATCTGTTACACATTTCTAGAGTTAGAGACAGTAGCATTAGAATAAAAGTCTCTAAGCTAAAGCCATCAAGTCCAACAAACTATTTTGATAAACCTATATATGTACACTTGAAAGTGTATAGCATAATGTTAATTGTGAGCATGCCTAGACATAGAATGGGTACAAATCACCTCTTAAAACTAGGTGCGTCCAGTTCCTCAGATAGACAGCATCGCAGTCAACATATTGATCTCTGTGAGTAGAGATAGCAGCAAGTTGAGAAAAAGGCCTGCTTAAAACGTCTCGCTTGTTTGATCCCTCACTAATGCAGTGCTCCATTTGCTGCTTTATTGAGGTAGACAAAGAAAGAAATCTCAACACTGCTAATAGGGTTGTATGTGATGAAAATGTTGAAGTCAGACATACGATCAAGAAAGCAGTACGTTCATTCTTCTTTGGTTCTTTTTGAGTAGACTGAGGAAGGACAGAGGCTCTTTTTTATGTGTTTTCCAGCGCAATGACAATCGTCTTTGTGATTATGAATAGAATCGTTTTTTATCTTTGTAAACCTATTAAACTCATGGACCCTAAGTTCATACTCAACGCAACCCTTGTGTTCGGAAAGAAGCATAGTAAAACTCTATAGCCTCAATAGAAGTGTACATACGAAGAAGAAGAAAAAAAAAGCATCATCTAAGCCCCTATCTATGGATGAAATAAGGGCGTGCGAATCAGGAGGGAAAAGTCACGAACTCATTTCATTTCCTCCTCCCCTTTTTAATCCTACGTATCTTTCTTCTATATAAAATCATCATGTCTTTATCGCCTGCTGTCAAACAATACAAAGCTTTAGGGGAAGAAGTTTGGAAGTCTAAAGTAGACAAGATTGTAAGTTCATCTATTCATGAGCGCGTTATTTATTATTCTTTAGAATGCTGAACTATTTACATTAACATACGGCTCCATGGTTGTCCAACTTGTTAAGGACTTTGAAGACTATAGTGAAGTTAACAAACAACTCGAGAAAATGTAAAGACAATAAGAGATGACGACAACTCATGGTTTATCATTAGGGGTTATAATATTGGACAACGTATGATTGAAGACTTCTTGGCTCGATCAGGCATTGGTCGTTGTTCTGAGTTTAAGGACACTGCTGAAGCTGTGTCTAAGGTAATGTATATTTCACAACGATGTTCCTGTTCTCACATACGCATATCAGGTTGGCTTTAAGATGTTTTTGAACATTACACCTACAATTACGAATTGGTCAAGCGATAACAAGGAGTTTTCGCTTGTGTTTGAAGAAAACCCTTTGACGGATTTTGTTGAGCTACCTGATGAAGCACTAGAAGGTGGATTATGGTATTCTAATGTATATTGTGGTGTTTTGCGTGGTGCACTTGAAATGGTAAATCATAAA